GAGCCATCGGTGGAGCCCTAGTCCCCGACGTTGGATGTACGTTATCGAGCACGTCGACACTTGGTCGCGACCGTCTGTCAACGAAACGAGTTTAAAGAAGATATTCAGGTTCGAAAACACCGATGGTTTAAACTGAATTTGTTCACGTTGACTTCTCCCGCGTGGATGACGCACGTTTTAGGCCCGACGTTTTTACACCAAGACATGGTTTTACTCCATCAGCAAGAGAAAATTGTGATGAAGAAGCACATGGAAGAGTCTCCGGACGCGGATATGGGCGAAAAATGGAAAGATCAGGTGTTCATACCAACCGGAGCGGATAAGATGACGGTGATGTTTTACAAATGGTTTCGTAAAAACGGTCCGATTCCGTGGAAACCCGGGAACGATAAGATGCCGGAAATTGAAAAAGACGAATCGAAACTGTTCGACACATGGGAGATGCACACGAAGTATTGCACGCACTGTAAAGGAGCGATGCGAAATACAGAAATTTTAACCTACGCGAGCTTAGCCGTCGCGTTTGGGTATTTCTTGAGCATTTTAGCCAGCGTCGATTACGCCACAGCTTTACTCGCAGCAGCTGATGAAGAGTATTCGTTGGTGGGCGTGTTGCGACGATTACCAACAAACTCGATATATTCCGACATGTTTTCTTGCTTTTCCTTCTTAGCCACGGCGTATAGCTTGGACGCGTTTAAGTCGCTTTTCAAAACGTACAAGTTTTCTCACAGCGAGGACGACATCATGGCGGAAGGAACGGCGAAGATTGGATTAGCGAACGATGGCCCGAGTTTATACATCGATTTGGTCGATACCATGTTGTTTAAAGGGTTGAGTAAAAAGGACTTGGAGAAGCACTCATATGGATGTGAATGTTCGAATTGCGACACGAAGAATTTCGAAGGCATACGGTCGGTCGTCATGGCCAACAGAGTTCGAAAGAGGATGGCGGCGAGAGAGGACGAGGAAGGGAAACCGTGGGAACGACGTTCTTAATATACATTGTTATTTATAACTTTGACTTATAAAATAATTCAGTCATCATCGGTAAAACCACTCTCCACCTCTTTCACAATCTCGTTCAAATACGGCGTCGCTTGCCAGCACGTGTACCCGCTCGCGCCGACGAAAATCAACGCGCACAAGAAACCAGGCAAACCAATCACCGCGAATACGAGCGAAAAGAACACCGAGGTGACAATCATGAGAGCGTATCCGATGCCCACCGCGGATTCGCCAGACTCTTTGGCTAAACCGAGAAGAGGGGCTAACCATCCAGGCGCGGCGATGGAGGAATCTGGAGGTTTCATGAGGTCTTTGACGAAATCCGGAACCTCGAAACCTTCGTCTTTCGCTTTGATTGTTGTGTTGATGTTTCTTTTTCTTTGATTGGAATTGTTGTTGGTGACTCGAATCATCTTTTTGGATGATGACAATGCGATCGAATTGCGAGCGGAATAAATAGACGAAGAACTTCTTCTTCTTCTTCTCGTATTTTGCGCCGCCGAAGCGACAACAACAACGGAGGATACAGATGAAATCGCGCGCATTGTATTCAGGAGTCTTGCTTCTTGTTGAAGAGCGTCGTCGTATTTAAACGTGTGGTTTAAGAAGAGGAAAAGGAAAAAGATATGCAAAACAGTAGATATCGAATCGTTTAAGGTTCATCTTTTTTTATTTATTTTGTTTTTATAGTTGTTATTTTTGACCCTTTTTGTTCCGGCGGGGGTGTAGCTCACATGGTGCGACGTGTTCCAACCACTGTTGTTTTGATTAAACGCGTAATCTTCGTAGGTAGAGCGGTCGATTCGCATTCGACAGGTACGGGTAAGAAATCACCTGCTCCCAAGAGGAACTACGTACTAACTAGTACTGCTTACATAGAGATCGATACTTCGCACCTCCAATGTCCATTTTTTTTTGTGTATGTCTATCGTTACATGGCAAGTTAAATGTTTGATGTTAGGATTTTCCCGCGCGAGCGCTCGCAAATGCGCAGTACCGTTTTCGGCACTTTTTTCTTCTAAAATGTTCTCCTGAAATGAAGCAAAATCGGTATTTTTTTTTTCGTCTCGAGAGAAGAAAAGACGTTTAGACACGCGGCCGACGTGCTTTTCCCTGATGCGCATTTCCGTATAAAAATTGGTTCTATTTCATCTCTATTGCTGTCTTGTCACAAAATACACGCAAACAAAAAACTGTATCTCTCTTTTCCCTCAAAAACTCCTCCTTCCGCTTTAAACTGGAAAGAAGAAAGAGAAGCGATTTAACCATGGACGCGACGCTCGGCACGGAAAATAACTCGACAGTGATATCAGGTAAAACTCGTTCTATCGTTTCGCGGCCGTTTCGTTCTTTATTTTTCTTCGCGGCGGTCCGCCAAGTCACCGCGTCGTTCGCGATCTCTCTCTTTCTCTCTCTCTCTCTCTCTCTCGACGTTGTCGCTTCATACTCTCGTGCTTGCTCATAAAACTATACGAGCAAAAAACAAAGAACACGGTGTGGCAGTTTGAAGCCAAACGATGCCACAAACGTATGAAGAGAATACCGCGGCCGAGTTTGCCGCTGGTGAGAGGGCTTTTTTTCGTTCGCGTCGATCGACTCTGCATCGATCGACGAAAACTCGAGCGCGAGAGAGAGAGAGATTCGTTCGTTCACATGCAATTCTTGTTTTTTTTTCTTTTCTTCTCTTCACTTTTTTCTTCGGGCGCACGCATCGAAAAGAAAAAGCGCGCGATATCAAAGAACAAACTCGACGACGACGACGACGAGACAACCGCGAAAGATGTGATTCTATTTTCTTCTCCGCGCGTCGTTAACCGCGCCGTGATATTCTTCTTTTTCAAAACAAACAGATGAAGACGAAGCGCAGCGCGCGACGAACGATGGTGATGGCGATTTTGCGAAGAAGAAGAAGAAGAACAACAACAATAATAACACCACCAAATTCTCCGCGGGAGGAGGCGGAGGATTTCAGCAACAACAGGGGCAAAATGAAACGCGCGCGCGGAATACGAAACAATTGAGTTTAGTCGACGCATGGAAAAGGCGTGATAACGCCGGGGCGCCTTCGCCTTCGCCTTCGCCTTCTTTGGCGCCGAGGAAGAAGCCGAAGACGACGGTGGCGACGTCGTCGTCGTCGTCGTCGTTGTCCAAGAAGAGTGGAACGAAATCCGAGTTTGTACGCGGTTTGGCAATGAAGGCGCGACCGTTGTCGTCGCACGCTCATCCTCTCTCTACATCGTTTTCTTCTTCTTCTTCTTCTTCTTTGCGGATGACGACGACTCAGACGACGACACCGTCGAAGGCGAAGAGAAGAACGGCGAAGCCACCAACTTCAACATTTACCACTCCCGATGATGACGAGAGCGACGCAAATATCAGCGGGATCGCGTTCAAATCTCTTGTTTCAAAGTGGAATGACGCGAGTGTTTCTGAGCGAGAAGAACTGTTGAAAAAAATTACGGGCTGCGATCCTCTTCAGCTGAAGTACGATGAGAAAGAGGTGATTGATTTCTTGACGTTCTCGATAGAAATCGACAAAATCATTCATCGGCAGCAATATCTCAACGACGAAAGCTGGTTTCGTTGGGTGCAGGAACGACAAAATTTTCACGACACTTGTGAGGAGATTCATTTGAATTCGAGTCGTTATATTAAGCGCGAGATTGCAAAGCAGTTGTTGGAAGAGCGTCATCGCCTAGGCGACGCGTTATTCTGGCAGGCGATGGGAGACGAGGACTCGTTTCTGTCACACAATACTCATTGGCTCATCGTGGTTGAAAGAGGTGCTCCCGAAAAAACGAGAACTCTCCGAGCTAGTGAGTACACGGACATCATGATGGAGAAAGGCCGTGAGAACATTGTTGAATCCACCATTCTCAACGGGTGCATGGCCGGATTGCATCAACAAGGTTTGGTGCAATCAGATCCGAAAGGCGGATGTTGCACGACGAAGTTCGCGTTGTTCGATCTTTTTTATTGCACCGCAGAACAGGCGTTTTTCAACGAGAACGAGAATATACAATACGTCCTGTTTTCATGTTCTGATCTGTTGGCTTCCATTGGCCCGAAACATTGGAAGGCTAACAACGAAGGTTTTATTCCACGCGATGAAGTGATCGACTTACACGTTCGCGCGAGGCCCAAACAAGGGTACGCGGGAATCGCCGGTAAAATTGTTGTAGAGGCGATGCGTTTGAGTGCTGAAGCGTTGGCAAAATTGTGTCAGAAGTACAACATTTTCATAATCGTCCACTCTGCGAAAGTGCGAGACGTTCTCGCTGGCAGTGAAACTCGTGTCCGGCTCAGGTTATGGTTCGAAAGAACTTTAGCGCACAGCTGCGCTCCATGTTGCCATGCGTTTGGCGGCCGTTGGTCTGGTCTGTCGATTGGTTCCTTGACCAGTAGCATGGATATGAATAGAAGCGGTTGTAAGCAAGAGCTATTGGAGTCATTATTGGTCCAAAGTAGCAAAGCGTTTCAAGTGTACCGTGGTATAATTCAAAAACGTCAAGGCGTCTATGGGAATTACGAGACAGTTCAAAACGCGATGAATATTTGCATCGAGCGTGTTCTCGCGAGCGCGGAAGAGTTATCATCGGATGAAAACCCCGTCAAAACCTTTGGTGATTTGTTCATGGCATTGAGCAGAAAACCGTTCAGTAAATACGAGGATCTTTCCGCTCTTGGGTTCAAGGTAGGAGTTTTCGCTAATGACCGAAAAAAAAAATTTTTTTTGAGAGACACGAATACCAAGACTTTACAACCAGCATTGGAAGCAAAAATAAACTGGGAGAAAATGATGGAGGAAAACTTTTGGGGTACGAGGATCGTGGATGGAAAACTTAACTACTGTTGTCCACTTGGTAAAGTTCCAGGTTGCGAAGGCGTTTGTGACTTTTTGACTGACAATAAATCCAACTTGAAAAGGCACATTGCATCAGACAAGAGGATAATAGAAACCAGAAGAGAAGCCTTTGAAAAAGGAACTTTACGAGACAAAGAATTCCTTTGCAAACATGAAGATTGTAAAAACTGCGCCGGTTTCGGTACGAATTTTGCTTTAACCAGGCACACGAAGGAGGTGCATGGTAAAAAAGCAATTGCATGTAATTTCTGCGGCGCTCAGTGGCCAGCAACGCGACCTGAAAAACTTCGTGTCCACGAGCAATCGTGTCCAAAGCGATTTCAGCAACAACAGGGGCAAAATGAAACGCGCGCGCGGAATACGAAACAATTGAGTTTAGTCGACGCATGGAAAAGGCGTGATAACGCCGGGGCGCCTTAGCAGGCAGAGTAAGTTTGAGAGGAAATGAAGAGAGAGACACAAATAAACACCGAAGAAAGAAATCGCTACATTTCAGTAATCATTTGTATATCACATTGAAGCAAGTATTTCGCGCTATATGTTGTTTCTAGTTTTTTTTATTATTAATATCGGTCGTGATCGGTCGTATCCCAATCCGTCGTGGTCACCTCCGTCTCGTAATCTTTATCATGAAACATCGTCGTAACCGTTGCTCCTTCTCTTCTAACCACATTTCCTTCCGAAGATCGCGAAATGCTTCGAATAAAGTCTCGAATCATCCTCGGCCACTGCTCGGTATCCTCCAGTGTCTTCGCCACGTGCATTTCGCAGTGCGGAATCAGTTTTTTCAACTCCTCCGCGCTCTTCACTGGGTGCGTCTTATCGCCGCAATCCCACGCCAAGAGCAAACACGGCACTTTCGCCACGACGTTGGAAATCTCCTCCGGCGGAGGTAAATTGGATTGCGCCGCGCCGACAGAAACCGCCACGTACGACTCATCTCGCATGCCAAATTCTACCGTCGCTCTCGGCACGTACACCTCCTCCGGCTCGCCGTCGAAAATCGGTCTCGGCTTTCTCAACCTCGGCGGCGGCGGCGGTCCTTCCCTCGCCTTCTTCTTTAAATTTTTCTCTCGTTTTTTCCTCTGTTCGTAAATCGTCGGCGGTATGACCAACACCATGCCGTCGGGAAAGACGTCCCCGCGTTGAACGGCGGCGTGCAGCACCACCGCCGCACCCATAGACGCGCCACCTAAAATTAACTTTTGTTTCTTTTCCTTTCCCGTTTTCTTACTAATCCTCGTTTGTTGTTTCAAATTGGCCACTTTTAACATATCCGCCGCCATGTTCTCCCACTTCGCCTGCGAGCTCGTCTCCGCCGGCGACGAATACCCGTGCCCTCTCGCGTTATACCGCACAATCCTCACCTTCTCATCCTTTAAGTTTTCTAAATTTTCTAAACCTACCTCCTCCTCCTCCTCGCTCGCGCTTCCGTCGCTCCCGTCCTCGTCGCACGTCGTCGTCGCCGTCCCGTTCCCGGCGGAAGACGCGTCCCCTCTCTCGCTCACGTCCCAAAAGTTCCACAGCGACTCCTTATCCTCGTTCGTCATGGACGACCCTAACCCGTGTCCCCAGACGACTTGCACCGGCGCGTCTTCGTCTCCGTACACCTTCGCCTCGAGCGCGACGCCTTCCGCTATGCGCAGCTCGGAGATGTCCTCGTGCAAAGGTGCCCAGTGCTCTTCTTTAGTATTCGTAGTGGTCGTATTCTCTTCCTCTTGCATCAGAATGTTGTGTTCCTCTTCCTCTCGCGTCGTCTCGTGTTGCTCGTGGTTCTCGTTCGAGAGTCGCGAGAGTCCCGCATTCGTTTGAATCGTCATCTTCTCCTTCCTCTCAATGAACTTTTCCCCGCGAAAATGGTGAAGACACGAAGAAGATCTCGATGTCGCCGCCGAAAACGCCGCCGTACCACCAAAGCGAGAAATGGCGAAAAAACCACCAAACGACGGAATAATGGTACGAATACGAATCGTTCCTGCTTTTAGTAGTATCAGTCTCTTTGTGAGTGCTGTGTTATTCGTGTTCAAAGTCGCGCGTTGTTTTTATGAGGACGTTTTTCTCTCAAAGTCTTTTCGAGGAAAACTCTCGAGTTTGTAAGCACGATAAGAAGAAAGAAATACGCAGAGAGGCGACGGTAAATGTTCATTAAACGACTACGGAAACGCACGCGGCAGCCACGCGAAAAGTTCTCGAGGAAGACGCTAACGCCGCTTTTTGTAACGCTCTTCTGTTGTTGCTGCTGCTTTTCATCGTCGTCGCGAAGGAGGAAAAGGATCTTCGCGGGACGGTTGGCGTCGATAAGACTTTGTTGGATTTTCGCGCTTTATTCGACGAGGACGAGGATGTAGATGCGACGATGCCGCACTTCTCGATGAACACGTCGTAAGCAGGCGCACCCGATTGCGACCCGACGGATTCTAACGCTTTCACCACGGAGTATCCCTCGACGACTTGTCCGAAGACGGTGTGTTTCCCGTTCAGAAACGGCGTCGCGACGGTGCACAAGAAAAATTGCGATCCGTTCGTGTTCGGTCCCGCGTTCGCCATGCTTAAAATCCCCGGCCCGTTGTGCGGTAACTCAAAGTTCTCGTCCGGGAAGTTTTTCCCGTAGATGGATTTCCCTCCCGTGCCGTTATCGTTGGTAAAATCGCCGCCTTGGCACATAAAGTTCGGTATCACTCGATGGAATCGACTTCCGCTGTACCCGAACCCTTTCTCTCCGGTGCATAACTGCTTAAAATTCTCCGCGGTTTTCGGGCACGAATCTTCTTTCAACTCGATGACGACGCGGCCTAACCGTTCGAATTGGCGATCGTTGGAGAGTTTTAAGTCGAAGTATACTTTCGTGTTTTTCTGTTTGAATGGTAACGAGTAGTATTTATGTCGTTATTGCGTTCGCGTAAACATAGATACAAAATGGATAAAACAAAACGGGATCGATGTGACGCAACATTACGTATATATATAATACTCATTAAACATACCTCGTTCACGGGTAAAGGAATCGCATACGGCACAGACTTTCCTTTCGCGAGCGCGACGACGTCTTCCACGGAAGGCCCGGAGCCAGGCATGGACATTGCGCCACCCATATTGAGTTTGAGTTTGTGTACACTTGAGATACGTTTTTCTTCACAAAGAAAAGTGAAGATATTTTCCCTAAAGTCAAAAGAAACATGAGCGGCAAAGGAGGCGCAAAGAAGAAGAAGAACAACAACAAAGATGATTCATCGCTTTCGTCTTCTGAATCCTCGAACATCAGAGCGAAAGAAAAGCTCGCACAAACCCTCAAGAACGCATCGAACGTGAAGTCGCAGAAGCAAATGTTTTTGGATTTGATTCTGAGCAAAGATTTCGAGTTCGTCTTGAACGATATCTTCCACACGTGCGCGGGGATCAGCGAACGGAACGTCGGCGGAAACGAGTCGGAAAAGCTCGACAGCGCGGAATTGAAAGTCGCCATCAAAGCTATATATGCGAAATTGGAAGATATGGCTGGAAAGGACATGAAACTGCCCAAGATTAAAGAACCAATAGACGATATTTTGCGCAGTTACGACGAGAACAACGACGGATATTTAGATAAGCGCGAGTTTCAAGGATTCGCGCGGACGTATTTTTCGCGAATGGAATGGCCGCTGTGGAAAACAGCCGCGAAAGGTGCAGCGAAAGGCGTCGGGTTTCATATGGGTGTTCAATTTATCGTCGCGCCAATCGTGGCTTTGTGTTCGCCGCTGATCTTCGCGTTCGTGCAACGCGAGATGAAAAAAATCACAGGGGAACAAATCGAAAACGTCAAGGATGAATTCTCGAAAAGGTTTCACGCTTTAAACGTGTTCGGGAAAGACGCGGACGGGGATGGGATCAACGACGACGTCGAACGCATCGAACGGAAACAGAAATGGCAAAAGCGGATGAAAAAATCGAGGGAGGTGGTCGCGACGACCGCCGTCGCCTCCGCCGCCGCGTGCGCGGGATTGCTGTAAGAAAAATAATACTCCAATGCTCGACTGACGACGACGCATGTCGTTTTACTCTGCCGCGAAAAGTAGCAGTAAAAACACCACCCTTCGTTTTAATACTAATATGAATAACTGCTGTTATGTACTATCAAAACGCAAAGAAACATGTGACATGTGACATTCGCGTATTTTTGTTTCGAAATGCGTCAAAACAAAGAGAGAGAGAAAAAGAGCGATAGCTTGTTCACAAAACACATGTCGACGAAGGAAGAACTCGTCGAAGAACAACTTCAATTGCAGCGAAAGAAAGACGTGTTCTACGAATCGAATTCATCGTCCTGCCCGAACGGGAAGTGCACGAACAAAGCGTGTGGTTTTTACGGATGCGTGTGCGGGGAAAAGTGTTCGTGCAATCGAATCGTAAACGAGGACGAAGAAGTCGTCACGTGCGATCCGTGTAAAGACGCGAACGCGAAGAAGAAACAAAAGGAAATCGCGTAATCGCGCAACAGATTTAATGATTGCGCTTCAAGTGAAGCGAAATAAAGACCGGTTTGAATTTGACGTCGATGCAAACGCAACGGTGGACGATGTGTTTTCTTCGATTGAGGAAAAGACAAACGCGTTGAAACGAACGATGAAATTGATCGTCAATGGGAAGACGCTCACCGCTTTTGACGACGGGAAGAAGATATTCGCAGAGGTGGTGAAGAAGAAAGGGAGTAAAGTCACGGCGATGCTGCTCGATGGGGCGCCGCTGGTAGGAGGAGGGGGATCGACTTCGGCGGGCGCCGCGATGGCGAGTTCCGTCGCCGAGAAGCGGAGAAGAGAAGCAAAGGAGAAAATGATGGCGCAGAAAGACGAGAGGGCGAAAGAAAGGAAGAGTAAAGGTGTGGAAAGTAGTTATAACGCAAATAATAAATCTTCCAACTGGGAGAAAACGGGCATTTGTTCCTCGCAAAATTCTGGATTAGACGCGTTGCCCACATCCGCTTTGGAAGCTTTACGTGAAAGCGCCAAAGTGAAAGTATTCGATTTTAGTTTGAATGCAATCGCACTCGTGCCAAACTCAATCATCACGTTGCCGGCGTTGCAAAATGTTACGCGCGTCTCTCTTTGCAACAATGCCATCGAGAGCGCGGGGATAGATTTCAAAGTTCTCTTCGAAAACTTGAGGTTTTTGAAGTATTTGGACTTGAGCAACAACAACTTGATCGGCGCGATGGATGTCGTCAACAGTCTCCCTTCAGAAGACGAAGATAAAGAAAAAAGCAAGAGGCCTCCGTTACAGTTGAAGATATCGAACAATAAGATAACGTCGTTCCCTTCGAGCTTTTTCAAATCGTGTCCTCCTTTAGAACGCTTCGACGCGAGTGGGAACCAAATTAGCGAATCTATCGAACACTACTTCGTCGGCAGCGAGACGACGCTCGCGCATATAAATCTGGCGAACAATTTTCGCATAAACGCGATTCCAAACGCGTTTAGAAACATGAAAAGTTTACAATCGCTCATTTTAGATGGGAATAAGATAGATAAAAAAGGCATACCTGCCGTAGTTTTACGCGAGTGCGACCGGCTCTCGGAACTGTCTTTGAAACAAAATCAAGTCACCATCGAAGAACTGCGTGAATTAGATGGATGGGACGCGTATAACGAAAGACGAGTGTCTCGAGCGGACAAGATTCTCGACGCGAAAACAATGCTAGGCGACGCCTCGTTCCGCGAAGGTGCGGATGCGGAGAGATACACGAGAGACTTTTAGTAGTATTTAGTCATAGAATATAATAGTTTCTTAAGTGTGTAATAGTAGTTTACAAGAAAATTGTTTCTAGCTTTTAGCGAGCGGCGACGTTGCCGCCTTCCGCCATCGCCTCTTCTTCTTCCTCCTCGAACATGTCTTCATCTTCATCGTCCTCGTCCATGGAAGAAGAAACAGAAGCTTCACCTGATAACAAACCCATTTTCGCCGCGATCGCTTCTCGCGTCAATCGAACAATCTCTTCGTATAAACCCTCCTTCTCTTTCGCGGCGAGTAAACTCTTCTCGCGACCTTGGCCCAACTGTTCGCCTTTGAAGGAATACCACGAGCCTTTCTTTTCAATGACGCCGGTGGATTCCGCGACGTCAAAAACGCACCCTTCGCTGGAAATACCTCTGCCAAACATCATGTCAAATTCGGCTACTTTATACGGCGGCGCGACTTTATTCTTGGCCACTTTTACTTTCACTCTCGTCCCGAGATCGTCCTCGCCGGCTTTGCCTTTGATGACTTCTTTTCTTCGAATGTCCAAACGCACCGAGGAGTAATATTTCAACGCGTTACCACCCGTGGTGACTTCCGGATTCCCGTAAATCACCCCAACTTTCGATCTGAGTTGATTCAAAAATAAAATCGTCGTGTTCGCTTTCGCCGCGTTTACGTTAATCTTCCTCAACGCTTGCGACATCAACCTCGCGTGCGCGCCGACTTGGACCATACCAATCTCGCCTTCGATTTCCGATCTCGGCACCAAAGCGGCGACAGAATCCACGCAAATCAAATCCACCGCGGCTGATCTGACCAACGTATCAACAACCTCCAACGCCATTTCCCCAGTTTCCGGTTGACAGACGACCAAATCGTCCACGTTCAACCCCAACCTCTTGGCGTAGTCCGGATCAAACGCGTGCTCGGCGTCGATCAGCGCCACCGTGCCGCCCAACTTTTGCATCTCCGCCATCGCGTGCATGGCTAACGTCGTCTTCCCAGAGGACTCTGGACCGTAAATTTCCACGATTCTGCCTCTCGGTAGTCCGCCTCCTAAGGCCATGTCTAACGTCATCGCCCCCGAGGGAAACGTCGCCACTTTCGCCTGTCCGGCGGAGCCGAGCTTCATGATGGACCCTTTCCCGAACGTGGAGTCGATTTCGCCCAGTACGCGTTCCAACGCTTTTTTCTGTAAGAGTTGTTTATTGAAAAGAGAAATAAAAGATGTAATAACACATGTCAGCGTTCGTTTGGTCTGCTCATAAACTCTCTCTCTCCCTCTCGAAGCGCTCGAATACATCACAGAAGGAATAGAAAGAATCGCGCTTTGGGGAAAAATATCTCGCAGAAGAGATCGTCTCGATTTGAAAACACGCGCGACATCGATGCATCATCATCGAGAGAGACATCCTGCTCAAAGCGCTCTTAAGAGCGTACCTTAGCTTGCGCGTTTTCTGGATCTAAACCCATGTTCGGTTCGCGCTCGGGAAGTTGTCCCTTCGGCGCTTTTCTCGCCCCGAACGCGAACGTTCGAACTTGCTCGCCTCTCACTCGTTGATCTTGTTTGTTGTTGTCACCGGCACTGGTGCGTCGAATCGACGGGGGTGCAGGCACCGCCGCGCGAGATAAAGACATCATCGTTCTCGTGCTCTTTCGAAAAGTCGAGGCAGCAGTCGCGTGCGTGTGAGTGCGAAACAGAGGGAACGAGGTGAAACGCTTCGTGATGGGACTGCTCTTTGTTGTTCGAAGGAAAATCGACATTCGACGAAAAGTGAGGATGATTTTTTGAATTTTGGCGGGAATTTACTTGAATAAGCAGTCAATAGTTTTAACAACAACAAGAACAACGCGCAATCAAATACGCCTAAATGTACAACACAAGGAAGGGTTATATGAAAAGTAAATAAGTTACATGTATATTTAAAAGTCAATGCGTGAATCTGCGTTCGCTACTCACGTCTCGTTCTCCTGGAGTTGCGCGAGTCTGTTTCTTCTTTCCATTAATTCGATTTGAAGATTTATCGTCTCGAGCTCCTGCCGCATACGTTGACGTTTAATGATGTGTTCCAAATCTCCGTCGTCTTCGTCATCAGCCTCTGACCTACTCCTTGTCGTCGTTCTCGTCGCGATTCTTGTATCTTCATCGTCACAATCGGGTCTTGGTAACGAGCTCGGCGGCTCCGTCGTCTGTGGAGTATGAACCGAACTGTTTCTCCTTTGCGACCACGGTTCACGGAATACGTCTGTATCGAAGTCTCTGGCGACTTGTTCTCTCACAAGAAAGCAGCACTCGAGCGAATACTGCCTCTTGTTATTACACGCCTTGCACTTCCAGTTCGCGTCGGGTTCTTCGTTAAGAAGTTCATCCCCCGCTCGCTTTCCCATTCGATTATGTTTCACGGAAAGGAACTCAGAGAAGCATCCATTTTCATTTTCGTCCTTAATCGGTTCGTAATACTGACGCAAAATCTTGTTCGCGGCCTTTTCCTTCTCGTTCATCATCGGAGAGTATTGCCACCACTTGTGCGTATTCGGAGGGTACTTATTTGGGTCACGAAGATGGTCGTAAAAGTCGAGCGCGTCCTGAGGCGCCTTGATTTTAGACGAGTTCAAGTTTTCTATTTGTAAACCGGCTGCCGATCGACATCTTGAGAGTGCCACGTAAACTTGCGCAGGAGCAAATACATTCGAAGCATCTACGGAACAAGAGTCCAACGACATACCTTGCGACTTGTGTACCGTAATCGCAAACGCCAATTTTATTGGAATTTGAAGACGAACGTTTTTTCCTAAACCCGAGGTATCAAACGAGAATTCCATCGGGAGTATCGGTATCGCTTCCTCGAAACCTTTGAATAAAACATACGGAATCTTTTGCTTCTTTTGAGCAGCGCGCTTGACCCAGTCGAGCTGCCTGTTAAGTAAATCGATATCATGTTTATTGGCATCCGGCTCTTTTTCGAGCTTTTCCACGTGCGACTTCATCGCCTCTTCATCAGGAATATCAAATTTTATAATCTTGCCGCGAGAACCATTTGCCAAACGTCGTGGCTCACCATCACTAGCAGTAGTTCCTGGGACAGAAGTGTTTAATAACATCATCACTTCACAGTCAACTTTGAGCTCGACGATTTCTTCCGCTCGAATTTCTTTTAAATACATCCAGTTGCCTTTCAAACTCTTACAATAGTCGTTGTATCGATTGTCGCTGATATCAACACACGGCTCTTCGCTGTCAATCGCTTTATAAATCTGCGCTTCAGTCTTGAGCTCGTTTAGTTTCAGAGTATTGAAAGCGTTCACATCTTTATTCTTGGAAAAGAGCTTCATTTCAAATCGTCGGATATCGTCACTTCCGATATTTCTCTGCGACTCAACGTATTCAACTATTTCATTTCCAGCTCGTTGTTCACCTCTTCGCACGCGAGACAACAAATTTGCAAATATCTCATCCTCCTGCCGAAACACTTTCTTTAGCTCGCAAAACGTGAACTCCAACATGTCCCACGTGAACGATTGAAAACACAATCCTCGATCTAACATCATCGCCGGACACACCGCTTTCAAACGCGAATTATTAACTCCCAACTTTGGGATTGGCTGAAGTTGGAGAAAATCGCCGAATACGACCACTTGCAGCCCACCAAACGGCTTTGTCGTGTTCTGGCGTATGATTCCAAAATGTTCGCTCAATCGATCGAACATTTCTCCACTCAACATTGAAATCTCGTCGATAAACAACACGTCGTACGCTTGTATAACTTCTCTTCGGGTCTCGTTGGCCTTTCCCTTGAGGCCGAGAAAGTGTATATTCTCGACAACTCCACATCCCGCCAGGGAGTGAATAGTCACACCGTCGATCGATTCGCTCGCAATTCCAGTCGTCGCGCACACCGCGACATTTTTCTTCTGCTCTTCCCGTAACTTTTGCACCGCGGTTTTCAAAAGCACCGTCTTCCCCGTACCTCCTGGGCCGTACACGTAGCAGTTCTTGCCATCGAGAATGTTTGAAATCGCGACGGATTGATCGTCCGAAAGCGTCGTCTCGTCGGGTAAAATCTCTTCTAGCAAAGACAAATGGAGGAATTGCTCGGTGAGCGCTTCCGGAGCCTCGATCGTCGTCATCGTAATACGCGTGTTGTATGCTTCGAGTTGAAACGAGAGGAGCGAGGGCGAGGAAAAACGAGCGCGCTCGTTTTAATTATGAGGAGATTTTGAATAAATTTTAAATAGCTGCCGATCTGCTGATTGCTTTGAAATCGGCAATTTGAGCACCCACGGTGTTGTTGTTGATGATGATGATGATAGTAGTAGGAGCAGTAGGAGTGATAGTCATAGTAAAAGGAGTAAAATGAGTAGTGGTAGAAACAAAGGATGTGAATACAACAACAAGAACACTAAAAGCAGTGGTGATATGACGAAAAGAAGAAAGCGAGCGCTCTTGGCGAAAAACTCTTTTTGTCGCTTTTCTCTCTTTCTTCTCTCTTTCTTCGTCTTCGTCTTCGTCTTCTTCATCGAGATCTTTTTATTACGGTTTGTAATACGTCGTGTTGACGAACGGCATCTTCTTCACGACTGCTTTCGTCTTTTTGCCTCTGGTTTCGACTTGCACTTCAGTGCCGGCTTTGGCCAACGCTTTCGGGACGTAACCCATGGCGATGTTTTTCCCCAACACCGGGGAAAAGCCGCCGCTGGAAATCTCGCCGACTTCCTTGCCGTCCATGTCTAAGATTTTGGAGTGTTGTCTCGCCGGCGCGCCTTTTTCCAAGAACTCAAACCCGACTCTTCTTTGCGGGACACCCTCTTCAATTTGCTTGCGGATTCTTTCGCCACCCGGAAAGGAAAACGTGTCTCTTCTCGCTTTACCGATGGTCCACGTCAAACCGGCTTCCGGCGGCGTCGTCTCTTCGCTCAAATCGTTGCCGTACAAGCACAAACCGGCTTCCAAACGCAAAGAATCTCTGGCGCCTAAACCACACAAACGAACGTTTGCGTCGCCGACCAAGTCTTCGACCAATTTCAACGTTCCCGGGACCGGGACGGAGATTTCAAAACCATCCTCGCCGGTGTAACCGGTTCTCGTCACCCAGCACGGTTGTCCGGACACCGTCATCTCTTTGAACATGCCAAAGTACAACTTGCTCAAATCCGCGTCGGTGAGCTTTTGCAACGTTTCCATCGCCTTCGGTCCTTGCAACGCGAACAAACTTCTGTCCGAGTGCTCGATGAATTTGCAATCGCCATCGAATTTCGCCAAGTGTTTGTTGATGTGCGCCTTGTCTTTATCCGCGCACCCGGCGTTCAAGACGACGTAAATCCACTCGTCGTTCACTTTCGTGACCACGGTATCGTCGATGATCCCACCGTCGTCGTTGGTCACCACGGATAAGGTCCCAGTCCCGTCGGCCAAACCTTTAACGTCCGCGACCGTAATCGATTCCACAAACTTCACCGCGTCCTTCCCTTTAAACGACGACCCGAGCATGTGGGACACGTCAAACAAACTCGCTTTCGTTCGGCAGTGTTGCGTCGCTTCCATGATGGAATCCTTGTACTGAATCGGCATCGAAAACCCGGCAAACTCGACCATTTTACCTCCGTGTTTCACGTGAAAATCATAGAGAACGGTCTTTTTCAAGTTCGAGTCGTCCGCGTAGTGTCTCTTTTGTTGCGAGCCGACGAGTGGATGATTACTCGTTCGTCCAATCGTCCCGACGATGCTTGAAGTGCTTTCTAAAGAAGCAGTATTAAATCGCGAACGCATCATCATCGCGGACGAGAGGCGTTTGGAGCATTGTCTCGTCGCCATTTTTACTTATTATTATTTACTTTTTTTAGTAGTAGTGCGTTGACTAAAGAGATGTGCAGAAGAGCGTTAGAAAAGTGATGATGATGATGATGATGATGACAAAATGATATCCAAAACGAGAAGACAGAAGTCTCAGTAAAGGTCCAGAGGGTGCCACCTCGACAAAAAAAAAATGAACTCACTTGTTATTTAGGGTTTTTTTAAATTTTTGGTCGTTAGAAAAAGTGTGTGTCCTTTCAAGGTTGTTAGAATTCAACAGAGTCTCCTTGAATTGCGGAAAAGAAGGTTTCGTAAGCTTTAAGAAGTGTGTTGTTGTTATTCGTATCACACACATCAAACAGCATAGGCGAAGTATACACACACAGACAACACACGTAATAACAGTATGTCTTCTTCATCTGAAGAGGAAAAAAGTAAGCCGGCGATATACGTGAACGGAAAACGATACGAGTTACGAGACGGCATCGGGGAAACCACTTTGCTGGAGTTTTTACGCGATGTACGTTTAACGGGGACGAAACTCGGGTGCGGCGAAGGCGGGTGCGGGGCGTGTACCGTCGTCGCGTCCTCAATCACGGGGTATGATAAAAAGACGGACCAATTTTCGTACGCGCACAAAGCGGTCAACGCGTGTTTAGCGCCGATATACGCGTTCGAAGGACACCACGTGATTACGATCGAAGGCCTCGGGAACGCGAGGGATGGCTTGCATCCAGTGCAGATGGCCATCGCGAACGCGCACGGGTCGCAGTGCGGGTTTTGTACACCCGGTTTTGTCATGTCCATGTACGCGTTGTTGTTAAACGCGCGAAGCAAGAATACCGCTGCTGAAAATGCGTTGATATCGCCGCACGACATCGAGGAGGCGTTGTCCGGGAACTTGTGCAGATGCACCGGATACAGGCCTATTTTGAAAGGATTCGTGGACGCGTTCGTGGAGAATAAGGTGTATTCGCAAGAAACTATCGATGGGGACGTATCGAACTCGTTTAAGAAATCCGTGAAAGTTTCAGACGGGACGGTGCCTATATGCGCGAGCACCGGGCAACCGTGCACGAACGGATGCGGCGGCGACGGTGAAAAGACTGATGAGAATGCGAGCAGCAGAAACGTCGAAAACGGAGCGAATGGTGGTACTACTAATGCTGCAATCAAAGAACCATTGTTTCCGATCGAATTAAAGCGACGCGCGAAAGCAGGAACCGGACCTTTAGCCGCGCTCGCGTTTCACGGCGGAGATGCGATTACAGATTCCGTGCACAACGACGGCGTGAAATGGCACCGACCGACGAGTTTGAAAGAGTTACTGGATTTGCGAGACGCATATCCTGGAAACGAGTCTAAGATTGTTTGCGGAAATACGGAAATTGGCGTTGAAATCAAGTTTAAAAAAGCTCTTTACCCGAGACGCATTCACGTTTCTGGAAATACGATCGAAGAACTCGATAGAATTAGCATGAATTACGACAACGGCGAAGCTGTTTTTGGAGCGGCTATTTCTCTGTCGGATTTGGAGCGCGCGTGTTGCGGCAAAGAAGCTTCTCAAGTGGAAAGATTCCGAGCTATTTCCAAACAATTGAAATGGTTCGCCGGGAGGCAAATTCGAAACGTCTCCACGCTCGGCGGTAACATCGTAACCGGGTCGCCGATTTCAGATTTGAACCCAATATGGTTAGCTTTAGACGCTATGTTTGTTGTGACGTCCAAGAAAGGCGGGGATCGATACGTGAAAGCGAGAGATTTCTTCTTAGCTTATAGGAAAGTCGATTTAAAACCAGACGAAATCTTAAAGCAAGTCGAATTGAAAGCGTTCAACGATACCGACTACACCGGAACTACCGCGGCGACGACTAAAGAGTATTTTCACGAGTACAAACAATCGCACAGGCGCGAGGACGATATCGCCATCGTCACGTGTGGCGCGCGAGCACTTTTTAACACGAGTACTGGTGAATGCTTAGATTTCTCTCTCGGTTTCGGAGGCTTGAGTTTCAAAACAATCTTCTGTTCACAGACAGCGAACGGGATGGTCGGGAAACACATGACGAAAGAAACGCTGGATTTTCTCATGAGCGCAATTGAGAAGGAATGTTTTGTGGACGAGAGCGCACCCGGAGGGATGTCCCAATATCGAATCACGCTCGCAAAATCCTTTGCGTTTAAGTTTTTCTTACACTGCGTGAGCGATTTGAGAACTGTCGTGGACAGTTCTTCTTCTTCTTCTATATACGAACTTCAACAAAACGAACTTTCCTCTCTCGGACGAAACGAGCGACAATCGGTGGTCTCTGGAGCGCAATATTTTACGAAAAAGCCAAACGGTGAAGTCGTTGGACAACCTCTGGCGCATAAATCCGCGCATATACAGGCGTCTGGAGAAGCAATCTATTGCGACGACGCCGCGAAACCTGAAGGGTGCGTGCACGCCGCTTTGGTTTTATCTACCATCGCGCACGGAAAGATTCTCTCGGTGGACAGCGCGCGCGCCGTGGAAAGTATCCCAGGCGTGCTCGGATACTTTTCCGCGAAAGATATTCCCAAAAATGGAACCAACATTATCGGCCCGATTGCACACGACGAGGAGATTTTTGCCACGGAATACGTCACGTGCGTTGGTCAAGTCATCGGTGTCGTCGTCGCGGAAACGAGAGCGTTGGCGTTGAGAGCCGCGGCTGCGGTGAAAATCGAATACGAGATTCTTGAACCGATTTTATCCATCGAAGACGCGATTGCGAAAAAATCATATTACACCGACGAAATGATTGGCATGCGAGGTTTTCTTGGACACGCTTTGCATTCCGGAAACGTCGACGATATTTTTGCAAACGAGGAAGAAAATATCAAAATCATCTCCGGATCAACGCGAGTCGGCGGTCAAGAACACTTCTACCTCGAACCGAACGCATGCGTCGTAGAAGTTACCGACAACGATGAGGTAGTCACGATTTCGTCCACGCAGTGTCCGATGAAACACCAAGCGTACATCGCGGACTGTTTAGGTTTCTCTCGAAATAAAGTCACGTGTAAGGCGAAACGTTTAGGCGGCGGTTTCGGAGGGAAAGAGTCGCGCTCGGGATTCATGAACGTCGCAATTGCTGTACCGGCGTACCATTTGCGTAGGCCAGTCTCCTTAGTTTTAGACCGCGATGTTGACATGCAAATCACCGGCCATCGGCACAGTTTCCGAGGCGACTGGAAGGTGGCTTTTGATGTGAAGAGTGAGAAGATACTCGCGCTGGATGTTAAAATTTACAACAATGCGGGTAATTCGCTCGATTTAAGTTCATCTGTTCTCGATAGGGCAATCTTGCACGTAGATTCCGCGTATAACATTCCAAACTTACGTGTTGAAGGTTACTGTTGCAAGACAAACTTACCTTCAAACACAGCGTTTCGAGGATTTGGTGGTCCGCAAGGTATCATGATTGGAGAATCTGTCTTGGACGACGTCGCGCGACATTTAAACGTCGCGCCTGATGCTTTGAGAGAAAACCATCTGTATCATGAAGGAGACCTCACGCATTTCGGACAAAAGCTTATCGACTGTCAAGTTCGTAGTTGCTGGGAAGAGTTGAAATGTAAGCGCGAAGCATCTTTTGCCGATCGAAGGAAAGCGGTTGAAACGTTCAATCAGACGAGTAAATTCAAAAAGAGAGGCTTCGCCGCGACGCCGGCCAAGTTCGGCATCGCATTTACCGCTTTGTTTTTGAATCAAGCTGGTGCACTCGTGAATGTCTATTTAGACGGTACCGCTGGTGTCTCTATTGGCGGTGTCGAAATGGGACAAGGTTTGTTTACGAAAGTGGCGCAAATCGCCGCGAAAAACTTGGGCGTTCGTTTCGAAGATGTTCACGTCCTCGAGACGAGCACGGAGAAAGTACCAAACGCATCACCGACAGCTGCTTCGGCGAGTTCGGACATGTACGGCGACGCCACCGAGGACGCGTGTTTGCAAATCATGGAACGCTTGAAACCAATTCGAGAGAAAATGGCTAAAGACGCGTCGTTTAAAGACATCGTCAACTCGGCCTATTTCCAACGCATCGATCTCTCCGCGCACGGTTGGCATGTCACGAAAAATCTAAACTGGGATTGGTCCGTAGGAAAAGGCGAACCGTTTAATTACTACACTTACGGTGCGGCGTGTTCAGAAGTCGAAGTCGATTGTTTGACTGGCGATGTGAACGTTTTGCGCACTGATATTGTCATGGATGTTGGCGATTCGATCAACCCGGCGTTGGATATTGGCCAAGTCGAAGGCGGGTTTGCGCAAGGTTTAGGTTGGATTTTATTGGAAGAGTTGAAGTACGGCGATTCGAAAAACGGACATAAATGGATTAAAGATGGCGTAAATTTCACGAGAGGACCAGGCACGTATAAAATTCCAACCGCCAACGACGTTCCGGAGGAGTTCAACGTCACTTTATTACACGATTCCAAGAATCCGCGAGCTGTGCAAAGTTCCAAAGCCGTCGGTGAACCACCATTTTTACTCGGGAACTCGGTATATTTCGCCGTGAAAGATGCGATATACTACGCGAGACAAGAAGATGAGAACGAGAAAAACGAAGGAGCGTTTAGTTTAGATTTACCGTGTACTCCAGAGCGCGTGCGTATCGCTTGCGGCAACGCGTTTGCCTACGGTAGTCGCGATTACAAGACGCGCATTACGATTTAGCAGCACATTTGAAAGTGTTTGTATGTATATAATATGTAATAGTAACGCATTCAGAAAGGAATCAATCATATTAATGATATGTGTGTGATAGTACAAGTCTCTTTTTTACAACACAATCAGAACAACTACAGTATGTCAAGTTCCTTAGTTAAAGCATCGAGGACTCCATAGCGCTCGTCAAACAAAGCAACTTTTCGCACTCTACCATGATTTCCTTTGCCGTCGGCCTCGATTCCGGATCTTTCGCCAACATCAACTTCAACAACGCCTTCATCTCTTCGCTGCAAGAAAACTCGCTTAAACCAAAATCCTCAAAGTTCTCATTCACTGACCGCCCATCTCTCAACGCTCGATACTTGTCGCCGTTCATCGGTAACGCTTCCCCCAACAACAACTCCAACGCCGTCGCGCCTAAACTCCACACGTCTGACTTTGCCAAGTTTGAAAAATCGTCATTTAACACTTCGTTGGCTAAGTATCTCTGATCACCGTCTATTTCTGAAGCGCCACCGATAAGCTTTCTCCGCTTCTCACCGCACGTCGACGTCGCGCGTCCCCAATCCCCTAGCTTGTAAATCTTTTTCTCCGATTCGAAAATATTATCCGGTTTCACATCCATGTGCGCGATGCGTTCCTCCGACTCGTGCGCGACCGATAACGCGTTAGCTACATCGCGAACGACTAACAAAACTTCGCCTTCGTCCTTAGTAAATTTGGCGTCCGGTCCGAATTTCACGGCGCCGCGTTCGCAAAGCTCCATTTGGATGTACAAATGGTCGTATTCCATCCACGAGGTGTAATATCGTACGATGTTTGGCGAATTCAAAGAAGATAAAGCCGCCATCGCGTGCACTTCTCTCAACGCGTCGTTTTTCTCGGATTCGCCGTATAACTTCTTCTCCGTGCGTTTGACCGCGTACATTTTGCCGTCCAATCGATGAACGACTCTGGAAACTTTCCCGAATCCGCCTTTGGCGATGAGTCCTAAATCCGCAAACTCGGATCGGAATCGAAGCATTTGCGCGTTCTCCTTTGCCTCATTATTGCTACCGTTGTTGTTATTGGTTATTCGTCTGCTATGCGCGGGTAATTCCTTCGCCTGTTCTTCGTCTCGTAAAAACGCGTTTCGCGATATCGGCGGCGATTGGAGCAACTTTTCCTTTTTCGTCGCGTTCGCGCTACCACCACCGCCACCTTGTTGTTGTTGTTGTTGTTGTTGTTGTTGTCTGTTTGGAATCGGTGGCACTTCGAACATGTTGTTGTGTGCATTTGCGCTATTTCTATTCCCGCCAGCGCCTTGCGAGTACTGCAAACACGCTTGCGGAAGACTTCCGGCTCTGCTAATCGTAAACGGCTGCGAGGACTCTCTCGGCGTCAACTGCATCTGTTGCGAAGACAGCTGCTGAAAGCGCAAACCAGAAGGACCAGAACTACCACCAGTTCCGTTGATGACGTCCAATGCACCTCGACTCGATTCGTTGTTGTTGTACATTTGCTGACTCACGTTCGGCGAATCTATGATACACCCCAACCTCGCTCTCTTGTGTCGCATCGGGCTCAACGCCACCGGCGAACGCATGCCAAACTGTTTCCCGTTCGTCGTGTTTTGTACAATCGAGCTAAAATACCCTTTACCATTCACGCCACCATTTTCTTTCCCGTCGCAACTATCGAACGGTTGTAACCCTTGCTGAGAGTCGTAGCCTCCTCCTCCTCCGCTATTCTTGTTCGTATTCGCGTACGCTATGTTCCCGACTAACTCAAACTGTTGATCCGCCGGCGTGCAATAATCCGCCACGTCAAAATCTTGCGAAAACGGTAACGGCGGAGGCTGTTGCGACGGTGCAAACCTCGGTTGGTTTCCAAACGCGCCCGGGTACCGATGGATGGATGGTTTCTGCGAAATTATCGGCGGATTTGGCGCTCCTTTTCCATGTCGCTGTTGCGAGTTTTCGTTGTTGGTGTTGGTGGTGTTGACAGCTTTCAACGCATCAAAATCATCATCATCAGCCTCTGTCGTGCCATGTTCTCGCAAACTCTTATTATTGGTGCCGCCATCTTCGTTATTAGTATTACTGCTAGTATTTATCCCAGTTTTCGAGAGTTGCCGAGATAACCCAGTCGTCGGCGTTTCCAAAACCGCTCGGGATTTCAGCTTTAACATTTGGTGCACGTTTTTCCCGTTGGCTGCTTGATTTTTGAATTTTTCCTCCCCCCTTTTGGATGAGATGAAGATGACGTGCTCGTCGTAAACGTGTTGTGCTTTCAAGAGAGTGAGAGAAAAGAAACAACACACACACACACACACGCACACAAGCAAAGACAAAAAGGGGACAGCCGACGCAAGAAGAACAACGACAAAAAGTAGCTTATTAACGCGTTCAAGTTCGTTCGTTTTGTGTCTCGTTTTTCTCTTCTGAATTTTTGTTCAAAATGGAGGTTTAGGGTTTTTTAACGATACCCTAAACAAGTTCGTTACGAACTGGACAACAGGAGTAAGACGTCAGAGAGAGAGTGAGAGAGAGAAAGAAAGATGAGAGAAGACAAATGAAAAGCACTTTCACCACCCAAAACACTTTCGTCTCTTTGAACTCGTCTTCGAATAAATCATGTTTTTGTGACGTAAGAATAATAAAAGCGGAAAAGCAACCTTTACGGGAAACGTCCCGAGACGTGAAGCGAACGGAATTCGCGCAAAGAGCGAAAACCTATTTCGGAGGAAGAATAGACCGTCGGTCGATACAAACGCAGAAAGTTTTAAATAAAGATGCTGTGCTCAAAGACGTGCACGTGATTTTATGCGAACCGAAAATCGCGTCCAATATTGGAGCCATCGCCAGGTCCATGTGTTCATTCGAATGCGAAAGCTTGTCGATTGTGAAACCGAGAGTGGAAGTGATTTCGAGAGCGAGCTTGAACGCGAGCAAAGGCGCGCAGCACATCGTGAGGAACGCGAGGGTATTTGAAAGTTTAGAGGAGTGTTTAAATGTGTTGGAAAGAGAAAACGAGGAGGAGGAAAAGGGCGAAGGAGAAGGAGGAAAAGGTTCGGTATTGCAAAGCGTCGCGTTCTCTCGGTGGATGGCGAAAGACGAGAACGAGAACGAGGAAAAGAACAACAACGACGGTGATCATCACCGAAGACAAAAACACTTCTTCGGCACGAAACAATTACTCGAAAACCACCCTCGATCGGTTGCGTTAGTTTTTGGAAGCGAATCTGACGGCCTTTCCGACGCTCAAGTCGCTCGAGTCGATTCCGTTTGCGAATACAAAATGGGACGTTTGATCGAATCGTTGAGCGTAACGCACGCGGCGGTGATTGCGCTCAACGCGTATTTTGAATCCAGGGTACTGAAAGAAGAGTAAACAAGAGAAAGAGAGAGTCGTTTTTCGTATGTACTAAGAATAATAATACTCGCAATGCGCCGCCCGCGAGGACGACTGTATTTTCATCAAAGCGTGAAGGCGAAAAGAGGACTGCTTGCAGCCCCTACAACAAAATATCTCCATTGTTTTTCACACATTTCACTCTCTCCTCCGCGCTGCTCAAACGATAAAAACAAAATGTCTTCCTTTGCCGGGGTTGCTCGCCGAAGAAAACAACAAACTGGCGCACAAAAAGATGAAACAGAGGTAAAGGAGGGGGAAAAAAGGCAGAGCAAAAGCGTCAAAGTCAAATGGGTTGCCGTTTTGTTTTGGACGATGATGTTTGCAATACTCGTACGGTTCAGAGGACGGAACGGCAGTTTTAGCGACGAAGGGAACGGCACGAATGAGAATAATAACAATGCGAAGGAAAACGAAGTGTTCACGAGAGAAGAGTTGGGAAAAAAGGCTCTCCATTTGAGTCTGTGCGGAGAAGTGTTCGACCTGTCAGGAGGAGGAAAAGGAAAAGGACAAGCAGACGCTTTTTACGGCGAAGGCAAAGAGTATCATTTTTTCATCGGTACCGATCAAACGAAAGGGTTTTTAACCGGGAAACGAGAAGAGAGTAACGTAGACGTGGATACACTCTCACACGGAGAAGTTCTGGAGCTGGAAAAGTGGGTTCGGTTTTACCGCGAAGGCGGTTCGAGAGGGACGTATCGAAAGCGCGGCGTATTAGGGGACGGGTGGTTTTACGACGAAAACGGGGATAAGACAGAACGAGGAAGGCGGTTTTGGGAGAGAGTCGAGGAAGCGAAACGAAGTCATTACGAGGATGACGGTAGTAGCAGTAGCAGCGATAGTAATAGCAGTCCTTCTTCGCCTCCTTTATGTCGCGCGGCGTGGACCGAGGAGAGGGGCGGCACCGTGTGGTGCGAAACGATAAAAGGCGCGGGGACGAAGACGACGAAAACCTATCCCAGACTCAACGCGAAAAATGGTGTGTGCGAGTGTTACGAGGACCAAGGGTACTCGGACTTACGAAAGCTGTACGAGAACTGCCTCCCGAAGAGCTCGAGGTGCTTCACCGGATAACATTTTAAATGAACAGTAGAATAGTACTCAATAGTCCTCACTAATTGTAATGGGAAAGAAGCGGAAACTCATCTGCTCAAACTGTCAAGCGCCGTTTAAGAAGACGACTGAAACGATTTCGATGATAATGAGCGCATCAATACCGTCATCATTTGTCGCTGCTGCTCCTCCTTCTTCTTCTCCTTCTTCTTCCTCATCAGTTCTGTGCAAAGCGTGTTCTCGTTCTCGAATTGGGGAAAGCGTGGGCGGGTCGCTGGTGCCGAAAACGTCGACGCAAAGCGGCGGTTTTGTAGCGACGATGCAGACGACGACGAGTAATAATAATAACAGCATTAACAACAATCGATTCGCCGCGTTGGCATCATCAGCATTGCCAAATTATCGCGTTGAAGCGAGTTTAGAAGACGAGGAAGCGAATAACAACGACAACGGTATTAAAAGAAGCACGAAGAAGAAGAAGAAGAAGAAGAAAGGAGGAGAACAGAACAAGGGCAATACTAATGCTTTGAAAATGAATGTGATGAAAGATGCAGAGTGTCGAGAAATTCTGGACGAGTTGGACGAACAGGTTGTGTTTATCGACTCGTACACGTCGGAAGCGTTTACGCAATGCGTGTTGGAATTGAAGCGAGCGAAAGTCATCGCGTACGATTGCGAAGGTGTTCGATTATCGAGAACGGGGAAGATAACGCTGTTACAAATAGCCATTCCGAAGAAGATCTTTTTAATCGACGTGATGACCATCGGTGGGAAGGAAGTATTCACCGACGGCGGTTTGAAAGATATCATCGAATCCGAGGAGATTTTGAAACTCGCGTACGACGTGAGAATGGACAGCGACGCTTTGTTCCATCAACACGACGTGGTTTTGAAAAATGTTTTAGACTTACAATTACTCGATATCGCCATTCGCCGCGCGGCTGGGGGAATAGTCGAACACCTCCCGTCCTTGTCGAAAACAGTCAGTCGACGGTTAACCAACGCGGAAATCCTCGTTTGCGAAGACTTGAAAAAACGCGTCAAAAACATGTACACCTCCGTCGAAGACGGCGACTTGTGGGCGCGAAGACCGCTCATCGACGACGCCAGAAGATACGCCGCTTTAGACGCCTGGGTGTTGATGAAGTTAGACCAAGCCATGCGTCCAAACGGGACCACCGCGCCACACTTATTCCCTGGATTCGACGAGAAATGGAACGAACGCGTCTTAAACGCCTCGCGAAAGCGCATAGACGAATACAAAGATAAAGAGATTCCAATAGAACAAGGCGGGAAGCGAACCGCGGAGATGACGCAAGCGCCTCCGTTTTAATAAAATACGAAGAATAACAACGCGAATGCGTTCTCGCGTAAAGTATGGTCATTTTTGCTTCATTTTTGCCTTCATTTTTCCTCAGAAAAGATAACACTTTCAGAACGAAGAAGAAGCGAGAACAACGACGAAAATGGGCACGGACGACCCGGCGTTCGACGCCATGCCTCGACGACGTAAACGACACTTTCACTGGAGGGGATTCTTTGAAAATGATCGTCGAGTTTCGTCGCGTGCGACACTCTTCTCACTCCTTCTCTTAACGCTACTCGTAATCGTCTTCTTTTCCTTCGCGTTGTTTTCCCCGTCGTCGGTACGCGAAATCGTCGGTTTCGATTTCGATTCAGGACCTGTTCTCAGCACCAGCGGGAGGAAAACGAAGAAGAGTGCGGACGTAAACGATGAAAAGAATAACGACGGAGTATTCGGCGGGCATTCGCTCGTCAAAGGCGAAGATTCGGTGGAAACGAAAGTTGAATTTTGGCCGAAACGTTTCGGAGACAAGAGAGAAAAAGTGTTTTGGAGAAGATTCGCCTTGGAGTCGATGTTTGAATATTCGGAGGATGTGAGACTTTTACCGAAACTGGCGATGCCGTATGGGCTGAACGCGACTGCGAGGGATATGGAGGAGGAGAAAAGACGAGAGAATTTATACGGAAGCGCAAAGAAGAAAGGGAAGAAAAGAGTCTCGAAAGACGCCGTCGATAAGATCACGAGGAAGGAGTACGAGAGGTTTATTTCCATGTACGGGAACGAGGGGCTGAAGTTAGCCGCGACGAGAGCGTTTCAGTTTCTTCAGCTCAGAGGGAGCACGAAAGACGACGAGGCGTTTGTGAATAAAGAGCAGTTTTTGGAGATGGTTTTAGAGGAAGTGGGCGAATCGTCGTCTCGCGGGATGGAGAGCGTAGTGAACGGAGGCGGAAGCTCGGCAATGAGTCGAGCGTTTCAGTTGACCAACGAGACGAGGCATTTGTTGCTGCAAAGAAACGAGAAGCGAGCGTCGAGGATTCCGGGCTGTGCGATTTCCTTGCACGCGGGTGATCACACGCACGTGAAGATTGACCGGTCGCAATCCCTACACTTTTCTGGAACGAAACACATGACCATAGAAGCGTGGGTTAAACCTCGCAAATCGAAAGATTTCGGTGGGACAATCATCGCTAAGTACAACAGAGGCGTGGTTGGACAGTTCTTCGTGCACGTTGAGCAAAATGGGGCGGTTTTTTTCCACCGCGAAGTTGCCCCGTTTGGTTTGCGTTCGAGCGTGCGTTTACCCGCGGACGATTGGTCGCACGTAGCGGTGACGTACGGCGGCGGGTATTCGAAAATGTTCATCAACGGGACTTTGAGAGGCGCGCAGGAAGAGAAAGGCCAAGGTTGGGACGCACAAAACCCGATCGTTATCGGTGCTATTCTCGACCACGGTAACGCGGCGTCCATCTTTAACGGCGACATCGACGAAGTTCGAATTTGGGGCGTCGACCGATCGCAAATAGATATTGAAAACAGCATGCACGGAAAATTACACGGCTTTGAGCGAGGATTGATGGGTTCCTGGTCGTTCGACGAGTGCGCGGGCTTAAAGACTCGAGACGTTCAAGGACGCCGAGACGCGCAGTTACACGGTGGACGATGGGTTCGAAGCTCGTTAGTGCTCTTCAGCCACGAAGACGAAGAACGCGCGAGGTGCGAACGCGAAACGCCCGGGAAGTGCTCGAAAGCGCACTTGGAAAAACGTAGAGAGTTTCAAAACGAAGAATATTGGCGCCGATCGATCGATGTTCTCGAAGCGCAAGCAAAACTGAATAAGGACATTGGCGAAGAGATGCCGAAAGTGCAACAACTTCTCGACCGAGTGAAGCGATTAGAGTTTCGAGATTATCGAAGAGGCGAGGTTATCGTCAACATCGAAAAGAGGAACCAAAATCACACGCAAGATTTATCGGATTTGCACAACGTTCTCAAGGCGCACGAAGAAGAAGTTCACGAGATGATGGAAGACAGCACGTCGAGAGGGAGGAGGAAGAAGAAGAAGAAGAAAGTCCATCTCTTCAACGCCTCGAAGGTATGCGACGATCCCGACGACCCGGAGTGTGACGACGATTGGGATTTCTTGGATCCGGTGGAAAAACTGCTTCGACAAATCGCCAACGCGACGAGACAAGACGTCGAACTTTCGAAGAAAATCAAACGCCGCGATCGTATGGCGAGAAAAAAACTGCGCGAAGAAGAGGAAACGAGAGATGTATTCAAAAGAGCGAGCATTCAAGCGGCCAAGGAAAGGAATGCGAAATTGAACGCGGCGGGCGGGAAACCGCTTTTAAAACGCAGACGCAAAGATTCGGACGTGTTGACCCAGAACGATTTAAAAATGCTCACCTACGAGAAACGCGAAGGGAACGCGGCAACGGGGATGGGAGATGTAAGTGGCGGGCAAGATTTCGAGGACGTCGTGGCTGGAACCATCTCGAGCGCTGGAAACGCCGTCGAGGTGGACGATTTGAACGACGACGAGGATTGGGTCTTCGACGACGAGAGCGACAACGAAATTTCGTTCGGCGACGACGATTCGAGCGGCGCGGAAGATGAAAATCCAGATGACGAAAAATCTGCGGTGAAGAACATTCTAAAACGCGTCGGTAAGCGAGGCAAAGAGATGAAAGAGCTGGAAAAACGAAAACGACGGGAACATAGGTTGAAAATGCTCCAAGATGCGAGCGAGGAACAGTTGGAGTTGGAAGCGGAAAACGAAGCCGAGAACATCGTCAAGAACTTATTCGGCATGCGAGAAATTCGAAAGAAATTAAAAGATCCGACGAATTCGTTGTCGGACGATTAGATTAGTATAGTTACTAGTACCATGGTACCAGGCAGTCAGTTGTGGTACCTAAATTATTGTATAATACTGTGTAAAGGCAGATAGATGAGTGGAATGTAGTTCTACGACGAGAGATAACGAGACTCCTCGTACGCGCAGTTTGCTTCTTTGCTTTTCATTTTGTGTGTTCTAGTAAGTACTATTTTCGACCACCAAAGACTTGCTTCTCGGTCGCTTTCGAAACGCCGTTCAACGGACTGCGCGTCACGAGCGATCCAATGCGAACCGTACACTCGCTCGCGGCTAAATCTACGCTCACGACTTCGGCTTCCGCGCCGCCGAGCATTTTTACGAGCACTTTATCTTTTGGCTTTGGGACGTATTCAGACGCGTTCCCGCCGTCGTCTTCGAGCGCAATCTCGCCTCGAGCGTTCATGTAAAATCCTTCCGGAAAGGTTTCTTTGACTATTTCTTCAACTTCTTCGAGCGTAGCGGCTGTTTCACACCTCGATTTTGCCTCTTCGATAGACTGCGCGGATTGAAACTCAAATCTTTCCTTTGAGATGTTCACTCGCTCTCGCAAAAAGTTCGTCTCTCGAAAAACTTTTGTTTTCAATTGTTGCGCGCGCTCAAAATTTTCCGTGGCTTGCGTAAACCGTAAGCGTTGTTCTTCGCGTTCCAATCGAAGACTGTCCGCAAGATTTGCATCTTCGTCTTCTTCGTCTAAACTTGCATCCGAGTTTTGTTCACGTTTCTTCGTGTTGCGCATTTCCAGTTCCATCATTCTCGCATGCGCCTGCGTCGCCTCCTCCAATAAATCGCCGTCTAATCCTAAACCGCGCGAAATAGACAACGCGTTAGAATCTTCCGTTTCACCCCAAACTAGTTCGTACGTCGGTCGGTTATTTTCCACGTCGAATCGAACGGCTGCTACTCTGAATTGGTTGTCGTTATCGTCGACCGCGAGTGCAAACTGTTTTACTTCTTCAAAGTGCGAGGTCAACACGAGCAGTTTCGACTTCTTCGCGACGGCTGAGGAGACGGCGACTGCTAACGCCGCACCTTCGCGAGGATCGGTTCCTGAACCCGGTTCGTCGAGTAAAACCAAAGAATCTTCCGTGGAGGATTCTAAAATGCGTTTCAATCGTCGAATGTGCGCCCCAAACGTGGATAATCCACCATCGCCAAGTTGCAAAGTTTGCGAATCCCCCAAATCGCACGCGACCGTTCTCACGAATGGTAAAATTTGCTGTCCGTGTTCAGAGCTCTCACCGCCACAAGGTAAATACATTCCTGCCCTCGCCATGAGCACGAGGATTCCTAACGTTTTCAACGAAGCCGTTTTACCACCAGTATTTGGACCGGTGATGGCAACAGCCGTGGCTTCCGCGTCGATGTGAAAGTTGATTGGCACGATTTTCGATCGGCAATCGAATCGAGTGCGTCCTTGTTTGCTATCGATTTCTTCTTCGGCATTCTCGTCGTAGAAACTCCCCGGTGCGAGTTTCTCCCACGCTTTTTGTTTATCGTTCTCGTCGTCGTCGTCGCCTAAGAAGTTTGGGAGCTTTGGTAGATATTTTTCCAACAGGAGAGGATGTTGCGCGTTGGTGATTGACACTTTCTTTTCCGAAGACGAAGAAGCTGACGAATCCATGAAAACGGGTCTCGACCCGCTCATCCATTTCGCGTGTCTCGCTTTCGCGTTCGCTAAATCCGCGGTCGTCATTCCAACCTCCAGCGCTTCTTGAATCACATCGGCTACTTCTTTCAACTCGCTCGTCAACCGTTTTAAAATGACTTCAATTTCCATCTCTTCCAACTCTTTCAATTCGCTGAGAAAGTTATTCAACGCGATAACTTCTTCTGGTTCTTTAAATACAGTCGCACCAGAATCCGACGTCGCGAGTACGATACCCTTTAGCTGACCAGCCGATCCTAGCTTCATGGGAATACACTCGCGACCTAATCTCGTCACGATCTGCGCCCGCTCCGCAAACTTCTTCTGCGCCATCTCGTTGGCGATATCGTTCAACGTCTTCCTCAACGTCTTCGCCGTGGACGATAAGTTCGACCTAATCTGCGCTAAATCTTCCGAAGCGTCGTTTCGTATCGCACCGGACGAAATATCTACGTTTATACACCGTTCAATCTCCTTCCTCATCGCGTGCACTTTCTCGTCGTCGCGACACGCTCGTAAGCTTTCCGTAGCTTTCCGCAACGCCTTCACATCATCATCATCATCGTCTGCGCCACTCGCATCATCGTCTATATATATTTCATCGCACACCTTTTCCATAGCTACCAGAGTCGTGTACACGTCCACGAAACTCCCCGCGCTGAGCGTCTGCCCTTTCTTCGCGCCTTCCAAAAACATCCGCGCGTCTTTACATCCTTCGAAACAGCCGTCCAAATATCCATAATCTCTTCGTCTGTTTCTTATCGACTTTGACGACGACGACACAGACGCATCATCATCAGCACCATCACCCGAACGTAAACGGCGACGAGAAAGAAGCTTTAAAATCCCGCTCGTCACTCGCATTTCTTCTTCGCATTCCTCGCGCGTGTTTTTCAAAGCCAAGGAGACACATTTTTGTCGTCCGAGAGTGGTTTCGCAAAATTTCGCAACGGTTCGGGAGACCAAGTGCCATTGGAGCACGGATAACGCTTCTCGGTGGAGCTGTCGTGCGATGTCGTCGTCGTTCGTTGGGGTGTCTTCTATTTCTCCTTCTGTTTTCTGTTCCTCCTCATCACGCGTCAACGCCGAGTTTTGCGTCGTCGTCCTGTTCTTTCCTCTGACGTGACGGCGACTTTTACGCGTCATTTCCCGAACGAAGAAGCGCGCAAAATGTTCTCGCCGCTTTCGATGGTGGTTACGGCACACACTTTCCGCCGCCGTCGTCCTCGTCCAGAGAGACGAGGAGGAGGAAAAGGTCATGTTTTTTTATTCGCGCGTAGGGAGAACAAAGTCAGAAGTGAAGATGTGACGAAAGAATTTTGGATAAAATGTGTCTGTGCAGCAACGAGATCGAGTTGAAAGGGACGAAGCGTTTACGAAAGAGCGCGACGCGTGTTTTATTTCATTAATTTACATCCTACATCGGCGGCCATCGAACCACACGGCCCTCGATCTGGGCAAGACGCCACCGTCTGAACCGTCGTCTTTGGTATGGAACGTTTCCGCGTATTTTACCGCCCTTTGACAACTGGCGAAATCGACCAGACGCGTCGACTTGTTTACTAAACCAATCGATTTTTGGGCGGATTTTCTTTCACGAGTGCGCGTGTATAATCGAGCGACGTCGACGCCTCCGAGCATTTTGTATTCTTTCATTGCTTTTTCAATCTTGTTGTTTTCGCCCCAATTCGAGTTTGAAGACGCTTTGAAGGCTCGCGCGACGGATTTTTTGTCCGCGGAGGACACCGCGTCGGATTCGGAGTCGACCGAATAGACGTACTCGGACGAATGCGCTTCTTTTTCCTCAGTTGGAGAGGACGTAGAGGCGACAGATGTCGTCGCGGCAACGGCATTCACGGAACCAAACGGTCGCGGTTCGTCTCGAACTTTCTCGGCATTCGGCGTCGTCGTCGCGGATTCGTAAAAGCTTCCGTTGCGTCGATTACCGCCCGTCGCTTCCTTCGTCGGCGTGACCATCAAGGAAGAGCCGCCGGATAAAGGCTCGTCGTCGTAATCGAAATCTTCGGCTTCGTAATCTGGAACGTAGTCTTCGTCGGCGTCTCTCGATTCATCTGGCCACGGCGAGGCGACCGTGGCTGGGTATAAAACCTGGTCGCCCAAAGCGCCCGGCGTCTGTTGCGTCGTCGCCGAGGAAGATTTGTGGTTTTCTTCTTCTTCACCAGCCGCCGAGGACTTCTTATTCGCGGAAATGTTCACCGGCGAAAGAAACGACGCAAAGAAACCCCCGACGTTTTCGTTGTTGTTTTGCGATATATTAGACGACTCACCCAGAGGTGCTTTCTTATCTTTGACTAGAAGCTCGTCTTCTTCTTCTTTCATCTTTTCTTCGGCGTCGCCTTCGGTTTCGAACAAGCCAGTCGAGCGCAACAAGTTCATCGGCCACGAAGATGCTTCGTTATTATTTTCGTCCGTTTTATTCTCAACGTCAGTCACAACTTCTTCAACCGTAGTACTATTACTCTCTTTCTTTCCGCCGCTACTTTTAGCGCATATCGCGCGAATCTTTGCCAACGAACTCCCGCTCGTAATACCGCAATTTTCCAACTGTTCGTCGTTGAAAGCGTACACTCTCGTGCCGTCTCTCTTCTCGTACAAAGGTCTCGCACACACCGAACTCTTCTTCGGACGAGCAAACGATAACATCGTCAACGCAAAACCAAACCCTTCGTTCGCTTGCGCCGCAACTCGAACAGACGTACTCGTTTCCACCGCGGCTAAATCGATCGCCGCGGTATCCGAAGACACGCCCATCAATCGAGCGTTGAGACCAGAATCGAACAAGTTTGTAATTAGAGCATCGCACGGCACCGCGTACACGCTGTACACGACCGCATCTCTCTCATCGTTCGTTAAAACAACCACTGGGGCGATATCATTTTCATCGTACACATCATCATCATCTTCTTCTTTCTTCTGTTTTAATAAAGTATCATCTTCGTCAACATCCTCGTCGTCGTCCGCTTTCACGTCAAAGTGCAACCCGCACCCTCTCACCAACGCGTACCCGACAAAAACCGCCTCCCTACCATCCTCACTATTCAACATCTCGCGATTTTTGTACCCTTCTTGATACGTCCCCGTCACGCACACCAATCGGAAATTCTCTTCTTCATATCTTTGCCTCCTTTTCCCATCGTTGCGCTTTGCGTTGACCTTTCGTCCAAAAACTCCTCCTTTTTTATTCTCCTTTGCACCATCACCATCATCAGCACGCAGAGTATTCAAAATCTGTCTCGAGACCAGCGAGACGAGCACGGATTGCACGATGTCTTTCACCATCGGACCGAATACGACGAGTGGTGGTGCGTTTATGGGAGGTTTAAACGCCGCGTTCTTCTTATTCGATCTCGTGATGACTCCATTTCCATTTCCATTTCCAATTTGAACTTCCAACGGGGAAGACATTTTTTTCCGATCTCGAACCGCTCTCAAAGTTGCGATGGCCGCGAACCCGGGCAAAGAAACGATCGGCGCGCACGCGAACTGCGCGAACGCACTCAATAAGTCGATCATCCCGTTGTTAGAATTATTATTGGTGTTGTTGCTGTTGTTTCCTGTCATTCTTTTACGCGTGTCCAAAGAAGTGTTTTGTGGGGATTTTTGTGCGCACTTTCCCCTTTCGCAAGATTGGAGTCTGTCTGTATCGCGCGGCGCCGCGACGATACAGAGAGCGACCGAGGGGAATGTGCCCGTCGTTTACGTCGTCCTTGCTTCTGATCCACGCGCAAAAGATTTGAGTGCGTTTAGAGCGCGAGAGTAAAACGCAAGAAAAAGAGTCTCTCTCCCGACTCGTCTCGCGCTCGTCTCAAACGTCGTCTCGAGTCCCTCCTTAGTACCGTCCTTCGCGTCGCCGGCGACGCGCCGCCTCCGCGAACTCCTTTTGCTGTTGCCTCGCGCGTCTCGCCCCGGCCACGAACCCGTTCCTTTCGTTTTCTTCTTCTTCTTCTTTCGGGGTTGATCTTTTGTTTTCTTCTTCTTTCCTTCCTCGTGTTGTCTCGTTTGTTTCTGACTTCTGCTCTTCCTTAAACCCGAGTTCGTGGAGCGGTTGCTTCGCCATCAGTTCTTTCGCCATGCGACATTCGAGGTACGATTTGGATTCCATCTTACACTTGTTCGCGTCCGATTTTTGTTTCTGTTTTAACGTTTATATAGAGTCATCATTTTGAGCGCGTGAAAGACGAAGAGTTTAGTATGAGTGAGCGCGTGATACCATCGCGCGTACACATCGAACGCGAGAACATATGAGTCGTACCTGTAAACACTTCAAATACGTCTCCTTGAACGTCGCGCACTCGCCGAAATGGTCCAACGGGAAGGCGCCTTTTTCCGGGGCCAGAGGGTTCCCGGCGCGGAATTGCGGCGTTGACATAATGTAACGAGTGCGTAACAAACGACCTCCCGTCGCGAGCGTCTCGACTTCGTTTTCAGGTGCGTCTTCTGCGCGCTCTGCTTTTCCGCGCAACTTTGTTTGTTCGCTCTTTTGTCTTTCTCTCACGTTTTCCCGGGAAAAAGTGTCAAAAGTGTGACGCACATTCAAGGACGACTACTCGCACAAAAACGGAGTGATCTCTCCGACGCTTTCTCTCTCTTTTTGCGCGTTTGTGTTCTCGCTGTGCAGAATACACTCGTTTGCGTCTGGTCTTCTTTTTAGCAGATATATATACACACATTCACGCGCAAAGCGAAGCGTCTTCATCTTCATCGTCGAATCTTTACTCTGCGCTGTGCGTTGCTCTTTGGAGGAGGAAAACGGAGAACGTGTGCGACGCAGAACGGACGCGAAGAAGAAGACAAAGAAAATGAAAGAGGTGAGAGGTGAAAACGCCTCCGTGACATCGCTCTCCCAATCCTCTCCTCCGGTGGGGACATCGAACGACTCCCGAGGAGGAGGAAAAGGAGGAGTAAAGTCCGCAAAATTTGGCAGCCGCCAAGAGGAGAAAGGAGGGAGAAAAAAAGAGGTGAACGAAGAAGCCATGAAAGCGTTACGCTCGTGGGTGAAAGAATCCTTGGTGGATAGCAAAGAACGGAACGAACGAGGCGGGTATTACGAGTTATTGGACGCGTTTTCGTCTATTAACGAGAACAACGAGAATACCGGCGAGGAAGCAGTAGCGAAGAAAATAGACGAGAGCGTAGTGGCGTTGGTGGACGCGTTAGCCGAGCACGCGACGTACGTAGAATATAGAGCGCACGAACATTTATTGGAGCGCGTGACTTTAGAAAAGTGTTCGACGGTATCGTTGAGGACGTGTGATGACGCCTATTACGCGAGCGCGAGTCAGTTTTTAATCAACTTGGCGACGGTGAAAGGAGGGTCGTGCGTGCAATTCGCGATGAAGACGTTCGTGAAGGCATTTTTTGGCGACGAAAAGGAGGCGAAGAAAGAGGAGATGTTGCTGTTAGAGTCGCGCGGTGGAAACGACAGACATTATCGCATGAGTAGATTTAATAACAACAACAGCGTGTCTGGAGCGAACGAGGCGGCGAAGCATCGCGAGCGAGAGAACGTGGAGAACAGAAGAAGAGAGAGAGCGGTACATTCGGTGGTGCAGATATTGAAGTTGGTTCCTTTGAGCGTGAAAGTCTTTTCGCACGTTTTATTCGACATGTTCCCGCACAAAACGTGTTCGGCGATGGTATTAGCGGCGTATTTAGATTGCGCGTTCCGATGCGCGGAATCCGCTGAGTGCCGAGATACGGAGTTGGCGGATGACTTTTTGTGTTTGTGCGTTTCGAAAGCGTTGGAGATTGACGTGGAGATCAAGTGGGAAGACTTACAGCAAGGATTCGACGACGACGAGACTTCCGAGGAGGAGGAGGATGAAGAAGAAGATTCAGAAATGTTCGGGGAGGAAAACGGAGACGATCGCGATACGGATTCGCGCGAAAACGACGAAGAGGATATCTTTGAATTGGACGAATTCAACGCCGCGATTGACGACGCGAACATAAACAACGGGAAAGCGTCGTGGGAAAAAAATAACAGGAATAGGAGTAAGAAGAAACAGAATCATAACCACGGTAGGAATAGCAACGACAACAACATCAACAATATGGAAACGGATGAAGCCGCGCACGCTTTAGACGAGATGATGTTTCTCGTCCTCGAATATTTGCAAAAACGAATCGAGAGTGCGAATCAAATCATAGGAGCAGCAGCAACTGGAGATGAAAACTATCGCAACGCGAAGAAATCGATAGAACGGTTGCGAGAAGCGCTCGTGTCGAGGGCGTTTTTCACAACCTTGTTACCCGCGCCAAAATCCAAGTTTGCGCAATACATCGTATTTTATCTCTGTTCCATGGATTTCAACGATGGTGATCAACAAAACAGTGACGACGCGAATAAATCTTCGTGCGAACTTTTACGAGATGGATTAGTCGCTAAAATGCTCAATTCGAACGAGGCAAACTCGTTGCGATTGGCTGCTGCGGCGTATTTAGCCTCGTTCGTCGCGCGCGCAAAATTTCTCAGCGCAGAGTTCGTCGTAGAAACGTTGGAAACCGTATGCGGATGGCTCATGCGCAAAGTGCACGAGAATAACGTGAAAGCAATGTCAGAAGTCGAACTGAACGCGTTCGATAGTTGCTGTCAAGCAGTCATGTATATTCTCTGTTATCGATGCGACGAAATTGCGAATAACGACGAAAAAAGCAAGAAACGCTTACAAGCCTTGCCCTTGCGCGAAATTTTATACGCGCCAACGTTGGAGCCTTTACAATCGTGCTTGCCTTCGGTGGTGCACGAGTTTCTTAAGAATGCCTCGGCGGCAAATATTTTGGGGTTCACCGAAGATATGATCGACACGTTCTCGAAACAAACCGAAGAGCGGAAGAAGATTCAAGACGAGTTGCGCGATAAGGCGTACGTTCGGCACGACGTTTCGTTCGCCGCGAAAGCAATGGCTGCTGCCGTGGAGAAGACGAACAACACCAACAACGATGCCGTGGACAAGAGCGTGTTATATCACCAAGAGCGATCGCGACGACGTCCGCTGAAAATGTTTTTCCCGTTCGATCCGTACGTGTTGCGTAAATCCGCTCCTAAGTTAAACTTGGAAGAGTCGTACGTCGTTTGGCGAGGGAACGATTCGGATTCCGAGGACGATTCCGAGGAGGATTCGGACGATAACTCAGAATCAGAGTTGGCGTTATCATATTCCGAGGCCGATTCGAGCGAGGAGGAAGAGAACAGCGCGTCCATGGACGGGAGCGGCGAGTTTATCGGTCGACCCCAATCGAAGAGTTCGTTGAGCTCTGGCCATTTGAACAGAGTTCGCGCGAGAAGTTTAGGACGGTCGTTTAATTCGGCAAAGTTTGGAACGTCGCTGAACGCGCGTCCAAAGAAACAGCAAAATCGCTCGAGGGGTTTCAGTCCGAAGAATACGAACGGTGCTGGTCTTCCTACTGGTGCGCTCGCGACGCAAAAAGGCTTTCGAATGCCGATACCTTTGTCCAAGAGCCCTTCGCCTTCTAGGGGAGACGTGGTTGCGGGGTATCAAAGCTTTTCGCCTTTGCGCGGTAGCTTTGGAGGTGGATTCGTCAAAGCGCGTTCACCGAGTCCAAACAGACGTTCCTCTAGTCCAACAACAAATGCGTTAACGCGAGCAAAAGTTCCGCCGTCGAGCACGCTTTCAGCCGAGGTGAACAACCAAGCGAAAGGCGGCGGTCAGCAAAGACGCGCGAGTACGCGAAGCTCTTCCAAGAGGAAGAGTTGACGATACGCGCATAGAGTACTTGTTTTAGGTAAGGGAATAAAATGTATTATTAATAAAGGCATGCATTATTATATTATTAGCATGTATTAGTGTCTGTAGTATTATTGGCGTGTTTGCGTTGATAATATCGCTTCTTCGCATTCGCTTTCGCGTTTGTTTTTACTTCTTTCCGTTCTTTTTGTTGTTCGTCGCTTTCGCATTTTTATCCTCCTTCTTCGCCGCCTTCTTATTCCCACCAGCGAGCAACGTCAAACCAACGACGACGAGCACACCGATCAACGCTTTCGCGTCGCCGTTATCCGTCCCCGTCGTTGTCTTCTTCGGCGTCGGCGGAGCATCGCTGTTCTGCTTCTTCTTCGAAGAGCTGCTCTTCGTAACAACCGGTTGCGGCGGCGGCGCCGGTTCGTTCAACTTGTTAATTTGCATCAAGTTTTTCATGCACTCTTTGCTGTCCATATCTTCCACCTGGTCGAACAAAGACCCTTTCAACCCATCACTTCTGATGTTCACCTGTGGATCCTTACCCCACATCTCCAAAGTTTCTTTCGTGATGCCGTGTTGAATCAAGAGTTTGCCGTACGCTTGTTCGTCGACGGGTTCCCCGGTCCAATTCGCAATCTCCGCCAACGCCTCGAATGGCGACGCGGACGCGTGTACCCCGTTCTCCCCAGTCGTCGGTTTTCTCATCAGACCGTACTTCTTCCAGTTCTTAAACAATATGCCTCTCAAACTCGTCTCTGGCGCTTTCTTCGGATCCGTAGGGCCCAAAACTTTCGCTCTGAAGTCCTCCCACTTCAACGTCTCGTCGTCGAATTCCACGACGAACCATTTAATCTGTTTCCCTTTCTCAACAAACTGAGATCGCATGGACATAAAAAACGCGTTAAACACGTAAATGGACGTTCCATCTTCTTTCAGCATTTCCGCGCAATAAAATCCGCCGCCAAACTTCACCGATCGTTTCGCGAATCTCGAACGCTTCTCCAAGCCTAAAGCGTCCACGTTCAACTCTTTGCACGCATCCAAGGCGTTAAAACATACGTTCTTCTCCAAAGCTTCTTTCCACGAGATTCCAAACGTCTTCTGGAACACGTCTTCGGGAACGTTCAACTCGGATGGTTTCAGTAAAGTCGCTTTCGACGCGATCGCGTAGTAATGCGCGTCGATGAGTTTCCTCTTTTCGATGACGGACGAAGATATTTTCCCTTCTTTGATGACTTCACATCCGTTCTCTGTAAACGTCTCCACGAGTTTTTGTTTGTAGAGTAAATTGTTATCGTTTTTTGGCACGCACGCGTGCGGTTTGATGAACACGAACGCTCGTTGTTTCGTCATTATTATTCTTTTCTTCTTTGTTTTCTTTGTCTTCTTAACAGCGCAGAGATGTGACGCAGATTCATCGGTCAGATTGAGGTGCCTCTGTGACGGCGCTTTGTTGCTGAACCCTAATTCAATATGAGACCCTAAACACAAAAAATGTGCTGGAGTTTGTACGAACGAGAAGAAAAAGAAGAAAAAAACAACAAAATACGCGCAAGAATAAAAAATGCCAACGACGATGAAACAACGACGACGATTACGTGATGCGTTCTTTGTCGCGAGACTCGCGTTCTTTCTTTGCTTCGGCGGTTCTTTTTTGCAGACGACTTTTGTAGAAGCAGTGGTTGAAGTGGAGACGGGGGTGACTTCAGACGGCATTTTCGGGTGGAGCGCGAGCGTGGGTGTACTGTTCGATGATTTTATGTGCGACGTGATTAACCCTTTACTCGCACCGAACGAAAGGTTTACCGAGTGCGGAGGGACGTTCGCGGTGAATCCAAACGGTATCGGCTACGCCGAGGAAGGACAGTTCGTTCCAGGAACGAGAACGGTGGAAACGGAGCGAAGAGCGGAAACAACCAAAAGCGGGTTCGTCTTTGAAGAGGTGAGCTTGATCGAAGGCGAACAAGTTTCGACGCCGGTGTATACTGCGAATAACGCGGATGATGATTCGAACACGAACGATAACGACGAGATACCACCACGAGCCGGCGGCGCAAACGTCGACCCGCAAAGTTCGGACGAGAAGGAAAGAGCGGAAGAAGAAGAGGAAAAAGCGAGAATCGAAGCTGACTTAAAAGCGAAAGCCGAAGCTGAATTGAAAGCTGAATTGAAAGCTGAGTTAAAAGCTGAATTGAGAGCTGAGTTGAAAGCTGAAGCCAAAGCTAAAGCCGAAGCCGAAGCCAAAGCTAAAGCCGAAGCCGAAGCCGAAGCGGCGCGCGTAAAAGCGAAAGAGGAAGAAGAACGCTTCGACGACGACGACGACCAAAGTTATTCCTCCAACCAGACTTTTGAGGAAGAAGAAGAAGAAGCCCCGCAGAGAGGAGGAAAAGAACAAGACGAACCAGAAGAAAAGGAAGACAAAGTATCCTCAAACGAGGATACAGACGAACCTCTCGAAATTATCTGGCAGGCTTTGTAAAGATGCGATACCATGCTACTCCGCTACATGTACCCTAAACACACGTGTGACGCCACCTAAAGAAACTTCTTGCGTCACTTTTATACGCGCGCGCGCCGAGAGAATAGACACACACACAACCACGATGCAGAGTTCCATGCTCTCCTCCACCCGCCTCTCTCCTCCTCGTTTCAGCACATCCTTTTCTAAGAGAGGACAAAACATAACGCGTCGTCAGAACAAACACAATCTGAGAGTGTACGCGAAAGATTTCCCGAAACCGGAGCAAATCGACAAGACAGAAAACTATCGCATCGCGGGAGATTTGAGTAAACGATTCGCGGTACGTCGACCATTTTCAATGAGTGAGAGAATAATTCTCTCAGCGCGTTGCTCTTTCTCTTTTCTTTCGTTTCTCCGCCGACAACCACGCGTAAACGCAGTTATGGTGTCCCTTTTATTCCTCAGAGCGTGTTAAGACGTCAGCAGTTTTTAGTCCATTTTATCCAAACTTGAGAGGATTTTTGATGAGATTTTTTCCTCCAAAATGGAGGAAAACAGAGGAAAATTTTACGAGCGAGCTCGATGATGCGACAACTGCGACTGACTCCTTCTACTCTGCGCGGGCAAACGACGAACCTTTATTTGGCGAAACATTACTAACGCTCTCTTCTCTATCTTCTTCTCAACAACAACAGACGGATTTGAAAGCGTCGCCGGAACAAAAGAAAAAAGTTGTCATCGTCGGCGGCGGATTGTCCGGCTTGGCGTGCGGCAAGTACCTCGCCGAAGCCGGTCACGAACCGATCGTTTTGGAAGCGAGAGACGTGTTGGGTGGTAAAGTTTCCGCGTGGAAAGACAAAGATGGGGATTGGATTGAAACCGGGTTGCACATTTTCTTTGGCGCGTATCCGAACATGATGAACTTGTTCAGCGAGTTGGACATCGAAGATCGATTGCAATGGAAGGTGCACAAGATGATTTTCGCCATGCAGGAGTTGCCGGGGGAGTTTACGACGTTTGATTTCATCAAAGGTATCCCGGCGCCGTTGAACTTTGGGTTGGCAATTTTGTTGAACCAGAAGATGTTGACGTTGCCGGAAAAATTACAAACCGCGCCGCCGTTGTTGCCGATGTTGATTGAAGGTCAAGATTTTATCGATAAGCAAGACGAGTTATCGGTGACGGACTTTATGAGAAAGTATGGCATGCCGGAAAGAATCAACGAAGAGGTGTTCATTTCAATGGCTAAAGCTTTGGACTTCATCGACCCGGACAAGTTGTCCATGACGGTCGTGTTGACCGCGATGAACCGTTTCTTAAACGAGACGGACGGTTTGCAGATGGCATTTTTGGACGGTAATCAACCGGATCGTTTGTGCGAGCCGATGAAACAAAGTATAGAGAAAAACGGTGGTAAAGTGTTGATGAAGCAACGCGTGAAAGAGTGGGTTTTGAACGAGGACGATTCGGTGAAACACATCTTGATGGCGAACGGTGAAGTCATCGAAGCGGACGAGTTCATCTCGGCCGTACCGGTGGACGTCATGAAGAGAATGTGCCCGGAACCGTGGACGAAGATGCCATTTTTCCAACAAATGAAACAACTCGAAGGTATCCCAGTTATTAACATTCACTTGTGGTTTGATCGCAAGTTGCAAAACGTCGACCACTTGTGCTTTTCTCGATCGCCGTTATTGTCAGTCTACGCGGACATGTCTACCACGTGCAAAGAATATTACGACGAAGAAAAATCTATGATCGAATTAGTCTTTGCGCCGTGCTCGCCGATTGCCGGCGGTAAAACGAACTGGATCGCAAAATCGAACCAAGAAATCGTCGACGCCACCATGAAAGAACTCGAGCGTTTGTTTCCGTTGGAAATTGGGAAGAAAGCGCCGGATGGCGTCGGCGCGAAGTTGTTGAAACACGCCGTCGTGAAAACGCCGCGATCGGTGTACGCCGCCGTTCCGGGTAGAAATAAGTACCGACCGTCGCAAGAAACTCCGATCAAGAACTTCACGTTAGCCGGTGATTGGACGAGTCAGAAGTTCCTCGGATCTATGGAAGGTGCCGTGTTGGGTGGAAAGTTAGCCGCGGAAGTAGTTTCGGCCAAGGCGAAGGGCATGAAGACGGCTGGGTTGAAGAAGATCAACGACGACATCATGGCGGAAGCGAGTACTTTCTCCGGGCAAGGGTGGAAGAGACCGCAAAAGATGGAAGACGAGTCTCCGGTGGTTTTTGGCGCCGGTTACGTGTTAGAAGAAAACGACGAGCAACAGTTGATGACGATTGACCCGGAACAGTTGACAGAGATGGACGGTCGATCGCAAGCGACCAAGGACGCCGTTCAAGAAGCCGTCTTGAACCGAACGCGATAATAACATAACATGATTGTATACCCACTACAAAGCGTATATATATTGTAAAAAACACAGTTTAACTGAACATCTAAATCTATCTATCCTATCTACAATTTACATTTGACTACGTGGTTTATTTGTTTCCCTAGCTATTACTTTGCCTATTATTCGTACACGAGAAAGCCTCCGTTGCCGGCGTATTTGGCAATAAATAACTCCCCTTGGTAAGTTGGCTGAGAAAAAGCCACTCTATCTTTCTCCACTATTGTCGAAGAGCCAATCATGGAGGCGTCGCCGTAAAATCGTCGTCGACAATTTTCCAACAGGTTGTAAGAAACACCCGCGCGACGAAATTTTTTGTGTACCCAAAGCGCTCGAATTCCAACCGAATCTCTCGTTTGGGATGAAAGCTGTATCCGAGCACCTTTCTTCAACACCCCTCCGCCACGAACGTTATCATTCGCACTCGTTGTCGTCGTCGTCGTCACCGCCGCGGACGAATCGTTTCCACTCGGTGCCTTCTCATCCGCCTTTCCTCCCGCCCTCGTCGACGCAAACACCTCTCTTTGATTCGCCGCGACATCCTCGCAAAACGCCGCGCCGATGATTTTTCCTTCGTTCGCTTTCCCACCCGTGAAAGACACGCACACGAACGCAACAACGTGTAAATCCTTATTCTCTTCTTCTCCTCCTAGTACCCATTCTTCTACGGCCCCGATTTCTGTTTCAACTATCTTCGCAACCCGTTTCACTTTCGCCCACGCGTGTCGATCGCACCCTCCTTTCGTCACGCGATACACGCGACACTTTTCCGACTTTTCCGACGACGACGGCGCGTCTTTTCTTACAATCTCTACTTCCTGCCAATTCTGTTTCCTTTCATCGACCCAGAACGAGTTCGCCTTGTTTACGTTCACCGTCACGAACGCGTTATCTCTTTCCTCGAGAAACTTCGCGTGGTGCTTTCGATGTAACTCCTCGTCCGACGGTTCGCCTTTCGCAAACATCAACCCGCATATCGAACACGTCGCGTGCGCGAACGATTTTTGCCCCAGATCCAAGTACATCTGTTTATGTTTCGTCGTTTTTGTCTTCTTCTTCGAAAAGGGTTCATCGTCCGACGCGCGCGGCGTACAGCGAACCTTGCACCTCTTCTCCTCCTCCTCCTCGTCTGCCTTTTTCTCATCACCAACCTTCACTGCTTCTGTTGGTTGCATAAAACACCCTCCTTTCCGTTTCCTCCTCGTGAATGACACCAAGGACTTCAGAGGGGTTTCCTTCTGTCTCATTTCCGTTGTTTTCGTTGCAAAACCATCGTCGTCATCATCGAACGCATCAAACTCCGTTTCGTTGGTTGTTCCGTCGTCGACATTTGAAATCGCATCCAATCCAAACCTCGTCTTCTTCTTTACGATCACGTCGTCGGTTGTCTTCGTTTTTGTCGTCGCTTTTGCATTAACAAAAGCTGCTTTCGCTCGTTGTCGAAGGATGGCCCGCGCGATTGGGTTTCCGTCGAACATTCCTCTAGTATTAGGGTGTTCTTCTCCGCGTAGTCGAACACCTTTTGTGGAGAAACCAGTCGTCACAAATCTCATCTCTTTCGCGCTCTCTTATACGAGGAGTCGAGGACGTGTAAAGACGAACGCGAGACGACGAGAGGAAAAGGAGGAGCGAGCTTAACACATAACGACGAATTTCGACGACGATGAATATTGGCGCGGTAAAAAGACATACGAGAGAAGAAAAACGACCGATTCTTCTCTCCTTGCGCTTCATCTGTTTCCTCTCCGTGGTGGCCGTGTTCGCGCGAATTTCATCTTCTTCTCCTTCTTCTGTAGCACTCATCGGTAAAAGCACTAGCGCTTCCGAGGACGAAAATGACGATGTTAACACTCGAAACGACGACGAGGAGGCAGAGGACGAGGATGCACGTTTTCCCAGAAATGGCTTTCCGAGCGGCGCTCGTGAAAGAGGAAACGACGGAATGGTGAGAGAGACTTTGCTGAGAAAGTGTTCGAGGCAAAGACGATTCAGACGAGGAGGAAGAGAAGACGACGAGGAAGACGCGGACGACGAGGAGACGCAACGAGTAGGACAAGAACAAGAAAGAAGAGTGCAAAAATCGTGGATTTTCCAAACGAACGCGAAACGATTAGGCTACGTCCACATGGCGTCGATACACCCGGTGGCGACGAAGACGCGAGGAAAGGACGACGACGACGACGACGACGGGAAGAAGGTACTCCTCGCCGCGTGGCAAGGCGCGCACAAAGTGGAAGGCACGGACGACCAGAGTTTATTTGTGAGCAAAAGCGCGGACGGCGGCGCGACGTGGACGAAAGCGAGGGTGGTGCCCGGTAGAAAGTTTGGCGTTCGGTGGGCGCCGACGTTTTTTAGCAGCGGCAGTAGCGGCAGTAATAGTGGTGGTGGTGGTGGTGAGACGACGTATTTGTTTTACGCGGAGAGCGAGAAGTGTTGGCACTGCGAGAGCGGCGAGTGCGAGGATATCGTGAGGAAACGGAAAAACGGGTCCGAAGAAGAAGACGTGTCCGTGTACTGGGACGAGAGTAAAGAAGGCATCGTGTCGAAAGCAAAGAAAGCGGCGAGCGTAGGGCCGTGGTGGCGACCTGGCGGGAACATCAAGCGAGTCTCGATTCGGATAAACGACGACGAGGATAGGGATATCAACGACGACCCGTGGACGTTTGGCGAGGAAGAGACGATTCTGAGCGAAGAAACCATCCCGAAAGTTATCGGGAACCCTCCGTTAAAATTGAACAACGTCGTCCTTCTTCCATTTTGGAGAGAACATCCGAGAGCGGATGCCAAATGTCAACCTCGGAAAGCACCGGATTACGCCTCCGTGTTGCATTCTTTAGACGACGGCCTCTCGTTCCACGAGACAGACGCGAAAATCGAACACGTGAAGAATAAAATGAAAGACGGCAAACCGGATTGGCTCATCGAAGGGTCCATCGTTGGCCCGTTACGAGACGGTCGACTCGCGCAGTTCTTTCGAACGAGCCGAGGCGCGATATATGTCTCGCATTCCGCGGATAACGGCGAAAGTTGGGACACTCCACACGCGACCCCGTTACAAAACCCAAACTCGAAAGTCTCCGCAGTGTTGCTTCCAAACGGCGTCATCGTCGTCTGCCACAATGCGCACGCCTTCATGAAACACCCAAGAATAGGCGTCACGCGAGGTAAGCTCGCACTTTCCACCTCCTCCGACGACGGCAGAACCTGGAAAGAAGCCGTATTGTTCATCGAAGACTCCTTAGAGCCGGGAAAACACGTCCATTATCCAACCATGGTTCTCGACGGGTGCGATTTACGCATCTCCTATTCCGTTTCCGGCGAAGGCGTCAAGTTAGCCACGGTGAAGGATTGGGCCTCGTTGCACGAAATTGAAGGCATCGAAGACGTCGACGAACAGAGAATCGCGTATTATTAGAGATGGGTAGTAGTCGTAGTAGCAGTAGTAATAGCAGCAGCAGCGGCAGAGAGAAAAGATGCACACGTACGTGTACTCGTAGTCATACTTCTCCTTTATTTTTGTATTTTGTTCTTCTTCTTCTTCTTCCAAAAACTCGTACAAAATCCCGCACAAACAACAACGTAAAGAAGAAGACAAAGAAAATCTTTTTTATTAACAACAGGTGCGGCCAAAACGACAACATCATCAACAACAACAACATCAATATCGCATTTTAGTCGTCGTCGTCTTCTTCTTCGTTGTTTATCGTCGTTTATCGTCGCGAAGTTTCTTCGGGGTTTGAATCGATTTGATCCGAAGAATGCATTTTTCCCGCCGTTGTTTGGAGATTTGTTTCGAACGGGTTTTGATGGGTATGGTGGTGCGAGAGAAGCAAAGATCACGAGAGATCACCACCACGCTTATGTTACGCACGCATGCGGTACATTTTTTTCCGATGAGGAACCGTTATTATCAACTTTCGTTCTACCGAAGTAAAGCTGTTCTTCGTCGAACGGCTTTTGGGGAGTAACAATCACCTTGGAGAACTGAGGAAAAAAATGTCAACGCGTGACGCGCGCGCGGTGCGCTTCTTATGCATTCGCGTGGACTGTGTGGATGAGAGAGAGAAAGAGAATGAGAGAGAGAGAACGCGATCAGTGGGGTGTCTTTGGTTTCTTTCTTTCTCTCTTTTTCTCTCTCTCTCTCTCTTTCCTTCGCGGCGTTCGAGCGTATAAGTATTTCGTCTTTTGTTTTGTTTCGCACATCTCAGGGTATTCTCCGTACGCGTCGCGTTGATTCAAGTGCGCGAAAAAGAGCGTCCCAAACCCCTGCGTAGATGAAAGGACCCGGCGAGCGGAACGATTAGCTTTATCTCACATCGTTTCGTCTACCTTTGGCCGACGGGAATACGACATTTTATTTTCGTTTGCGACGCGTTGTCGTATTCTGATGATGATTCATGCGTTTGGAGACCTGATCGGAATTATAGTGTCGATAAGTGCAACTGAAACTGAAGAATAGGATTTCTCTTCGCGACGTCGTTCTATCTTTTTCGTTTGCTTTCCGCCGTTTTCCTCCTCCTAACCTTTGTATGCTTCTTCCTTCCCTCCATATCTTTATACAGCCAAACGCGCGTACGAGAGAGAACGAGGGGCCAAATCGAAGGAGCGCGGAGCGAGAGAGTATCACTATTCGTTGAGGAATTGAGGTGCACGAAGCGCACACATAAGAAGAGAAAGAGAAAGGAAGAAGTCGCCCCTTGGATTGTGAATTCATCGCACAGAGGGCAGCATCGAAACAAAAACAGATACACGCAGAAAGTAGAAAATTTATATCATAGAAGAATAGCGGAAGATGGGTCTCTTTTTCAGTCGCCTCTTCTCCATGTTTGGCGAGAAAGAAGCTCGAATTCTCGTTCTTGGATTGGATAACGCCGGCAAAACGACCATTCTCTACCGCCTCCAAGTCGGCACGGTCGTCTCCACCATCCCCACCATTGGTTTTAACGTCGAAACGGTCACCCACAACAACGTCAAATTCCAAGTCTGGGACCTCGGCGGTCAAACCTCCATCCGCCCGTACTGGCGATGTTACTACCCGAACACCCAAGCAATCGTCTACGTCGTCGACTCCGCCGACGCCGAACGTCTAGCCACAACGAAAGAAGAATTCCACGCCATCTTAGCCGAGGAGGAGTTGCGCGATGCCGCCGTTTTAGTCTACGCGAACAAACAAGATTTACCCGGCGCCTTGTCCGAAGCCGAAGTCAGCGAAGGTTTGGATTTGCACAACATTAAAACCAGACCTTGGGCGATATTCAAAACCTCCGCGATTACCGGCGACGGCTTGTGGGACGGCATGAATTGGTTGAGCTCCACTTTGCAGCAGCAAAAGTAACTTTAAGTTATCTTTATGTTAATGTGTGTCTATATAAAAATGTAATAAACTTACTACTAAGCGTTCGCTTGCGTCTAAAACTGCACAAAATTCGTCCGTTCTCGGAACGGTCATCATGCCTCCCACCGAAGAAGACAACGAAGATGATTGGGAAAAGGACGACGAAGAGGAGGAAGAACAATTAGAAGAGCAACAACAACGAGGAGACTTTGTCGAAGAAGGTCTTCGCCAGCGTCGGGTTTGGCGAGGAGAAGAAAACATCGACGCATTCAACGCGACGACGACGACGACGAGTGTTGACGACGACGCAAACGTAAACGTAAACGAGGACGACGAGTCCGGGAGGGAAGAAGAAGAAGAAGGAGGAGGAGGAGTAGAACACGTCAACGCGATAATGAATGGATTTCGCCTCGCCGTGGAAAGTTTCGAACGCAGCGGAAACGTCGCGGCGCTCGCAGAGTACACGGCACAGCTCCGAGAGAGCTTCCCAGCAGAACTCCGAGATGTACAGCAGCAGCAGCATTTACTGGAGCATGTACTCCCTGGCGACGCCGGGGAGCTTCGCGCGGGCATAACTCGCATGAGGGGAAATCTAAACGCTTTAAGTAGGCTGGTGCCATCAACGGACGCCCTCGGTTTGCAAGGAGGAGAGACGAGTGCAGGTATGAGTATGGACGATGGAGCTCGTCTGGCGTACGCTGAGGCGCAAGCGCTTATGCGGAACGCATCCCTTGTTCATCATCAGACTCTTCTAGCGAATACAGACGTTAGAGCGGGAGTGGGTGAGGAAGTGCCGCCTGTCGACAACGGGCTGCCGCTTGGCGCCGTGGAGAGTGATTTTGACGTGGAGCGCGCGGTTCACGCGGACGAAGACGAAAGATATATCGACGGGACAGGGAGAGATGAAGCAGTCAATCACGGAATCGTAGAAGACGCGGAAGAAGAAGCGGAAGAAGAAGCGGACGACGAGACTGTGAGAATATGGAAGCGATTCGACCAGCTCGTGGCGAAAGTAAAAATGCGACGTACGATTGCGTTTGGATTCGAGGAAGATGATGATGATGAAAGCGACATTGAAGATGAACCAACGACAAGTCGCGTTGAAGACAAGAAAATAGAAAGAGATCGAAAACTAAACGTGCCGAAGAACTGGAGAATGAGCGCAGACGGAATCGCGGTACCCGCAGAGCACAGAAGAGGATTGCGCTCTATTTTCATTCCCGGACGAGTTTGGTTCGGAACGATTTGGATTCCCGGGAGCGAGAAGAAATCGAGATACACGTTTCGCGTGTTGTTTTGGGACGAAGAGAGAGAACTTTTGGTGTGTTCGCACTCGGCGCAAGGAGACGAGCAGACGTTTTATTTGCACGCCGAAGAACAAGGTGAAGATAATGATAATTTGAAAATATCATTTCGCGATAACGAAACCTTTTGTGACGGACAAGTCTTTCCAAACGGCGTCATTCGAGGACAAGTTCGACAAATGATTCGAGGATATGAAGGGCACTACGAACCCGCCAACGAGACGCAAAACTTGTTTGAATTAAAAATAGCGAAATGGACGCCAATTCCAGATGTGGAGAGCGCGTTAGAGAAGCAGGTGAATTCGTTTAGGAGGTTGGGTCTGCCTTTTATGAGTGCGAAGGATGCGGTAGATTACGACGATCCTCGCCGTCGTGAGGATCTTCGAGGATCGAGGATCATCGAGGAGGAGGTGAAACGTACTACTATCGATGGCACTAGACCAATGAAACAGAACAGAAAGCTAGTCGATTTTTATCTCCAGCGTAAACGGTGGGCGATGTCGCGCGAAATTCTACCGAGTGTGAAAGACGCGCTGCTGCACGTTAAAAATGCGAGAGACTTTAAAAAGTACGAACAAATGAAAAGAAGTATGTTGGAGACGTTGGTCGGTTCAACGAGGCTCCTATCATTCCCGAAAGGTTTCTCGTGCTTTGAAAGCGACGTGGAAGAAATTGCAAAATGTCAAGATAACAGCCTTGGCGGTCACGTGTATTACGATGAGAACGAGATGAGTGATGCGGATAGCATTGCATTAGAAGAAGAACCCGAGTCAAATGCGATGATGTTTTTTAATACTTTCTACTCGGCGGACTTCGTGGATTACAAAGACAACGATCAAGCGCGAGTGCATCTTAGTCGTGCTGGGGTTTCTCTCACTTTCAAGCACGAAAAAGTACCCAGACAAGCCACGCGGGAGTACCACTGGTTCCAATTTTGGGAAGTTGCAAAATCTGAGTCCGAATTGTTATCCGCCAGCCTTCGCGAAACCGCGGCGGAACTTCAAAACGAAATATTTGCGACGCCGAGAGAGAAACTCATTGACCTGAGCAAACGCCACAGACTCAAACACAAAGCGCACGCCGACATGAGCGATAGAATCTGCACGCCGCAGGCGCTTGTTTGGCGCCTAGTCATGGACGCTAAATATCTCGCCTCCGAAAAATTTCCGCCGGAGTATCCCTTTCAAGTATTCGTCCGCGAGGCTATTCGAATGGGTATGTTTGCCCATAACGTCATGGAAGCCCGCATGATGCAAGCGTACAAACTCTTGGACGATAGTTTCAACGCGTACGCCAATCGTGTTCCGTTATCAGAGTTCGTCAACCGCGTCACTTCGTTCCAAGTGCCTGCGTCGATTGCACCCAGTGGTCGTCCAGTCACTCCAAGCACGCTCAAAAACGTTTGCGCCATTTGCCTGGTGGATTTCGAAGAAAACGACCGAGTGCTCACGCTGGAGTGCAATCACGTCTTCCACGAATCCTGCGCGAAAGAGTGGCTGTTCAAATCCTCGTTCCCATCGTGTCCAAACTGCAGAAAACGCGTCAACGACGGCGTCGGGGAATATCTCATGGCGTCATCGAATGAGGAAAGAGCAGAGTTGACGCTCCTCGTCGATTGCGATTACGTTCGCGAAAATTTCCTAACCACCGGATTCGTAGACGACGACGACGTAAACGACGACGAAGGTGAAGAAGAAGAAGAAGAAGACGAAGACGACTACGAGGAAGAAGATGCCGAAGATGAACAGGAAGAAGAACACCCGTACGATTGGGTGCAACGCGAGATGCGAGACGTGTACACACTCAGCGATTTAGAAGCGCAGCAGAGAGAAGAAGAAGAAGAAGAGGAAGAAGAAGACGCGTACGATTGGGCGCAACGCGAGATGCGAGACATGCAACACGTCAGCGAAGAAGCGCAGCAGAGAGAAGAAGAACAGGAAGGAGAGAATAGATACTTGTAAAATCCTAACTAAGTTATTAGCAGCGAGACCATCACAATTTTTCCTCATTTTTTTCTCTCTCGAAACATACAAGTAATGAACGAGGACGAGGACGACGAGGACATCGAAGACGTCGACGACGACGTCGAAGAAGAAGAGGAAGAAGAAGAGGACGAGGAGGAGGAAGAGGAAGACTCTGAGGAGGAGGAAGAAGAAGATTCGGAGGAAGAAGAAGAAGAAGAAGATTCCGACGACGACTTGAACGACGATTTGAACGACGGCACGCGAGGAAGAAGAAGGAGACGAGGAGGCCACGGAATAAACGTTCCAGGAACGGAACGGCGACATCGACATCCCGCAGAAGACGAGGAGGACGAGGACGAGGATGAGGGTGAGGTGGACGACGAGGAGGAAGACGACGAGACTGTTGGGAACAACAACAACAGAAGAGGTGGTGGTGGCGCGAATAACGAAGCGAACGGTACTCGAGAAGAAGACGGCGCGAACGACGTGCGAACGAACGAGGACCAACAACCTGCTGGCCGAGACGATACGAACGACGACGAAGCGCGGCAGCAACAGCAGCAGCAGCAACAACAACAGCAACAACAACAGCAACAACAACACGACGCGACGAACAATCAAGAAGGCGACGAAAGAGCGGATACGTTCCACGATAAAGCGTACGCGGCGAAACGGAACGTGCGAGAGATTGGCGACGAAGCGGTGTGGTCGGTGACGTCTTCGAAACCAGGCAATGGCGTCGAGTTGTTGCGGGACGGGAATTTGAAGACGTATTGGCAATCGGACGGCGCGCAGCCGCACTTTATTAATTGTCAGTTTCAAAAGAAAACGAACGTGTGCGAGGTGTCGATATATACGAATTATAAGCAAGACGAGAGTTACACGCCGAGTAAGATTGTCATTCGAGCCGGGAATAGCTACCGAGATTTGAAAGACGTCGCGACGAAAACGTTGAACGAACCGCACGGTTGGCAACGCGTCCGAACGACCAGGTTAGATAAAGAGAAATTGAAAGAAATACACGCGCAGTACGGATCGAAGAAACATTTGAAGAACAGTGGTTTAGAATATCTAGAAAAAGAGTCCTGCGAAGCTCCGATCAGAGCGTTCTTCATTCAAATATGCATCGTTCAAAACCACCAAAACGGTCGCGATACGCACGTGAGGCAGGTGCACGTGTACTCCCCAGCGGCGACGCCGGCTAGCGACGGGCCGAGAGCGCGGTTTCAGAGCAGCGAATACGCCAGGTACGCCGTAGTCAGATGAAAGAAAGAAATAGTTTTATAGTTGTTAGATAGTCCGTACTCAAGTCAGTCCGTCATTAAGTCTGTCGTTATTCTTTGTTTTCTGTCTTATTGTTGTTGTTTAGATGTACATATACGTTTGCTATTCTAGTAGTATGCTAACATTGTTCTCCGCGCTTCGTCTTCACGCTTCCCTTGGAACACTTTCCTTCTCTCTCCCGAAATCTCGTATCACGTGAATATTCCCGGGCACGGGAGGATTTCTCGCGTATTTCGACCCGCCGTACATGGTTGGAACGATGTACGGATCTGGGTGCGCGTACGAATCGAGCGTTTCGAAGCCTTCCTCGATTTTCTTCATCGCTTGCGATTGCGTTAACGAGCGATTGGATTCAAACTCCGAGCGGATTCGATCGCGTTCGGAGTAGAAAATGTCTCGCATGACGCACCAGGAGAGGCAGGTTTTCAACGAGTGACGGTAAAGCCTCAACGCTCGAGTTTTTGAAGACAAGTCTTTGAACAGCACAGAAGTCGCCGACATGAGTAGTATTCGTGTTCTCTTCTCTGTGTTCTCTCTCTTTTACTCTCTCGTGTGTGTGTGTCTGCGAAGGAACACAAACGCGAGGTTTTTTTATGAAGGAAACTGCTCCTTTGAAAAGAACCCAAAATGAGACAAAAACAGAGCGTTTGTAAATAAACGCAGTATGTTATCACAGTATGTTATCACAGTATGTTATACAATACGTTATTACATCATCACGTGGTACGAGTTCAAGTACCATTTTTCTCTACCACCACTACTACGAGTAGTACTACTCTACTTATTATACTATTCTTCGACTTTAACGGTGAACGCGTGCCAGCTGTTGTTATTCAACCCTCTGAGGTTCCATATGGCGGCGGCGCCTTCAGGTTGGGCGTTGTAGGAAGCATCGACGGCTTTGACGAGAACTTTGATCTCGTCCCCGGGTTTGAGTTTTGAAGCGTCGATTTCTAAGTCGTCGATTTCCCAGAACGTCCACGCCCAGGCTTTGGAAAGCGGTTGGTCGGCGCCTTCTTTGAGCGTTGCGGTTTGCCAAGATAAACCTTTGTTCGCGGAAACGTCGACTCTAATGATAGCTCGGCCGCCGCCGGACCAGGCGAAGCCTTTGGCGGAAGTTTGAACGACGGTTCTTTTCTCGCCGTCGTCGTTCTTTGATGTTGTCGCGAGACTCAGCGATATGTTTTCAGCTTCAGCGACGACGGATTGAATAGGCATTTCTTGCATTGTCGGAACGCTGTCGATGTTCAAGCCTTCGACGGAGGAATAACCGGGGCCAAATCCTTTATAAGCGATGCCTCGATTCCACGGACCGTCTGCTTCTTCGCTGCACAGCTTGATTTTCGAAAGCCATTTGACGTTTCGAACGCCGACGTGTCCTGGCACGATGACGCGCAGTGGATACCCGTGGTCTCGAGGAAGTTCTTCGCAATCGTTCATTTCGTACGCCAATAAAACATCCCCGAAAGGTGATAACGCTTTTTCTATTGGAATCGACGCGCGCATATCGTCCGCACCGTAGAAAATAACATGTTTTATACCCAAACGTTCGTAATTGTGTAAATTTATCCCGGCGTGAACTTCCAACACGTCCCGCAAGGAAGCGCCCGCAAATTTAGCCGTGGAAATGGCGCCCTCGCCCCATCCCGTGCCGCTGGATTTTTTAATCAAATCCAAGCCGCCTCGTCTGTTGCCGCCGCATTGGACGGTTGCCACGACCGTTTTCTTTTCGAAATCTTTCTTCAAATGCTCCAGATTAATAACAGCTTTCGTACGTAATAAATTCAAATTGTCTTGGGATTGTTCGCCGGAAACGATGGTGATTTCATGCGTCGCGGCGTCAATTATCGGCACCGGCGAATGATTTCGCACAAACCACAGAGACGAAGGCGTCAAATACTCTCGTCGTAGCAGCGAAAGTGGTGGCTCCATGTTTGCCGGTTTTGCGCTGTGACACTTCAACGCCGGGTGCCGTTCCGGATCGTTTTTGTAAGGATCCGTTTCATCGACGTCCACCTTCGGTTCCTTCTCTAAATCCAACTCGCCAATCTTCAACGTCTTCAACATCTCCATCGCGACGTCCGAGTTTACGTGCGCTTGGTACAGCCTCCAAAACGGTTCGATATCTTTTCCAGCCGCTAATAAGAGTAAATCTCTTCCACCTGGGTGGTTATCTAAGAAATCGGTCACGTCGTACACGTTTTCTTTATACGAACACCAAACTCGTTTCTCGATCGAGTCGTGCTCGGCGACGTCCAGCCGCGTGTACATTTTCACCGCTTTTGGAGCAGCAGTTCCTGCCACCGAAGCCGCTTCTGCTTTAGCCTCTTTAAAAAACATCCTCCTCCACGTATTCTTCTTCTTCTTCTTCTTAATCTTCCCGTCGTCGTCGTCTATGTTCTCCTTCATTTTTGTTTCTTCTTCTTCTTTTCCCTCCTCCTCCTTCTCTTCTTGTTGCTCAATCAGATACGCCGCGAGGGAGCCGATAACGAACGACCCAATCGCGGCAGACACGGCTTCGACGATCGACATTCGAGGGTTTGGTTTCTTCTTCTCCTTCTCGTTCGACTGCGACGAGGAAAAGCTCCTCGCTTTCGTCGTTCGCCATCTCTCCTCCTTTCCGCGGTTGTGATTTTTCCGTGTACTTCTCACATTTTCGCGCGACAAAAACGCATCGGACGACGACGACGACACATATTGCGACGACGACGACGCGAAAGAAAAAGAACGGCAAAGAATTCCTCCCCCCTTACTACTCCTTCGTTTCAAAGCGACGACTTCAGAGAAGAGCGAAGAAAGAACAAAGGAGCTTCTTTTCATCGCTCTTTTCGTCTCCCTTTTTTATCTCTTTTTTCTTAAGTGTCGTCGTCTCTTTATAAAAAATCTGTCAAAGGTCCAAAAATCGTGTCTTTTATTCCTTTTTCCGTCTGAAAACGTCTTTTCGTTTGAAAGAAGAAAAAAACTTTTCTGAAACTTTTTATTCACTTTTATAATTAGTATCTCTTCTTCTTCTTCTTCTTCTTCTTCTTCTTCTTCTTCTATCTTCCTCTTCGAGAGAAACGGGGTCGTCGAGAGAAACGATGAAGACGAGAGCGCAAAAAAGGCGGATTGGGGAGCGAGATTTGTGGAGTTTGATCGTGAAGTGCGACGATATTTGTTTCCAACACATTCTTCCGAGATTGAATTCGAATGACGTGAAATTCTTGTACGAGGTGAATACGGAGACGAGAAAGTTGATTAAGAGATCATCTCGGGAGGGTGATTTGAAAGAGGGGTTTAAGGTCAAAGAGATGTCGTCGATATCGACTTTGGAGTTTGCATGGGAGCATAAATCGTTGTGGTCGTATTTGTTTTTCCAAACTATTTTCTGCTGTCAAGTTGCTAAAACGAATAAACTCGAGTTGATCAAGTGGGCGCGAGAGGAGAAAAAGTGTAGGTGGGATGAATGGACGATTAATGCGGCCGCAGAACAAGGTAATCTGGAAATGGTAAAGTATTGCGTGGCAAATGAGTGTCCTATCGATGAGGAGGCGTGTGCATATACTGCCATTGACGGTCATCTCGAGTGCCTTAAATACTTACGCGAAGAAGTCAAAGCGCCTTGGGATTTGAATACTGCCGAATGTGCGGCTAAATATGGTCATCTCCACGTGCTCGAATATCTTGTTGAGCGTAAGTATGATAAATACAGCGAATATGCGTGTGAGCTTGCAGCCAGGAACGGCCACTTGGACTGTTTGAAGTACTTACACGAAACCGCCAAAGCGCCTTGGAACTTTCACGCCGTACGAAAAGCGCACGAGAACAACCAACCCGAATGTGTACAATACCTCCTCGACAATAACTGTCCTTTACCATTCGGTTGGAGATACGAAGATGGAACACTGCGCACACCCACCTCCTCATCATCGTAAAAAGTGTAATATTAAACAGAGAAAAAGAGAGAAACACAAACACAAACATTTACGCTTTCGCGCATAGTTCGAGCATATTTTCCTCTTTCCTCGGCTCCTCCTTTTCCTCTCTTTTTGGACCGCCGCCGGCAAAATCTCCTTCATTCTAAATCGCTTTTTGTGCACGCACTCGCTTGAACCGGCGAATAAAAATAATAATGGTTGAACTCGAGGAGGATGGCGGCGGATTCGAGAGCGCGAGAGAAGACAAAGAAGAAGAGCAAAAGGAGAAGAACACGACGAAGCGCACGAGGGAAATCCTGGACGTTTTCGTGCGGAACTTACCACATTCCACGACGGATGAGTCTCTGGAAAACGCGTTCTCGGAAATCGGTCTCGTTCGTCAAGCGTGGGTGGCGCGAGAGAAAGGCACGCATGTGCACAGAGGGTTCGGGTACGTGACGTTTTCGATGAAAGAAGACGTGGAGGAGGCTTTGAAACTGAACATGAAGATGGAAATCGAAGGGAGGAAGATTGGGATTTTACGGAGCAAAGAGAAGGAAAAGGTGGATTTTAAGGAGAGGAAACGTCTGAAGCGAGAGATGCGAGAGGAGAAGGGAGAAACGACAAAGGAAGATGAAGACGACGACAGGAAAGAGAAAGAAGAAGAGGAAGGTACGACGAAGGAGGACGAACCGAGGAAAAGGACGACGACGACGAAAGAGGAGCAGAAACAAAAGCGGATACGACAATCGAAAGGCGCGTCGGCTTCGACCGGGACAACGGCGGCGACGATGACTTCAGAGGAGAAGAAAACAGTCATCATCGCGGGTTTGAAAATTGGGGGTGAGATTAAAGGCGTGGAGGCGGCAAAAGTGATACATTTCTTTAGAACGGATAAACGATTGAAGAAAAGCGTGTCCGAAGAGACTGCGAAAGTCTTAGTAGAACGGTTCGAACAAATCTGTAAAGAGAAACCGGCGGATGACCAGACGTGTAAAAAATATAAAATCAGAGAGGATGGCGCCACTCGAGGCGTCGTTTTACTCAAACTTAAGCGCGAGGAGGACGTGAAAACAGTCGTCGAGCGCATGCATAAGTTAAAATTTGAGGAAACGAAAAAAGACAAACAGCAAAAAAAGGTCAACTTTGAAAAGCGAGCGAAAGGCGAACGCGACTCCGGCGACGCGAACGCAGACAGCGACTCGTTGTGGTCACGCGCGTTAGTCGGTGAAGGCGCGAATCCGAAGAAACACAGAGTGATTTTACGGAACTTGGCCTTCCACGCGACCGAGAAACAAATACGAGATTCAATCGCTAAGAACGTTTCCGAGACTGCATTCGTCTGGGACGTCTCCATCCCAATCGATCAAACGACAAAGAAAATGCGCGGGTTCGCTTTTGTAGCTTTCATTACCGCAAAAGATGCGGTCTCGTGCGTGGAAAAAATGAACGGACAGAAAGTTGCGGGACGCGTCGTAGCTGTCGATGTTGCGCTCTCGAAGAGGCAAGAGAAGGAGAGTCAAGTTTTAGCGGCGTCGCAAACACCAAAAGTGAATGATGACAATCATGACGATGGCAACGAAGAAGAAGAAGAAGATGATGATGATGACGGCGACGACGACGATGAAAATAACAACGACGATTCTTCGTCTGGCCATGGCAGCTCTTCTTCTTCTTCTTCTTCTTCTTCTTCTTCTTCATCTTCCTCCTCCTCGTCCGATGATGAAAAAGAAAGCGATTCGGAATCAGAATCGGAAGAAAAGATGCCGGACAGATTTAACAAAGAAAACAAACCGTCGAACCAGCAACCACCGAACCGAACTATCTTCATTCGGAACCTTCCTTTAGATGCGACCAAAGAACAACTAGAGGCAAAGTTGAAACAGTTTGGAAGAATCAAATCGTGTCGAATCGTGTACGAGAAAATTACCAACCGGTCGAAGGGCGTCGCGTTTTGTGATTTCTGGGACGAAGCTTCCGCGAAAAAGTGCGTCGACAGATGCGGCGACTTGGAGACTACGATTACCGCACAAGAAATGAAAAGCAATAAAAAGGGAGCGAAAATAGCCGCCATGACAGCCTCGAGAAGAACACCTTTACTCGTGGCTGGACGACCGGTGAGCATAGCGCTAGCGGTGTCCAAAGAAGATGCGGCAAAGATGATGCAAAAGGAAACGACGCATTGGAAGAGCAACATGAATAAAGAAGAACGAGACAAACGGAACTTATATTTAGCAAAGGAAGGACAGGTGCACGAAAACTCGCCCGCCGCGATTGGCGTTTCGAAATCAGATATGGAAAAGAGAAAACGCGGCGACGCCGAACGACAAGCGCGATTGAAAAATCCAAACTATTTCATCTCAAAAACAAGATTATCCGTGAGAAATGTCCCCGCTGACTTTGACTCAAAACTGTTGAAGCGTGCGTTCTTGGATGCGACGCAAAAGCGAGCTTCGAAGAATACGACGCCGAAGATTGTCAATTGCAAATTACTCGTCGATACCTCGAAAGGTAAAGCTGGAACGACCGATGTCGAAACTGGAATTCAGAAGCATAAAGGTATTGGTTTCGTTGAGTTCGATACCCACGAAGAAGCGATGACGGCACTGAGAGCAATGAACAACAATCCAGAAGTGTTTTCAAAGCAGAAGCGACCGATTGTTGAGTTTGCGGTGGAAGACGCTCGTGCGGTGAAGAAATTAGAAAAGAGGAAATCCGATCGCGAGTTACAAAAGAAACGTAATAAATATGAGAACGGAACACGCGACAACGAAGGCGACGAAGACGAGAACGATGAAGCTCACCCACCTAAACGGAACAAAAACAGCATCGAAGGCCGGACGTTCCCATCCGAGCGCGTGGCGAAGAAAGTGCACAGAAATTTGGACCGAAAAAAGTTGAGAAACGAGCAGCGCAAAAAGGCGCGAAACGGCGAAGACGAGGGTGCACCGACGACTACAAACACTGAAATCACGGACAAGTTTAAGAAACGCAAACAAGAACACGCCGACGCGAAAAGGGATGTCCCCGAGGGTGAAAACACGAAAAGAGCAAAGAAAGTTGTGAGTGCTCCTTCGAACCCAGTTGCTGCGCGCAAAGTCGTTATTGAAAACACAAACAAAAAAGGCAAACATAGAGGCGACAAGCGCGACACAACCGACGATTTGATTGACAAGCACTTGGCGAGCGCAATGTCCGAAGGATTATCAAATTGGCTATGAATTAGCACTAGTTTAACTAAATACTATAACGAAGCGAAGCGTCACATCCTTTGGTTTCCGGGCGCAATCAACACCGCCCGTTCAATCGCCTCTCCGTTTTCGAAAATATCATCATCATCGTCCTCGTCCTCGTCGACTCTCGTATTGTTATTCATCGTACTAAACTGCCCGGGAGCGGGAACATTCGCTATTTGCCGAATCGTTACCGGTAATAAGCACGGTGCGAACCTATTCGTCACCAACGCGACTCTCGCCAACCGGTTAATCCAAGACGGACACTTACTCTTCTCACCGTGACTACTGCTGCTACTTTCTCCACCGTATAACAAACTCGACAAGCTTAAACTCACCCCTCGATTCTCCTCTAAACTCTCATCTACCAGCTCTTCGATCAGCCTCTCCACGAAGTGGTTGCAGTTCCTCCTCAGCAAGTCGTACCTCGTTCCCAAAAACTCCTCCGCCCCTAACACTTGCACGATACGTTCCACCTCGCGTTCGTTTTTCCTCGTAAACCCGACGCATTGCGAGATTCGAAACTTCGCCGGTGGTGGCACCGCTCGCGGCGCGCAATAAAAACACCCGCTCGTGTTAAACTCGTGCTGTCCAAACGACCACTCTTTCTCGTGGACGTGGACGCCCGAGTGGAATATCCCTAACCCGAACGAGTACGTGTACTCGTTGATATCGTTTAAATCGTACACGTTTATCACCACCGGGTATCTGCGCGTTTGTGGTGTTGTCGTTGTTGCTGCCGACAGAGTGGGTTTCGTCGTTCGATGATGACGGTCAAAGCTAGACATTATCGTTCGTGTAAATCAAGTGAAGACCATCGGGGAGAAATTCCCCAAAGTTAAGTAACGGCTTTACCAATAAACACTTTAAACACACGCGTAAGTAAACCAAACACACGCGCAGCAGAAAGAGAGAAAGAGCGAGAGACTAAGAATAATGGCGATCAAATTTATCTTATTGGTGAACAAACAAGGCCAAACGCGATTGGCGCAATACTTCACCGAGTCGATTCCAACGTCAGAGAAGCGACAACTCGAAAGCGAAATCGTTCGCAAATCCCTCTCGCGAGGATCGGATTACGCGAAAGGGATGCACGCGTATTGCGCGTTCTTACGACACAATTCCTATAAAATATGCTACCGAAGATATGCTTCCTTATTTTTCATCGTCGGGGTGGACGACGACGAGAACGAGCTCAGCATGATGGATTTTATACACTGCTTCGTGGAGACGTTAGATTGGCACTTCGGGAACGTCTGCGAGTTGGACATCATGTTTCACTTAGATTCGGTGTACGTGATTTTAGACGAGATGGTGTGCAACGGACAAATCGTGGAGACGAACAAAAGAATCGTGCTCGGAGAAGCGAGCAAGTTTGAAACGTAATTCATGGTGCGCGATGTAGATTTAGTAGCAGCAGCAGCACAATTGTATTTGTATAGCGTAATAGAGATACGTAGTAGCATATCGTCATCACCTACTAAGGCCAATCGTCGAACACGCGTTTCATGTGTTTTCGCTTGAAGCGTTCAAAGACAGGCGGGAGCTTGTCTTTGGAATGCAAATATAGGAAAATGAAAGATAAGGCAGCGAAGACGACAAAAACTTTCGCGAGAATATTCAACGCCACGATATGTCCTCCTCCTTCTCCTCTTCGATTTCGTTTGGTCGACAAACTCGTCGTCGTCGACGCGGACGATGTCTTCACTTTGACCAATTTAGCTCGCGTCGAACGCGGTCGCGGCTCGTTGTTTGCTAAAAAATAAACCTGCAAAAACTTCAGCACGTTATCATCGTTCCAAGAACCATCCGTGTGTCGACACTTTGCGCACGATTGTACATCTGGCCATTGCTGTTTGGGGTACTCGGGATCGCCCGCCGGATCCCCTTCCGTGGCCAATCGCTCGTTGACATCGTTGTGTCTTCTCCAAATCCAAAACGCAATCTCTTCGGGAGTCTCGATTTCGAATCCTTTCGTTTCTTCCGCCATTTTCAAAAAATGTTCGCGACATTCCAGACAGTTGAAAAATTTTCGAATGAACCCGTTTACGAACGCGTCGTACCAGACATGACCACCCTGGTGCTTATCCAGCTCTTTCGATCGAAGCGCGGTGGCGTGAAGTAACATCCAGACGCCACAAGTGTATCCCCGTGAACTCGAATTCGGGGAGGACGGCTTGCAATCGTTCCATTCCGGCGCTTTGACGCGTCCACATGGAGTGAATGTCTTGGCGGCAAATTGGGAAAGGCCGTTCGTTTCCTCGTCCCAGAAGAGATGGTGGTGAATGGTGATTGTTTTCCTTCTTTTCCCTCCTCCTTTCTTCGACGAAAACGATGAAGCCATGGCGAGCAACGGATCGTCCGCACTTTCCAACGCTTCTTCATCGATACTTTCTGCATCGCTATTACTACGGTTACTGCTACTCTCGTCTTCTATTTCTTCCTCTTCACCTTCGGTCCCGTCGGCTCCTGGAAGCAATCCCCTAAAGGATGCTCGACATTCCGCGATCGGATGCGTTTTCGAAAGCGCGTGAATGAGTGAACCGATTGCATTCTTAATCGTTTCTACATTACCTCTCGCTTTATCTGCCAGCGTCGAATGCGTCACGTCTCCTCCTTGCGCATTCGCTTCGATCGAAGAAGCGCTATTCGTACTACTTTTCAAACTACTCAACGATAACTCGTTCAATTCTCGACTCGCGATTTCTGCATCGTACACAATCTGATTCCACATCTCCACCGTCGCGCGTTCTAAATCGTCTTTACTCGCCATAGTTCTCACGGTTTTATAATCAAGCCCTTTCTTCTGGTCGTTTTGAAATGCCAACCGCGCTAAATTTTCATTCTCTTTCGTCGTCGTCGCCGCGCCGCCGCCGTCCTTCTTCGACGTCGCATCCAACTCCTCGTCACTAAAATCATACTCCGTGCTCGGTATCACTAACCCTCCGACAAACTCTACGATCTGTTTTGCTCCCGTCTTTGTCCGTTTCTCCTTTTCTTTCCATTTAATCTCTTTCACGTCGTTCGCGCGTTCCCCGGCGAATTCAATCGCCGTTCCGAAAAACACCGCCGGGTACCCATTAATCTTCCATCTCGCGCATAACTGTTGCTCTTCCGCGCAATCCACCGCAAACGCGGTAACTTTCGGTTCCGGTCGAGGTGCGACGTTGAAATATTTCGCCACGAGTTCGTACTGCGGCGCAAACGCTCGACAGGCTGGACACCAGTGCGCGTAAAATTCTAGAACGCAGAAACTCTGCGGCGAGAGATTCGAAAATTCTTCCTCGAAGGTTTCGTTTGTGAGGTGGATAGCGGTCGGTGCCAGTTGACGGTAATCTTTTGATATCACGCGGATCGCGAGAGACGACAACGCGTGGGAAGAGATGATGGCGATGAGGAAAAGGAATAGTAATCCGACATCGAGTTTTGAAGACATCAGATATCGAGGAGTGAAGAAGTGAAGAGTTTTTGGGCATTTCAGTTACTACGAGCGCAATATATACATCGAGCGCGATAGTATACAACACAACTAAACACAACTAAAAATCCTCATTCTTTGGTTTCGTCATCATCCTCTTTCGAGCGACGTTTTGTAATGCGTTCATCAGCGCGCCGTTCGTCGTCGCGGAAACTTTGTTCGCGTTGCGTCGTAAAATAGATTTCAACGTCGAGAGTCGAGCCGTGCGCTCAAACGCGTCGGATAACGCTTTGATTGGTTTGGCCGCGGCGGATTGAACCGCGTACGCGGCGATGCGTCGGGCGTCTTCGAGATCTGCAGCAGTCACTTCCTTCGTTTCTTTTTGTTCTTCTTCTACCGAGTCGTCGTCGTCGTCGTCATCATAGAACTGTTCACGAATCTCCTCCCGAAAAGATCCACCGTCCGCTAAATACTTTTCTAAATCCGCCGAGGATATTGCTAACTCTTCTTCTCCGCTACTACTACTACCGTCACTCCTACTATCACTACTCATATCCTCAACTAACGCATCATCATCTTCAATCACCACCCCGGGAGGCGTCCATCTTTCCCCTTCTCCGATCACCTCCGCGCCGAACCCACTCCTCGAGCACAAGAACAAAACCACGTCCGCGCTCACGCCTTCGACGACCGGCATCAAATCCGTCTGCTCGCTTATTAACACGGACGCTCTCAAAGCGTCTCGCATGGATGCGAAGCATAGAAAATCGTTTCGAGGAACGTCGAACTCTCTCGAAGATGTCGTGTACAACGCCTCGTTCGCCTGTCCGGAGTTGAACACTATCAGAAACACCTTCTCGAGTTTTGCCAATTTTGCCATTCTTCTGTCGTTTTCGTCCTCGTCATCCTTATCGTTTTGCTTTGCTCTGACGACGACGTTTCGGACATTTTTGCTCCTAAAAGCCCTCCTCGTCTTTCTTTTCGTCCCTCCTTTTCCTTTTCCTCCTTTGTTGTTGTTGTTTTTGTTGTCGTGACTCGCGCTTACACGCATCGCCTTTGGGGGTGATGTTGCTGTTAGGGGTTGCGCACTCACTTTCATCATCATCTTTATGCTCGTATACTATATGCGCGCAACAACGAAAAGGAACAAATCTTATTACGAAAGATGATGATGCACTTTGTACTTTATATGGTGGTTCGAATAATGATGCGTTTTTCTCTCTCTTACTCGTTCCTTCCCTCTTTTCGCGCGAGAAAAGTGGCGAATTGAAAATCTTTCATGAAGGCACAGGACGGGAGAAAAACGTCAAAAACAAATTAATATCATGGAACCACTGATTGAAAACCTGGTCATCTTTGGCATCGTCGGCGCGATACGCACGACCCAGTGGCTGTATTCTACGCACGAAGAACGAATCAATCGAGAGGTGGAACACATCCGGATGTATTTGAAACGATGCGGGGATAAGATGAAAGGTTTGAAAGGATTTGATTTATCCTTCGAGGAGGTGTTAGGGGACGTCTCAACGGCGAACAAATGTTTAGAAAGCGACGGGTTGGGAAACTTACTGGACGATAAAAAGTTTAGGTTGCGAGTGACGCCGGTGTTTCGAGGGAACGGGAACGTGTTCGTGAAGCTGCTGAAATATAACAGCTCGTTTGCGTACGCGTTCGGGAACGTGGAATTTGATTTCGAGCTGGTCAAGAGAAGGAAGGACAAAGAGGAAAAAGAGGAGGAAAAGAGAGAGTGGGAGAAGCGAGAGGAAGGCGGATTTGTTCGATCAGTGGCCGCCACGAGAGAGGGGGAGAGCGATGTAGACGACGACGACGTGGATGGAAACGAAGAGTTTGAACACGTGCACGTCGTCCGCCGATGTTCGATTGAGACGTTTTATCGCGTGGTCGTTCCGGCGTTGCGACAAATCTCCGAAAAGTACGAGAACAGAGAAAACGAAGAAACGAGAAGACTATTAGAAGTAGAAGATGTAACCACCACTCGCACGGACCGAGGTGTCACCGGCGAAGAGTGCTCGATATGCCTCGACGCGAGTTTAGAAGTCATCGCGAGGTGCGGCCACGGGTTTTGTCAGGAATGTTACGCGCGGTGGTTACGACGATCTGGAACGTGCGCGTTGTGTCGCGAACGATTACCGACCACCGACCACGGCGGCGCGTTCAGTTTAGTCTCCTTCAGCGAAATTTCCACAGAAGTTCCTTTATCCGCTTCTTTTTCGCAAACCAATCATCGTGGCGACGCAGAAGACGAAGAAGAAGAACCAGAAGAGGAAACGCTCGAGAATTTCCAAATCTGTTTCGGCAACGAAGCTTCGTTGGAGTGGTTGAAACACCGGTTGAGTACGTTCGACGTCGTGTGTGAACAAGACGTGAGCGCGTTTCGGAAGTTTAAACAGACTCTTTTCATTAACAAAAGATAGATAGACTCAGAGAGATAGATTATAGATGTAGTATTGTTACATGTGATTTTATTCAATTTGAGCACCCTGTCTTTCAAGTCCTTTTTCGTCTCTTTTTTTCTTCTTCACAAAAAGCGAAGACGCAGACGCGAAGATGAAAATTTGAAAAACAATCTTCGAAGATGAGAGATGAGAGATGAGATGACTCTTAGTGCGATGCAAAACGAACAACAACAACAAGGACAACAACAGTGCGTTTTACCGGCTTCGTCGGTTCCTCCTTCGGCTGTTCCTTCGTTTCGTCAACCGCAGAGTTCTTTCCAACACGAACAGCAGCAGCAACAACACGTGATGAAGAAACTTTTTTCCGACCCAATCGTGCAACTGGAATTCATCTCCGACGAGGATGTTATTTTGACGTGCACGTCGGAACCGAGAGTCCCTTCCATCGTGAAAGCGTTGCAAAGCGCGAAACCATTTCTTCCGTTTCAGTTTGTGCCGAAAACGTCCACGAATAACGACCGAAACTGCGCGTTTTGGATGTTTCCGAGAGAAGTGGCTGGGAAAGTCCAGTCGGTGTTGTACGAGAAGAACGTCTTACCTCCTCGGGAGAAGAGCTGTAATCGAGGGGAGATTCCGGCGACGACCTTGAAGGTGTTCGGAAGAACCACGACGGGAGAGGGGAAGGAGCATCATCACCCGGGGTACGAGGACGAGTTGGCGAGGAATTTTGAGGTAGGTTTGAATCGGATACCGAAAGAAACGTTGGAGAAAATGTACAAGTTTCAAATCGAAGGCGTGAAGTACGGTTTGTCTCGAGGCGGGAGAGTGATGATTGCGGACCAGATGGGCGTCGGAAAGACGTTGCAAGCGATTGCGCTGATGTGTTGTTACGAGGTAAAGGAAGGCCCAGTGTTGATTGTCGCTCCGGCGAGCATGAGGACGGTGTGGGCGAACGAATTGGAGAGATGGATACCGGATATTGGACCGGAAGACGTGGTCGTCGTGGAAGGTTCCACGGCGAAGTGGGATTTAGAAGCTTTAGGGGAGGCGTATAAGAAGAACGAGAGAGAAGGGAGAGAGTATAAAGGAAAGAGAAAAATAGCGGTGAGCTCATATCACATGTTGAGTAATTTACGAACTTCGTTTTTAAACATCAACTGGGGTACGATTATATGCGACGAATCGCACGTGTTGAGCACGTCGGTGTACGGAAGCGAGGCTGCGTACACGGCAATCGCGACGCAGTTGTTAAAGACACGATCGAGGCGGGCGATTTTATGCACCGGGACACCGTCGTTGGTGAAACCCTTCGATATTTTCAACCAGCTTGATAGCTTACGACCAAACATGTTTGGCACGAAGCAAGAGTTTGGGGTGAATTATTGTCGATTAGTTTTAGCGCAAGCCTCGAGGTCGGGGAATAAGTTTTGGAAATCTTTAGGCGGTCGCCGATTGAACGAGTTGCACACGCTGTTAAAGCACGCGGTTATGATCCGTCGATTGAAGTGCGAGGTGATGGATCAGTTACCCCCGAAGCGAAGACAGGTGATTTACTTGGACATCTCGAGCGAGTTTACGCACTGGATGAAGGAACACGCGAAGAAGTTCGCGCTGTTGCGGAAGCAACTTGGTGTCGGCGAAGGCGGTGATGACGAACGAGAGCACAGATACGTGGTGTCCGACGAAGACGACGAAGACGAGGAACCGATTGTCGTTTCGCAACGAAATACGTTCGAGGAAATAGACGAAGAGAAAGACGATTTGAACATCGTTACCGATACCGATGGCGAAGCGCAAGCGATCGGGAAACTGAAAGTGAAGAAAGCGGTGAAATTTCTCGAAGAGTCTATTTTAATCGATAAATCGCAACAAGTCGTCGTATTTGGTCATCACCATTCCGTATTGGATGAAATTTACGCCGGATTGCAAAAAGTTCTATCGCCGGAGGAGATTGTCTGCGTGGATGGACGAACAGATGCAGTTGAGCGCCGCGAGCGCGTGGATAAATTTTACGGGGGCAAATCGCAAGGCTTCGAAGAGGACGGGAAGACGCCTTCGCCGGCGAAAGTTCGCGTGGCTGTTTTTGGCATCACTTTAGCTGTCGGGATTGATTTGTCGTCGGCATCGACTGTATGTTTCGTCGAGTTACCGCAAAAGCCTGCCGATTTACTCCAAGCCGAAGACCGAGCCTGGCGAAGAGAACGGAACGGGAAAAACTCAAAGACGTGCGTTAACATTTACTATTGCATCGCGAAGGCGGAAGGATGCGCTTTCGATACCGATCGTTGGCAAAGATTAGGTAGGAAGATTGAACAAAACACAATGATGACGGATGGGTCCGACGACCGCGACGGCCGCGAAAATTTAGACTGCGACGAACACGGCTCGCAAGTCATGCTCGAGGCGCCGCAGGTTTTGTTCTCCGAGACGGAACAGCAGCAACAACATGAACACCTGGAAACAGAGGCCACGCAAGTGTGCGGCTTGACCCAAACTCAAACACATCCAACGCCACACGAATCGGGCATCAAATCCTTAGTCAAACGCAAAAGGTCCTTGGAAACGAAGATTCGGAAGAAATCCTTCTTTACCGAACCGGAACGCGTGCCTATTTGGTTCGTCGTTTCCGAGCACACCGATCGCGTACATTTACACGACATGCGCTTGCTGCCGAACGAAACCCGATTGAACTGCTCGGTGAAGCAAGTGGACGTGTTCGTTGCTTGGGATAAGCTGACAAAGTTTCTTGAAAGATATAGACGCGGCCAAGAAGAAGACGAAGTCAGAGACGTTACGTGTAAAACCATGTCTCCTGCTTTGCGCGAAAAAACGCGAGAGCTTTTGCGCAACTTTGTTTTACCGGATGCTTTAATCGACGACTGCGACGCGCTCAACTGTTGTAAATTTTTTATCGAAGAATGGAACTGCTTGTTGTCGCGAGATAAAAATATCGTCATTCAATCGCGAACGCCAGTTCAATGCGGCGGCGTCGCGCAGTTGCTTCGAGATTTGACGATAAAGAAAGAGGAAGAGAGTACGCTTATTAAAACGAAGAAACAAAAGAGCACGACGAGACACGGCACTGGGATAAAACTGGGCACCCTTCCAAAAGACGCCGTTTCGCGAACAGTTCTAGTGCGCAAAAGCAATTTCGGATTCGAAGCGCGCGAACAGTTTATAATACTTCATTCTGGTGATGAGGAATCAACGATGCAGCTTCAAGTGCTGTGCGATTGCTGCTGCAAACCGTACGCGTTCAACGACGACGTAAAGTTGAAGAAGAAGAAGATGGTTCTCGCCGATGGTTCCAATTCTCAACAGCAAGAGCAACATCCGCTTTCTTTACACGATCTCTTTTGTTCGAAGGATTGTTTCGAGTACCACGTGCAGTCGAGATCGGGGAAGACGTTACGCATGGCTGTTTTTGAACGCGACCGAGGCGTGTGTGAAAAATGCAAACTCGATTGCCACGCGTTGGTCTCTCGCATTAAATGTTTGAAGCCGCACCAGCGCTTGCCAATTATTGAAAGTTTAGCGCCACAATTTACGCGCGCGCAAAAAGACAAGTTAGCGAGAGACGCGTACGAAGGGTCCGCGTGGGAGGCAGACCATATTCTTGCTGTGAAGGACGGGGGCGGCGAGTGCACGGTGGACAACATGCGCACTTTGTGTCGCCGATGCCACGCGCAAAATACGAAAGAGCAACACAAACGATGGGCGTGGGAAAACAAAGCGAAGAAGGATAAGAACCAACGGACGCTGTTGGAGGTATTAGCGAACCGCATCGTCAAAGGCGACGGCACGAGTGGAAGACGATTAACTTCTATCAAAGACGACGACGACAACAACGACGTTAAAATCAATACGAAAAAAAGCCGCGCGAAGGACACGCCTTCGAACAGCGCGAGCTCCTTCCCGATATCCGAGGATTCGGAAGAGGACGACCCGGTATCAAAATCTTTCCGCAAAAACCACCTCTCGGCTATTCGAGACATCGACAACCTCGTCTCCAACTGCGAAAAAGATGACTTTAACGTTCAACTCGACGACGATACCGATGTCGACGACATCGTCCTACCTCTCGCCTCTTCTCAAGAAGAGGACGAAGACGAGTTTGAAAACGCCGCGCCGTGGCGCAAAAGAAGAAGACACGCCAAAGACGACGACCCGTTGAGGTTACGCATTTTAAAACAACTCGAAGACACGCAAGAGGATTCTCCGAGCGCTTGGTAACGAAAGATTACCACGGCAACGAAGGGAGAAATATTAGTAGTAAATAGTATGCGAGATTTTAGACGACTCGAAAGTTTGTATTTCATTCATTTAAAGCGAGCCTTGAAAAAGGCTCTCATCACTCATCAGCCTCACAGACAAATTTTACGCGCGACGAGAACACAAGTTTCATCTTCATCAAACTATTATAAACTTTCTTTCGATTGATAAAATTTTTTCAAGCGAAAAACGTCAGACTTTGTTTCCCTCACTTTGTTCGTGTTTTATCCATTTTATTAGAACGCACGAGAACAAACGACAAAGACAACAACAACAACAACAACAAAGATGGCGGCATTCGAGGACGAACAACCGGAGTCCGAGTACGGCGCGGTGAAAAAAGTCTCCGGCCCAGTCGTGATCGCGGAGAACATGTACGGCGCAGCCATGTACGAGCTCGTCAGGGTCGGAGGAGATCAACTCATCGGGGAGATCATTCGGCTCGAAGGCGACACGGCGACGATTCAGTGTTACGAAGAAACGGCAGGTTTGACCGTCGGGGATCCGGTGCAACGGACGAGACAACCGTTGTCGGTGTCCTTAGGCCCAGGCGTGATGGGGAACATCTTTGATGGGATTCAACGGCCGTTGGAAACGATTGCGCAATTGAGCGGCGACTGCTTCATTCCGAGAGGGGTGAACGTGCCGGCGTTGGACATCGCGAAGACGTGGGAGTTCCAACATCCCAAAGGCGGAGAGAATAAGAGGTATAAGGTTGGCGACCACATTTCTGCCGGGGATATTTTTGCAGTCGTTCCGGAAAACGTGTTGATTAGTCACAAAATCATGTTACCACCGAACGCGAAAGGGAAAATCACGTACTTGGCGGAGGAAGGCGAGTACGATTTGAAAGAGAAAGTTATCGAGGTCGAGTTTAATGGCGAGAAGAAGGAGTTTACGATGTTGCAGCAGTGGCCAGTGAGAGCGCCAAGACCGACGGCGGAGAAATTAGCCGCGAATCATCCGTTGTTAACCGGTCAGAGAGTGTTGGATATTATGTTCCCTTCGGTGCAAGGCGGAACGTGCGCGATTCCAGGCGCGTTTGGGTGCGGAAAGACGGTCATTTCGCAAGCGCTGTCGAAGTATAGTAACTCTGACGGGATTATTTACGTCGGTTGTGGTGAACGAGGGAACGAGATGGCGGAAGTGTTGTACGAGTTCCCGGAGTTGACGATGACGTTGCCGGACGGTTCGGAAGAAAGCATCATGAAGCGAACGACGCTGGTGGCGAACACGTCGAACATGCCAGTCGCGGCGAGAGAGGCTTCGATTTATACCGGGATCACCTTAGCAGAGTATTTTAGAGACCAAGGGTATAACATCTCTATGATGGCAGATTCCACGTCTCGATGGGCCGAGGCGTTGAGAGAGATTTCAGGGAGATTAGCGGAAATGCCGGCGGATTCTGGTTATCCGGCGTATTTAGGCGCCAGATTGGCATCGTTCTACGAGAGAGCAGGAAGAGTGAAGTGTTTAGGTTCGCCGTCGAGAGAAGGTTCCGTGACCATCGTCGGCGCGGTTTCTCCTCCGGGCGGGGATTTCTCCGATCCAGTCACCTCCGCAACCTTAGGTATCGTCCAAGTCTTTTGGGGTTTGGATAAAAAGTTGGCGCAGAGAAAACACTTTCCTTCCGTCAACTGGTTGATTTCGTACTCGAAATACAACAACGCGTTAGAACCGTTTTATGAGAAGACGGATCCGACGTTTTTGAAGACGCGCGCGAAAGCTCGGGACGTTTTACAAAAAGAAGACGAATTGAACGAAATCGTTCAATTAGTCGGTAAGGATTCGTTAGCAGAGAGCGATAAAATTACGTTGGAAACTGCCAAGTTTTTGAAGGAGGATTTTCTTCAACAAAACTCGTTCACGCCGTACGATAAGTACTGCCCGTTTTACAAGTCCATCGCGATGTTGAAAAACATCGTCTTGTTTTACGATTTATCCAACGCCGCGGTTGAGAGAACACAAATGACCGACGGAGCTAAGATTACGTTTAACGTCATCCAAGCGCGAATGGGAGATTTGATGTATAGAATTGCCAGTCAAAAGTTTGAAGACCCGGGGGATGGAGAAGACGTGGTGCAACAAAGATTGACGCAATTAGAAGCCGATTTGATCGACGCGTTCAGAGCGTTGGAGGACGAGTTTAGATAAAAAAAGAGAAGAGAGAGAGAGAGAGAGAGAACAATAAAGAGAGAGACAAAACACCAAATGTAACTATATACACGTATTATTCCATAACATCGTAGATTTTATACTTTATATTACAACAGAAAAGAATGCTACTAATATATTTTATAGTTTATATGGGCAACTCCTTGATCTCGACGCCGGTGGCCACGAGAAACTCAAGCTTCCGTTTTAAGTCGGATTGAGAAATCAACCAGTCTCTCTGATCGAGCACAGGAGGGAGCGTGGTTGTGTCTGGAATTCCAAACGGGAGTTTTTCAATCCAGGATTTACAACCGCCGTACTTCTCCACGTCCGCCGGTAACGCGTACTCGTCCTTCGGCAACACGTACGCTCGCACCTCTAAAATCGAATACGGTTCGTTCGGTTTATAATTCACCCGAGATACGATTTCATCCTCTCGCAACGCGTGAAATTTCTCCAAAGCTTTAATCACGCTCTTATCGGAGGTTTGCCACGCTCGAGTTATTCGACAGACGATCGAAAATGGCACCGAGTCGCCTTTCTTCATATCGGGCATTGCGTCGCTTTCGCCCCCATTATTGGCAGAATGAAACGACGTCGGGAATATGACAAACTGATTCTCCAAAATCTGAAACCCACCGTTGTTGTTGTCGTTGATCCCTCCTTTTCTGAATAACAAGACTTGTTCGCCTCGTTCGATCGCTTTCTCCGTTTTCGACCACTCTTTTAAGGCTGTTTTCGCCGTCACGCACTCTGTTATCGCGATGGATTTGTTGTTGTTTCCTCTTCTTCTTAACTGTCTTCTCGTAAAAGACGACGTGGAACGAGAGCCACGCGTTTTTTTCAAAAAGCATCTTCCAACATCATTCTTTCCTCCTCCGGGATGATTTCGAAGAAGAAAAGAGGAAGAACGAGACGACGATGATGCAGACGACGAGGTGAACATTATTAGTTTTACTTCTGAAGAGTTGTTCTTTCGATCTCTCGGGTGTGTGCGCGTGCGTCAACGCTTACTGTACTAAAGAAATTCACTCGCATCAACTCTTCCGTATCTTTTTTTTGGTTTTGGTGCAAAATAAGCCAGACGACAGTTGACGGTTGAGAGGAAAACAACTCTGCGTCACTGTGTTTTCGTGGACTTTTTTAAATTTCCACACACTTTATATGCTCTAATTGTATATCAAAATGAACACGAAAGAAGACATGAAAGAACAACCGTCTTCGATGATGTCGTTGTTATCGTGGCTGAGTGAAGTCACGAACCAGCGTTCTTCTATCGCGTCCGTGAAAGAGCTGAAGTCGTGCTCGGTGCTCCTCGTTCTGTGCGAGAATTTACTCTCGAAAGAGCGGGATTTGAGGAAGAGAACGAAGAAGACGAACGACGATGATGATGATTATGATTATGATGATAATAATAATAATAAAAGCCCGTCGGATTCGGTGTTACTCCACGTCGCCTTGGACGAGTTGAACGTTGGCGGAGAATACGTGAAAGCGGTGTTAGAGGAAGACGAGTTTGGTATTCTGGAAGTTATTCAAAAGTTGAAAGAGAAGTACGATTTGAGAGAGGAAGTTGAAAAGTTATCGAAGGATTTTTTGCACGGTTACGACGACGAGAAAAAGGGAGAAGAAGACGCGAAGGATGAAAATAATGAGGACGACGACGACGACGACGATGTATTTGGAACGAGAGATGGAGACGCGTTGGATGAGCTCGATGATTTAGGCTTTGATCACATCGTCGCGCCGAACGCGAGAGGTTCGTCTTATACTTCGTTACCTCCCGCTCCTCCAAACGTCTCGTCGCCGGTGAAGTTTATCAACGCGTATTCATTGTTAGGCGGCGAGAGGACGTTCGAAACGTCGCCGCCGTTTAAGAATTCAAATGCTAACAATATTATCACGCGAAGAAATGATGATGAAGAGGATAGAGAGGAAGTTGGAAATGATTTGTTTCAACGAAGATCACCCATACAGCGCGCGCCGAGTTTTATGCGATGGAATCAACGCACGGAAGAAGAAAAAGAAGAAGAAGAAGAAGAAGAAAACGAAGAAAATCAAGTGACGAGCGTTTCGAAAGTGAGGAGAAACCCCGAACCTTTGGCGTGGTTTTCGCCGCTCAATCCGGACGAAGCGGCGGTATCGAAAGCGGAAACGAAACTCTCGGTTGCTGAGATTGCTTTGCTGAGACGAGGAAAAGCGTCTTTATCTTCATCATTTGCGTCCGTAGAGAAGAAAAAAGTATATAAAATTTCCTCTCCGTATTTTACGACGAAGAGTGCCGAGGGATCGAGACGCGCTTCGTCACCATCGGTATCACCATCCTTCTCAAAAGCATCGGCAAACGTTGGAAAACGAACGAACGCGTCTGAAATTAAAATAGCGCTGAAATTTGGAGCCTTGGCAGGCGAAAGCGATCAGATGAAACGTCTTCGAAACGAAGCGTTGCAAGCGTTGGAAACTGAAAACGCTCCGGGGGCGAAGCACCAGTTCATAATCTTGTTCTCGGAAACGAGTGAAAACTCGAAAACCTATCGCGGTTTGTATAAAGTGAGCAAAAGCGAAAGTACCAGCGGCGATGGAACAAACGTCGACGGCGTCACCTTGCGAAAAATCCACGGCACGAGCGAGAAAGTTCCAGATGCATTGCGCTCCAGTCGAATCTTGAAAACGTTAAAGTTCAACCTCGCTTCCAAAATGTGGCACGCGCTGCACGACGAAGTCGACGCGAACGCGATGGCTGTCGTTTTAAAACCACCAAAAAAGAAAAAATGATGATACTGTACATACACACCGCGCACTTGCGCGTTATTAGGAGAAAGTTATAGAATTTATACATCCACACGATTGATCATCATCGTAACGGTTGATAGCGAGACGATAGCTCTGTTTAACAATACTAGTATTATGACTTGAAGGAAGTCTGGACCCCTCGAGACTGAGGGACGACCACCACAAATGTGAACACCTAAAAAGAACAAAAAATTAAAAAAAACGCACGCATGCAAAGTTTGAAACATTTCTTCATTTCACTCCACTTCTTCGATGCCCATCCACACCTTCGCGGACTTCAAGAAAAAGTCCACGTACAACAACAACAAGTATAAGAAAAAGAAACCAAATCCACCGTCGAAAGAGGTGAAAAATGCGCCGTGCACGCGTTGTGGACGTTCCACGCACCTCGCGTCTTCGTGTACGAACAAAACACACATCGACGGTTCAAAAATCTTAAAAGAAGAGAAATATTGTCGAGATTGTGGAACGGATATCTCGGATGCGCCAAAGCATCACAAGCAGTGTTACGGTTGTTTCAAAGGTATAGAGAAGCCGGTGTGGGAAAAGTTGAGCAGAGGGGAAAAGAGAGTGAAAGGCGCGAGTTTAATGACGAAGGAGGAGATTCGAGAGATGGAACGAAAAGACGACGATGGAATCGAGAAGGAGAAGGAAAAGAAGGAGAAGCCGAAGAGGACGAACAACGCGTTCGTGGACATGTTCGATTGGAGCAGACCGAGTAAGAGTTTGGAGAAGAGTTTGAAGAAGAATGAGAACGAGGAGGGAGAAGAAAAGGACGAAGAGTCGCCGATGTTTGCAGGGAGAGACGTCAATCGAGAGAAGTTGACGAAATCCTACGAGCAAACCGAACTCGCTTGGAACGAAGAGAGTAAGAAGAGAAAGTTGGAGGAAGATATGAAACCCATTGCGATAGACGACGACGTTGTTGACGACGAGAAAGAGAAGGAGAGGAAGAGGAAAGTTGAGAGGAGGAGAGTGATGTTGGAACGCGCAAAGAAACGGTTGCTTGGGTTTCGAGAACCCGCTGACGAGAAGGACAAAAAAGAAGAAGGGAATACGAGCGCAGAAGAGTGGAATGCGAACGAGAATCCGTTTTGGCAGCCGCCCATGTACATCCCTGCGGAAGGGCCGTGCGCGGAAGATTTTCAAATATCTACGGACGAGTACGTAGAAGTTCGAGACATGGGATTGCAGTGGCTCGGAAAGTATCGCGCGTGCTTAGATACCGGGAACGGTGGGTGTACGTTGATTCAAAAGCACATCGCGCAAACGCTCGGTCTGTGCGATGCGTTAGGACGTCCGACTGAGTCGAGATGGGAGAAACAAGCCGTACACGGTGTCGTCGCGGGTGCGTCAGAAATGATTTACTGCTGCACGTTGACGTACCGATTGAAAGGAAAAGAGATTACTTGCAGAGCCGGTATTACGCACGCGCGAATTGGTTGCGATTTGCTCATCTCGAGGCGAGAAATTCAAGAGTTTGAGCGGTCGGGATACACGTTCCGGGCCTGAGCGGAACTCTTTAGTTAGATTAAAGCAACGCCGCGTCGAACAGATGCGTGTAAATTAAAACAATACAATAATAAATACGTTTACAAAAAGTAATAAATAAAGCTAATGAAGCAAGAGCGGGAACGATCCGAAGATGCATCCTATGGTTACTCCCGTCATCGCCCCGCCTAATCTCGCCACCACCACCCGCATCTCTTTCGCCTGGCCCGCCGTCATCGTCACCTCTTCCGTCAATCCAAACTTTGCGCACCAATACTCAATCTTATTCGCCAACCCGACGCCGCAGACGTCGGACAACGTGTTTCCAATCGCCGCGGCCGCCATCGTTGATAAACCCAACGACAGTCCTACCGATGATTCAATAGTTTCTCCAAACGCAAGCATCAAAGCGTTATCTAAAAAACCAAACCCGATGAACGGGTACATCTGCGAAAGCGCCACCGATTTAAGCTGCGCGTAGGTAATGTCTTTACTACTCCCGCTACTCCCGCTACTCCTCTGCTCTCCGTCCTCGTTTCCTACTTCCGGCTCCTGCTGTAAATGTCGCCACAAAAATGCCCGGTGAAAGTTTTGAAACTCTTGCGGCGTTAACATTTTATCCCCGTCGCTATCGAACGCCGCGAATAACTTCTCTTCCTTCTCGGCTAAAATTTTCCTCTCTTCTCCTCCTTTTCCGAACAGACTTTGAAACACGTCTCGTTTCTCCTCGGCGGTTAAAGACAAGAACTGCTTGAGGATATCGTCGACTTTATTATTAGTATTAGGAGAAGAAGAAGACGTCGACGCTGACGAGGAGGAAAACATCCTCTGTTTCCTCTGTCTCCTCGCGTCGTTAATGTTGTTGTTAATGTTGTTCTCTTTTCTCGTCATCATCGGGTAATAGGTATTGACGCTCTTCTTCTCATCATCATCATCGTAATACCCATCACCTCTTAAACCCGTCGTCGTGAACGAAGAACTCTTCTTCACCAGAGAAAAGAACAACTCGGAGGACGACGAATGAGAAGCGGCGCGTTGTCTTCTCGACGCACTTCTTAACATCATCGTCATCATCGTCTTTTATTTTCCAACGAATATTCTTGTGGGGAAACTTCTTCGTATCGTCACTTGAAATCACACACATCACACGTCCAAATGGCGCGAGGATTATCTCGCGACCTCGCTCGCGAAAAGAACGCCAAGAAAGGCAGCAACGATAAAAATGCGAAAGGGAACAAAGAATCCTTAACGCCCGCGCAAAGAGCCGAAAGAGACGCGAAAGCGATGGCGGAGAAAAAAGCTTTAAAAGAGGCACAAAAAGCGAAGGATTTAGCTACCGGGAAGTTAACTCCCGAGCAAGTGAAAGAGGAAGAGATGAGGAAGGCGAAGATGCGAGAGAAGCAAAAGTTGAGTCAGTTTGCGAGTAATAATCCACTGTTGGCGAAGAACTTAGTGAAGAAGTGATAACTCTCCTCCTTCTCCTTCTCCTTCTCCTCCTCCTCGCGCGTTTATGTAATAGAAAATTGAATTCAAAGTCTCGTCTCGTCACAAAATACGCGTAAGCACTTAAGCGCGCGAAACTCTGATTCTCTCTCTCCTGCGCTCTCTTTCTTCTCGAACCAAGATGAACGCGAAATCGAACGCTTATCAAACCGAAACGTCCGAACACGCGTCGTCTGAAATGTTTCTCCCTTCGCGACTCAACGCCTTGCGCGAACAGCTTTTGAGAGCGGACGAGAAAAACGCAGAACTCGAACGCGAGAGAAAAGCGAAAAAGGAGGAAGAAAAACTCGCGGAAGCGCACACGCGTGAACTCGAACGCGAGTTGAAATTCATGCGCGAACTCAACGCGAAGATGACGAACGATTTCATCGAAGTCGAAGCCGGGAGAATGCGATTGAGAGCGGAAGTCGATCGGTTACTGTTCAACGAACAAAGAAAAGAGAAAACTCTCCAAGTTTTGAAAGAAGAAGTGGAAAGGAAAGCGGAAACGAACGCGAGAGAGATGCAAGATCAAATGGAAAAGGAGAAGGAGAAATTGCGAGGGATGATGGATGGAGATGCGCTCGTGAATGCTTTGATGGGGAAGCTTTTCGCGAAGGATGAAGAAGAAGAGTTGGAAGAAGGCGCTTCGTCGCCGACGAAAGCGGGAGAGGAGGACGAGCGAAGCGAACGTCTGCGTTTCCATCGCGCTTCATTCGAACACACGCAAACCGCCAAACTCGTCTCTGATCTCGAATCACAACTTGTTTTAGCCAATAAACGCCTCTTCGAGTGTGAAAAATTCCAATTCGAAACCGATTCGCAGCTGGTAAAGGACAAAGCCGAACTCGCAACCGCCGTCGCTCGGTTACAGTCTTTCGTCGAACGGCTCTCGACCGCGGAGAAGACGAAAGACGACGAGATCGCGCGACTCAGACAAAAAAGAAGAGCGTTGGAGAAAGAGTTGGACGATTTGAGTCTCGAGTTGGAAAACTTCAAAACTAAAGCATCATCTTCTGCAAAGTGCGAAAGAAAGTCGATGTCGTCGTAATAGCGGTGTGTGTTTGTTATTTTAGGTAGGATTTTAGCACATTCGGCATTTAATTTCACCCAAATATTAATTACGACGCGACCTAATCACGCACGATGTCGTCGTCGACTCCGGAACAGCATCAGCAGCGAGATAATAATGCCATCACTTCCACCAGCTCTCCTTCGACGTCTTGGTACTCCTGGCTTCCTGCGATTTCATCCCCGTTCTCCTCCTCAAATTCAACCAATTCTTCGTCCGCGTTTGCGTCGTCGAATCCTTTAGGCGCGATGATGATGAGCACTTCCTCTTCTCAACAACAACAACAATCACATCAACAAAACAGACGCCAAATTGCGAAAATGGACCAGGCCATCGCGAACAGATTTAAAAAAACCGGAGAGAAGTACAACGTGAAAGTCGTTTTGAGAGGCGATTCCGCCACTGGGAAAACCGCCTTGTTGAGACGCTTAAGAGGAGGCGATTTCATCTCCGAGTACCAGCCGACGAACGAGATAAAAACCGCGCACGTGGAGTGGAAAGCGAAAGGATCTTTACGAGACGAAATCATGTTGGAAGTGTGGGACGTGGTGGATAAAGCGAACGCGAGGAAAATTTCGGAGAGTTTGACGTTGGCGCATAGGGCGGCGTTGATGAACGGGCCGGTTGGCGAGGCCAACGGAGGGATCGAAGAAGGCGCGCACACGTTCCCGCTGGACGCGACTATGATTGATGTGTATTCAAACGCACACGCGGCTATATTTTGCGTAGATCCGAGTAAGAAGTGGACGTACGAGTACGTGTTGAGGGAGATTGAGAAAGTACCGACGCATTTGCCGGTGGCGATTTGCTTGAATTTTAGAGATTACCCGGCGTCGAAGAGGATTTTGCACATAGACGACGTCGAGCAGGAAGTGGCGAGATTGTTTTCTGAGACCAGGCCAATCCGACCGTTTGTATTTGAGACGAGCATGTTGAATAATTTCGGGTTGAAAGCGTTGAGCACGTTTTTACACGTCCCGTTTTTGTGTTTGAAACGCACGAATTTGGAGAGTCAGTTGAAACAGAATACGTCGCACATAGTTCAAGCGCAAGAGGCGTTGAGGACGATGAAAACGTCGGGCTCGTACGAGCAACATCAGAGAAAGATTGAAGATTCTCACGAGGCGAAGATGGCGCATGAACGAGGTAACGTCGGGGGTGGTGAAGCACCTTCGGCGGGAGTCGCGGCGCCTGCGACGGTGCGAAAGCAAAGTAGTTTTAGCGGCGGTGGTGGTGGTGGTGGTAGTAACAAGGATAAAGATGAAGACGCGCTTACGTTTGCGAAGCTATCAAACACAAAGATTGGTGAAGTTCCATTGGTTTTAGCTTCGGCGGCGATATCGTCGGCGTACGCTGGCGTTTCAGCTGTCGCTGCTCAAACGCCCGCGGAGCTTGCCGAAAATCTCGCGAAGAACGCTAAACAGTTTGCGACGCTTGGTTTAGCCGGAGAGGGTAAACAGAAAAACTCAAACTTCAAAGAATCGACCGAAGAGGAGTTGAAGGTGAAGGTGTTGCCACAGTTTTCGCATTTGCCCGGCGGAAAAGTAAACGCCGTCGGCGGGAAGCAAATTGAAGAACCGCTCGGCGCGATGGAAAAGCTCATTTTGGACGCGGCGGAAAAGAAGAATGGAGGCAAAGACGACTTTTTCGACGACGACGACGACGACGATAGCGATAATGATCGAAACGGAAGAGACTGGGACGAAGACGGAACGCCGAAAAAGTCCACTGCGATTCGTATGGATGGATGGGACGATTCAGACGACGACGACGATGACGATGATGAGAAGACGAAGAAAGTGAGTTCGCCAACGAGCGCGGAGTTTATTCGAACCGTTCCAAAAACGGACCCGTTCTTTGGAGGCTCCAAATTAGTGAAGACGCCCGCCGATAAGGCGAAAGATGCCGAAGAGGTGCGGTTGAGAAGACAACGCGAAGAAATAGCCACGAGTGCTGGTTTGAAAAGTGGCGGCAAAGACGACGACGAAGAGGAGATCGACCAACTGGCGAAAGCTTTCGAGTACGAGGAAGTGAAAGATCCAAACTCGATCGATTCTTTTGCAGACGCTTTGCAGCCGACGCTCGGGTTTAAAACCAAGAACTCTCAGAGCATGTCTTCCACGGATTCTGTCTCGAAGAAAAAGAAGGAAAAGAAAGAGAAGAAGGAGAAAAAATCAAAAAAAGCCTCCAAGTGATGATGATGATGATGAGAGTAAAAGAGAAGTTCGCAATTAGATGATGATAATAATAGCATAATTTAGCCATGAAACGTAGCGTATGTGTATTTAGCAAGTGGTATTCTCTTTTAAAATGCGCGTTTCTCTACGAAAGTCTAGAATTACTAGTGGTGGTACATTACTTCTCCTTTTTTGCGTGCGCTCATAGCAGGTTCAAAGCTTTTGCTACTGCTCGAGGTCCTTTATATTTCTTGCCCTCTGGTGAAATAAAGTAATTTTCTGAAACGCCGTTGCGATAGTAGTGGATGTCAACGTCGTTCCATCCTTCGGGCAAAGTACCGTTTAAAGATTTGATGTAGCTACGTAACCTCTCGAGTGCGCGCTGAGCTTTTTCAGAATCCGTAATTGGAGAGGGAGGGGGTAAACGGTAATGAGTTTTAGACGTGCCGTTGTCGCCGTGCACTACCCACGAAAGTTGGCCTTTACGACACGCTTTTGCCATGTTCAAAAGCTCTCGATCGCCGTCTTGGTAAAACAGCGAAGATTTTTGCTCGATCACATCGAATGATAGTACGGTTGCAACAAACCACTCGGGCGGATCTTCAAATTTTACAGAAATCATCTTTCCCGTCAATCGAGACGATATGTCGTCAGTCGTGAGAAGTTTTCTTTGAGTCGTGAGCGGCGACTTTATCGTGGTAAAATTTTTCGCATTCGTCGGTGTCGAGATTGTGAGCACAGAGTTAGGAGAGTTCTTCATCTTTTTAATCACCTTCTCACTTCCTTTCGACGTAATCGCATACGTGCCAGGCGAGACCCGTTTGTAAATGCCTTCTTGCATGCCTTTTAGCTGGACTGCACGCACAGTATTCAACTTGACCTTCTCTCTTTCAGAGAGATCCTTTGCGTGTATACCCTTTGCACCCCCTCTGACTATTGCGGAGTGCACGATTTGGTGTTTCAGAATCGACTCATTCTCTCCGTCCTCGTCCTCGCTCGACGAATCCTTCTCAGCGTTTTCTTCCTCGCCCTTTTTACGCTTTTTCTTCCCTTCCTCATAGAAATCTACCATCCGCGTCGTCGACGTTACTTTCTTCGTTTTTCGCGTTCTCTCGACTGTTTTCGCCTTCTTCTGCTTTTTGGTGTCGTCCGAGACGAGTTTCACCGTCAACAATTCGTCCGGTTTTAAAACGCAGGTTTCCGTGTCGCCGAACAACTCGTACCCTTCCTCTTCGTTTCCCTCTTCTTCCACGTATATCTTTATTTCCTTCCCTCGTATTTCCTGGACTTTCCACAGCTGTCGCTCGACAAAGTCGCGTATGGTTGGACACGCAGACGAATCGATCTTCTCAACGAACTTGATACCCAGTGGCTTAATATGCACTTTAACTCGCGCGGAATACGAGGAAGAAGGAGGTCTTACCATCGTCGTTCTATCAGCGTTTTCGTCGGAGACTTTAACGGTATCGTCTCGAAGAGAGATGACTTTATCTTTGTTCGTCAACATGTTCGCCGGTAAAAATGTGTTCATGGTGAGTCGATTCGTTTTCCCCGAGGGGAGATTTAAGATATTTTATGGCGGAATGCAAAGACACTTTTATGTTTCAATAATAAATTCTTCGAGCGCATATACCGCAGTAGTACTACCACAAGTTATTATTATTTGTACAAAGTTTTCTTATGACTCTCTCGTTTCTCTCTCTCTCTCTCTCTCTCTCTCTCTCGCTAGCGTGCGCGTGCGTGCGCGCGTACACCTACATCCATCCGTCGTTTTGGTGCACGGTTAACTCCATCCTCTCGCCGCTTTTATTCTTAAACAGCGGCGGCAACGGAGACGACGCGTTGTCGTCTCTGTCGGTAGTGTTTCTGTTATTATATTCTCCTCCCTGTTGTTGGTTTATTTTCTCGTCGACGTTGGTGATCGCGTCGGTGATGATGGTATTAATATTAGTAGTATTCGTCAAAAACGAGTCGCTGAGGTTCGTCTCGTTTTCACCATCAAAGCTTCGTTGAAGAAAATAGTCGGGAGAGGCCTCCGGGGACCCGTACCCGTACGGAGTTGCTGCTGTTGTGGCTGCTGCTACTGCTGCTGCTGCTGCTGTTTTATCCGACAGTCGTTGTGAATGCGTTTCTTTGCGATTCTTTGGCGGCGGAGTGCCGATGTCGTCGTCTTTATTGTACACTACCTTTCTCTTCTTCGCTGATTTCGGAAGCTTTGGGACGTTCAGAGCGCGCGCGACTTCAACTTTCGAGCGATATTTTTTCCCCTCTGGCGAAAAGAAGTAGTGATCGACGTGTCCAGTTAACGCAGACTGGCCGCTCTGACGCACTTTAACTTGCACGGACCAGTTGCCTTCTAATTTTCCGCCACAAGAAGTAATGTAGTCTCTCAATATATCAAGGGAAGACGTTTCGTCGACCAACTTGGCTTGCAAAGTCAAAGGCTTTCTTGCTACCAGCGGCCAAGATATTTCGTTGCCTTCAATAGCCTCCTCTAAATTGATATCTTCCCTTTCACCGAGCGTGGCATCGTCGAGGTCGTCCGCTGGGTACCACAGTTTCGCGGTGGAGTTGTTCATATTCAAAATTTCACCGTCGAACCATTCTCCGGTATCTGGCCATAAGACTGATATCCACTTTCCCTTCAGCGAAGGACCGATATCGCCCGAAGTGAGAAGATGACGACGATTGTGATGAACTTGGTCATCCTTGTCATCGCCGTCTCCGTGGATGTGCCATGGACAGGTTTTTGCAGGATACGGGCACATAACTTGCTTGTTCGTGGGTGCACCGCAAGCAACTTCGCCCGGTTTCAGCACGATGCTCGATTTCATCAAAGGCGTAACTTCTTCAACCTCCTTTTCTTGTCTTTCGACGGTGGCGTCCTTGCTCCTACCGCGGCGAGCTTCATCATTCACTTTCTTCTCTTTTTCAAGTTTCTCGTGCTCTTCTTGGCGCCTTTTTTCTTCCTCCTCTGCCATTTTCTTCTTAGCAGCTTGCAATCGAACCTCTTCCTCCATCTTTCTCGCAGCTTCTAATCGCGCCTCTTCAATTTGTTTTTGTCTAGCTGCTTCTACTTTCTCGCACTCAGCCGCTGCCTTCTTTTCTTGCTCGGCTTTCATCTTCAAGGCTTCTTCGACTCGTACGCGTTCGACTCTTTTCGCTTCCGCCTCTGCGGCGACTCTTCGCTCTTCCTCTGCTTTTCGCTTTTCTTTTTCCTCCTCCATCTTTCTCGCAGCTTCTAATCGCTCGATTTCGGCTTTACTCTTTAACGCTTCCAGGCGTTTCCGTTCTTCCAGTTCCTCTTTTTTCGCCTTTTCGAGTTTTTCTCCCTCAACTCGTAGCTCGTGTTCCAGACGCTTTTTCGTATCTTCAGCTTTCTTCTTCGCGATGGCCATCAAATCACTTAGCTTTTTGTCGGCATCTGCGACTGATGCTAGGATAGGCGCAATCGCCGTCGCGACCGGGGTTTGTGCTGGTACCATCGCAGTTACAGGCACATTTGAGCGCGCACCAATGCGGTAGTTCACCACAAGCTCTGCTAATATTGATTTCACGCCGCCATTTCTCGCGCATTTTCGAAGCAATTTGATGGGAACGCGCTTTCCTCTCAACAAGGGAGGTTGCCCACCTTTCTTCGTTTCATCGGCGGCTGGCGACGCGGCGATACTCGAGTCGCTGCCTTTACACGATCGCACGTGCATCGTCAGAGGACCTTGACCTTTACAAACCTTGCCGCATTTCTCGCAAGTAAGCGCACTCGAAGCGGCAGCTTTTCGAGCGTTTTCCAGCTTTTCGAGCGTTTTCCCAGCTTTTTTTGCGGGCGGTGGTGGTGGGGCGACAGGAGCTTTGGACCACTTCGGCATCCTCGAATGCTTTTCGCAAACCGATTTCCCCGGCGCTTTCTTCTCTGTGCAAGACCACTTGAACCCGGCTCCTCTGCACATCCAATCTGGTTTCTCTGCATTTCGTAATAAGCGCGACTGCCAATTCTTTTTCTTCGGTAATTCAGCTCTCTTCTCTTTTGAATTTGGCGTGCCATTCTTCCTTGACGAACGTGAGCTTTTCTGCACACCCACGTTTCGTACAAAAAACTCCGGATCTCCCCCGTCTTCGTCGGACGATAACTCTTCTAATCCGTGCGAGTCACCGTCGTCATCGTCCTCCTCGGAACTCGACGCGTAGACCATCTGCGCGGCAAGTCTCGGACGCTCGTCCTTTTTCGATGGAACCGTCGCCATCTTCTTCTGCACCTTTTTCATCGTTACCATCGTCGGCGCCATCCGCAGCGAGTGTTCGAGATTATGTTTCTTCTGCTTTCGTTCGTGTTGTTGATTTACAATGCGCGTCCCTCGATTATTCGTCTCCTTTTTCATATTTAATGTTGTCTTCTTCTTCTTCTTCTTCTTCTCCTCCTTCTTCTTCTCCTCTTCGCGCTTCTCCAACTCGGCTCGTACTCGAGCAAAACCGTCGTCGACTTCTTCCTCCTCTTCCATCTCGTCACCCTCGTCGTCGCAAACGACCACGAATATTTTATCTTCGTGCCCTAACACGTCCACGCTCGTGTCCCCTAACAACTCGTACTCGTCCAAGTACACTTTCACCTCTTTTCCTCGCAAATATTCGTTCTTGCATAACTTCATGGACACGAAATCTCGAACCCGTTCGCATCCGCTCAGTTCGGTGATGAACTTCTCGCCTTTCCGAATCCCGTTCGCGATTTCAACCCGTATTCGAGGCGCTACACTCGTCGTCATCATCCCCCCTCCGTACTCGCCACCGTTATAATACTGATGATGATGATGCTGATGTTGCTGTTCTTCTCTTCTGGGCACGATGACGTCCGAAGACGTCACCATGTTTAGAAAACAACTCATCTTATTTACTTTAGAGAGATATTTATTTTTGTGCTTGCTGTCTTTTCGTTAGTTATTTACGCGTTTCACCTCTCTTTTTTCTCGGAGAACACAATTTTTTCATCAGACAGAGACTTTTTTTTACGCATTCGTCTGCATGTTTTTTTTGTTTGTTTGTTTGTTTTGGGGAGACACAAAACACACATTTCATCATCATCATCATAATTCATTTTATTCGTTTTCAATCATGGGTTGTTACGACGAAGGCTCGAAAGAGACGCACGGTTTAAGCGAGGAAATAGTGAGACTGAGAGAATACGACGAATACGATCGAACCGTTTTATATTTGAGAGACTGTCCAAACGCAAAGGCGAAGATTGATGCATTCCTCGATGATGATGATGATGATGATGACGATGATTCTAAGAATACAGTTATAATACAGGCGGTGCAGTTGGAGTTGGCGAAAGGCGTGGACGACGAAACCGTCTCGAAAATCGCGAGAAAATATGCGACAAGTTGTACGCGAGTGAACTTAAACGCGGCCGGGTCTGGAGACGAACGCGTTCGGCAGTTTGGGAATCTCGGGTTGATGAGTGTGAGCGAGTATTTAGAGAACAAGTTGGAGTGCCTTGAACTCTTCTGGAATACGAAAATAACGAGCAAAGGCGTGCTCTCGGTTTGTCGCTTTTGTCACGAGAACTTAAAGGTGTTGAATTTGAGCGGATGCGTGCAACTGGACGATGAAGGCGTTCGAGAGATTAGTAAGTGTAGAAAATTAAGATATTTAGATCTCACGAGAGTGCCTAAGATGACGGACGCGAGCGTGGCGCTCGTCGTAGAGGGATGTCGAGAACTCGAGTTTCTTTCGTTATACGCCAACAGTCAACTGACGAACAAATCATTCGAAAAGATAGACGGTCTCACGAATTTGAAGTTTTTTGATGCGTGCGGTTTCAACAAGCTGACTGATGTGACTTTATTCAAATTACCGAAGACGCTGAGGTACGCGAATTTCTCTTGGTGCGGGAGTCTGAGGTCGGAAGGTATTTGTCACGTCGCGGAGAACTGTCGTCATTTGGAGCTCTTGTCCGTACACGGGAACAGGAATATCACGGAAAAGCTCATCCAGAGTTTGCAAATAGGACAAAAAGAGACAAAAACTTTGAAGGTTCTAGACGTGAAGGGATGCGTAAACGTTAAAACGAACACTTTGGAAGCGCTGAGGGAATTCTTTCATTCTCTACAATCCATCAAATTTCACACGTAGTAATCAAGATAGTGTAATAACATGTAAAATCAAAACGCTCTGCTGCTAATGGCTACCTACAATGGTCTTTGATAATATAGCGATCATCTTCTAAAATCTTCTACATCCGGTGACTGCTTTATGCGCGCTAAATGCACCGTGTAAAAATGCAACGTACACGAGGAGATGAAGAACACCTAAATACACGACGACAAACTGTCTCCTTTTGCCTTTCAAATTCGCCAATCCGCCACCACCGCCACCTCCACCAAACATCGCCGCTAACCCGGCTTTCTTCCCTGGAGTCGCCGTCAAATTGCCACTCCCCTCGACTTTGTCTTGATCGGAGTACATGGAAACTTGCCAGGACAAATCTTTCACGCGTCTCGTCAACGCTTGGATTTCTGTTTGTTGTTTCAAAACAGTGTGTTCGCTTTCGGCTAATTTACGCGCCTGGTGCGCGGACGAGCTGCTATTGTTTTCCAAATCACCACCGAAGGCATCGCTGACACCATTTGTATTCATACTCGAAGCAGTGTTCAACGCAGATTGCGCGCGGAGTTCGGCGTCCTCTTTCTGTTTCAGCGCAACTTCTAAACTTTCCCTGAGAGTCGCAATCTCTTTTTCCATGACGACGGCGTTTGCCGTAGATGAGGAACTGGACGACGTCATTTGCTGCTTTTGTATATTTGCTTCTTCTAATGCTGCAATTTTTTCGCGCAAATTCTCCGCCTCTGCGATTGCCGACGTTGCTTTCTCCTTCCACGTCGTCGCGTGTTCTCTCGCCGCAACCGCGGCGTGCGCGTTGGACTCCATCGCACCCATCGAGGCACGTAAGCCCTTCACTTCCGTCTTTGCTTCTTCGTACATCCGCGCAAATTCTTCTTTTTTTTCCATTTCAGTTTCAAGTCTGCTCTTCACACCTTCCACTCGATCGTCTCTTGCCATTTCCAACGTTTCAATCTTTTTATGCAACGCCGCTTCCCGCTCTTGAAACGCAACTTGTAAGTGTTGAAACTTTCTATTTCTATTTTCTGCCTCTTCCATCATGCGCTCGGCTTCTTGTTCGGATGCGACTGCAGAAGCTTCGGCAGTTTGAATCCTGTGTTCTGCTTCTCTTAGAATCAGCTCTGATTTCTCTTTCAAATCTTTCGCTCGCGCCGAGTCCTCCTCGAACTTTGCCTTCGCTTCCTCCATTTGTTTCGTCAACGACGCGGTTCGCGCCTCGATCGTTTTTGCCGTTTCTATCGCCCTGTCTCTCTCCTCTTTCATTTGTTCGTACTTTTCCAAACTCTCGTCTCTTTCTTTCTCGAACTTTTCTCTCAACTGTTCGTTCTCCATCGCCTTCTTTTCCGCCGTTTCCAACGCGGCTCCGCCGACCAGCGCGTCCGCTTCTCTTCGTTTCGATACTTTCACCGCATCTTTCTGTTCTTTCAACTTTGCTTTTAAATCGTCAATCTCTCGCGACATTCTCGTTTTCTCTCTTTGCAACGCATCTGTTTCTTTCGATTGCGCCTTCTGTTCGCTCTCCAGTCGCGCGATCGACACCTCTTGCTCTTTCGCCTTCGCCTCCAACTGTTCGTTCTTTTCCTTCAAAACCTTCTCTTCCTTCTTCGCTTTATCGTTGTTGTCGGACGAACTCGTCGTCGCTTCTTTCATGGCTTCTAAAACTTTCACTTTCCCGTCCATCTTCTTCACTTGTTCTCTCAACTGCTCGATTAAAATATCGCTCGTTTTCCTCGTCTCCTCGCTCACTCGTACTTCTTCCTCCAATTTTTCTTTCAAAGCGTTCCTTTCTTCTTCGATGGATTTCCCTTTCTTCACCGCGGCTCTTAACTTGACCTTCTGCGCTGCGGTCAGTTCTTCCAGCTCGAGCAAACGATTCGTAGTCGCCGACATGTCCGTCTCTTCTTCCCTTTCGGTCTTCGATGATTTCGGTGGCATGATGAGATTATTCGTCGTTGGTTCTGAATATGTTGTTTGTTGTGCGAGAGTAACAAGACTTTGATACAAATAAAGACAAGAGAGGAGGAGGAGAGAAAAAGGAGAGAAAAATTTTTCATTCAAAATCAAAACACAAAATTTTTACTTCTTCGGAATTTTTTTTTAAGCTTGAATTTCACCACAATCTCTTCTTCGTATATATATTTGTATTATTTTAACAAAGAAAAGAAGAAGTTCTCATTTCAAAGATGATGGAGGAAGAAGAAGGTATTTCTCTTCTCAAAGTCGACGACGATAACAAGGAGGAGAAGGAAGAAGAAGCACCGAATGCGACAGAGTTGCAAAAGTCGACGCAATTGCAATTTTTGGGTGATGATGAAGATTCAAAGAAAGAAGAAAAAAAATTAGAAGAAGAAGAAGAAAAAACGAACAATAACAACGCTTTAGTAACGACGACGACGACGACTTTGAGTAATAATAATAATAACGATGATAAAAAGATCTTGTACCGAGACGTCCGCGCGGACACGCGATGCTCCATCTGTTGGGGCACCGTGAAAAATTGCGTCACGGTGAGAGTGTGTTTACACCGATTCTGCAACGACTGCGTGCAAGAATCGATTCGGAAAAATCAAATGTGCTGCCCAGAGTGTCGAGCGAAAGTGGCGTCGAGACGAGATTTCGTCAAGGATCCGAAATTTGACGCGATTGTGAGCGCGATTTATGCAGCGAAAGGAGGCGCTGAATCGTACGACGAGAAAGAGGAAAGGTTTTCAAGGAAAGAGGCGACGACGATTTTGGAGGATAACTTGGAGAAACAGAGAGAGGAGAGGAACCGATACGACGCCATCGCGGAGCAGATCAAGAAGGAGCAACAGGAGAGAAAAGAGCAGAGATTGGAGAGGGAGAGACTTCGGGCGCAGAAGGAGATAGAACAAAGGGAGAGAATGGCGGCTGTGGAACGCGACATGCGAATGCAGCAGCAAGATCAGTTGCAAAGACATATTATGATGCAACAACAACAGAGAGCGTTGGCGGGAGGAGGAGTTGCGACGGACCATCAGTTAGAGAAAAGTGTCGGCATAATCGATGACTACGACGATTTGATTCAAGGCGATCGGTACAAGAGTCAAGCGGAGTACGATCGACGGGTGAGAGAAGCGAAAGATAAGATAAAACGCGAAGCAGACGCAAAGAGGATGGCAATGATGGCGTCCGGGATGAAAATTTTTAACTGGGAAGACGATAACAAGTTGAAGCCGTTGCCAGCGCGAATGGATGTGGCGATTAAGACGAGCGATCATGCGAATGACAATGAAAATACAAGCGAACAGCTAGAAAAACGAAAACGAGAAGAAGAAGAACGACAGGTACAGTTGAAGCGCGAAGAGGAGCGACGAAATTTCGAGGCATTTACAAGAGAACATAAAATGAGCGGAAGAGTGGACTATAAGAAAGTCAAGGAGCAGTTGTCGTTTACAGACTTGGTGAAAGCGAAGAAGTTTGATTTAGAGCTCGCGAACGGGACGAGCAATAGCAAAACAGTCTCTGGCAAGGAGAGTGGCGAAGGCAAAGATCGAGGAAGCGACGAGGAGAACGATGTAAGTCTCGCAAATATCAACAATCGCGCGGCGCAGGGACACCATGCCGCCACCGCCAACGCCGCAACCACCGCTGCACCTATCAATCTGCGTGGATTTGTACCGAAGAAAATGACAATTTCCCACGAGAATGGGATGATGCACAAAAGCGCTATTGCTAAGGAAGATTTCATGCACATCTCCTTACGACGCGTGTTGGGAGATCCACTCGCGATTGCAAAGTTTGATCACATGCTCGTCCCGAAAGATTTGACGATTGAAAACCTGTTATCCTCGTTCGTCGTGCAAAACTTTTTCGTCAGCGCTATCGTCTGGAAAGACAAAGATGGTTCCGAAGAGAAGAGACAGAACGAACAGCTGAGAGTCGCAAACTTTAAGTTTGGCGAAGAAGCGGACGAAGTCATGTGCGCGGAATGCGGCGCGGGACATTCGCCGGAGAAAATTTTACTTTGCGATGGATGCGATGCCGGTTTGCACTGCTTCTGCTTGACGCCGAAACTCGACGATATTCCAGAAGGCGACGATCCGTGGTACTGCGACAAATGCGAAAGCAAAAAGCCGCACAAGAATACAACCGTGTACGAACTATTCAAGGATGAAATAGAGAAAGGCGCTTTTCCTTTGGTTTTGAATTACACCGGGCGCGCTTAAAAAGTAGATAGATTTTTGTACGCAGTAGCACTTATACTTTTTTGTGATGGATGATACATAACAGAGATACACGCGAGATCACGCGAGATCCTCCGTTTGCCCTCGTACGCACTCATTCACTCCTTGAAATGTTCTTTGTGCGTGTTACTCTTCGTCGGTTTCCAATTTTTCGGTCGAGGAAACATGTTGTTTTTGTTTGGCTTAAACGTCGACTCTCTTCCTGCGTCTCTCACCGCGACGTGTTTCATACCGATGGTGGAGTCGTCGCAGTATCCGTCGCTCGTCACCGACGTCGAGTTGGCGAAGAAATCGTACCAACCTTCTCTGTGAGAACAACAACGTGAGAAATAGGATAAAAAACGCTCGCTTTTCTCGATCGAAGAAAAAAAAAATCAAACAACACTTACTTATCGTACAGATACAGAGAGCCTTCGCGCATCGGCGCCTCTTCGATCGTTCGTCCCGCGTGGATGTAATACGACGCCATAGTGTTCGTTCGTTCAAAAGTTCAAAAGTTCGATGTGTTTGAGTGTGTTCGAGTGTTGATGTAACGCCCGTGAAATGAAGCAAAATGTAATATTTTTTTCTCCTTTTTTTGCTCCTCCTTGCCTAGGAAAAACAACCTTTCTCCTTAAAAACTACCCGTGGTACGTACACGCGATGATGTGTGAGTATTTATGCTACTACGCTCTCTCTTTCTCTCGTTAATATTAACAACTGATGATGATAAATGCTATGTGGGTATATATAAAAGGGTTATTTTATTGCCTACTTCTTAAGCGTCGTCCATATCGTCGTCTTCCTCCAACGCCGCTTTCGCCAAAGCGATGGCCTCGTCCGCGACCTCCTTCGGTACTCTCCTAAACTCCCCCTTACTGTCCTCGCAAATCCATCCCAGCTCGCACTCAAAATCCTTATCTTTCTCGTCGTGAATTTTATATATAACTCTCGCCAACTCTTTCACGCAATCTTTGGCTAAAACTTCCCCGAACTTTAACTTTTCAATCTCCGTCTTCGCCGCCGCTTTGTTCTTCCCAATCGCGCACCCGTTCATCTTGTGACACTCTCCGCTCGGCTCTAACACGTACATGTGATACCCGTTCGAGTCTTTGGTGGCTAAAATAACCGACGCTCCAAACGGTCTCACCGACCAGTACAAAGTGAATAAGTGATAATAGTGCGCCATTCGATCGGCGAGAACGTTCGCCGGAATCGCGTCGCCGTAAAAGGACAAATAGTTCGCCGCTTCTTCTCTCGCTCGATCCACGACTGTTCTAACGTCCGGTACTAATCCAGTTCCCGCCATCCCGGCGTGTTTACTCACCGCGTGTATGCGCTTATTCGTTCCTGGCACTAACATTTTCGATTGTACCAATTTTTCCACCGCGACGACGACGCCGTCTTTACATTTGCACCCGATGGCTAAACCTCCGTTTTCAACCGCTTTACACGCGTATTCCACTTGGAAAACTTTCCCGTCCGGGGAGTACGTCGTCGTGGACAAATCGTACCCCGTGCCGATTCCAGACATTATCGTTGAAGAGACTAAATATATCTACTACGTAATAAGTGCAGCTTTTTAAGGGGAGAAGATGATGATGATGTCGTTACGAGGAATGAGATCGCGCTGCTTTTCTGCTTTAAAGAAGAAATCCCGCACGTTTTTCTTCAAAGCGTCGTTTTAAAGTGGTCGTCTCTGTACTCGCTCTCGAATTTTCGCACTTTGTCTCTCTCTCTCTTCTCTCTTTCTTTCTCTCTCTCTCTGAAGAAGAAGAAGAAGAAGAAGAGCGATACTAAATGTGTCTTCTATAAAAAATGAAGAGAGATCGGGAAACGACGAAAGAGTCCAAATTTTTCTTCTTTTTTTTCTTCTTTTGCGGTGAAAAGTGAGACTCTTTTTGGTCTCGTTTTGAAAAGTGACTTAAAAGGATGACGTAACGTGGGCAAATCCATTTCAAAAGCTCTCCTCATTAGTATAAACGTGCAAAACACACAAGGACGCGCGACGCAATCTCTCTCTCTCTCTCATCTCTCTCATCTCTGCAAACGACGCGTTGTTTGCGTCTTCTCCCTACTAAACTAATATCAACAACACTTTGAGCGGTTTCGCATATTTCGTATCCCTGCGCTCTCTTATAGTAAAATCAGTTTGAAGGAGTTTGAAAAGATAAAAAAGAAAGATAACATTTTGAAATGATGATGCGCGCTTCTCCGAGGACGACGACGACGACGACACCACTCCAACCGCGGAGCTTTTACATAAAAAGCAGCAGAAGGACAAGAAACGACAAAAACGAGAGAGGTCGTTTACGTTGCAAAACAAAAGCTATCACTTCTGCTACGAATAATAGTAATACTAATAAATTAAAGATATTCAAAGGCGGGAAAGATGAAATCAAACTCGGCGCGCGAGAGAATCTCTTATACATGATTGAAACGAAAAACGACGTCGGCGTGGAATCCGCGTTGGAGGAGCTGAAAACGTTATACGACGGCGAAATTGAACGACCGGCAAAATCCAGACTTTTGGAAGGGAAGTGGAAACTTTTGTGGTCGAAACAAACGAGCGGGAAGGTGAATCCGTTTCAGAAGTTATTCGCCGGGTTGGCGAAGGATACGAACTTTCAAATCGTGGAAGAGAACGGCGCGCGAGTGGTGAACGACGTCGAGGTGGCGAAGTTCTTGCGCGTGAAAGCGATAGCGCGGTCCAGCGCGGCGTCGGACGTGCGAACGAACGTGACGATTGATACGGTGGATATTAACTTGTTTGGAAAGAAAGTGAAAACGATTACGCTCGAACCGTCTCCGGGCAAAGGGATAGGGTACGTCGAGCAGTTATATTTGGACGACAAAGTTCGCGTTTCTGTCGGCAATAAAGGATCGATTTTCGTTCACGAAAGGGTTGGAACGTACGACAACGGGAGCGATTCAGACGACGACGAAAATGACGAAAATGATTCCTCGAACAACAAAAAGGAAGAGCGCTCGTTGGCGCTCGTGTAAAACAACAATGTCAATAAGCCCTTTCGGGGTCGTTCAGTATTTGTGTGTAATATTATTATAGTGTACATGATGATGATGTAAAAGTTCAACTCGTCTTTTTTTTCAACCGTGCGCTCTCGGATCGGAGGTAGCCACGGCGCCTCCGGTTGCCGACACCGCCACGCTCGGTGCCTCCATGATCGATTTCGCCTCAACCGGCGACGGTTGAAACCTCACTTTCGCGTACGGCAACTTCTCCTCCCCCGTTTTCAACGCGCCAATGTTCGCCTCCAAAACTTCTTTCGGGAACTTCCCAATCAACGCCCCTTTACTCTTGTTCTCGCCGTCTAAAAACTCCAAGTGCGGGATCCCGTCCACGTCGTAGTCGTCCATCTCTTGCGTCCACTTCGCGTTATCGATGTTCATCATCACAAAATTCACGTCTTTTTTGTTCCCTTTCTCCACCTCAAACACGTACGGAGCGCTCGATTTGCACACTTCGCACCAATCCGCGTAAAACTCCAACACCGTCGGTTTCTCGTTCTGCAAAGCGACGTCGATATCGACCGATTCTCGTTCTAACTGCGCCAAGTTTGCCGCGACGGCGTTGATTGAATTCGAGGAACTTCCCACGCCAGTGGCGCTCATAAACGCCGCGGTACCGACTGCGAACGCCGAAATCGCCAGTTTACGACCAACCGGTAGTTCTTCTTTATCTTCTTCTTTCGTTGTTGGAGGGAGGATTTCTTCCCACTCTTGTTCGTTTTCGTCGCTTAGTTTGCTTCTGACTCCTACTCCTAAAACGTTTCTGTTCTTTAACTTCTTTAACTTCCTCTCGCGATGAGTGTTAAGAGGAGGAGTAAAAGAGGTCGAGGAGTGCAAAGAAGACGTCGCTCTCGTGATGAGAAACATCTTTTGTCTTTTATGTGTTCTGTTTTGTGAAGTAGTGTTCTTTTGGTGCATTACAAGTCTAGTCAAAAAATCTCTCATTAATGCATTCGGGGAACGTCCAACCGTCGACTCAGTCTCATGGAATACCAACCCAAAACTAAGAAGAAGAAACCTAACCCTAAGAACGGATACCAGTTACGCATGAACGCATCTTTCGGCGAAGACGCCATGACGGCGATGAGAGAACCGCCGACTAACGGGGCCAACGCTCGGGAAAGGTTGCTAAAAGTGCCGGCAAACCCGTTCACGACGCCGAGAGACTCTCTCGGCGCGGCATTGTTGACGATTAAGGATATGCCGCCCATCATGATTGGACCTAAAGATCCTCGAATCATACCCAAAGAAACGACCATGGCCCACGCGCCCGGTTTGGAGACGCGAGCGATGGAGTTGGCGATGGAGTGACACGGATACACCAAGGCGCTGAGAAAGAGCGCCCAAGTGACGAGTCTTACGATGCCGTATTTGTCGGTTAATTTAACGAACGCGAACAATTGAAAGGACATGATTGTCACTCCCATGACGGTCCCGAAAACGCCAATATCTTGCGTCTTCCATCCTAATCCACCGTTTTCGATAGACGTGGCGAGCCAAATCGGAGTGATTTCAGTCCCGGTTAAAACATTCATGGTGACCATAATCTGTAGCGAAATGGCTTGATAAATGTCTTCGTCTTTCAATAGGATCCAAATGCTCGTTCGGTCTCGTCCAGTCTTCGTAGAAGGAAACGACGATGCATCCGTCGTCGTCGTCGTAGAAGTCGTCATGGGTATCTCCGAAAACGACGACGACGAGTCTTTCTCTTGAATTAACTTAACTGTTTCCACCGCGTGTTCGGCGGAATCATCAAAATCATCGGAATCATCGTCGATGAGAGGTATCGAAACTAACTTGTCATTTTCCCCGCCAGACTCTGATTCCGATTCTTCTTCTTCTTTTTCTTCTTCTTCTTCTTCTTCTACCTCTGGTATGCTTTGATTCAATTTCCCCGTCTCGACCATCTCGAACGATATCGAAAAGCCGTTCGCTTTCTCTATATCTTCTCTACTGCTATTCTCTACTGCTGCTGCTGCTCTAGTTGGTGGCACAATCTTCATACAAACGAGCGCAAATACGAACGCGGGAACGGCGACGATGGTAATCCAAGACGACGATAACACGAACGGGTACTTCTCGAACAGCGCCGGACACTCTTTCCCGCCCTCGTTTTTTGTATCGTACATCTTCCAAGAAGTGCACGGAAACGCTAAAAAACTCGCAATCGCCGGCGCGATCGATGTTCCTAACCCGTACGCCAGACCCGTCGTACCGAACGCCCTGTTCGCATTCGTCTTATCCGAAATCAACGATAACGACGGTTTCACTAAAACGACAATCCCGTCGAAAAATCCGCTCAAACTCCTCACCCAAACCGCTTGCGTGTACGTCTCGGCGAAACCAAACGCCAAGTTAATCGCGGCTACGAATATCACCGACACCAAAATATTAAACTTGAACCCAATCCTATCCCCCGAACGCCCCCACATATAACTGCTCATCGCGCTAAAAAACGGTTTCGAGGCAATCAATAACCCGCATCTCAACGCCGCTTTCGCCTCGTCTTCTTTAACGTTGTTTCTGTCGAAATTCTTCACCATGAATATCCCAGTCGAGAAGATGAACGTGGAGGACATGATGGAAATCAACGAGCACGATTGGATGGCAATCACCGTCGTCCAATCCAGCGTCGTTATTTGTTTCTTCTTCTTCTTCTTCTTCTCGTCGTCGTCGTCCATTTTGTTCTTCGTCTTCTTCTTTAACTTCTTCTCTCTTTTCCCGACGATGGCGGAGAACGACAGAAGCGAGGACGAGCGAAACATAGTATTACCGCGTCATCATCATCATCTCGTTTGAATAAACGTTCATAAAAAGATGTTGTTGTTGAAATTGTTGTTCTGAGGATGATGATTTGCTTTCTTCTGTATAATGAGTGCGTTTACTGTTGTCGTGCGCGTGTTAAGGTGTGTGATGGATACTACTACACTCGTAAGACTAAAAATGTAAAGTTGGAAACGAGAACGAAAAAACACTTACGTCGACACCAAAAAACTCTCTTCTTCTTCTCTTCAGATTAAAAACGAGAAAGTTAACTTCAGATCCTTAGTATCACAGGAGGAGTATTAAACGAGACAGAGACAACATTTTTAACGTTTGTTGTTATTCAAACGAGACGACGATGATGACGACGATTTCAACGATTTCGACGACGAGAAGCGTCGCGACTTTTGTTGCGTCGTCGTCTGCGACAACAACAACGACAACGAGAAGAACAAAAACTTTAACGACACAGAAGATGAGGACGACGCAAAACACGATGAACGTGATGTTGAACGGGAGACAGAGGAGGAGACAGAGGAAAAGGAAGGACAACAGAGGTGCGAATAAAACTGCGTGTTCCTCCTCTTCTTCCTCCTCTTCTCCGTTATCATCCTCTTTCGACGACGACGACGAGGAGATCTCAAAAAATCTAACCGCAACGCTCGATGAGCTTCTGGTGCCGTTTTTAGCCCTGAGACGAGGCTCGAGGTTCGCGCACCAAGAGTTTGTGATGGCGGCGACGGAGGCGTACGACGAGGCGATTTCGCTGGGGAAGTTGAAAACGGAAACGTACGTGTTAGGTTTGAACAGCAATATCAGCAGTAAAAGTAGTAAAAGTAGTAATAACGGATCGTTAGGGACGAGCGAACAAGAGGCGTTTTTGAGTCATCTGAGCATGGTGTATTGCACGCTGCATTACATGGGACGAGCTTCGAAGAAAACGGACGCGTTTTTAGTCGATCCGGAGAAAGATAAGGAACTTAAAGGGATTTTGGGGTACATTAAAATGACACACACGAACCGAGACGAAAACGGAATCACGTTGAAACGCATGGAGTTTGAACAAAGACGAGTGCTGAACGCGAGCGAACCGAACGAAGATCCGAGAAAGTATTCGAAATGGGATAATTCGAGCGGGAGGAATCCGAACGCGAAAGTGAACGACGTGAGACAGATAACGCCCGGAATTCTGTTGATGCGAACGAACGCGAGATTGAGTTTACTCGCGAAAGAGATGGTGGAAGGACCGGAAGGGAGGAAGAAGGATTTGCCGGAGGTTTCCGAGGACGAAGGAGAAGCTGTCCCGACCGCAACGACGACGACGACGACGAGTCGAACAATAGAACCGCAATTGGCTTTAGAATGGAGCTTCAGACCTACAAACGATCCTGAGTTGTTGTTGAAACGAACTCTCGCCGCGAGAGCTTTAACTGCGTTTTTTTCAGTCTTGACTGCGCACCCGAAAGGCTTGAAGGCGTTTTCGTTAGCGTGCGTAGAGGCGTACGAGGCGAACATTTCCGCAGAGGAGCTCGTGCAATCCGTTACTGCGGCTGAGTTTGATTGCGAAGCGACGACGAGAGGCATGTTTGGTAAAGGTGCGGACGCGCCAAAACTCTTTGCCGGGTTCGTTTCTGCGGCGTATTTAACCGCCGAGTACCGATTAGAACAGGAAAACAAACAACAGACGGAGAAGAAGAAAACCTTTGCGTTTGCGAATCCGCCTCGATGGGAAGAGATTGATTTATCTTCGAGCAACGGTCAAGACGATATCGAGTCTAGGAAGAAAGGCAACGCGTACGATTATAACTTTGAGTTCGACGAAGGGAGACAGATTAAATATTTGGAAGGTTTCAAAACCTCCATCGCGCGATGGGTATCGATCGGCGAAAAGGAACTCTTCGCGGACGTTTCCATCAGCTTGTCCGTGGACGAAGACAACGACGAGTATGATTTCGATGCCGCGTTTAAAACAGCCGCGGCGAAACAACGTCAAAACATGGCGGGGGCGCCTTTTGCCGATGACGACGATTCTCTTTCCTCTTCTTCGACGTACCAACCAAGCGAAGACGACGAACCGGTTTTAGACGTCAACGCGCTTTACGCCAAACTCTTGTTCGAGGTTTCCGGATACATAGGAAACCAAAGCGACCAACCAAAAGTGGCTGCGCTTTTACAAGCGTACACGCAAAAGATATTAAACGCGCCAATCGTCCAACCGCCGTCGTTGTCGCGAAAATCATACGATCCGGAATCCGGCGAATTCCTCGCCGTCCGAGCAGCGCGAGACGACGACGATCAAAACGACGACGATCTCTCTTTCAAACGTAACGCAAATAATGATTTCTTCGCGCAAAGTTCGATCACTTTAGCTTCTTTGAACGTTCAGCGTGCCATTTGCTCGTTCGTATTGAAAGAAATGTCTAATAAATCATCATAAAAAGAGATTGTGATGCCAACAATTTTTACATGTAAAAGAGTACTAAAAATAGAGAAAGAAAGACACGCATGCATCATTTTGATTTCCTTCAAAACGTCTCATTTTTTTTCCCTCCTCTCGCTTTGATCTATTATTACGTTTTAATACAACTAATAATAACAACAACAACATGAGACGAAAGAATCCACACCCGCAGCGCGCGGTGAACGCCGGGACGGTTTTGAGGGTGGTGAAGGGTAGGAGAGAAGAAGAGGGAGAAGAAGAGGGAGAAGAACCGGTGTTGTGTTTGAGGATTCCCGATGAGGATGATTTCGAGGCAAATCATCAGATACAAAAAGAAGACGAAGAAGAGGGAGAAGAAGAAGAAGAAGAAGAGATAACTGTTAGGAAAGGAACGAAGAGAAAGAGAGGGCACGAGTGCGATGTTTGCGAGAAGGTGTTTCGATATCCATCCGACGTGACCAGACACATGCGTACTCACACGAACGAGAAACCGTACGAATGTGATGTGTGCGAGAAGCGTTTTAGTGATTCTGGTAATTTGACAAAGCACATGCGTATTCACGCGAACGAGAAACCGTACGAATGTGCTGTGTGCGAGAAGCGTTTTAGTCATTCTGGTAGTTTGCAAAAGCACATGCGTATTCACACGAACGAGAAACCGTACGAATGTGATGTGTGCGAGAAGTGTTTTAGTCAATCTGGTCATTTGCAAACCCACATGCGTATTCACACGAACGAGAAACCGTACGAATGTGATGTGTGCGAGAAGCGTTTTCGTTATTCTCACGTTTTACAAAGGCACATGCGTATTCACACGAACGAGAAACCGTACGAATGCGATATGTGCGAGAAGCGTTTTCGTCGATCTGATACTTTGAAAAGGCACAAGCGCACTCAACATTAGCTGCTCATTTGTAGTTCTAAAAGTATACACATACACGTCGTAAATTCATCATCACAGATACTGAACAAGGACTATCACATTGCAGTTTTCCACACAAAATTTCTAAAAAGTTCATCTTCTAAGTAGTAGACACACACACACTTTGCGCGCAAAAGAGGAACGATGATGCCGACGATTTCAGTAAAACGTGCGGTCAAAGTCTTTCTGTTCTTCTTCTTCTTCTCGTTGACGACGACGTTCGTTTTTGCTGACGACGAAAACAACAATTCAAACTCGACTTTGATGAATTCCAAAAATGAAGCCGCGCATCGACTTCCTCTCATCACAACCACCACCACGGAAAAAGAAGAAGACAACAACAAAGAAGAAGAAAGAGAAGCGGAGGTTGGAAAAAGAGAGAAACGCGACGACGAACGAGGAATGTGTTGCCCCAACGGGGAAGATTTGTCGTCTTCTTTGCTCTCCTGTTGCGAGGAGGAAGGCGGATGTTGCTCGAAAACGGGAACGACGACGCTCTTGGATTGTTGCTTTTCGAACCCAATGGATGAGGTGGATTTGACCGAGGACAAAGAAGAAGAAGAAGAAGAGCGAAAGCAGACGAACCCCGAGAAAGAAGGAGCTCAAGTAGAGACGACTTTAACGAATCAACAAAACGATGATGATATCAGCGAGGACGAAAGAGAGGACGTGGAGAGTTTGGTAGAAGCCACGACCTACTGGCCGGGCGGGAATCGTCGGTTTACGTGGGAGAATCTGAACGTGCCAATGCCTTCAGCTGTAAAGAAGATCATCGCTGAGAAGAAAGAAACAGAAGAAGATCGAAAAGAAGAAAAAGGTGTCCAAGAAGAGATCAACACGAACGCGGCGCCAACCGGGCAAGAAGAAGAAGAAGAAGAAGAAACAAGAAAGACATTCAAAACGTTACTCGATATTTCCTCGTTCAAAATGAGCAAGAACGAAGTACTTCAAGGCGCCTTAGGATTCGGTATTTTCGTTATTGTAGCGTCATATATTGTTGGTGCTACGTATACGAGAGAGGATGGACGAGAGATTAGCGGGAACGCGAGAGGTTGGTCGGGCGTGCGCCAAGAAAGAGAAAGCTTATACGACTCGGCGTTCAAGGCGTACGCGAGCGTGTAGAGGAAGGGACATCGAACGTGCTCATCAGTCGATGACTTTATAGTTTTAGTAGTAGAAATGATGATTATTAATATGGTAGTTTAGTATATAGGATACTCGGTTTATGCTTCTCATTTTCTTCTTCTTCTTCTCTACTTGGTACAATCTCTCGCAAAACATGTTTTCACAAAAATTACGTTTTTTACGCAGATTCAACTTCTTCGATGGCAGCGTGCGTCGTGACCAAGTTACGATCGCCGTACACGTTGTCGACTCTAGCATTCGTCGGCCAGAATTTGGACTGACTGACCCAGTCCGCCGGGAAGACGGCATCTTGCTTGGAGTACGGTCTGTCCCACTCGCCGGCGATGGACGCGGCCGTGTGCGGCGCTCTCGTCAAGAGGTTGTTCTCCTTGTCAGCGGCACCGGATTCGATGTCCGCGATTTCCTTACGGATAGCAATCATCGCGTTGCAAAATCTGTCCAATTCTTGCTTAGACTCGGATTCAGTCGGCTCAATCATGAGCGTACCGGAGACCGGCCACGACATGGTCGGCGAGTGGTAGCCGTAATCCATCAATCTCTTCGCGATGTCTTCGACTTCAACGCCAGCGGTGTCCTTCAACGGACGCATGTCCAAGATGAACTCGTGTGCACACGTGCCGTTCTTACCCTTGAACAAAACCGGGTAGTGGTTCTCCAAGCGCTTCGCCATGTAGTTGGCATTCAAGATGGCTCTTTCAGAGGCAACCTTTAAGCCTTCGGCGCCCATCATGCTGATGTACGCGTAAGAAATCGGCAAGATCAACGCAGAACCGTACGGAGCCGCGGAGACGGTGCCGAACGGCTTGTCCCCACCAACTGGCAAGGCACCGAAGTCCTTCTCGGACGGGTGGTTTGGCATGAACGGCATCAAGTGCGCCTTGATACCAATCGGTCCCATACCCGGGCCACCGCCACCGTGCGGGATGCAAAACGTTTTGTGCAAGTTCAAGTGGCAAACATCCGCGCCAATGAAGCCCGGGGACGTCAAGCCAACTTGAGCGTTCATGTTCGCACCATCCATGTACACTTGACCGCCGTGCGCGTGGATCGTATCGCAAATCTCACGAATACCGTCTTCGTAGACACCGTGCGTGGACGGATACGTGATCATCAACGCCGCGAGGTTCGCAGAGTGCTTCTCCGCAGCCGCCTTCAATTCGTCCATGTTGACGTTACCGGCTTCATCGGTACCGATAACAACAATTTTCATGCCGCACATGGCCGCCGACGCCGGGTTAGTGCCGTGCGCAGAAACCGGGATGATGCACACGTCTCTGTGGTGATCACCGCGAGATTGGTGGTACGCTCTGATGGCCATCAAACCGGCGTATTCACCGGAAGCACCAGAGTTTGGTTGCAATGAAACGTCGTCGAAGCCGGTGATGTTGGCCAATTGCTTGGTCAAATCTCTAAACATCTCGGCGTAACCTTCAGCTTGTTCTTTCGGCGCAAACGGGTGAATGTTGGCGAGTTCCGGCCACGTGATCGGAGCCATTTCGGTCGTCGCGTTCAACTTCATGGTGCACGAACCCAACGCAATCATGGAGTGAACCAAGGACAAATCTTTCTGTTCCAATCTCGCGATATATCTCACCATTTCGTGCTCGGAGTGATAGACGTTGAACACCGGGTGCGTCAAGTACTTGGACTTTCTGGTAAACTTCGTTTCTTCAACGTTCACGGACGGTGCCAAGGACGACGCGGAGAAATCCGTCGACTTGCCGCCGTTAAACGCCTTGAACAAATCGTCGACATCTTCCAACGTGGTCGTTTCGTCAAACGCGACGGCGACGTGGTCGTTATCTAACTTACGGATGTTGATTTCCGCCTTGGCGCACGAGGCGACGACGGCATCCGCGCCGCTCGGGCATTTCAAAGTCACCGTGTCAAAGTACGGGTTCGCCGGCCCTTGGAAGCCCATCTTCGTGGCGCCTGCTTCGAAGATCTTGGCCAAGCCGTGCGCCTTCTTGGCGATGTCGTCCAAGCCTTTCGGGCCGTGGTAGATGGCGTACATCGCCGCCATGTTCGCCAACAACGCTTGCGCCGTGCAAATGTTCGACGTCGCTTTGTCTCTGCGAATGTGCTGTTCTCTCGTTTGCATCGCCATTCTCAAGCACGGGTTCCCATCCGCATCGACGGAAATACCGATAATTCTCCCTGGCATCAAACGCTTGTACTCTTCCGTGGTCGCCAAGAAGCCCGCGTGCGGACCGCCGTAGCCCAACGGCACGCCAAATCTTTGCGCAGAGCCGACAACCATGTCCGCGCCCCACTCTCCCGGAGGCTTCAATTGCGTCAAAGCCAAGATATCGCACGCAGCGACAACCTTCATGCCCCCTTTGTGCGCTTTTTCGACAACGTCGGAGTAATCCAAGACGGAGCCGTCCGTCGCCGGGTACTGCACCATAACGCCGCACACTTGCTTGTCGTTGTAATCAAAAGTCGCTTCATCGCCGACGACAATTTCCAAACCCAAACCGTCCGCTCTCGTTCGGCAAATTTCGATCGTTTGCGGGTGGCACTTGTTCGAAACGTAAAACTTCGGCTTCTTACCTCTCGCGATGGCGGAGCACATCGTCATCGCCTCCGCCGCCGCGGTCCCTTCGTCCAACAAAGAAGAGTTGGACAACGGCATCTTCGTCAAATCAGAAATCATGGTTTGAAAGTTCAACAACGATTCCAAACGACCTTGGGAGATTTCCGCTTGGTACGGCGTGTATTGCGTGTACCAACCCGGATTCTCCAAGATGTTTCTCAAAATCACTTGCGGCACGTGCGTTCCGTGGTAGCCGGTACCCAAATAGTTCTTGAAGACTTTGTTCTTACCCGCCATCTTCTTGAACATGTCCAAAAACTCAGTCTCGGAATAGCCTCTGTTGTATTCCTCGGAACCTAAGTTCAACGCTTGCGGCGCTTTGATGTTATCTGGCACCGTCGCGTCGATGAGTTCTCGCACAGACTTGAACCCAACGAAGCGAGCCATCTCTTCGGCTTCTTCCTTGGACGCCGAGTTGTGTCTGCGTTCGAACGTATCCAACGGACCTAAAGATTCCACCGAGATTTGTCTCGAGAAAATCTTGTTGAAGGATTGGGAGGTGTTGTTGTTCTTCAACGCCGCGGAGACGACTTTCACCTTACCGCTCGTTAAAGAAGAAGTGGATCCGATGGTTTTCGTCGAGAACAACGACGTCGACGATGCGGCTCCTCCGAAAGAAGATGAAGCCGAAGCTGGTTGCGCCAACGCGCGGCGGAGGAGTTGAGAAACACCACGGCGTGACATGATGTTAATAAAAGAGAGCGAGTGAGAAAGAAAGCAAAGGCGACTAGTGCTTCTTATTCTTAGAAAGCGCGCGCGTTTACTTTATGTAGAGTTGTTAAAACGGATATCTCATCTAATCTTTTTTTTTCTTTCTCTCCGTGTTAAACGACGGTTGCGGAAGAGCCACGTCGTCGACTTTTTTACTTTTTTTAGGCGGAAGAGAAGAGATCTTCCGTGTTTTCGGAAAAAAAAGAAAGGCTCCCTCCTCGACACAGAAAGGAAAAAAAAGGATCGAACGAACAAGAAGTAGTTTTTTGCAGAAAAGTAACATATTCACAGTATTATTCCTCTAATTTACGCATCAAAATCTCATCGGTCAACGTCGGATTAGCTCTCCCACCGCTTTCTCTTAAACACGCGCCGACGAAGAAACCTTTCAACTTTGTCTTCCCCGATCGGTACTGCTCGAGCTGGTTTGGATTCATATCCAAGACTTTTTGAACAATCTTTTCAATCTCTTTCGGGTCGCTTATTTGCATCAAGCCTTTCTCTTCGACGAGTTTACGAGGAGAACCGCCGTCGAGTAACAACTCGGGCAAGATGTCTTTGCCGATTTTGCCGGAAATCTCGCCGTTTTCAATGAGGAAGCAAAACTCCGCGATTTCCTCTGGATTTAACTTTAAATCGTACGGCGTGGCTAACTTTTCGTTCTTTACGAAGGCTAATAAGTCGTTCGTTAACCAGTTCGCGGCTTGTTTCGAGATGTTGACTTCTTTTTCTTCGCTACTTCTAGAACTATTCGCGGATAAAATCTCGTCGTAAAAGCGAACCAAGTTTTCATCCTCCACGAGAACTTGTACGTCGCCGTTCGGTAACCCTAACGCTTTATACCTGTCGCGAATTTCGTTCGGTAACTCTGGCATTTCCTTTCGAACGTTCGCGACGTACGCTTGCGAACACACGAGTGGATTTAAATCCGGTTCGGGGAAGTAGCGGTAATCCGCCAAGCCCTCTTTTTTGCGCATAGTCACCGTTCGCTGATTTTGGTCGTCCCACGTTCTCGTTTCTTGAACAATCTCATCGCCTCGTCCTTCCTTGTACAGCTTTTCCTGTCTCTCGATTTCGTAATCGATCGCCCGAGCCATCGCGTTGAACGAGTTCATATTTTTCACCTCGACTTTCGTGCCGAATCGTTTTCTCCCGACTGGTTTTACGCTCACGTTGACGTCGCATCGCATGGAGCCTTCGTTCAAGTTCCCATCTGAGGCTTTTAAATATCGAACGATTCTTCGCAACTCTTGACCGTAGGCAGAAACCTCCTTCCCGTTTTTAAAGTCCGGTTCGGTGACAATCTCTAACAAAGCGACACCGGCTCGGTTATAATCCGCCAACGAGTGCGTCGCCGTGGAGACGTTTCCGGATCCGCCCACGTGGTTCAATTTCCCCGCGTCTTCCTCTAAATGCGCGCGCGTAATCCCAATCGTCGCTTCTCCCCCGCCTTCTTCCACTGGAATGACAACTTTAATGTTCCCGTGTTCGCACAACGGCTCGTCGAACTGAGAAATCTGGTACCCTTTCGGCAAGTCCGGATAAAAATATTGCTTCCTATCAAACTTGCTCACCTCGCGGATTTTACAATTCAACGCGACACCAATCTGCACGCCTTTCTCCACAACCTCTTCGCTCAGTTTCGGGTACGTCCCGGGATGTCCCATGCATATTGGACAAATCTGCGTGTTCGCGTTCGCGCCGTAAGAATATTGACACCCGCAAAACGCCTTCGTTTTCGTTTGCAACTGCACGTGCGTTTCGATACCAATCGTCGGTTCGAACTTAGTGTTCGCATCGATCGGGAAATCTTCGGTATCGTCGATTAATTCCGACTGTTCTAACGCCGAGAGGTGAAGTTGTTCTCCTTCTGTTTTCGTCCCCGATGCTGCCGCGTTTGTTGTCGCGCTTCTTCTCCTCCTCCTTCGTTGTTGTTGTCTCGTTTCTTCTCGTTGGTGGAAAATCCCCGTCGCTTCTTTCTTATTGTTCTTATTGTTGTTGTTCTTTTTTGCACTCCTCCTAAAGCGCGAAGACAAAGAAGACAAAGAAGTGGTAGTACTCGTCGTGGTATTATTCATAGTTGCCATCATCATCTCAATCGTCGTCGTCTGAATCGTCTGAATCGTCGTCGTCGTCAAAGAGCACCTTTTTTTCTGCCGTCGCTTTTTTTATCCAAAACTTATTTGGTTTTTCCCTTTCGACTTTGCTCCATTATTATAGTAGTTACACACACGTACCAGTATATATACAAACCATCATCAATCGGCGATGGAGCAAATGAAACATTTCGTTGACACAGGCACGACCGTTCGCGTGTCTGTCACGGATGGACGCGTATTCACGGGGACGTTAGGGTGCGTCGATAAACAGTTGAACGTGGTGTTAATCAACGCCACGGAGACGTTTAAGAAGAAGAAGAAGAAGAGCAAAAGAGGAGGAAAAGAGAAGGAAAAGAGAGAAAACGAAGAGAAGGAAGAAGAGAACAACAAAAGCGATGATGATGTTGAGACGAGCAGTAGCAGTAGTCCACGAGTGATTAACATGGCCCTGATTGCGAGAGAACACCGCGTGAAAATGGAACGGCTCGTCGAAGAAGAAGAAAAGGAAAAGGAAAAGGAGAATTCGGCGAATACTAAAAGTCTCCTCGAAAGCGCTCTGGAAAGCGGATTGAGAATACTGTAGTAAAATTACGAAGAATACTCGAGCGAGAGCAGCCCGTAGTAGAGAGGTTAGCATCGCAGAATAGCCCCGCGTAGTAGTTTAGAAATAGCAACGTATACAATATACACTCTCTTCTTCATCAGAGGAGTGTATCTCGACTTAAAAATCACTTTTTTGGTCCGTGTTTTTTTTTCAAGACTGCTCGAATGAAAATTTCTCTCATCTGATCACACTCGTAATTTTCTCCATTAAATTAATTAAGAAGCAAAAGAGACGCGCTCTTGCTTATTTACACACACACATCGAGAAGATCTTTCTCTGTTCAAGTGATACACAAGCATATAATAAATAAAAATGGCCAACGTGTTGCTCCCGTCTTGGATGTGCATGGGGCCGAGACACAACAACAGTTCGTACTCGAAATCTATCGACCCGAGCACGAGTTTGACGTTTGTGAGTTACAACATTCTCGCGGACGCTTTGAGTGGGAACGAGGCTGGGTTTTCCTCGGAGAACGAGGACTTGGTGTTCGAGAACAGAGCAGGGAAAATATTGAAGAAGATTTTCCCGAGAGAAGACAAAGAAGACAAAGAAGACAACAACAACAACAACAACAACGAGAATGATTCGACGTCCAATCCAGACGTGATTTGCGTCCAAGAGTGCGACCATTATTACGATTTTTTCGAACCGGAGATGCAAAAGAGAGGGTATTTTGGCATCTATCGCGAAGATAAGTGGTCGCCGTGCCAAAAGTTTTCCAACGAGTTGAAAGATGGTCTGGCTATATTTTGTAAGCGGGAAACGGTGGAGTTGGTCGGGATGCACGTCTCGACGACGGCGGAAACGAAGGAGCAAGACGCCAAAGTGTTGTTCGCGCGGTTGATCATGAAGAAGTCATTGACGAGACAAGAAGTGGTGGTGATCAACGCGCACTTGGAGAGCGGGCAGTCGCCGGATAAAGTGGTAACCAGAGTAAATCAAGCGAAGGAGATGTGCTCGAGATTGAACGCGTTTTGCGTGGCGCAATGTTCGAACATCAACACCGTGCAGATTGTGGTGTGCGGCGATTTTAACGCCACGCCGGAGGAGCCGTGCATGGAGCACTTGAGAGGGAGAGGTTTAAAATCCGCGTACGAGGATTTAGAAACGAGCAATAGCAGTAAGAATGGAGAACAAGAACAACAACAATTAGAAGGAGAGGAGCCGTTTTTTACGACGTTTAAAACCAGACTCGGTTTCTTCAAGAACGGAACGAGTAAACGAGTGTCGGATTATATCATGTACTCCGCGCACAGAGGCGCAAAGATTGTTTCTAGAGTAGAGCCGCAACAAAGCGGGTTTGGAGAAGGGGTCGTGGGGTTACCGTCGAAAACGCAACCGAGCGATCACTTGTGCTTGAGATCGCGAGTGAGTTTTGAACATCCCATCGTCGCGACGCCGACTTCGAACGGTGGCGCTCAGGCGAAGTAAACTTCTTATAAAGAGAGAGAGAGAGAAAGAGAGATTTTAAAATCAGTATAAAGGTAGTAATCTACGCTTTACTTACCTGGTACTTTTTGTTATACATACCGTTACTATCTATCTGTATTCCGTGTCAGTATGTCTATTTGTCTCTAACTCTAGGATATCAGACGCGTCGTCCTTTCATCACAAAAACACTTTCAATCGTTCGTGCGAATCTGCATCAACCGCGAATCTTCTCTTGTTTTCGTCCATCCAAAGAATTTGAGCGCCAACGTTTCTCGCGTTGTTGACGGCATCTTGGAACTGATTGCCTTGCATTGGGAAATCCGTGTACATGACGCAATCATCGGCTTTTACTCTGTACAAATCGCGCGCCCAGAGACGGATTTGGTCGCACACCGTCGGCGGTACCGCCGGATGGTTTGGTCTCTTACCGATCGTACACCTCGGGTGCGCTCGCGTTTGGAGATAGTTTACGATTTGATCGGGCGATATACCGGCACGCATGGCGTCTAGAATAGAATCTCGCGTAATCATACCGACGTACGCGTTTGGAAGTTTGTAATCCGGTCGAGTGAATAGACGTAAAACTTCCGTTTCTAGTTCAGAGTGTGTGTACGCGTACACTCTGAAATTCGTCTCCACGATGATGTGTCCGTCGATGCGCGCTAACGCCGATTTCGCCGAAGACGTCGTCGAAACGCTCGATAAACCAGCCGATAAAACGGTAGGCACGTACCAGTTGTTGTCGTTTTCATCGTCTTCATTTTCGTATAAAACGCCTAAAGCGCTTAAATGACTCGCCACGCGTCTTTCCGCCTCGGAGAGATTCGCTTTGGAATATTTGCGCCCCGGGTGTTGAAACGAAAGTCGAACTAAAAACGCCATGGCAGCGGCGGATGATTCGTCGCTCTTGAGTTTGTGTTGTTGCTTTTCATCTTCTCCATTCGTTTCCATCTTGTCGCCCTCGCCGTTTTCTTCGTTTGTTGTTTTATTCTTCATCTTCTTCTCGAAATCTCCGCCTCTCGCGTACCTCGCCAATAAGATCCAAATCTGCTCCGACGTCGCGCCTAACAGAAACGAGAATCCCTCGCTCGTAATTCGTCCATCTTTCGTAATCAGTCTCGCCGCGTAGAACAACTTTCGCAAGTGCAGAGCGTGTTGCGCCCCCGCGCCGCCGTCTCCTTTCTTCTTCATCATCTTCTTCTTCTTTCTCTTCTTCTCCACGGACGCCTCGGACGTCAACTCGAGCAACACCGTCTCCCATCGACTCTTCGCGTAGTGATCTAAAAACCCCGCATCTTCTTCATTAAACCGAGTGGTTGTGGTAGATGTAGTATTCGTCGTTTTTACGTTCGCCTTCTTCTTCTTCTTCTTTTCTCCTTCGTTTTCTTTCTCTTCTTCTTCTTCGTCGTCTAAATCCTCGAAACCTCTCTCGATTGCTCGTTTCACGTGTTTCCGGAAGTGTTCGTGGACGATAAACCCTCCTCCTTTGGAAGCGTTTTCCTCCTTCTTCCCTTCTTCTTCTGAAGAGTGCGATTCAACTTCCACGAACGCTCTGAGCTGCACCAACGCTTTCAATCGCCATCTCGTGCGCTGTTTCGCACCCTCTCTTCGTCCACGAGGCGAGCATTTCGTGCGCGATCACAGAGTGTAACGGTAAAAACACGCATCGCATGATGTATTGTTTCGCCAACGGCGTCAACGCTCGTAACACCGCCAAGGTCGCCCACGGGGAAATCGTATACAAGTGGTTGATTTTCTCCTCGGATAAGTGCGCGAAGAACTCCACGAACGCTGACTGAGATGACCCCGACGAGTATTTCGAGGATGATTGAGAAAACGAACAACCCGTCATCGTGTGAAATTCACTCGAAGATCTATCGAGAGTTTCGCTCCCTCTTTCTCTTCTTCTTTACCTTCTTTACAGAGAAGAGAGAAAGAGAGAACAAAAAAGAGCAAAAGAGATTTTTTGCGTCAGAAAAAAGTGGTGAGAGAGTTGACTCTTTTCAACCAACACACTCCTCTCTCCTTTGATCTATGAAAATCATCTGTTGTCTTAAATGAAGCGCAACGCGTTGAACGATTCAGACGACGACGATTCAGACGACGACCTGTACTCTTCTTCTTCTTCCTCCGATGAAAACGAGGACGATGAAAAGAAGACGACAACAACATCCTTGAAGAAAAAAGCATTCTTCGGAATCGCGAACGAAAATCTCGTCTGCGTCGGGTGTCGAGAGATGAACAGTCCGTGCTTCTCCCAGGGTTTGTGCTTAGACCCGACGGTGATTGAATTACTCGACGATGGAAGTAACAACAACACTAAAGGAGGAGAGAGTTTGTTCTTGATCGAAGGACAACTGGTGAAATCCGTCGGCGAGGAGTGGAAAGCGACGAGTTTAGTCTACTCTCGTACGACGACAGTTAAGAAGACGAAAGAGGAGGAAGAGTTTGAGAATCCGCTGAAGAAGAGGAGTAAAGAAGAAGATGACGACGATGAACTTTTAGATGGTACAAGAAGACTTTCGGGAGAGCAACCACCAAAGACGGTTGAATCTTCTACTACCGATGATACCTCTGCGACTGCCGCCGCCGGTGGAGGCAAAACGCCGCATCCGCTGATTGCGTTGGGTTTACCCGCCGACGTCGAGGAGGCGAAAGCGTATTTGAAACGAATCAACGCGGAGACTATCCCGCACGGCAACCATCGCGATTTTTTGTACAAGAACCACTTGTTGCATTTTTACGAGAGAAGAAGACAGAAGGACGGAGGACAAGAAGAAGAAGAAGACGAAGAGGACGGCATGTGCGGGAGCGACTGCCGAGAGCAACACGGAGGGAGCGGCAAACGTTTTAGCAACGTCGAGGATCACGGGCGAATCGAGGCGGTGATTCGACGTCAGAGGAAAGGACACGAGCAAAATCTCGGTGGAGGTGATTACGTGCCTTTGCAACGAAGTAGCGCGCGAGCGAACGGAAAAGAAAATGAAAGCAAAGAAGAAGAAGAAAGAGAAGAAAATCAAAAGGATACCGTCGTAGATATACGTCAAATCGTCGAGCACGAGCGTCGAGGCGGTAACGAAGTCGCCTCGCAAACGCGATTCAAAGTCGAAGGTATCTGTTGCCCGAGCGAAGTGCCTTTGATCCATAACATTTTAGATTCAATGTCCGGCGTGAGAGACGTAAAAGTCATAGTTCCGACGAAAATGGTTTTAGTGGAGCACGCGAAATCGTACGCACCGGTTGAGTTATTGGTCGACGCTTTGAACGCGGCAGCGTGTTACGCGCATCCGTCGCGGACGTGGATTATTACGACCAAAAGAATGGCGGAGCAACATCAAAATTTCACGCGATTATGGTCAACTTACCCGGGCCGAAGATTCTGTTGGCGTGTTTATTTACTGTCGTCAGTTTGTTGCACTTTATAAAAGACGATCGAGGCGTTTTTGAACACTTCAAATGGGTTGCTTTAGGCGCCATCGCGGTTGGATTACCGGAAATTCTTTTGAAATCGTACGGGTCGTTGCGAATGCGCGTGGTTGATATAAACACGCTAATGGCAATCGCCATCGCCGGTGCTGTCGCTTTACAGGATTTCTTCGAAGCTGCCGCGGTGGTGAGTTTATTCACCTTGTCCGAATGGCTCGAGTCTCGCGCTATGGCAAAAACGTCGGACGCCATGAGCGCCGTGCTCGCTTTGCGCGTGGACGAAGCTGAGCTCGTCAATAAAGACGACCAAACTACACAGAAAGTCGCGGTTGAATCTGTGAATGTTGACGCAATCGTTCGCGTTCGACCGGGCGCACGCGTTCCACTCGATGGTATCGTTGTCGATGGCTCGACTGCTATCGACGAGAGCGCGTTGACTGGGGAATCAAAACCGGTTTCGAAAACCGTCGATTCGCAGGTCTTTGGTGGCACCGTGAACCAAAAAGGATCTATCGACGTCCGCGTGACATCGGTATCCGTAGACTCGGCGTATTCGAGGCTCATTCGGTTAGTCGAGGAAGCGCAGTCCATGCGCTCCTCGGCCGAACGAATGATTGAAACGTTCGCGAAATGGTACACTCCAATCGTCATATTAGCCGCGTTACTTTACGGCGTCATACCGGTTTTGATTTCCACAGATAACGCGAAAGAGTCGTTGTATACCGCGTGCGTTTTATTAGTCATCGCGTGTCCGTGTGCGCTCGTGTTGTCCACACCCGTCGTTTCCGTGTGCGGCTTAACCGTGTGCGCAAAACGCGGCGTCGTGGTGAAAGGTTCACAATTCTTGGAAAGATTGGGACAGTTGAAAACGATGTATATCGACAAAACGGGCACTTTGACCACGGGGACATTTGAAATGACGGAAGTGAAACTAGCAACGCCGCCGAGTGAAGACGCGAGCACACCACGTCCGGCGTTGGGCGTTGGCGCGCTACTACGCTGGGTGTGTGCGGTGGAGTCGAAATCGTCGCACCCGTTGGCGTTTGCGATTCAAAAGAACGCGGGTGCGGCTGTTCGCGTCGCGGCGAGACAGTGTGTGGTGACGAATTACGAACAAATCGACGGCGTCGGCGTGCGAGCGATGGTCGATAACGTTTTAGTTGAACTCGGGAACGAAAAATTGGCCGAAAAGAAACTGTGGACATTGTCTGATTTGAAGTTGTATGAGACGGCTATTCGATGGGAAACAGAAATTGGCGCGACGGTGGTTTGGGTTGGCATCAACGGCAAACTTGGCGGTATTTTGAAAGCAGAAGATTCGTTGAGGCCGAGTGCGAAAGATGCGATTGCGAAATTACAGAAATCATCGATCGACGTGATCATCTTAACCGGCGATAACAAAGGCGCGGCGGAGATGTGCGCCAAAAATGTCGGCATCGATGTGCACACGAACGTGTTCAGCTCGCTGACACCGAACGAGAAACTGAATAGGATTACTGAGGAGGTTCAAAAGCAAGAGAAAGAGTTAGTGGCGCGAAAAAAAACAATCTTCCGAACGTCTGGACGTGGTACAATTGCGATGGTTGGTGACGGCATAAACGACGCGCCGGCGTTATCGGCAGCGGACGTTGGCGTTGCCATGGGCGTTGCCGGAACCGCGGCAGCGATGGAGACCGCTCCAGTCGCATTATTGACGAACGATTTAAGTCGTCTCGCGGATACGATTTATATCGGAAGAAGATGCGTCTTGAAGATTCGACAAAACATTTTCTTTTCGGTGACGACAAAATTAGTCGTTTTAGGCCTGACTTTTGCCGGTTTGGCTGGGTTGTGGCAAGCCGTCGTCGTGGACGTCGGGAGCGCGTTGGTTGTCATTTTCAACGGCATGTCGATTTTGCGCGAAGCGGAGAAGGATGACGCGAGACGAAACAAGATTTCACACGAAATTGGCGTTAAATTTGCGGAAGAAGAAAAGGAGAAACAGAAACTGTTGGCGGAGCGGCAACAAGTACATTCGCACGGTCATTCGCAACAAGTGCATTCGCACGGTCATTCGCACGCGCACGATCATTCTTGCTGCGACCATGACAAGGAAGAAGGAAAAAAAAACAGTCCCCCCTTCGTGTTGCGCGGCGGCAGTAACAGTAACAACAATACAAAATCAAGCGCTTAGAATCATCGGCTTTTACTCTGTACAAATCGCGCGCCCAGAGACGGATTTGGTCGCACACCGTCGGCGGTACCGCCGGATGGTTTGGTCTCTTACCGATCGTACACCTCGGGTGCGCTCGCGTTTGGAGATAGTTTACGATTTGATCGGGCGATATACCGGCACGCATGGCGTCTAGAATAGAATCTCGCGTAATCATACCGACGTACGCGTTTGGAAGTTTGTAATCCGGTCGAGTGAATAGACGTAAAACTTCCGTTTCTAGTTCAGAGTGTGTGTACGCGTACACTCTGAAATTCGTCTCCACGATGATGTGTCCGTCGATGCGCGCTAACGCCGATTTCGCCGAAGACGTCGTCGAAACGCTCGATAAACCAGCCGATAAAACGGTAGGCACGTACCAGTTGTTGTCGTTTTCATCGTCTTCATTTTCGTATAAAACGCCTAAAGCGCTTAAATGACTCGCCACGCGTCTTTCCGCCTCGGAGAGATTCGCTTTGGAATATTTGCGCCCCGGGTGTTGAAACGAAAGTCGAACTAAAAACGCCATGGCAGCGGCGGATGATTCGTCGCTCTTGAGTTTGTGTTGTTGCTTTTCATCTTCTCCATTCGTTTCCATCTTGTCGCCCTCGCCGTTTTCTTCGTTTGTTGTTTTATTCTTCATCTTCTTCTCGAAATCTCCGCCTCTCGCGTACCTCGCCAATAAGATCCAAATCTGCTCCGACGTCGCGCCTAACAGAAACGAGAATCCCTCGCTCGTAATTCGTCCATCTTTCGTAATCAGTCTCGCCGCGTAGAACAACTTTCGCAAGTGCAGAGCGTGTTGCGCCCCCGCGCCGCCGTCTCCTTTCTTCTTCATCATCTTCTTCTTCTTTCTCTTCTTCTCCACGGACGCCTCGGACGTCAACTCGAGCAACACCGTCTCCCATCGACTCTTCGCGTAGTGATCTAAAAACCCCGCATCTTCTTCATTAAACCGAGTGGTTGTGGTAGATGTAGTATTCGTCGTTTTTACGTTCGCCTTCTTCTTCTTCTTCTTTTCTCCTTCGTTTTCTTTCTCTTCTTCTTCTTCGTCGTCTAAATCCTCGAAACCTCTCTCGATTGCTCGTTTCACGTGTTTCCGGAAGTGTTCGTGGACGATAAACCCTCCTCCTTTGGAAGCGTTTTCCTCCTTCTTCCCTTCTTCTTCTGAAGAGTGCGATTCAACTTCCACGAACGCTCTGAGCTGCACCAACCTTTCAATCGCCATCTCGTGCGCTGTTTCGCACCCTCTCTTCGTCCACGAGGCGAGCATTTCGTGCGCGATCACAGAGTGTAACGGTAAAAACACGCATCGCATGATGTATTGTTTCGCCAACGGCGTCAACGCTCGTAACACCGCCAAGGTCGCCCACGGGGAAATCGTATACAAGTGGTTGATTTTCTCCTCGGATAAGTGCGCGAAGAACTCCACGAACGCTGACTGAGATGACCCCGACGAGTATTTCGAGGATGATTGAGAAAACGAACAACCCGTCATCGTGTGAAATTCACTCGAAGATCTATCGAGAGTTTCGCTCCCTCTTTCTCTTCTTCTTTACCTTCTTTACAGAGAAGAGAGAAAGAGAGAACAAAAAAGAGCAAAAGAGATTTTTTGCGTCAGAAAAAAGTGGTGAGAGAGTTGACTCTTTTCAACCAACACACTCCTCTCTCCTTTGATCTATGAAAATCATCTGTTGTCTTAAATGAAGCGCAACGCGTTGAACGATTCAGACGACGACGATTCAGACGACGACCTGTACTCTTCTTCTTCTTCCTCCGATGAAAACGAGGACGATGAAAAGAAGACGACAACAACATCCTTGAAGAAAAAAGCATTCTTCGGAATCGCGAACGAAAATCTCGTCTGCGTCGGGTGTCGAGAGATGAACAGTCCGTGCTTCTCCCAGGGTTTGTGCTTAGACCCGACGGTGATTGAATTACTCGACGATGGAAGTAACAACAACACTAAAGGAGGAGAGAGTTTGTTCTTGATCGAAGGACAACTGGTGAAATCCGTCGGCGAGGAGTGGAAAGCGACGAGTTTAGTCTACTCTCGTACGACGACAGTTAAGAAGACGAAAGAGGAGGAAGAGTTTGAGAATCCGCTGAAGAAGAGGAGTAAAGAAGAAGATGACGACGATGAACTTTTAGATGGTACAAGAAGACTTTCGGGAGAGCAACCACCAAAGACGGTTGAATCTTCTACTACCGATGATACCTCTGCGACTGCCGCCGCCGGTGGAGGCAAAACGCCGCATCCGCTGATTGCGTTGGGTTTACCCGCCGACGTCGAGGAGGCGAAAGCGTATTTGAAACGAATCAACGCGGAGACTATCCCGCACGGCAACCATCGCGATTTTTTGTACAAGAACCACTTGTTGCATTTTTACGAGAGAAGAAGACAGAAGGACGGAGGACAAGAAGAAGAAGAAGACGAAGAGGACGGCATGTGCGGGAGCGACTGCCGAGAGCAACACGGAGGGAGCGGCAAACGTTTTAGCAACGTCGAGGATCACGGGCGAATCGAGGCGGTGATTCGACGTCAGAGGAAAGGACACGAGCAAAATCTCGGTGGAGGTGATTACGTGCCTTTGCAACGAAGTAGCGCGCGAGCGAACGGAAAAGAAAATGAAAGCAAAGAAGAAGAAGAAAGAGAAGAAAATCAAAAGGATACCGTCGTAGATATACGTCAAATCGTCGAGCACGAGCGTCGAGGCGGTAACGAAGTCGCCTCGCAAACGCGATTCAAAGTCGAAGGTATCTGTTGCCCGAGCGAAGTGCCTTTGATCCATAACATTTTAGATTCAATGTCCGGCGTGAGAGACGTAAAAGTCATAGTTCCGACGAAAATGGTTTTAGTGGAGCACGCGAAATCGTACGCACCGGTTGAGTTATTGGTCGACGCTTTGAACGCGGCGCATTTACGCGCATCCGTCGCGGACGTGGATTATTACGACCAAAAGAATGGCGGAGCAACATCAAAATTTCACGCGATTATGGTCAACTTACCCGGGCCGAAGATTCTGTTGGCGTGTTTATTTACTGTCGTCAGTTTGTTGCACTTTATAAAAGACGATCGAGGCGTTTTTGAACACTTCAAATGGGTTGCTTTAGGCGCCATCGCGGTTGGATTACCGGAAATTCTTTTGAAATCGTACGGGTCGTTGCGAATGCGCGTGGTTGATATAAACACGCTAATGGCAATCGCCATCGCCGGTGCTGTCGCTTTACAGGATTTCTTCGAAGCTGCCGCGGTGGTGAGTTTATTCACCTTGTCCGAATGGCTCGAGTCTCGCGCTATGGCAAAAACGTCGGACGCCATGAGCGCCGTGCTCGCTTTGCGCGTGGACGAAGCTGAGCTCGTCAATAAAGACGACCAAACTACACAGAAAGTCGCGGTTGAATCTGTGAATGTTGACGCAATCGTTCGCGTTCGACCGGGCGCACGCGTTCCACTCGATGGTATCGTTGTCGATGGCTCGACTGCTATCGACGAGAGCGCGTTGACTGGGGAATCAAAACCGGTTTCGAAAACCGTCGATTCGCAGGTCTTTGGTGGCACCGTGAACCAAAAAGGATCTATCGACGTCCGCGTGACATCGGTATCCGTAGACTCGGCGTATTCGAGGCTCATTCGGTTAGTCGAGGAAGCGCAGTCCATGCGCTCCTCGGCCGAACGAATGATTGAAACGTTCGCGAAATGGTACACTCCAATCGTCATATTAGCCGCGTTACTTTACGGCGTCATACCGGTTTTGATTTCCACAGATAACGCGAAAGAGTCGTTGTATACCGCGTGCGTTTTATTAGTCATCGCGTGTCCGTGTGCGCTCGTGTTGTCCACACCCGTCGTTTCCGTGTGCGGCTTAACCGTGTGCGCAAAACGCGGCGTCGTGGTGAAAGGTTCACAATTCTTGGAAAGATTGGGACAGTTGAAAACGATGTATATCGACAAAACGGGCACTTTGACCCACGGGGACATTTGAAATGACGGAAGTGAAACTAGCAACGCCGCCGAGTGAAGACGCGAGCACACCACGTCCGGCGTTGGGCGTTGGCGCGCTACTACGCTGGGTGTGTGCGGTGGAGTCGAAATCGTCGCACCCGTTGGCGTTTGCGATTCAAAAGAACGCGGGTGCGGCTGTTCGCGTCGCGGCGAGACAGTGTGTGGTGACGAATTACGAACAAATCGACGAGCGATCGGCGTAAGCTGAGCGATGGTCGATAACGTTTTAGTTGAACTCGGGAACGAAAAATTGGCCGAAAAGAAACTGTGGACATTGTCTGATTTGAAGTTGTATGAGACGGCTATTCGATGGGAAACAGAAATTGGCGCGACGGTGGTTTGGGTTGGCATCAACGGCAAACTTGGCGGTATTTTGAAAGCAGAAGATTCGTTGAGGCCGAGTGCGAAAGATGCGATTGCGAAATTACAGAAATCATCGATCGACGTGATCATCTTAACCGGCGATAACAAAGGCGCGGCGGAGATGTGCGCCAAAAATGTCGGCATCGATGTGCACACGAACGTGTTCAGCTCGCTGACACCGAACGAGAAACTGAATAGGATTACTGAGGAGGTTCAAAAGCAAGAGAAAGAGTTAGTGGCGCGAAAAAAAACAATCTTCCGAACGTCTGGACGTGGTACAATTGCGATGGTTGGTGACGGCATAAACGACGCGCCGGCGTTATCGGCAGCGGACGTTGGCGTTGCCATGGGCGTTGCCGGAACCGCGGCAGCGATGGAGACCGCTCCAGTCGCATTCAATCTGACGAACGATTTGAGTCGTCTCGCGGATACGATTTATATCGGAAGAAGATGCGTCTTGAAGATTCGACAAAACATTTTCTTTTCGGTGACGACAAAATTAGTCGTTTTAGGCCTGACTTTTGCCGGTTTGGCTGGGTTGTGGCAAGCCGTCGTCGTGGACGTCGGGAGCGCGTTGGTTGTCATTTTCAACGGCATGTCGATTTTGCGCGAAGCGGAGAAGGATGACGCGAGACGAAACAAGATTTCACACGAAATTGGCGTTAAATTTGCGGAAGAAGAAAAGGAGAAACAGAAACTGTTGGCGGAGCGGCAACAAGTACATTCGCACGGTCATTCGCAACAAGTGCATTCGCACGGTCATTCGCACGCGCACGATCATTCTTGCTGCGACCATGACAAGGAAGAAGGAAAAAAAAACAGTCCCCCCTTCGTGTTGCGCGGCGGCAGTAACAGTAACAACAATACAAAATCAAGCGCTTAGATAGCTGCACTAGTAATAGCAAAGATATACACGAAAGGAATGCGAGCTTATTTCCATTCATACACTTGAAAGAGCTACTAAGACTAAATCTATAATTCTACACACTCATTGCGTCTGAAGAGGACGGCGATGCGACGAGCAACTCATCTTCATCATCGTCATCATCATCGTCTTCACTATCACCCGACGAAGAGAAACGAGAAGACGTGACATCGACGAGGTAAACGAACTCGTTCTTGCCGCCTCCGATGTCTCTTCGAAACTGTTTTATCATGCGCAATTTTTTCTGCCCCGAGTTGGAGGCGTTTAACACGTGATAAATGGGAGCGCCATTCTCCATTATTCGCGTGGGACCTAAGTATTGCCCGTTTTGTATAACGCCAACGATTTGGTTACCAAGTGATGATTCTTCAAATTCATCTTTTTCTTCCTTCATCGAAACTTTTTCCTCGTCCACGTCGCTGACTATCTTGAAGGAATGCGCGTCTAACTTTTCGAGCGTTTTTCGATCGTCTAAACTGACCCACTTCCCAGTCGTCGGACATCTTAACTCGCTCGGTTTATACTCGCCTTTATAGCGCATCTTTTGGCAATCGTGGATGTAATAACCCATGTAGTAGTATTTGAAATCACCCAAGGAATACTTTGCCGTGTTGCGATTCTTGGAGACAAAATCGATTTCGTACAACGCGCTCAACTTTCCCAACTCGAGTTTCATTAAATCCGGATCGTGATAAAAGTATACCGAGCTCAGGGCGGTCGGTAAGACATCGCAAACGCCGACGGCTACGAGTTTATCGTCGATAAAATATCGAAAATGTTTCGACCCGTACGTTTTGTCGTCTGAAACTAACGGCGTGTCGCATAAAAAATTAACATACGAACTCTTCTTCAACTTTGAAGGCGGATCGTTGTGAATTTTCGCCTGGTATCTTTGCCATAATTCGAAATCTTCCCGTCTAAATTCTGAGTTTTCAACCGTGACGGTGAACATTTTGTGTTTGCTCGTTGTTTTCTTCTTCTGTGGCTTCAACGTTGGGTGGTCGTCTTTCTTTTCCTTCTTCTTCGTTGGCATCCCCCGCGATGGTTTTATTTTCGTCTTTTCAGAATTTCCTTCCGAGGAGGAGGGAAAAAAATTGAGAAAGCCGCCTCGCGCTTCCACTCTGAAGTGTTTCGTTTCATTCTGTTCCTCCGTCAATCGCTTCAAAACCTTCGCGACGACTTCCTCTCGATCTTTTTTCAGTTTTCCTGCGATTATTAAACACGCCGAGGAGGTATATTTTGATCCTCTTTCCAACGCTTCTTTGTTCGTCGTTTTCTGTACCAGTAGTTTTTTCTCGTTGTTGAAAATATCTTTGTCGCAATCAACAAAAGAGACTGATTTCTCGATGGCGTCTAACACGCGCTGGTTCAAGAACACTCTAATTTCATCATCATCGTCATTATCTTCTTTTTCGTTTTTATCGCCGCCGTTTTGTCGATGATGATGATGATGATACGTTGATGTTGATGATGACGAAGTCTCAAAACCCGTCTCTAAATATCTCTCAAACTTTCTCTCCACTCTCTTCTGTTTCGACGTCTTTTGAAACCTTTCCACGTTCAATCGAATCGTGCACAGCACGCAACAGTTGCTCTCGATCGGCGTCGGGTGGTACACCCACCTCCCGCTTCGTCTCCACCCGTTGTTGATGCATCTTTCGTAATCGAAAACGGTTAAGAAATGCGCCACGAAACCGGTTGAAATCGACGAAGAGGATGATGATGATGATGAGTTTTTGCAGTATCCGCAGCGCGTTTTAGAATACTCTCCGTGATATTCGATGACGGACTTTACGTTTAAAGACGACGATTCAGACGACGACATGCTTTATCAGTATGCTCTCATTATTATTATTATTATTATTATTATTATTATTATGAGGAGATGATGAACTCTTATACGAAAAATCTTATTAAAAAAAACAACTACCAGTACTTACAACTTATTGAACGATACCGGCGTATCGTTGTGGACTCTCCAAATCGTTTCACCGAGTAAGTTCCCGACGGATAACACGGTCAACTGTGCGAAATCTCTCTCCGGCGTATGCGGAATAGAATTGGTCACGATGACTTCGGTAAACGCGCCGCTGCCTAACCGTTCCACCGCGGGTGGCGAAAACACCGCGTGCGTGGCGCAAGCGTACACTTCTCTCGCGCCGAGCGTGCGACACAATTCCGCACCAGCCAGCAAAGTACCGCCGGTGTCAATCATATCGTCCAACATGACGCAAACTTTTCCTTCAACGTCACCGATTAAGTTCATCACTTGCGCTTTGTTGTGTCCCGTGCGTCTTTTATCGATGATGGCTAAAGGCGCGTCGGCTAATTTTTTGGCAAACGCTCGCGCTCGAGGCACGCCACCAACGTCCGGGCTGACGACGACAACTTCGTCCGGGTGGAAGTCTTTCGAGGTTAAATAATCTAAGATGACAGTTTCGCCGTAAATGTGATCGACGGGAATGTCGTAATACCCAATCGTTTGTAACGAGTGAATGTCCATCAACACCGCTCGCGTCGCTCCAGCCTGGGTCAACAAGTTTGCGACGAGTTTCGCGGCAATCGATTCTCTCCCAGCCGTTCTTCGATCGGCTCTGGCGTAGCCGAAATATGGGATCACGGCGGTAATCGAACGGCAACTCGCGCGTCGACAGGCGTCAATCATAACCAGCAACTCCATGATGTTGTCGTTCGTCGGCGGGCACGTCGGTTGCACTAAAAACACGTCCGAACCGCGAATGGACTCGTTTATTTGCACGTAAATCTCCCCATCCGCAAACTTCTTAATCGTCAGTTTCCCTAAATCCATGCCTAAATAGTTGGCAATTTCCGTGGACAATTCCGGGTGCGCCGATCCGCTAAAAACTTTCAGAGCGTTTTTTGTGTTTGAAATTACAGGAGAATTTTGATTGAAAGAGGAAATGATGTGTTCTCCTCTTTCAACGAAACCATTATTATTATGAGAAGAACCAAAAGAAGAGTTTTCGACCAAATCGGCGAATATGTCCGAAGAGTTCGTTGAAGAGGAATCTTCCGATATCGCTTCTGCTTTGATTGTAATATTCTTTTGTTGAACCTTGTTGTTTCTCATCGTTTTCGCCGTCGTTTTCAGGGTATTCAAACGAAATGATGATGATGCCTTCTTCTTAAAAACATTATCAAACGATGATGATGATGATGTCATCAACGTTGATGATGACGTCATCATCATCATCATCATCGTTTCCTCTTATAATCTTCTTCTTCTTCTTCTTCTTCTTCTTCTCAGATGATGATATGTGTATTAAGAAGAATACTTATGTCGTTGTTGTTATTATTATTGGTTCTTACTTTGAAACAACCTCTTTCAACGAATAAAAAAACAAAAGTGAGAATTGTTGTTGTTTAGGGCTATTTTTTTTGAAGAGAGTAATATTCTTTAAATTCGGCCCGAAAGCTTACTATATGGTCATATAATATAGTAAGCTGGTTCGCGGGGGCGCCTTTCCGCTGTGCTCCTTCCCGTTCCGCTCGTGCTGCTCGTATAATATAGTTGGTTAGTGTAAGTACTACTCCCTTGCTCTTTCTTTGAAGCTGATCTTGCTTCTTTCTAGATTCTGGACTTTGAATCCAGCCACCAAGGTTCGAATCCTTGTGCGAGCTTCGTTTTTTTTGCTCTTTTCAAGTGTCGTGTGACGCCGCGTTGGCGAACTTGGCTTTTTTTTTGCCGTTTCGTGCATGATGCGGGATAATCATACGAGTCGGCGCGCTTTTGTGTCGTATTCGCGTCGTGCAAGTAAGTACCATAGCGCGGAAAACCTTTTTTTTTTGCTCCTCTTTTATAAAAATGTCTTTGTCTTGTCTTTTTCCTCTCTCCAAAACGCCTCCTTTTTTTCTTCTTTGACGGAAAACAAAAAGAGAGAGAAAAAGAAGAAGAAGAGAAGTTGGTTTTGTCGTGATACATACGTCACGACTGGAGCGATGACGACGAGAGAAACGCAGCAGAAAAGCCGGATGATCGGGAAGAGCGATTCTTTGTGGGATTTGATCGTGAAGAACGACGATATTTGTTTCACACACATTCTTCCGAGATTGAATGAGACGGATGTGAAATTCTTGTACGAGGTGAATAGTGAAACGAGAAAGTTGATCAAGAGATCGTCTCGTGCGGGTGATTTGAAAGAGGAGTTTGAAGTTGAAGAGATGTCGTCGATATCGACTTTGGAGTTTGTGTGGGAGAATAAATCGTTGTGGCCGATTTGGTGGAGCGAAAGAGATTTCTGCGTAAAAGTTGCTCGAACGAATAAACTCGAGTTGCTCAAGTGGGCGCGAGAGGAGAAAAAATGTGAGTGGGATTATAGGACGATTATTGCGGCCGCAGAACAAGGTAATCTGGAAATGGTAAAGTATTGCGTGGCAAAGAAGTGTCCTATCGGTACGTGGGTGTGTGCAAAAGCTGCCCAAAATGGTCATCTCGAGGTACTCAAATACTTACGCGAAGAAGTCAAAGCGCGTTGGGATTCTAATACTGCCGCTGGGGCGGCTTTCAAAGGTCATCTTCACATACTCGAATATCTTGTTGAGCGTAAGTATGATCAATATAGCGTATACGCGTGTGCGTTTGCAGCCGAGAACGGCCACTTAGAGTGTTTGAAGTACTTACACGAAACCGCCAAAGCGCCGTGGGACGAAAAAGCGGTACGAGAAGCGCACGAGAAAAACCACACCGACTGTGTACAATACCTCCTCGACAACGACTGCCCATTACCAGAAGGTTGGCAATACGAGCACGGAGAGTTAAACGTGCCAGAATCAGAATCAGAATAATAATAATTATTATTATTATTATCGTGATTACACAAATACAATTAAAGCACTTGTAATGCAGAGAGACACGCGTCAAACTTCAAAAAAAGGTTTCAACGACGCCACCGGTAATCGACCAAAGCAACGCAAAGCGTTCACGCACGAACCCATGAACCCATAATTGTTGTTGTTGTTCTTCTCGAACCTCTCAAAACCCCACCAAAACTGAACGACGTGTTTGCAATATTTTCGTAGAAATTTTTTCCCTCTTCTTGACTGTTTTTGTTGTACCAATTTAACGAGCTTTTGCGTTTCCCCCAAAACTGTTACCGCTCTGAATAACACTATTATTCCATCATCCTCGTCAAAAGAACCATCCTCAACAAAATATATTTTAATGCTCTCCAGCGAAGAAACTAGAAATACCACCATCGCTCGCACCAACAACGCAGCCGCGTGTAAGACCAAGTAGCTCGCAAAATACGCAAACGTCGTCGGGAAGAAGAGGAAAATGGGTGGCACGAAAAGAACACCAAACACGAGACTTTCCGTGGACTGTCTCTTCGTGGTGTGTTCCTCTTCTTTCCGTCGTTGCAAGGGACGACCGAAACCAGCCTCGTAACAAAATTTTCCAAACGCAACTTGAGCGGTGATGAGTAAACTCGAATACACGTGCAACGCGGCGGCGTGCGAGGTGAATAGGAACATGCAGTCGGATAAAAACGCGAGTTGCGTCGTGAGACCGAGGAACCACAGACGTTCATCGATATTTCGGACGATGGTATCGAATCGAACGCCTAAAACGGAGGCGTATCCCTCCGCAAGTACTATGGCTAACCCACTCAACGTTCGACTCAACGGTAAGTGAAGCTTGACCCCCAACGGGTCACCTTTGGCGAGCCAATTCGCGTTGCGAATTAAATAGTCGCCGTTGATGAACCCGGAAGACATCATTTGAACCCGGGATGCTATTCGCGCGAAACATGCTCGCGCGAGGAAAACATCGAATGCAAACGCGACTATCGATTTGAGCATAGGCGCCTGATATACACGTCGTCGTAACAGTATCGCTACGCGCGTCGCGAGCAAACGCGAGCTGATGCTCACGCCAGATATTGGTTTCCGTTTCAATTTGCCATCTTTCCAGCTACTGTTTCCTTTCCCACTTCCGGAAAAATACGGCACAAACTCGTACTCGTCCAAGACTTTATGCACCGGCGAGAGGAATGCGGAGGAAATCGAGGTGAGGAAAGCGTTGTTGCTCGTTCCTTTTTTACTTTTCCTCGCTTTTTTTTGCTGTCGTTCGTAGGACGCCAAGGAAGACAAAGACAGCACCTTGACGATTGCATCTAGCCCCGTTCTTTTTACCTCTGTGTGCTGAGAACGACGACTGTTATCACTCTCATGCGCGTTACTATTATTCGTCGTCGCGTCGATGGCCTCGCGAGCGACCGAAACGAACAATATGTCGTCAAACTCTCTCTTTCGTCCCTTCGAGTCGACGACGCTCACCGAGAACGGCACGCGGTGGGAACACGCTTTTAAGCGAAAAGTCACGAAATAAACTTCGGCGTCGTTTGCGTCGTCGTTGTCGTTCTCGTCGTTCTTATTGTTGTACTCTTTATGCTCATCGATATCGATATCGTCGTTTCTAAATATTATTTTGCCTATTCGTTTCGCCTCGATGACTTTAATAACGTTCCTCTTAATGGTTTCTTTCTTGTGGTTTCGTCGTGGGAACAAAATTCGCAGAACGGCATCATCATCATCATCATCATCATCCTCGGAGAGTTGAGAAGAAGAAGAAGAAGAAGAGGAATCGAAGGTAATCTTCTTCGCGCCAATTTCGCTCACCACGCAGTTCCAAATCTCTCGTTTTTCTCCTCTCCTCTGTTCGTCCTCGTCTGTATCGTCTGTATCCATAAATCCATCATCGCTTCGAAATATCCAACCGTAAACTTCTTTTTCTTCGTCTTCTTCTTCGAAATACTCCGAGGGATAGAATATTCGCATCATCATTTTCGCGTCTCGTCTTCTCGGTGTGGTTGTCTTTGTTTTATTTTCAGTCGAAGAAAGGAAAGAAGAGGAGGCGTTCGCGTTTGACCGACGACGACGTGATGTTTGACGCGCATCCATTTTTGCTTTAATAAAAAGATGTGAAGAAAAAAGTGACCATTTTGAAGAAGAAATATATTATAAACAACAGTATTACATTACCCTCCTTCTCCTTCTTTATGCTATTGCTATCGCTGCTATCGCTGCTGCTGCTGTACAATTTTCGTGTTTCTTTTTTCTCTCTTTCCTCTAAAATCAACGACTTCACCTGCTGTCGTTTCTGCAGTATCGACAGGCGGTGCGCCCGCGATTTTTGAAAGAGTTCGCCCAACCGCATTTATTCGTTTTGGGATCGTAATGCGGGCACGATCTGGTGTTACGCGCCGGTTTGTTTTTCACAACCTCCGCTCTTCGTTCTCGTTCTATTCGCGCCTCTCTCTCCCTTTTTCTCCCTTCTTCTGCACCGAGAAAACAAAACTCGCGAATGAGTAACCACGCCTTTGCGACGCCTTCAGGGTACCCGGTGAATTTTACCTCGCCGATCTCCAATATCTCGTACTTAACTTTGAGTTTTTGTCCAAGGTATTCTTCTGTTTGTCTTTGTGTGACATATTTTGATCCTTTTAGCATACCCAGCATGTTACCGACCTCTTCAGCGATTGTTATTTTACCATCGGTGTCTCTCTTGTACTTGGTTTCGTCGTCAATGAATGCTGTAATTTCCGGTTTGTACTCTTTTATCAATCCTTTCGAAACCAAGGTTCTGAGACCATCTAACTTCCATATGCCCGTGGTATTTACCCGTCGTTCGCTCAACTTTGCCGCAATGTGCCTGAGTTCACGAGTACGCAACCAAGCGGATTTTGTGCTCGTTTTATTTCCGTATAACCAAATGACGTTCCTCTCGTTGAATTTTTTCACCACAAAACCGGAATCTTCCTCCATAATCTTTCTCTTCAAATCGCCCACCATCCGCTCGTCGAAGTAACTCGCATCGCATCCATCGAGACTTACTTCCACGTTTACTTTCTTCCCTCCATCCATCGGCAGTTCGTCTATGAAATCAGTGCTTTCTTTTTCGTAAGGCGTAATCTTCTTCAAGCGAGCTTCCTTAAATTGAAGCCAATCGCTCTTGGACTCGCTTTCTCCCAGTTGCCCCGAGACTGGAGTATTTCTAGCCGTAGGCGTTTTCGAAGGACTTGTATCTTTCGCGAGATCGTCGTCGGGATTTTCACTCGGTTTCAACCGGGGATCTTGCGTGTGAGTAGATCTCGTCGCGTTCGCTGACAAACTTTTTTCTCGCATAGCTTCCGCGTGCTTCTTTCCGAATGCGTGCCCATTCCAGAGATTTTTCCCATACAAACCCGTTGTCACTTGGCAGCAATCACAGCTCCATATCAACTGAATAGAACCGGTGACAGGATGATGTGTAATTTTGGGTCTGAAATACTCCGCGCCTTCAATTTTCTTGCTCTTCAAGTTTTGTTGGTGACAGTTAGTTTTTGCGTGTTGATTCCAACAATTCTCGATCACAGCATCCTTATGGTGTTTTCCTGCGAACTTCACCCCGCACAAATCACAATACAAACCATCAGGCGGCTCTGCTAATTTTGCCGCTGCAGAAAAAGGATTATCCGCGGAGGCGCTTGGATAAGTCGTGGTCGCCATGTGCGCATCCCGAGCCGTCGCGGAGGAAGGTGGTGTGTACCCAGCGAAGTATCCAATATTGAGCACAGAGTTGATTGGATCCTTGGAGTCCAGTATGAACTTATCCGTTTTGCTCTTCGCGTACGCCGCATTTTCTTTCTCCCTAAATTGTACGTGAATAACTTTCTTTTCTCCTCCAGCGCCGAAGAAGGAAGTATCGTCACGAACCGTTACGTGCTGAAATCCTTCGAAGAATCGGAATAAGTTAGTCAGTTCCCTTTCTGTGACGTTTCGTGCACTCGTCTTGATGAGCAGACACGGTTCTGCTCTTTCCGGGGCTACGAATCCAAACGGCATCTCAATTCTGAAATCGTGCAAGTGTTTGTTCTCGTCGGCTTTTTGTTGTGTTTGTTGTGTTTGCTGTGTTTGCTTTTGTTGCTGGACATATCTCGGCAGTGGCGGATCCATTGCCGTCGAAGAGATAGTAAGCTTTGGAATAACCGGCGGCGGACCACCGTTGACAATTGTTTTCACGGGTGGTATTTCTTTTCTCATCACCACGTCCAATAAAGTGCTGCTTCGTTTTGGGATTTGCGTCGATGTCGACTTCTGCTTCTTTTTAAGCATGTCATCGATGACACGTATCGCCTTCTTCTTGTTCTCCGCTTCCTTTTCCTCTTCTTCTGCTCTCATCTCCAACGTTCTCTTTTTCTCACTCTTCCCTGACGCAGCCTTCGATCTCGTCTGTTGCTGTTCAGGTACTTTCTTGCAGTGAGCCATGTGACCAGTCACTTGTTTTTTCGACGTGAACGCCGTCTTCGTTTTTGGATTGATCGTCGTTTTGCAGCGAGGACATGTGAACTTCTGCACCCACTTCTTGTCTTCCTCCGAAATCTGCTGCGAACTTTTTTTCGCCTTGAACTTCTCCTCTTCCACTTTCTCCTTCTCCTCTTCTTCTCGTTTGCCTATTCCTCCTTCTTCATCATCGCTGCTGCTCTCGTCATGCGCACCTCTCGGTGTGCCTTCCAACGACCCCGATAAAATCTCGTACGTGCTCTTTTCTAACTTTGCTCGATCCTTCTCCGTATACGCGCTCTTCCGTCCAATCGTCGCTTCAAACATCACTTTTAAATCCTTGAACGTCATTTCTTTTATGTTCGTCCAAATATTACTCCGTTCGTCTTCGCTGTCGCACTCCAAATCCTCTTCCGCTCTCGACGTCGTCGCTTCCAGGCCGTCGGCATCGTATTCTTTTTTCCGTTGACCGTGCCCACGACTTGGCGATAGAAGACGCGCGTTCATACCCCCAGAGAACGGTGACTGCCCCGACGTCGTCGGTGGCGTGTTCGATTGTTGCTCGCGGCTCGTCGAGGTGTTGTTGTTGTTCGCGCTCGCGGCGGCGACGAGCTGTTTTTCATCAGATAAAGAGGAGTTTGGTCAACAAAAATCAACGAAGAGACGCACACACAAACACAAAAGGCAAAAGTAAAAAGAGAACACAAAATACGCGCGATCGATATTACCTCCACGCGCAAGCACCCCCCGTCGATGTCCATCTCGTCGTACTCCTCGATGCATCTCTCGGCTTCTTTCTTCGATTTAAAATCCATCTCCCCGGTGTTGTTGTTTCTGAAAAATCGAGTTTTGGATTTCGGGTTGATGTTTTGGCACATGGATGTGAAATCGTCCTCGTCGAACTGCTCGGGGAGGTTCGAGATGCGTACGGTATGCGTTGAAACGTTCACTATGGATACATTTTAGTCAAGAACACTCATTTGAAGTGGTTTTTTACTTTTATGCTGTTGTTGTTGTTGTTGTTGTTGTTGTTCTTAGTGTGATTTTTATAACGAATGTGATTCATAAAAGTATACCCATATATTACAAGAAATTCTCGTTCTCTAGAAAAATTAAACCATGACTGAATTCATTTGAATGCCGCTAAAATACCCGCTTTGGTCTAAATCCGAAGACGTCACCTTCTTCGGATAATACATCAAAATCGGTCCGCACATCTCCTCGTCGTGATTGGTCCCGTATTTCACCTGCTGCGTAATTTTTGACGTATCAAACGTGCACTCGATGACAATTCTGTCCTCGCGACGTACTCTCGCCCGGTTCGCCAAGACGAAAAAGTCTTGGTCTTTTCCGTAACCACCATAGTTCTCGATGTATTTGACGACGTTTCTATGTCCAGAGGGCGATTCTACGGAAAGTTTAAACTTCTTGGCCAAATCGTGCGCGTGTAAATGCGCGGCTAACAACGTCACGCCAAAGTTCTCCTCTTCTCCGTTCGCGAAATCATCTTTCAAATGGTGCGCGTACACTTGATTTTCCGGACCTACGGAGTAATGCACCACAGTTTCGTCTTGACCGGGTTTCAACACCATGCTCGTTTTCATAATCGTCAACACGCCGGCGTCGACAACCGACGGTCGATACGGATCTAACTGCATGATTGCCCCGGTATCGTCGTTCCACATCTTCACGGGTTTGTTTTTCGGGTACAAGTAATGCACTTGCGTCAATAACACGTCAAACGCGGTACCTTTACCAACTTTGTAACCGAACCCGGTCGGGTACGAAAACGTACCGGCGCCTTTATCGTACGCCCACGCGACTTCTAAACACGGTGAATCCGGTTCGCCGTAAAACGGCCACGTCCCGCACTCGTTCGCGCCGTAAAAGGTACCTTTAGTCGTTCCAAACTTTTTGTGCATGCGTTGCGCGTTGCACGCGAACACCGTCACGTGGTGCGTCGCCTCCGGGTTGGACAATTTTGGTGTGAATGATTTCACGTGGTACGTCTGCGTCTGCGCGCCTGGAATGCGATCGAACGAACACGCGAACCCGACTAACGGATTCTTCTCTTGGTCGTCGAACACTTTATCGTCTAAGAGTAAATCGTTGGTGGACACTTGGAACCGTTTCGACCCGGAGGGAAGTGAAGGGATTGAACTTTGCTGCTGCTCGAGCTGTTGCTCGTTCCCGAGGTTCGAGAAGAAGTTTGGCAAGTGCATGCGTCTCGGTAACGTCAAAGAATACTTTCTCGTCGTCGCTAAATCCTCGTCTTCTTCGATTTTCGTCGTCGTCGTCGGATTTGTCGTCGTTCTTTCTCGACTTGTGGCAGCGGCGTAATCCTTCGCAGCACTCATCGAAGAAGAAGAAGAAGAAGAAGAAGAGCTGGATGATCCGAAATACGATAACGCTATGAACACTAACGTCACGATCGTGGCCAAGAACGGTGCGCCGTACATGCTCACCGGGTTCTCGTCCCTCCGATAGTACGCGATTGAATTTCTCACCATGATGATTTTTATTATGAGGAAAAGGCGCGGCTCCTTTATACAAAATGGTGTGTAAAATCTGTTCTCTTCGGCTGCCTTCTTGTGTTTTCATTCCGTCTGTCTGTTTTTTTTCTTTTTTCAAAAAAATTTTCTTTTTCTTCCTCTCATTTTTTCCTCAATCAAAACAAACAAAAAACAAACACGAGAATCAAGTTTCAGCAGAAACATCATCAACATCATCATCATCATCATGGTGGTGTTGAACAACGCGCTCGTCTTGACGGCGGTGATGATTGCAATTGTCGTTTGGATGCTCTTTTCATCATCATCATCGTCTTCTTCTTCTCTTTCTCTCTCGTCGTCATCGTCATCGGCTTTTGCTTCGAACAACAACGACGAAGACGGTGGTGATGGATATGCTCCTCATACCAACACGATGAAAGAAGAAGAAAAAGAAAGAAGAACGAGAACGAATACGGTGTCATCGCAAAGTCATCATCAGCAGCATCCCCCTCGAGAGAAGGACACGTTTGATGCGCACCACCACGCGCAGTTTAAATCGATCAACGAGGAGGCGAAAAAATGCTCTTTAATAGTGGCTTCGTTTTACGCCACAAAACCGGGCGGGTTTGACAGGAAAAAAGGCGAGAGGTGCAACGGGTGTCACGAACCTCCGATGTTCATCACCATGGAAAGCGCGCGAATGACTAACGGGCCTGGAACGTGCGTCGCGTTGATTACGGACGAAGAAACGGAGATAGATATGAGCAAACCGGGAATGGATAAAGTACAGTTGCACCGCTTCGAGGGTATATTGGATCGAACGAAAATCGGGACTGGAGCGTTAATGTTGGAGAGAATGAAGTTATACAACGCTTTTATTAAACGCGCGAGAGATAACGACTGGAACGCGGACTTGTTGATGGTGGATACGGACATTGTCTTTGTCGGAGACGTGAGCGATTTGTTTCAGACGAGAAATTTCGATTACGGCGTGACGATTCGAGATAACAAAGCGTACCCGGTTCAAGGCGGCGTGCAGTTTGTGCCGAAAGGAAAGTACGTCGGCGCGGCCAAATTTAGCGACCACACGTTGGATTTATGGAAGTCAGACTTAGAAAAAAGTGGGAAGGAGGCTGGATTTACCGGGGACCAGGCGGCGTATCAGAGAGGATTGAACGTCCCGGCTTCAAAAGTACAATCGTTAGCGAAAGGAAAGAAAGTTATTGATTTACCGGTCGTGTGCGGGAGCTCCGGTGCAGAGGTAGTCACCGTGCGAATGATACCTGGGGATCAGTATAATTTTGTCCCGAGCGGGAACGGCCAAGGTTTGAAAAAGAAGGACATTCGCATCTTACATTACAAAGGCGGTAAAAAAGAAGGCATGTACGTCCCGTACAAAGCGATGCAGAAGAATGTGAAAGACGTGTTCAAACTGAAAAAGCTCGTCGTTTGATAATAATAGAAAGAAGAGATAGAGAGAGATAGATGTGTAGGTTATGTAGTTCGTAGATGGTACCATGGTACCACTGGTACAGAAAGAATATAAAGAGCGACACTTTAGTTTTGAGTTTATACAAGAATACGGTGATTGTACCGGTACCTAACTGTTTATCGATCGCTTTTGCGCTTCTTCTCTTGCATGAACGAACCGCCTGTCGGAGCGCTCGAGGCGTACTTGTACAAATCCGTCGTCGTCGTTTGACTATTGTTCTGTTGGTGCTGATCTTCCAACGGTTCTGAAAGCGTAGGGTCCCAGTTCGCGTCCATATCAATTTCTTTGTTCATTTGAGGCGGAGGCGAAGTGTTTGGAACGTACTCCCCGCCTTCTCTAACAGTTTTCAAACCAGAACCGCCTGATGGGGACGCGAATCCAGAAACGCGACTCATGGGCGAGAATGCACCTTTTTCTTTGTTGCTTATGCTCGCTGAGTTGCCGCTAACGACACCTGGTCCCCACCAACCGGCGTTACCAGACCCACCGAAACCACCCGAGGCGGATTGTCTCGGCATGGATTGAGGTAAGCCCGAAAACGTCGAAGAGGAGCTTCCGCCGCTCGAGTTTTCGCCGCTTTGTTGCATTTTGTACTGTCCGCTAATGCCAAAGTTGTTACGAATCAAGTTGTTATTTCCTACGTTCAAGGCGTTTTGTGCCGCGGTCGCCGCTCGAGCCGCCTCCGACGCGGTGTTCATTCCGCCCGCGGAAGCCTCGCCTCCCAGCGTCCCTCGACCGGGACCTAAAGGACTAGCGTACACGACTGGAAGCTGAACGGCCGCGGCTGCTTTCGCCGCAACTGCGTGCTGTCGTTGCATGGACAAGTTCTGCATTTGCGAAGTCGGTGGCGATTGTCCAAAGTGTAACGGATGTAGCGCGGCGGAGTTCATGGCGTGAGGAGAACCGACGAAATGGTTTCCCAAAAACTGGGTTCCGCCTGGACTTTGTCCAAAGCTTCCGACGCCAAAAACAGATTGCGTTTGACCAGGGGAGGCTTGAGACACCATGGCTGCGTTTGCAGCTGCTGCTGTTTGCATTTGTTGAGCTTGCAGAAAGTTTGTATTTCCAACAGAAGTAGCGGTTGCCGAAGCTGAAGCGAACGCCGCGGCTAAACCGCCGACAACCGGTTGTTGCTGTTGCGCCGAAACTGCTGCTGGTACCTCGGCAATAACAGCGGCTGCATTCGCAGCAATGCCGGCGGGAACCGGTTGTTGCTCCAAAGGCGGTGGTACGAAATCTGGAAACGGCGTTTGGACGGTTTGCTTCGGTTTCTTCGCCGCGGTAACTTCTCTCTTTGCGCTCTCCGAAACCGCAGCCGCCATTTTCGCCGCGCTCCGTTGATGTTCTTTTCTCGTTTCTTCCGATGTAGTTTCCATACACGACGGTGGTTTAAACGGATTCTTCGCATCGAACGGCTCGCCGGTTATGTACGGGTGTAACAGCGCTTGTTTTGGCGTCCAACGTGAAGTTGGATCGAGCGTCAACATCCCGAATAAGAAATCTAAAAACGACGCGCGCATGAGCCTTTGTTCCTCGATGGCGTTTTCTCGTTCTCTCGATCCGGGACCATCCACGCCGAGATCCTTATACGGTGCTCCAAAAATAATATCAGCTAGTTTCTTTTGGTGGAAGTATCTCTTCCCTACGGCGGCTCGTTTCCCCGAACGTTCTTCGTATTGTTGTAAGTTCAACAAACGATAGTTCGACTCTCCGTTTCCATTGGCGTCCATGTTGTTTTTATTCTTCATCATGTCCGAATCAGATTCCGAGTTTAGATTCATATCTGAAAAGCTGCTGCTACTGTTGTTGTTGTTGTTGTTGTTACTAGTGTTACCGTTATTCTCTCGTACGAAATATTTGTGCCGATGTCTCGCTTTGTGCAACATCGAATCCGGCGGCGGTTCAATCGTTTCGCACATTCGGTTCAACAAATCAAACTCGCTCGCGCCTGGTAAAATCGGCAATCCTAGAAACATTTCCGCCGCTACGCAACCTAAACTCCACATATCGATCGGCATCCCGTATGGTGTTCCTAATAAAACCTCTGGACTCCGATAAAATCTCGACTGGATGTATTGATACACCGTTCTATTTTGAAAGCAGGCGGAACCGAAATCGACCAATTTCACCTCCGTGGACGACAACGACTTCAACAGAATGTTCTCTGGTTTTATGTCGCAATGAATCACGTTCGCCTCTCTCAACACGTCCAAAGCGTTCAACAGTTGCACCATGAGCTCTCTCAGCACTCGCAACGAGACCCCTCTGAATTTGTTCTTCCGTAAAAATTCGTACAAGTTGATGTCCAACAATTCGAAAACTAAACACAAGTGGTTGTGACAGACAAACTGGTCCAAAAGTTTTACGATTTTCTTCTCCCCGGTTGGGTCGCACCTCGTGTTTAGCATGTGGAGAATACCAATCTCCACGTGCGCCTGGTGGAAATACGCCGGATGGTTCTTGATTATTTTCAACGCCGAGACTTTATTCCCATTCTCTTTGTCCGCGTTGCTGTCGTCGTTGTTATTTCTTTCGTGTGAGTCGTTCTGAGTCACTTTCTGTACCCGCAAAACTTGTCCAAACGTCCCGCTTCCTAAACTGCCGAGCACTTTATACGCGCATCGGTCGTCACCGGCGCGCAAGATATCGTTTTGGTACACAATCAAATCGCTATTTTCGTTGTCTCGTCCGTCGTTGCTGGCCGGCGTCGCCGGTTTACTCAAACACGCTCCTCTTTCCGTTGGATCGTCTCCCGAGGGAGATTTCCTCCGCGAGAATTCCATTTTCTGTGTCGAATTTGTAAACAGTGGCGAAAAGGCACGACGATTGAAAAGTCTATGACGAAAACACGACACACGTGGAAGACAAGAAAGAGTCTCTCTCAAAAAAAAAAAAGCAACAAAAAGTTGGTTCTTTTCCTTTCACCTCAGTTTTTGTTGTTTCGTCTCTTTTCTCTTCTTCATACTTTTTAATAACAACAACTATACAATATTATAATAAACACGTGTTATTAATATGTGAATACCCGGTGAATAAGAAGGGGTGGTGTGATTAAGAAAAAGAAGAAAAAGAAATGGTGAACAGTGGACGGGTGTCTCGCGTGGGAGATTTACGGGATATCTTTAAGAAAGAAGAAGAAGAAATGATGATGGTGGTTACGAAAACGACTTTTCTGGACGACGACGACGAGAAGTCAGAAGAAGAAGAAGAAATTGTAGAGACCGAGAGGCAAGAAGACGGAGAAGAGGAAGAAGAAAAAGGAGGAGATGATGAAGAAGAAGATAAAGAAGAAAACGTGTACGAAGTCTCCGTGCGCGTCTTGGGCACTTTGGAAAGTTTCGACGCTTCAAATTCCGTCGGTGTTTTGAAAGACGACGCGTTCGCGCTCACCTTCGACGCGTCTTCAATGTCGCCGACGTTTAAGTGGAAGTTGAAGAGTTTATATTTTTTGATTGGGGAGTACGAAAAATGTTCGTTTTCTTCTCCATCGTCGACTTCGACGCGGTTTTCTATTTTACGAAACGGTGTTTTACGCGTTCGGATAGCGCAGAACGCGAGCGGCTTGGACGTGAACGCGTATCACGAAGCCGCGAAGATTAGAGAGGAGTTTTTACACTAGAAGCTTTATTTAGAGAGGAAGAGAGTAGACCGTAGAAAGTAGCGCGTAACAATGATAATATAATAGTGTGTTGTACCAGTGTGTGTGTCAGTGTGCTAAAAATACAAATCAAGACAATTCTATAATAAATAATAATATTAACGCGGTTGTTGTGAAATGACGATCGATTACTTGGCGGAAGACGTCGTGGATGTTTTCAATAAAGCGCTCACGGTCTCCCCGAACCAACGCAACGAAACCGTCCCGCCACTGCGATGATGGTTCACACTCACTAATACGCCAAGGAGTGCCATCCCACTTACCACGCCGAGGAGATAATCTCTCGAGTTAAAGCCACTCCCGAACCCGGCGGAACCGGCGGCGCTTCCGGCCAACTGCGCGAGTTTGCTCAACGCGTTTGACGAAGAGATATCGTCGTCGCTACTACTCGCCGCTTTCGATTTCTTATCGAGTTTTCCTCGAACGCTCGCAATTTCTAACCGTAACGCCGCTATCGTCCCTTCGCATTCGGCCAGTTTAATCTTCAAAGCATCCATGCCGTCCTTATTCGTTCGCGGGTCCATCAACGCTTCTAACGAGACGATTTGCTTCTCCAACTTTGCAATTTCTCTCACTCGGTCGTCCGCGATAGATTTATACTGATGATGGTGATGAAGAAGAAGAAGAAGAAGAAGAAGAAGAGTCAGTAACGAGAAGCAAACGCAGAGAAGAGAGAAAAGTTTATTTTTGAAAAATGAGATGATTTATTTAGGTAAACGAAAAGAAAAGAACACAACAACAACAACAACAACAACAACAACAACATTAATACCTTGTTCCTAGCCGCGATCGCGTTTTCGATGACCGCGATGTTCTTTTGCTTCGCCTTCTCTCGCTCTTTTTCGTTGTTGTTGTTGTTCGACATTTTATAATAACTCGTCGGGGTAAAACTAACTGTGTGAAGGTGTTTTTGAAGTGATGATGATGACGAAAATGAAGCCAAAACAAGGGTGTTTGTTCCATGCAAGTGTTTTTTGACTTTTTCAAGGCAGATTCATCAACGACTTTTGTCCAAACAACACAAAAACGCTCTCTCATCAGCGCGTATCAGCGCGATATAATAAATAACAATGATGCGAAGGAAACCGTGTCTTTTGCGCTCCACTTGGCCAGAGGCAGAGGAGGAGGAGAAAAACGATTTGAATGGAGGAGCAAGAGACGCACCACCACAAAAAGTAACTTTATTAAACAGAATGGAAGTAAGACGACGCGTGCATTCAATACCTTTGTCTAAAATACTCGCATTGGACGAATGTCGGAGCAAAGAGGAGTACGAGGAATACAGAAGAGAGTTGGGGGAGTTTTCAATTGATGATGCCGATAAAAGTGCAAAGGAAGAAGAAACATTAGAAAAAGAAGAAGAAGTTAAAAACAAAAAGAAAGAAGAAGAGGCGATGTTAGACGACTTGTTAGACGACGACGATTAAATCGATTAAAACGTATAGAAACGTATAGAAACGAATAGAGTAGTTAGTTAGTTGGAATTTTATGATTGTATTATAATACGTTCGGAGCAAATCATTATTAATTTACACGTAATCAGGACCTGGGAACTGTAACTGAACGTATCCTCGTCTGGATCGAACCGTGCGTTTGCGTTTGATGAATCCCAACAAGAGCAAACCAACGCCGGGAATACCGAGCGCACTTCCGACGACAATGAGCACGATTCCTTCTATTGACACTTTTGCGCGGTGTCTTTCGTAATTCCTCTTGAAAATCGTTTGGTTTTTGAGCCAGAGTTCGGGATCGAACGCGTGTTGAATAGTCACCGTTTGCTCGGCGAAAGCGACGCGAATTTTGTTCGCATCCGGAAGGGTGGCTTTGATTTGAGGCGCATCGATACGTTTCCGTATCGATGGTTTCCACAAAAGTGATCCATTATCACTGTTTCCATTCACTGCGGTGTTTGTGATCCCAGTATTACTATCGCCGCTTTTGCTATTGCTGCTGCTACTACTACTACTACTGCTGCTGCTGCTATCGCTACTACTACCCGAAGAAATACCTCGTACTCTCGTTAGGCTCCCCGGTTCGCACCCAAAATTACCGAACGTATCATCCAAAACCCAATGCGCATTTTCTTCTACGCCACTCTTTCTGACTTTGAAACACGCGCGCAAGAGCGCTGAATATGTCTCGCAATTTTGTGTGTTAGTATGATAGCCACCCATTTGATATTTACAAATCTTATTGTTCACGTGGGAAAGTATCGTTTTTTGAAACAGTATTTGCTCGCCTAAATCGATCGAGGCGACGATTTGGTTTGAAGCCGTGTCTTTTCCTACGAGCGAAAGCGAAAGCGGCGTCTCGAGCATTCGAGAGACGAGTGCCGTGTTGTTCATGGCGTCGTTTAAATTAGTCTTATCGCTAGTTTTGTTCAACAACGTTGTCGTCGTCGCCGGTATCGGGTTTCCTTTTTGAACTGCCTCTCGCAACGTGTCAATCGACGGCATGTACTCGGCGTATTTCGGATAAATTTTCGGTAAAACGTACATTTCCATCAGATTTGAACTCTGAAATTTCAAAGCTTTGTAAGTTTGCGGTGCAGCTAACTTGGGCGCTTGATAATTAGTCGCCTCCGTTGTGCTCCTCAACGTTTCGATATTCGGCGATGGCTGCGCGTCGTTGAAGTTGTTGTCGATCAACATCCACTCCACGCGTTCGAATTCATCTCTGTATACGTTATTCCACTTGTTCAACTTTTCGACGAACACTCTCGTGTGCAAATCTCCCGGTATCTCGTGTCGTTTCAGTTTTGATTCTCTGACTAAACCGCTTCCGAACAAAATCAAACAAAACGAGAGCAAACAGGCAACGGAGCCAAACTTGACTGAAATTTGCTGCTCCGAGAGATGTAACGTGCTACTATTAGAGGACGACGAATGAGAGGTGCTCGAAGCCGTCGATTGTCGAAATACCCTGTTTGAACCAATGTTTCCACCTCCCGAAGTATTCATCATCTTTGTTTGATATTGACTGGAAGAAGAAGAAGATGCCACCGGAGTCGCCGGTCGAATATTATTTTCAAACGCATTGTTGTTGTTATTCAAGTTGGTGTTGTTCTCCAAAATCGTTTGTCCCGACGGGTGGATGATTGCGGGGGCGGTAGCGGCGGAAGTGGAGGCGGCGCGAGGTGAATTCGACGACGACGTGTTGTGCGAAGAAGCCGCAGCACCTCGTCTCATAATATACTTTTTTTAACACTCGTGCTCACGAATAATTATATTATTATTGTGCGGGTTGATGAATGTGAGTTCAAAGTCTCGTTGACTTCTCTCTTTATTAGTCTCTCTCTCGGAAAAATTCTCTCCTCCAAAAATTTTTTTGGACCAAAAGTCGCCAAAAAAACAGGAAACACAAGTTCTTTCGAGTTCTTTCGACACCACAAAAACAAAAGCAGCTCTCCTAATAATAGTAGATAATATGTCAGCCATCGCACAATCAGCCATCTCTTTCGGTACGTTTCCTCCTTCGTATCCCACCTTCGCGAGAGACAGAGACAGAAACGTGTCTGTCTCTCCCGTGTCCTCGTTCGTCGTCCTTCTTTGAGTTCTCTTTCTTTCGTTCTTTTATTCCTTTTCCTCCTCGTTTTTGTGGTCGGTTCTGTCGGGGACGAGAAGAGACGAGGAGAGATGTATGTTGAGAAAGGAATATTAATTCCAATTCGCTATTTCTCGCTTTTTGTTGCGCGTAAAAGATACAGAAGAAGAACTAAAAATAACGATGGATTTCTTTCTCCTTTAACTAAACAGCTCCGACGACGACGACGCGCGTCGTCGCTTCCTCCTCTTCGGGTAAGAATATCACAGCAGCAGCAGCAGAAAAAGAGAGCTGAAAAGCTTTTGAGTTTTTGTTCTCTTTTTTCCCTTTGTTTTCAAAATCTTCTTTTCATCTTCTTCTTCTTCTCTTTTTCATCATCTGTCCACATGTTAAAAGAGTATAACTAATACAACAAATTATTTCTCTTCTTCTTTTATTATTGTAACTAAAATACAGCCTTGAGCTCGAGAAGAATGAGCAAAACTAGAAACGCGTTGCGATTATCTTCTTCTATCCCTGCGAGGCACGGAAAGAAATCGTCTTTGGTCGTTCAAGCGATCAACCCGCGATCGGATGCCGCGGACGCGGGCAAAGGCCAACGCGTCATGATCATCGGCGGCGACGGTTACTGCGGATGGGCGACGGCTTTGCACTTGTCCCAAAGAGGCTACGAGGTGTCCATCGTCGATAACTTGTGTAGACGTCAGTTTGATGATCAGCTCGGTTTCAATTCCTTGACGCCGATTAAATCCATTCACGAAAGAGTTCGCAAGTGGGAAGAAGTTTCCGGGAGAAAGATTGAGTTGTTCATCGGCGACGTGTGCGACTACGAGTTTTTGGGCGCAACGTTTGAAAAATTCAACCCGACTGCCGCGGTACACTTTGGCGAGCAGCGCTCTGCACCGTACTCGATGATGGATAGATCTCGTGCCATCTTTACGCAAACGAACAACGTTATGGGTACCATTAACGTCTTGTACGCGATTAAAGAGTTCGCGCCGGATTGCCACTTGGTCAAACTCGGCACAATGGGTGAATACGGTACTCCGAACATCGACATCGAGGAAGGTTACTTGACCATCACGCACAATGGTAGAACAGATACGTTGCCGTACCCGAAACAAGGTGGTTCTTTCTACCACTTGTCGAAATGCCACGACTCTGCGAACATGTTGTTTTGCACGAAAGCGTGGAACTTGCGATGCACGGATATTAACCAAGGCGTCGTGTACGGCATCGCAACGGACGAAACGATGATGCACCCAGACTTGATCAACAGATTAGATTATGATGCCGTCTTTGGCACCGCATTGAACAGATTTTGCATCCAAGCCGCGGTTGGTCACCCGATGACGGTGTACGGTAAGGGCGGACAAACAAGAGGTTTCTTGAACATTCGCGATACCGTGCAATGCATCCAAATTGCCGTCGACAACCCCGCGGAACCGGGAAAGATGCCAATTTACAACCAGTTTACGCAGCAATTCTCCGTGAACGAACTCGCTGGTTTGATCACCGAAGCCGGTCAGAAATTAGGATTGAGTCCGGAAGTTATTAGCGTACCGAACCCGAGAACCGAAGCGGAAGAGCACTACTACAACGCGAAAAACTCCAACTTGAAAGACTTGGGATTAGAACCGACTTTGTTGGGCGATGAATTGCTCGACACGCTCATGAAAACCGTGATTGACTACAAAGATAGAGTTGACCAGAGATTAATCATGCCGGGTGTGAACTGGAAAGAGTCGCAAAGCGTCGCGAAGAACATCACCAAGTAAACGCAAATCTCTTTCAATAAAACAAATTAAGAATAAGAATAACAAACTACACACAGTGACTACAAAACGAAAGCGCGACTAATAAAAATGCTTCCGAACGATTGGTTCGACGTTCACTCGCATTTTCTCGTACGCTTTCTTCTTCGCCTCCCACACGCTCTCAACGCACTCATCCAAAGACATCCACTTCATCTGCGTGAACTCCGCCGGTTCGCCGTCCAACCCTTCCAAGTTTACAAATTCCATGGGATCGGCTGACGTTTTACATCGAAATACTGCAAACTCTAACCGTTGTCCGGCCAACCCTTTCTTTTCTAACCACCCACCTGCGCTGTACGCATACGCGTCGTCATTCTCTAAGACAGACAATAACTCTACTTGGATATTCTTTTTATTCTTCGAGGAATCTAAGGATATCCCAGTCTCTTCGTACAGCTCTCTCGTCGCCGCCTCGGCGGTGGTTTCTTTCGGTTCCATCCCGCCTTGGGGTAAATTCCAGGACCCACTCTTCCCGGCGCGTTCGCCGACTAAAACGTGCGAGCCAGAGTCGTTGAAGACGATGGCGCACGCGCACTTGCGGTATTTCTTCCCGTCTACAATGGCAGTCTTTTCTGGATTATACTCCCCTCCTCCTCCTCCTTCCGTCTTGTCCTCTTTCGGTTGTTGTTTCTTTGCTTTCGTTATCGCCGTCGGTGACGAGGACGAATACATTCTTCTCCCTCCTCCTCCTCTGTATCCTCCTCCTCCTCGTTTAAAGTGATGAAGATGATGATAATAACGAGAATAGGAAGACGAACGGCAATAACACGAAACAACAGAGGTGAGCTTAATGAGCGAGGTCCCGCCGTGCTGCAGAAACATGTACTCTTCTCTCTCTCTTCCTTTCTTGTTTTTATTTTATTGTTGTGGGTTGTTTTTGATGTCTCTCCTTTTTTTTTCATTTTTGTTTTTCTTGCAGTCGTGCTTTTTCGATGATGATGATGGTTTTTTTTGGAGGAAACAACGAACGAAGAAGAAGAGAGAGATTTTTCTTGATCGCGAATTCTCAAAACTTGAATTTCTTCATAAGAAAGAACGAGACGTATATATAAAAGATGAGCTCCTTTTCTTCTAATAAACATTCACGCAAAGCGTTGCTGGCGACGTTCGCCTTGGCGTGCTTGGCCATTTTTATCGGCATCAACGGCGTCTTTGTCGAAGCAAAGAAAGGACCGAAAATTACAAACACCGTTTACTTCGACGTCTCCATCGGAGGGAAAGACGCGGGAAGAATTACCATGGGTTTGTACGGCGCCACGGTACCGAAGACGGTCGAAAACTTCCGAGCGTTAGCGACCGGAGAGAAAGGCTACGGCTACGAAGGCTCAACTTTTCACAGAGTGATCAAAGACTTTATGATCCAAGGTGGTGATTTCACCAAAGGAGATGGCACGGGAGGCAAGTCTATTTACGGCGAAAAGTTCGCGGATGAAAACTTCAAGTTGAAGCACACCGGTCCAGGAACGTTGTCCATGGCCAACGCCGGCCCGAACACGAATGGGTCGCAGTTTTTCATTTGCACCGTGGTCACCTCTTGGTTGGACGGTCGACACGTCGTTTTTGGAAGAGTCACGGATGGTATGGACGTCGTTCGTAAAATCGAAGCTTTGAACGGAACGCCGCCGAGCGAAACTGTCACGATCACAAAGTCCGGCGAGTTGCCGATGGATGCGCACGTTCAAGATGAAATTTAATGAAAATTAATTCAAAGATGGAGAAGAACACATTTTTTTAAGTAGTATTGTTATTAATGTTAGTACTATTGTTCTTTTAATATCAATATCAAATGATTCACCGACAGACACGCGTAGCATGTTTTCATTTTAAAAGTTGTCGCGATGCGTTACATCCATACAATGTATCTATGCGAGGCGCGTACCAGGTACAATATATACTTATATATAGAATTCTAACGTCATGGATTAGTTTTTTATTAGCTGTAAATATAGATAGTATAACAAGCTGTTTTAGTTTTTAGCAAACGAAAAGCCATCATCATCGCTTATTCCCAGTTGGCCGCGGTGAGTTCAGCCAAATCGACGACTCTTTGGGAGTAGCCCCACTCGTTGTCGTACCACGCAACAACCTTCAACATGTCGTCACCGATGACCATCGTCAAAGCAGAGTCGATAGTCGTGGATTGGTCGGTGCATCTGAAATCGACAGAGACCAACGGTTCGTCGCAGACGGACAAGATGCCCTTCAACGGACCAGCCGCTGACTCACGGAACGCGTTGTTGACTTCCTCGGCGGTGACCTTCTTGGAGGTTTGGATAACCAAATCGACAACGGAAACGTTCGGGGTCGGGACTCTCAACGCGATACCGTTCAACTTACCCTTCAATTCCGGCAAGACCAAGGCAACAGCCTTGGCGGCGCCAGTGGAGGTCGGCACAATGTTCAAGGCCGCAGCTCTCGCGCGTCTCAAGTCTCTGTGCGAGGCGTCCAAAATCTTTTGGTCACCAGTGTACGAGTGAGTGGTGGTCATCAAACCCTTGACCAAACCGAATTTGTCGTTCAAGACCTTGACGAACGGCGCCAAGCCGTTGGTCGTGCAAGACGCGTTGGAGATGATCTTGTCAGAGTTCTTGTATTGGTCAGCGTTGACGCCCAAAACGTACGTCGGGATGTCGTCGCCCTTCGCCGGGGCGGTGATGACAACCTTCTTGGCACCCGCGGTCAAGTGCTTGGAAGCACCCGGGGTGTCAATGAAGACACCAGTACCTTCGATGACGATGTCGATGCCTAATTCCTTCCACGGCAATTGCAACGGGTCTCTGGAGGAGACAATTTGGATGCTCTTGCCATCGATGGACATGTGCGTGTCGTCGACGATCTTGACGTCAGCTTCGAACGTGCCCAAGACGGAATCGTACTTGACCAAGTGCGAGGCTTGCTTGACACCGCCGGAGTCGTTGATGGCAACAACTTCGAGCAAGGTGTCCTTGCCTCTGCCGTGCCAGCATCTCAAAAAGTTACGGCCGATACGACCAAAGCCATTGATGGCAACCTTGCAGGTTTTGCCCTTGGCTTCGATAGTGTTGCTGACAGACGCCTGTGAGAAGGGAAGAAACGAAAATATATGTGAGCAACTGCGTGTTTCTCTACTATACACCGGAACAGGATTATTACGTAGTACACAGACCCGATCGATTCCACGACAACAGTAGGAGGAGGAGGAGGAGGAGAAGAAGAGAAAATAGAAGAGCTTTTTCTCATACGCAGAGCAAAAGTTGATCTGGACTCGCCTCTTCTCTCACCTCCTCTACACCAACCGCCTTCTACAAAAAAAAAACAGAGACCAGAAGAGAGAGCGGATAACGAGACTCGCCCGATGGAAAAAAGAACACACCTTGGCGACGGTCTTGTTCTTGAACTGACCGGCAGCCTTGGAGAACTGCGTGAGTTGGGTAGTCTGTGAGAGTTTCAGAAGATAGTTTGAGGTCAGTTGTCGCGTTTAAAATTTCGCGCGAGAGAGAGACGGAGGAGAATTCGTACGCGCGCTTTTGTCGCGCGCGCAATTTTCTGTCATCATTTACGATTACTCCCCTTTTGCGGGGAGCGAGAAATTTCTTTTTTTTAGGCACACATCCATTTTCGATGATTAGCGGAGAAAAATAACGCGTCGGGCGAAAACGCGGGAGGGAACCTCCGACGCGAACAGCAGACGAGCGCGAGAAGAAAAGAATTGCGTTGTATGCGTACCTTGGCGGCGGAAAAAGTAGCCATTGTGTGCGAAATAAGAGTGAGGAATTCGGTGTGTGTGTGGATACAGAAAGAGAGAGAAAGATGATGTTTTCACCATCACGGCCGGTGACTGTTGTTTTCTTTTCACCTCTCTCCACCTCCACCTCAAGATTTTTCTCTTTTTGGAAAAGAGATTTCTTGTTGTTTTTGCCACCTGTTCGACGACGTCACAACCCGAAACAGACCCTCCAAAACAAACCCAAAAAAAGCGAGGGAGAAGTCGACACATTTTGTTGAGTGTCGTGTCACGCTCCCCTGGAAAGTTGTTTAAGAGAACACTTACTTACTGTGGAAAGCGCACACAAAGGTACGTAAAGAGAGAGAGAGAGAGAGAAAAGAAGAAGAGGCGCATTTTCTCCTTCGTCTTGCCCGGGTTGTAGTAAGAACGCGGGGTGAAAAAGTGGCGCGAAGAAGAAAGGAATTCTCAGAACAAACTACGTCAGCCTAATAAGTCCTCGTCGTCGTCGTCGTCGAAAGGGAAAGAGGGCAAAAATTTATGTCGTCCTCTCAGCAGCAGCGCGTGATGACGTCGGCGGAAACGGGAAGAACAACGCCGAGGACGACGACGACGACAAGGACGACGACAAGGACAATCGCTGCGGAAGATGATCGCATGAACAACACGAACAGTAATGGAATGCCTATGATCCACGTCTTAGTCGTGGACGACGAGAGAATCTGTCGTGCGGTCACGTCACAGGTTCTGAGAAAGTGTGGATACCGGGTGACGACGTGTGAGAGTGGCGCCGAAGCCATCGAGTTGTTGCGTCGAGGCACTGAGTTTAACTTATTGCTCACGGACGTGATGATGCCCGATATCGACGGGCCAAAGTTACTCCAACACGTGCGACATCACTCGCAATTTTCTCAGTTACCCGTCATCATGATGTCTGCCAATCAACACTCGGAAATTGTCTTTGAGTGCGTGCGAAGCGGCGCGGATGATTATTTACTCAAACCAGTCACGGTGAAACAAGTGAAACTTTTATGGCAGCACGTGTGGAGGAAGCAGTACTCGGCGGCACCGCAGACGGTTCCGAGACTGAACGAATACGGCGAAGAGTTAGATGAAGATAACGAAGACGACGGGATATGTATGCTCGGTAAAGAAGAAATGTTCCAAGGCGTGCCAAACGTCCCGAGGCGATTAAACTCAGAATCCGATCTTTTGATGAACAGTAACGGCAATAGCGGCAACAATGACAACGACAACAACAGTAAGAATAAGAATAATAGCAGCAAAAACAACGACAACAACATCACGATGAACAACAATTCCACCGCCATCAATAAAAGCAACATCAATAACAACAACAAAAATAGTCATCCTAGATCGCTTTCGCGAGACTCTTCGAGAGAGAATTTCTTGTCGATGCTTTTACTCAAGAGCATCGCCAATAACAATAAAGAAAGAAATCCTTCGAATGTTACTGCTACTGATACTGCTACTGCTGCTACCACCGCAGCGGCAAAAACTGCTTCTACGACACCGAAGAAAACGACGAAAAATAACAAGGACATGAACGACTCAAAGAACAACGCGAACGCGCGTAATCCGCCCGCGCAAACAAGAAGAGTCGAGAATGCCGATGTCGAAGTGCCGATGGAGGTGGATCTTCCGCGCGCCAATAATCGAGCTAATAAGACCAAAGATGCAGAAATAGTGCGAAGGAAGAAAGAAGAATCGGAGTTAATATTGAGGGAGAATAAAGCGAAGACAGAGAAACGGTTAATACAAAATTCTTCTCTTGCGAAAAAGTCGTCGTCGTCGAGATCTCATGGAGGATCTCCCGGAGCCCACCACTCTTCTCCATCCTCACTCAGTAGTCACGATGATAGTAACTTTGTTTTAGCGCCACCGATACAAGGCTTGGAGAAGTCGAGGTCGTTCGTTTCAGTTAGAAATTGGCTCGATTCGAACGCATTCAGAACGATGAGTGATGAAACGAAATTTCATGTGTTAGCTAGAACTGCGGCGATTCTAGCGAACGAACACGAGCGCGGTTTCTGCTCCGGTGGCGTCAATCCTTCGAGATTGTTGATTTCTCCGCAAGGAGATATCAAAGCATTTGATAAAGAAGAGATGAACGCAAGAAGTAATAGGAACAGAATGGCGAGAGGATCGAAACAACAACCGGTGATGAAACGTCGCGAAGTTTTGTACGAAACTCTTCCGAGTGAAAATGAACTTCCAAACACCATCAAATCTGAACTCGTTTCTCTCGGTGCCCTCGTATCCGAAATGTTTTGGAAAGATATGTTCGACGTTGGCTCTAGTTCTGAGAATCCGCGCGCTTGGTTCAATGAAAAAGAAATCACGCACATCGATGAGTTACACCCGGAAATGGCGGAAACCTTCAGAAAATTGATATCGAGAGATCCTCGCCATCGAGTATCGGCGCAATCTGTGAGAGATATCGCGTTGAAGCAACTAGAAATTCTGAGACACCGCCGGTCATCATCTTCTACGTCGATGCCTTCGAAAGCTACGCTCGTTGACCGCGAGTTGAACGTGGACTCCGAGAGAAAGGCGAACGAGTTGAAAACAATCATCGACGTTCTTAAATCGATTGAAAAATCCCGCCAACGCGAGTACGAAAAAACGCAGCGGGAATTGAACGTTTTAAATGCGCTGTCAAAGTTGCTCCCCGCCGGAAAACAAGGAATTTCTACTCGCAGCAACTCGAAAAGAAAGCGGGGTGAAAGTAATAACAATATTCACAACTCTTCAGATGTTCCCGGCGCACTTAACAGCGAAAAGTGGGCAAGGCGACCTCCAGAGTCGCAGCGCGCTCTCGATCACGTGCCCTTTGACGACTTGCCGAAAATTGTATTTGAATCTTTGGAAGAAACGTTATTTCAAGCATACGCGAAATCGTGCAAAAACCATGCTCTTCAACTCGCGCGCGGTGGATTTAGTGGAGAGTACAATACCGGTCGCGCAGGATCGGTGAAAGACGACGAAAAATGGATTTCAAACATGATCAAACGCACAAACGTTGAAGAACAGTTAACGGATGATTTGAAAGAATTTGGCAGCTGTTTAACTCGCGTAACGCGAAAGTGGCGATTTCGAGTCGTCGCTAGGCTGGGGTGCGGAGATTTAGTCGGTGGTTCGAGCGATATGGTGTGTTCTACCGCGTGGAATCGCGACGGCGACTTGTTCGCTACCGCGGGTATTTCGAAGCGGCTGTGTATTTACGAGGTTGCCTCCGTCATGCAGTTGGGCAACGCCGTGCATTGTCCAGCCATTGAACTTTCCACGAGCTCAAAGTTGTCCTCAATCAGTTTCAATCCGTACGTGAAGCCGGTTATGGCATCTGCGACGTATGACGGCGCGATGCAAATCTGGGACGTCCAGAAAGGCATGGAAACCATGCGATTGAAGAATCATACCAAACGGGTTTGGTCGACTGAGTTTTCTCCGATCGATCCAACTCGTCTGTTATCAGCTTCGGACGATGGCACAACTCGAGTCTGGTCAATCACGCAAAGGCGAGAGTGCATGGTGATTAATGATCCGAATCAAGCAAACATCTGTTCGGTGAACTCTTCTCGCATGGACTCAAATCTGATCGCAGTCGGCTCAGCAGATCACAAAGTACACGTTTACGATCTTCGAAACGCGGTGATGCCGATGTTGACTTTGGAAACGCACAAGAAAGCAGTATCGTATGTGAGATGGATGGGTAATGAGCTTGTTTCGGCATCCACGGACTCTTTGCTCAGACTATGGGACGTGAAAGGATCGCGAGGTGTTTGTCTTCGCACGTACACCGGACACGTGAACGAGAAAAATTTTGTCGGTCTCAGCGTCACGAGTGATGGTAGAATCGCTTGCGGCTCTGAAGATAATACGGTTCGAATGTACGCAAAGTTTGCACCGCTACCGGTTGCGGGACACTCGTTCATGCGAATGACTCCTGGTTGTGGATTGAGAGAGGGAGGTCCCACGGCTGGTTTATGCGGCGGCATCAAACCCGTTCTCACGAACGACAAGGGCGCGTTCGTCACGAGCGTCGCGTGGTCTCCTGATGGTCAGCGACTGTTAGCGTCCAATTCTCGCGGTAACTTGAAGATATTTGAGTTGGATTAGGTATCAACAACGCGTTTTGGGTGTATAAAAAGCCTTCAATAATACTAACAACGCACACTACAAATAGAATCACGCTTGTAATGTAAAAATATACTTGGAAATTAATTTCTTCTAACAATGAATCTCTGATTTAATACGGCCGGTCGCGACGATAATGTCCTCCACCACCACCTCTGTTGTAATTTCCATAGCCTCCACCTCGACCGCCGCCGCCTCGATTATCCGGGCATTCGCGCGCAAAGTGCCCGGATCGACCACAGATCCGACATCCGTCGCCGCCTCGTCCTCCACGACCCCGACCGCCACCGCCGCCATAGGAACCTCTCGCACCATAACTGTTATGACCTCTACCACCGTCGTAGTTATTGTTATTATTATTGTTGTTATCTCTACTAAAATCATCCTCTTCTCTTTTCTTCTTCGTCGCTAAGGAAACGCTAATCTTCTTCCCTTTGAAGTCGTATCCGTCGTAAAACCCGGGCGCGGACTGCGCAGCCATTGGATCGTCGTAGGTAATCGTGCACTCGTCTTTGTTCTTTCCCGTGGACTCGTCTGAGTATATCTTTACCGCCCAAGGCCACTGATCGGGAAATCCCGTGCGTTGACGTACTCTCGAAATCATCCCGATGCCGCCGAATAACTCTCTCAAATCGTCCGAAGTCGTCGTCTCTGGGTCGAATCCTTTGACGAAAATTCGATTGTTGGTCGGATCGTCCACGCCGTCTAACAACCATCCCGCCGCGGCTTTCTTCTCCTCGTCTTTCACTTTTTGAGATTTCGGTAAATCGCATCGTTTACAGGTTTTCCTCCACGCGAAGTTTGTGTTTGAACACGAGTCGCACTGCCAAGAACCATCTTCGGACAATTTTTTCGCTTTGTTTTCTTCTTTTTCGTTGTTGTTGTTGTTGTTGTTGTTAAAATTCGTGTTGTTGTTGTTGTTGTTGTTGTTGTTGTTCAACCCGGTACCGAAGCGCAACGCCGGCGCGTCCTCTTCAGGAGGTGGAGGAGGAGGTGGTGGTGGTGGTAGTGGAAGAGCACCGTCGTCGTTTTCCTCTTTGGACGGGTGTGGTGGCATATCGCGTCGCAGACTCTTCTCGTTTTTAAATTATTTTATTAATTGTGATGATGATGATGATGATGATGTTTTCCTCTCTCTCCTTCTGTAGATGAACACGCTCTGACGACTGAAAAAAGTGTTCTTGCTCTAATCACAGCCACACACGAACACAAAAAAGAAATCTTTAAAAGAAAACTCATCGTCGTCACTAAAAGTACTCACGTTTGCTGCGCGCTCGTCAACACAGATACGAGAACATTACCACACAGTATCACGAACAACATTAACAATATATTCTTCATATTCTTTCACACATAATTAATCAACACAACAACAAAAAATGAGTATTTTATTGGGCATGGGTAATCCCCTTTTAGATATCTCCGCCGTCGTCGAACAGGACATTTTGGACAAGTACGAGTTAAAACTGAATAACGCCATCTTAGCCGAGGAAAAGCACAATCCGTTGTACAAAGAAATGGTGGAGAAGTATCCGGTGGAATACATCGCCGGTGGTGCCACGCAAAACTCTATTCGCGTGTGCCAGTGGATGTTGAAGACGAGCGGCGCGACGACCTTTATCGGATGCGTCGGTGAGGATGATTTTGGCACCCAGATGACGAAAGCGTGCCAAGCGGACGGCGTGACGACAAAGTACATGATCGACAAAGCGACGCCAACGGGGACGTGTGGGGTTTTAGTGAAAGACGGCGAGCGATCTTTGATTGCCGCGTTGAACGCGGCGAACAACTACAAGTTCGAGCACTTGCAAGAAGCAGAAAACTGGAAGATTGTTGAAGACGCCAAGTTTTATTACAGCGCCGGCTTTTTCTTGACGGTGTCACCAGAATCCATGATGGCGGTGGCCAAGCACTCCGCGGAAAACAAGAAATGTTACATGATGAACTTGTCTGCACCGTTCCTAATGCAAGTGCCGCCGTTTTTGGAGGCAATGATGAACACTTTACCGTATGTTGACGTGTTGTTTGGAAACGAATCCGAAGCGGTCACCTTTGCGGAATCTCAAAAGTGGGAAGGCGTCACGGACGTTGCCGAGATTGCGTTGAAAATCAGTCAAATGCCGAAAGCGAGCGACCACTGCACGAGAACGGTCGTGTTCACGCAAGGTGCGGACGCTACTATTGTCGCCAAAGACGGCAAGGTCACGAAATACGACGTCATCAAACTAGCCAAAGAAGACTTGGTCGATACGAACGGCGCGGGAGACGCGTTCGTCGGCGGGTTCTTGTCCCAGTTTGTACACGGTAAGGAACTAGCGGATTGCTGCAAGGGTGGTAACTACGCCGCCAATGCCATCATTCAACAATCTGGGTGCAAGTGTCCGGGAGAGTCAAACTTCTCCAGCTAAAAAATTGTTCATCGTTCAAATCATTCTTTTAATATAATTAATTAAAAACTACCAGTACTTAAGTATCTACGTAAACATCTTTAAAGAATGGGAAGCGGATCCGGTCCGTGATTGCTAAACACTTGAACGGATGAATCCCAACCGCAGCTCGCTAACTCTCCTCTATTCAAAACACTCACGTCTAAACCAACCGCAAATTCGGTGTGGTGGCGCCACTGCCGCAAAAGCGGCGAAGGCTGAACGCCTCTTTCTCCTCCTTCTCCTAATCCTAAAGTATTACTAATGCTAGTTGTGTTGCTAATTTTCCAATTCCACATTGCTACAGTCATATCGTAACTTGCGGTGTAACATATATCTTCGTCGAATGGATCCATTTTTACTCGTCTCACGGCGTAACCGTGACCTCTCAAAACAGAAAGTTCCTTCTTTGGATTTCGAATGTCCCACAGTTTCACCGTTCGATCGACCGATCCCGTTGCGACGACGCAATCGTTATATTTATTCCAATCCACGCACAAAACTTCAAAATCATGCGCGGGTATGGATAGCGTCGAGTGATTTTTCCTGCAGTCCCAAATTTTTAGTGTACAGTCACCGGAAACAGAGGCGAAAACGTCCGCGTGGTGCGGCGACCACTCCGCGGCGTACACGCAATACGTGTGTTCTCTAAATGTTTTCAACGAGCCGCGCGTGTGCGCATTCTCTCTCGGATTCCAAAGCTTAATAGTATCGTCCCAACTCGCGGTTAAAAACACGTCTTTTCTCGTCGGGTTCCAAGAAACGGTATAAATTTCCGCCTCGTGTTCGTTGAACGAACGCAAAGGATTTTGAAACGGTGGGCGAGATACGTCCCAGAGTTTTGCGGACCCATCGCCAGAGGCGGAGACTAACACGTTCTCCGATTCTTCCGACCACGCGCAATCGAATATCCCATCTGCGGTTTCAAATCTCGCCTCCTCTACTAGCGGAAGCGTCGCCGGTCCAGAGTGAGGAAAATTGTTGTTGTTGTTATTCGTGTTGTTGTTATTGAGCGCGTTCAACTCTCTTCTCAAAACGTACTGATGGCCGTTCCCGACGATGCCAAAGTTTTGCGACGCAGATACCGCTATGCGATCGGCAAAGAACGGCGAGAATTTAACGCTGTAGCCATTGAAAGGCGTGCGAAAATGCGACGTTGCCGCCATGTATTTGCTGTTAGGTTAGAATAGCGTTTGGTTCCGGTGGTAAGGTGTTGGTGGTGGTGAAGGTGACGGTGGTGGTGGGAGACAACAAACAAACAAAACAAACAAACACACTTTCTTCCTCTTTCTTTCTTCTGCTCTTTTACTTTTTTTTGACGACAGACTGAACGAAGAAGAGTTCTTGGTCTCTTTCTGTCAGTTGTTGAAGAGACAAAAATTTTGGGAGGGAAAAGGAGTTTTTTTGGTCGGCTTTTTGAGTTGAGTGACGTGGAACTTTCCTCCACCTCACCCATCGCAAGCTTCACTTTTTAACGCATACAAACACACACACACACACACACACAATGTTCGCTTTACAATCCCAAATCGCCGGCGCCAAGGTCGTCTCCAAAGTTGTCGCCAACAAGCAACAACGATCCACCGTCGTCTCGGCGAAGATTGCCCACGGCAAAGGTACGCTTTAGAGGAGAGAACAATTTTTCAAGGAAGAAGAGAACTAATCCACAAATTTTGTCTCTCGATGGATAAAGAAGAAGAGAGATGGATTTTATCTGTTTTTTTCCCGCGCGTGAAGAAAAGGAGAGATCGTCTGCTTCCTTCGATTGAAGAAGGATTCGAAAGCGTGTTGGATCTTCTCCTTCTTTGTCTTCTTCTTCTTCTTTGACTTCTTCTTTGGTTCTGCGCTGTCTTTGATATCCAAAGAGAGCGCACAACCTTTAAGAAGGAGGGAAGAAGAGAGAGAGCTCTCGGGATCGTCCTCTTTCTCCTCTCCGAAAAAAGATATCAATATTTAAGGTGTCAAATCCACTGACCACAAAAATCTCTTTACAAAACTATAACAACAACAGGTGGTGAAGAAGGGGGCCGATCCTTCAACAACGATGCCTTCGGTACGGACTTTATTGTAATAATCGTAAAAATTAGTACTAATTGTTACTCTCTTATCTAGGTATGATCTGCAAGGCCGCGTCTTACTCCATGATGGGTTCCGCCATCTCCGCCGCCGGCGAGGAAGACGTCTTCACGCAAGAAGGCCCGATCACGGTCTTCGCCGCCGATGACGATGCCTTCGGGGACTTCATCAAGTCCAAGGGTGTTACCAGAATGGAATTTGTGAAGATGGATGGCTTGGGTGACATCTGCAAGAACCACGTCGTTAAGGGCACGGTTACCAAGGCGGACATGGCTGCGGGCAAGGAATTCGAAACCATCACTGGCAAGAAGATCGTCCCGGCTGACTTCCCGTTCAAGAAGAACGACATCAAGGTCGACAACGCCACGATCCACGCCATCAAGATGGTCATCGCCTAAGCGGAATGATGCATTAAATGTAAATTTCTTGTTCATTCTTTAATTAAAGCATTTTGACGTAAACATTCAAAAGAAACAAAAAATAGAGAGGATCGCGAAGCTAATAGTAGAGTGTAAATTTTATCTTTTGGTATTTGCTTGAATGTCGCGATGCTCAAACTCCTCGCCTTCCATTATTTCCCTTATTTTCCTCTCGTTCTTTCCCTCGCATCCGAACACACTTTTTCTCCTTCTTCTTCGTCCTCGTCTTCGTGTTCTTTTTCTTCTTCTTTTTCTAAATTTTCTTCCTTTTTGCCAAAAAGTTTCTCAAACCGACCTGCACAATTATTGCACGCGCAAAGTGTGTTCTTCCGAGAAAGTGCATACATGCAAAATCAGCATTTTCGAGGAATCGGAGGAGAGAAAGAAAAAGAAGGAAAAGAACAACAACAACAGCAGCAACAACAACATTTGTATCGCGACGGACAGATGAAAGTTCCTTCGACGGCGTGGGAAGAGTTGAGAAAAGAGGCGAGGAAATTGGAGAATGAAATTGATGCGAACCTCGCTTCGCTTTCAAAACTTGCCGGGGTTGGTACCAACAACGCGACAACGTCGACGTCTAGCGGTGGCGGTATGAGTGGTAGTGGTGGGTATAATCAGTACCCCAACACGGCGACGAACAAAATTGAGGGAAACTTTGATGTCATCGCATCGAAAGAAGGAGAGATCGAGGCGTTGTTAACGCGTTTGTCAGACGTGACCAGAGCTTTGGCATCATCCATTCATAGCGGAGCGAACGCTTCTTCGGATACTCGAACGCACACGTTAGCGAGACATAGAGACGTTGCGAAAGAGTTCAATCACGAGTTCAGACGAATGAAAGATTACATAGAGCAAGAGCGAGAACACGCTTCGTTGTTACAGGGAAGACACCGGGGAAGTAACGGCGCTTTAGGAGGAGGGGATGAGAGTAACTCTTCCGCAGCAATGCGAGAGAGAAACTCAATCTTGAGCTCATCAATCGCAGTAGACGATGCGATTGGCGTTGCACAAAATACGGCGAGCGCGTTGTACGAGCAGAGGGGAATTTTCAATAACACGATTAGCGCGCTCGCCACGGCGGGGAGTAAATTCCCGGTGGTGAACAATTTACTTGTAGCTATCAAGAGAAAAAAGAACAAGGATGCGATTGTTCTCAGCGCCGTGTGTGCCATATGCTCGGCATTAGTCTTAATTTATTGGATGGCGAAGTAGTAGCTTGTGTTTTTATTGAATTCTTTTTACAAATGAGTACAGTACTTTTCTACTTCGTCTTCCTCTTCTTTAGTGCGTAAGACGAGAAATTTCTTCAATCTTCTTTACCAAGTCCTCGGAATTCGAAACTCCAGACAGTTCAGACACCGCGACTTGGTCTTCTTTGGATAGATCTAAGAAGATTTCGACCAAATCACCGTCGATAAAGTTTCGCATCTCTACGCTTCGCTGCACGTTGTGAAAACTTCTGAAGTCAGAGTGACTAAAGTTTCCCACTCCGGTAACTACCTTTTGCATGGCTTCTTGAACTTTGTTAAGTAACATGAAATCGCGTTTCGGTAAAGTCGCAACGACGCCTAAACCACCAGAGATCGTGCCAAATAGCCAAGTGGAGATTTCAGACAAGGAGCTCGTATCGTCGCTTAGATCTGGCATGCGCATGACCAGACTACCGCGTCTGAATCTATTCACGGAATCTCCCAAGTGGAAGGCGCCACAAAGCTCTAGCGTCCCGCGTTTATCTTCTGTGTCTGCGTCCGCGTTCCGCTGAACGGTAAACAAGTTGTAACTAGATTCAGCTCCGAGATATGTGTTATCGTCTAAAATCTCGACCGCCGTCATCCAATTCGAGCTAAAATCGTGCGCGACTTCTTCAATCCTGCCGGATTCTCGCTGATACTGCAGCAGCGTTATCGACTTCATCAAATCACCAACGACGATCAAATTATCTTTCGTTTCAACCTTGAGTGCGATGATGTGTCCCATGTGAGAACACTCGTGCACTAACTCGCGTTTATTTTCTTTGGAAACGCCCCAGTTGAATAATTTCACCAGAGAATTGATACCGGCGAGTAGCTTACCGCAAAAGGCATTCAAATTGTACACCGCACCCCGGGTTTCTTTTTCACAGACGAGCGTGAGACTCTTTTGAAGCACAGACGAGGACGCGGAAGCGCGGCCGTCGCCGTGGTCATTCCCGTTGACAACAGCGTTTCCACCGCCACTCGACGATGTGTTCGAAACTTTGAAAACGAGTATGCGTCCTCGAGAAGATTCAGGCTCCGAATGAGGGTCCGCAAAAGCCGTTCCGACAACGAAATATATATCGTCGTCCCCGTCGAAAGAACACGAAATAATACTTGCATCGTTCTCGTTCGGTTCGAGGGGATATTTTGCCAAAGTTTCAAAAGTTTTATTGTCGAATAATCGCACGAAAAACTCTTCTTCTTGCCCAGGAACATCGCTCTCTTTCATGGTAAGCACCGCTAAAGTTTTTGTTTCCGGTTGATGCGCAATTCTACGAGGTTGTTCGCGCAGCGGAACCGTACGAATGTGCAATTTCTGAATATCATCGACGGCACCAATCGTCAAATGTTCGCCGCTGGCTAAAGCTAGCGCATCCGGAAAAGCGTCACAATTAAACGGTGCCACGTGCAAAACCTCGTTCAAGTTCACGTTTGAGTAGACGAGCTTCTTACTGTTGGAATATATAATCGTCGGCCGATCCGATCCCGCGAAGACATGCATTGAATGCTGAGACTTGAATAATTTCAGAGTAACCGGTTGCGTGCCAAGGGAAACAGATTTTCGATCACTCAACGCAAATCCTCCGGCTGAGCTCGAAGAATCGACGACGTTTGTTATTAAGTGCCCGTCACCGAGACCGGTGAGTAAATAGATTGTATCTTCGAAGAAGCAAAATAACGTCGACCTTGGAACGACATCGAGAGATAAATTTTCTGTGTGACAGACTTTCATCCCCGATCCTAATTCGACCAGCAAAACCTTCGTGCTCCACAATCCAACCGCACAGACGTTACGATCGCCGCACTGCGTTTTATCGATGCAAGATATTTCAGCATCGAAAGTCATTTTTCCAGTCTCTGAAATCTTCCCACCTTGAAAAGAAAGGTAATGAAGATTACCACCGACAGTGGCGACGGCTATGGTATTCTCTGACGCTGAACTGGCAGTTATAGGACTCTCGTCAGACGGCACCCATGAAGCGACAAGTTCTCCCGACGAAGCATCGCAAACGTAAACGCCTTTACTTGTGACTTGACAGATCACATTTCCAGAAATATTTGCACATTCAATCGTTTGGGAAGATGCGTCAAATCCTGGGAACACTGCCTCTTCCAACTCGTCGTTATCGTTTATTGCTAATATCCGCGTCTCCGCGATGAACGACACAATCAAATAGGAATCCAAAGGCATCGTTTCGTCCCGCTTGCACGAGTAGAGACCTTTAATCCCTGAGAGTGAAATCTGAGCCTGTTCTCGGATTCCGATTCCATTCCGAATAACGCGTAAAGATCCGCTCGTGCCTACCCCCGAACACGTGACGAGTTGACCTTGACCGTGACGCTCTAAATCCATGACGCAAAAGTCTACGATAGGACCAAGATTGGTAAACTCCTCCAAAACTTCGACGTAGCTTGGTAGTTCGTTCGAAGCTGACATCATGGTATTGACTTGTTCCGTGTGCAGTTTAATTATTTGGGAATCTCCATACGCGCTTCCAATGAAAACCACACTGTTGTCGAGATAACTCATTGCAGATGCCGAGGACGTTTTACCTAACCTTTCTATCGTCAACTTCGAAACAATGGAAGTGCTCATCGTCGATGTCGTGCCTTTGCTCAGCATCAACAGGTACAAATCGCCGTCTTCGTCCGCGATTAGAAATCTATCGACGAGCTGGTTCGAAACATTCTCGTCCGAAGGAATCAGACACGCTGAAGAAAACATGAGCAAATCTGGAGTAGTAATAGCTCGTACTAAAGCCGACGTAGACGACTTGTTCTCGCCGCGAAACATGACATTACTGTTTGCATTATTGCTCAACGTACTTGTAGCATTCTTCGTTGCGGTGTTGTTATTCTTGTTGTTGTTGTTTTCGTGGTCATCCATTATTCCCGCGGGTTCATTTAAATACGCAATCGTTTCTTCGCCAACGACCACGCAACCTCCAATGGGAGAGGATAAAGCAAGCAGTTTCTTTGAGCCTATTTCAACTTCGCGCTGTTCAAATGGACCTGGTTCTAAATCTCTATCACGTAAGTTTACGCGATAAGTCGAGACGTGCCGTTCGTCCTTCACGTCTTTATGTAAAACCGCTATGACTGGCATTGAACTCAAACCGCCGCCCCCAGCGTTTTCCCGATTGATACTCCTCGTCAAGCTCGAAACGTTCGACAATGTTATATTCATGTCCGATGCGTTGTTGTTATTATTATTATTATTATTATTACCGTATTCACTCGCGTCTATTGCGATCCCAGATGTCGACGATGACGTCGACGGAAGAAAAACGAAATCCAAAACTTTGAGTTCGTTCAGGTTGGCGTTGAACGCTTGTAACAAGTTTCCGTTCTCATCGAACGGAATAAATTTTATTAAACCATCGTAAATGTGTAAAGCGATAACCCTGGCATTTCGATCGATATCGCCGAGCATGCCGTGTTCGACTGGTCGTCCAGTCAAATCGGAAACATCGCCACTCGAAACCGTTCGAAGCGTGTTGGTTGCCGCATCGTACGACAAAACGGCGAGCGAGTATCGGTCTTCCGTAACGACGACGAGACGACCTGGTATGTTTTCTCTGTCACCATTTTTTCTTCCTTCGCACAGCTTAAGCATAGCGATGCGTCCATAAACCGTCGTCTCCAGAACTGGTTCTAATCCTTCTTCGGTCAAGAGATAAATCTCAATCCGATTGGATCGTGCAACTATCAAATTTTGTCTCTCCAAATGCGTGAAATGTCCCACGCATGAATAGGATACAGCCGTCGGTTTATGCGCGGTGACGACGTAATTAAAGACTTCAGTCGAGGGTAGGGATGAGGAAGAAGGCGATGAATGATGTTGAAGTCCTTCTTTCTCCGACGCATCCATCATCGTCGCATCGTCTGTGACTGACATCGTGTGTGACTTTTTGTGTGCGGGAAGTACGTACAGACAGAGGAGGAAGAAGGAAAAAAAACAAACAACAAGCATGCATGATGAGGAGAAATTTTACTTCTCGTCCTTCGTCTTCATAAAAGATGATGATGAAAGTGGTGTTGTTAATATTAGCGGTGGAGAACACACGAAAAAAATGATGACGATGACGATGACGATGATGTCGCCGTTGAAAGCGTTGCAAAGTCAGACCTGTCGCTACTGTTCTTCTTCTTCTTCTTCTTTTTCTTCTTCTTTTCGCGCGGCGAGAAAGCTAAAGAAAATGAAAACGTGTGCGACGAGACAGTTACTCAGGTGCAGCGGTAATAATGAAGAGAACGACGAACGAACGAAAACAACAACAAACAAAAACAGCAAAAACAAAAACACCATCACCAACAACGACGACATTAGATTGGATATACGCGTGACTGATGTTCAGTTGATTCTTGGCGAGATGAGTCTTTTATGGATTCTGGAGCTGATATCACGAGCTGTTCAAGTATCCATCTCTCCCGACTTTCCTGGCTGGCTGGCACCTATCGAATCACCCACACCAAATAGCATTGCTTCTATGATTTCAGCCACGGCGTGGAATTTTACCTGGATTGGATTTTCTGCAATGCTAGGTGCGTACGAACTGTCAGAGGATGACTATCCAGTCGTCGAGAAGGGACCAAAGACGCCGACGATGAAAGCTCTAGAAAAAGTCTGCTTGACGATGCTATTATACGCGCCAGCGCAGGCCTTTGGTGATGCGTTTAGTTTGCACGCCAATTTGCTCAATTTAGCTGCAACTCCACCTTTACTGATTCGCTTACCAACAACATTCGCATTTATATTTGCTTTTAGATTTTATGTTTTGTGTCATAGAGGAGAAGTGAACCGAGAAATCGAGGAGTCTGAATTCCAGTTGCTTTACGCGACTCTTTCAGTATCTCTATTGGCAACGTTGTGCGGCGCTATAACGCAAACGTCAAACCCGCAATTTCATATAGAGCTAGCACGGGAGATTTTTCAAATAGTTGAGTAAAATTAATTGTATTTATATTAGTATATTAAGAGTCGAAAGAGGCGCCGCCGGTGTTTTCGTTTACTATTATTTTTTCGATTTTGATTTCAGCGCAGAAGAAGGGGAAGAAGAAGAATCGCCATGAGACTTTGATACAGTCGACGGTAAAGCTCTGGCAAGAACATCGTCTACGCCTTCGCGTTTCGTCATTTTTGTAACCAAATGCCGATCTGGCCCACTACTCTCGCGTTTCCTTTCAACTTCTTTGTAATCGATGTACTCTCTATATTCCAACCGCATGTGAGGTGGTTCTGTCTTGGTTTTTGCCTCTTGAACGTTCCAATCGCGAGAGACACCCGGTAATCCCCTCTCTGACCAAACGCCTCTCAAGCGTTCGAGTTCTCTCGTTTCCAACCGCATTTTTTCCAGCATATCAACGTGTTCTTTATTGTTTTTGTCTATTCGCTTCTCAAACTCCAAAATCTTATTCTTTAACTGATCTCGTTCGTCATCTATTTCCGTTGCTCCAAACACTTCCGGACCTCTAGGGAGCCCCACTCGACGATCGTTTGTATCATCATAACCAATCATTTTTTTGATTTGAAAATAAAAAGTGCCGTATCAGAGGAGCAATATAAAGAGGACGATGATGATAACGACGATGCTGTGTGAAGACTTTAAACGCGCGCGAACTTTTGAAGTGTGTTTTTGTTTTGAGAAAGAGATTTTTGATCTCATCAGCGAAGGGAAAAAACACAAAGCAAGCGTTTTTTTCTATTCTTCAGAATTATTATTATTACACAAATAATCGATACATCAAAATCCAATTCGCCATGACGTCCGACTCAGAAAGCGAAAGCGACGACGAAGAATACAACCAAGGACCCGACATTTTTGAAGCCGCGGCTGACGAAGAAATCAAGGAAGACCACTGGTGCGCGCGCTTTTCTTTTTCCTTTTTTCCCTGCTGTCAAATGCAAAAGGGCAATTCCATATTTTCTTCACTCATTCTCAAATTCTCTTCTCCTTTTTCATCGCGTAGGGAGTATCACATGCGCAAAAATATGAACGATGGCGCCGGAGACGCCGTTTATCGCAATCTGGCGTATAAAGCCGTGTGTAACTGCATGCCCGTGTGCAAAGAAGGGTGCATGAATCCGTATTGGATGTGGACCAAGAAATAAAAATCAAAACGAAAAAAAAACGTTTCGATGAAACGAGGATGGATTATGGATTCAAAATGCTGAAACCACTCACATAATAAAAGAGTACCAGAGAGGGATTTTTAAGAAAAACAAACTTGTATTCGAATTATTATGTACATGAAACGCTTGAACACTCTCCGGATATCATCAGTCCCTGTGACGGATATTCACTCGTTCATGTCGTAGTAGGCGTACCTTCAACCGGATCGCCTCTGGAGTTTCGTCGCATGATTTCTCTGGCCAACTTTAATTGTCTCCCTATTACGAGTGCCGTCACTGTCCCAGTTCCCAACGCGCCGCGAGCAGTTCTTCCAACGCGCCTGACGTACTCTGATGGATCGCGCGGGAAATCAAACAATACCACGTGCTTAATTTTTTTACCGTCTAATCCTCGAGAAGCTCTGTCTGTACAAATTAATAATTGCGGCGTTGAGTCGTCGTCGTCGACGGTAAACTCGCCTCGCTGTTTTTCGCTCGAACTTCTTCGCCCGAGAAATTTGCGTAGATTCTCGTCCCTTTTCTCGCGGCTCAACGCGGCGTGATAGGGTAGCACTTTGTAACTGGCACCGTCTGGGTCGCTTCGGATGAGTAGATTTTCCAACTTACGGCAGGTTTCAATCTTATTGCAAAACAGTAACGTTCGCGACGCCGATTTCTTCTTGCTCGTTTTAGCAGTAGTTCCAGCGGTAGACGGGAGTATGTCGTCCCTCAAAATTTTCATGAGCGCGGCATATTTACGATAAAACCCGCTTTGTTCGTCCGAGACGTCACCACCAGAGCAGTCGACGAGCCGCTCTAGCGTACCCGCAGACGGGCGATGTAATCCTGGTCCCTGAATAACGCGAATATCTTGCGGGTAAAAGAACTGCTTAAGTTCGCGCAAGACTTGATCGGGAATCGTTGCCGTTACCAACACGAATCGCGTACTTGTTGGATTGGCAAGATCTTTAATCGGTTTGATTTGAGACGCGAATTCAAACGCATCTCCCAGTAGTACATCGCATTCATCCAAAATAATGCTATCTAAATCATCCAACTCCATTCTACCCGTTTCACACAAGTACCGAATGCGTCCTGGAGTTCCAATTACGATGTCAACGCCACTCTTTAAAGTTTTTGTTTGCGTCAACGTAAACTTCGCGGTCAAATCGCGAGTTGATTGTTCTGCGCGGTTAATTTTTGTTCTATCAGAAGCACCACCAGTCGCAATCATCGATCTCGTTCGGACGCCACCTTTCGAAAGTTCTTTGACAACTTCAGTTACTTGTCTCGCCAATTCCGAAGTTGGAACTAAAACGAGCGCGCGTGGACGCTTCGAAACACTCATTCCAGAATCTCGTTCGAGCCGCTCTAACCTTTGAAGAAGTGGTAATAAGTAGCTCAACGTTTTACCACTCCCTGCTTGGTCGGCGAGTAGAACATGATTCGCACCTTCATCGTCATTTGCCACAGAGCTCTCCTCATCGTAGGAGTCACTATGATCGTGAAGGAGTATCTTGAAACTTTGCGCTTGTATGTGTGAAGGACGTGAAATGTTCATGCGGCTTTCGAGAGCATTGACGATCAATTCTGAAGCTCCAATATCTTTGAACTTTGCACCGGAGTAGAAAAAATACTCATCCGGGTCGTCCGGCTCTCGAACAAACATTTCTGGCTCAAAATCATCTTCGACGTATTTAGCGAGTAATGTGGGCACATATTCTCGCGCCTCATCGTTTTGGTCACCGTACGGCCCATTATCTGATCTATTTTGTCGCCTTGAGTCTACAAGATCGTCTTCTAATCCTTCTAGCACCCAATCTTCAAATTCATCCTCGGACATTGCGTTGGTATTGGCGGACCTTTCTTCGTCGGCGTCGTCGGCGTCATCGGCGGCAAAACCTCCTCGGTTTCTCGTTTCTCGAGCACTATTGAGGAACGAAGGCGACGGTCGATCGAGAACACGCATCATCGCGGGTGCCGAGAACCTGTCGTTGTGTGCATGATTCTTGTCATCTTCTTCTTCTTTGTCGTCGTCGTCGTCGTCGTCGCCGTCAAAATTGTTATACCTGCGCTGAGAATTGGTAGCGCTTGAAAACGAAGGTGTTGGGACGTAATTCTTGTCAATTGACGCTTCTACTTTAACTTCGCGGTCGTCTATTCGCATCCCTGGTCCAATTTCTACGCATTCCGCGCAGGATGTCTCGTCTTCAAAAGTTACGAAACCAAAGCCTCTCGATTGGCCGGTTTCTCTGTCCAAGACGACGCGAGCGTTTGCGACGTAGCCAAAACGTTCCATAGCTCGACCTAAGCTCTCGTCTGTCGTGCTGTAGGAGAGGTTGCCTACCATAACTTTGAATGGGTTTATATTTCCTTCCCTCGAGTTGCTTCTGTTATTGCTACTAAAATGTTCATTTCTATCTCTTCGTTGTCCTTCCCCGTAACGACCTCTTCCCCGGCCGCCGATTCTTCCTCCTCTGCGTCCTCCTCCTCGTCCTCCTCCTCCGAATCGCGCGCTTCCGCGTCCTCTGTCGAAGTCATCTCTCCTGAAATCTCTGTCCCCATTGCGTCTGCCATCGAATTCTCGGGCTCCTCTGTCTCCTCCCCTCATTGTTCGTCGTCCATCTTCTCTCCAAGAAGAATTGTTTTGATGTTGTTGGCGCCTGTTGTTGTTGTTATAAAAATCCCTGTCGCCGTCGCCGCCGCCGACGCCGTCTTCGTCAAAGTTTCTCGGTTCACCAAACTTTGCCGTCGTCGATATTCTTCTCCCTTTGTTTCTGCGTTTAGCGTTGCTCTTATTTACGCGCGGCGGCAGAAAGCGAGGAGCCGCGCGGAACGAGTGATGCGCACAACAGGTATACATCTCTTCTCAATCGAAACACAAGTAAAAACAACTGCGAAAGAAAACTGGTGCTTTTTTTGTGAAGATGCTCTTTCTCCTCCTCAAAATGATTTTAAGACGCGTGAAAGACGACAAATAAAATCATCTCAACGACCGGGAAACGGACTTGGTCGTGAGAGCTTTTTCGTCTCAAGTTTCTCGCGAGAGAGAAAGAGAGAATTGATAAGGATAGGAATAGAGACGCACGACGCGATGTCGTTGTCGCGGGCCGTCGCATCAGCGCTCGGACAATGCCTTGTAAGTCATCAAAAGCATCAACGACGCGAAGGAAGAACGAAGGAGGTTGTTAGAAAAAAAACTTCCTTTTTGTTCTCTTCAGCTGATGGAAAGATAAAGAAGAAGAGGACGATGGAACGCAAGAGCGATAGGATATCGACTGGTGCATCTTCATCATCGTCGTTTGAACCTGTGATAGTTGATATTGGCGATGGCACCAACGATAATAACGATTTGAGCAAAGGAGGAGGAAGAGGAGGAGGAAAAGGAGGAGGAGGCAGTTGGTTCGGAGGAAGTAATAAAAAAAAAGAGGACGACGACGACGACAACGATGATTACAGCGATAGATTCAACGGATTATTCAAGTTTCTTCTCCTCGCTTTACTTTTTAGACAAGCCGTGATATCTGCGCTCGATAAATTGCACGAACCGTCGTACGACGATGCTAATAATACAGAAGAAAATGATGGCGACCAACAACAACAACGAAAGCGAAGAGAGAAGAAGAAAACGAGCGCCTGCGCGATTGTCATTCCGGCGTTGAACGAAGAGGAAAATATAGAGCTTTTGCTCGTACAAATACATGCGTTGCGACCGCAACCATCCGAAGTGGTCGTTGCCGTGGGAGATTCCACGGACAATAGTGCCAAAGTAGCTGAGAAGTACGGCGCGAAAGTAGTGCGAGGCAAACGAGGTAGGTCGCGACAAATGAACGCCGGCGTCCACGCTCTCTCAACACATCCGAAGAATGTCTTGTTTCTACACGCAGATACGATACCTTTTCCGGATATTTTGAATGTAGTTGATGAGACAATGAGAGATGCAAAGGCTATCGTGGGAGGGTTTATTTCGCTCATCACGACTGATAAGAAAACGTACTGGGCGATGTCTTATCACAACGTCTTCAAATCAGATTTCTACACGGCTATTTTATATCCGAAAAGATACGTGCTCGGATTGAAACTTTTGTTTGGCGACCAAGGTATATTCTGTAGACTAAATGATTTTGAAGCCGTCGACGGATACGATGAGACTTTGCCCATCATGGAAGATGCAGATTTATGTATTCGAATGCAAAAATACGGGTGCTCTAAAAAAAAAAGTACGACGAGCTGCGTGCGTTTAGTGGATAGGGTCATCACGACCAGTGGAAGACGCATCGAGAGCATGGGTGGCAATCTGAAGTCGACATTAGTACACTTTCTTATTGGTGGGGCATGGGGCATATTCAAAGTAAAAGGTGACGGTTTATTGTGGCTGTATGAAAGGTTCTACGGATGGAATGAAAGAGGAGAAAAATCGAAACAGGAAAAGAAGAAGAGGAGAAAATGATGCTTGGTGATGAACGTCATCATATGTGTAAGTAGTAGTAGTGGTAGTGATAGTAAATTGTAGCAGTATTATAGCGTTCAAAAGCAATTGTATAGCATGAGATCACCTCAGTATTCTATTTATTCCGCATGGAAGTCGATTTTTCCGTAGTTTCGCCCACGACGACAATTATCAAGTCGTCTTCATCTGGCGCTGCATCGGTCTTTTCGTCAACTTTTTCGTCTCCTTTCGGAGCGCTCGATGATTCGTCTTCTTCCTCGACCTTCGATCGCGAAACCAATTCGACTGGCTTTTGTTGCGCAGGCATTCCTAAAATTTCGCGCATTTCGCTTCCAGTCAGCGTTTCCTTTTGAAGCAATGCTTCTGCCAACTTGCGTAAATCTTTTTCGTTTTGTTTCAACATCTTCGTCACTCGCGTGTGTGACTGCTTCAAAGAAGCAATGACTTCCTCGTCTACGGATTCTTCCAGTCGCGTGGAAGCTCCTCTAGATTCCTTTCCACGGAGGTTTCCGACGTTCAGTACGCCAACTTTGTCGCTCATCCCAACCTCTGAAACCATGTAATGCGCTAATCTCGTTGCTTGTTGTAAATCGTTGAGAGCGCCCGTCGTAACCTCATCTTGGCCAAAAATGATTTCTTCTGCGACTCGACCGCCGAAGCACACATCTAATCGCGCCAAAAGCTGACGTCTAGAGATGGAAGTTTCATCCTTGTCCGGCAATTGTGTGACCATACCAAGCGCTTGACCTCTTGGCACAATCGTCGCTTTGTGCACCGGCATCGCACCTTTTGTTTTTAGAGCAACCAAGGCGTGCCCAGCCTCGTGATACGCGGTAAGTTTTCTATTTTCCTCGCTCAGTACGGCGGATTTTCTTTCCGTTCCCATCAAGATGCGATCTTTTGCCCATTCCAGCGTTTTTAGCGTGATTGAAGTTTCATCCGTCACCGCCGCTCGCACCGCCGCAATGTTGACGAGGTTCGACAACTCGGCTCCGGATAATCCGGAAGTTCCTCTAGCTAACGCGTCGACATCGACGTCTTTCGCGACAGGTTTATCGTCCAAGTAGTGTTTGAGAATATCTCTGCGTCCTCCGATGTCTGGATTTGGCACGTGAACGGTTTTATCGAACCTACCAGGTCGCGTAAGCGCTGGATCCAAACTCTCGGGTAAGTTGGTCGCCGCCAGAACGATGATACCATCGTTTTGTTCGAATCCATCCATTTCGGTGAGGAGCTGGTTCAGCGTTTTGCGTCCCCCAGACTGTGATTCCCACGACTTGCGCGATGTTCCTACTGCGTCAATTTCATCGATAAATACGATGCACGGAGTTTTCTTCTTAGCGGCGGCAAAAAGTTGTCGCACCCGTTTTGATCCGACGCCAACGAACATCTCTTCGAACTCGGAGCCAGAGCGATAGAAAAACGGAACATCCGCCTCACCCGCGACCGCTCTGGCTAGCAAAGTCTTACCAGTTCCCGGCGGTCCTGTGAGCAAAATGCCCTTCGGTAACTTTCCTCCGAGACGCGTGAACTTATCCGGATTGCGAAGATACTCGACGACTTCTTGCAATTCACCTTTGCATTCGTCGCAACCGCGAACGTCTTTAAATGTTTTTTTGTTCTTCTCGGGCATCGTATCTTTATCGTATTGTTTCGGAGCGAAGGAAGGAGTGCCCGAGTCACTTTCCTCGTCGTCCTTCTTCACACCACCGCTGCCTGAACTCGTCGGCGGATGCAATGAAGACGACGAAGACGACGACTTGCCCAACGAGGATGACGACGAAGACGAAGGCGAGGACGTCACTACGGTGGTAATTTTCATGGTAGCAAAGTAGCGACGAAGGAGATATGAACCCGTCCATGAAATGCACGATACGACACCAACGAACATAAACATATTTCCAAAGAAACCTTTGACTTTCCCGACTTTTGAGATGTTGCCGCCTTCTACGACTACGTGGATGGGCGTACTCGCTCGTCCAAACCGAACGGTTCGGGCCATCTTCAAAGATTTATCCGGATCCGCGCGTTCGCTCAAATCTTTCAAAAGCAGCGGCAGCGAGTCTCCTCCAATCTCCATCGGTTGGTAAGTTGTCGCCGTAGAAGATCTCGTCAAATGCGGAGGGGGCTTTGGAATGGTTGAAGACGGCAAATCACTCTTCGCGTCGCCTTCTCCATCTTTCGTTTTTTCGTCTTTGTCCTCAAGCTCCGACGTCGTTTTCGAGGAAGAAGAAGTTGCTCCTTGATGCTCGAAATATTTATCCATTCTTTGTGATGATATCAACGCAGCCATGTACGCGGTCACACTTCTTGGTCCACTCGCGTATTTTCTCGATTCAAACCGTTCGATAATTTCTTCGACCCGTCCGAAGCGATGCAGTTCGAGCATCAACTCGTCTTGCTTTTTGTGGTCCGCAAACTTTTCATTCGCCTCGCCGTATAGTTTCTCCCACTTTGATTTGCGGTCCAGGAAAACCCGCACGTGCGATATGAACGGTAAATTGAGCGCGAACGTTTTCGTCTGAACCAACGCGTTTTTTATTTTCTCGCTCTTATTCGTGTGCTCGTTTTCCATCTTCCCCTTCTTCTTTCCTTCTTTTTCTTCTTCTTCCTTCTCCTCCTCTTCTTCTTCGTTTCTCGTTCCGGTACTTTTCGTCGCGTTAAATTTAAAAGCCGTCGCTGAGGACGAAGATTCCGTTTCAGAGTTATCCTTTTCTCCTCCATTCACCACGTCTGATCGTTCACTTTCGACCACGACTTCTTCTTCTCGCCGAACGTCTTCGTCGTTCAAAGCTCTCTCGTCTTCATCTCGGTTCGTACTTCGTGCAACGACATCCAATTGTTTCTCAGGACGAGAAGAAGAAGAAGAAGAAGAAGGAACTGGTGAAAAGCGCTGGCATGGATGATACCGCCGCCGTCGCCGACGTATAGATGACGTCGGAGACGCTCCCGTCTTTCCAGATATCATCGATTGGAACGCGACGACGCTACTCATCGCGCGCGTGTTCTTCTTTTCTTGTACTTCTTTTCTCTTCTTTTCTCTAGAAGCTTCCCTTTTTCTGCAAGATGATTATTTTGAGGGCAAAAAGAAAAAATTCGGACGAAAATAAATCAATTCCGCAGACAGAATCCACACAAACAGAAAAAGAAGAGAAGAAAGCTGAGAAGGGTTTGTTTTGCTTACCTTACTCTCTTCCCGTCGTCCTCGTCGTCTTTATTTACGTCGTCGTCGTCGTCTTCTTCTTCTTCTACTACTACTACTACTACTACTACTACTACTACTCTCCACCTTCCTCACTTTCTTCTTCACTTCTTTGTCTTCTTCTTCCATCTCCTCCTCCCCGAGAAGAAGCGCGCGGCTTTTTCCTTTTCTTGTTGGAAAGAGGCAACCTCTTCTTATTATTATTAGTAGTAAGAAAAAGAAAAAAGATGCCGAGAAGAGATCAGGAAGCGCTACTGTTGCAGAACAGCATCGCCGAAGAAGAGAGCTCCATGGGAACGCAAATACCTCTGGCGAAGTCCACGAGCGTAACGCTCTTCCAACACCACCACCAAGGAGAGGGAGAAAAACAACAACAATTTCTTGGACAAAATTTGGAGGAGCGGGACAGTCTGGTTTTAGTCGTCAACGATCACCAAATCGCGGCAGAGAAAGACGGAGATTTGGAAAAACCACTTCGCACGTGCTCGACGCCAGATTGCACCGGCATCCAAAAAAGATCTTGGTACAAGTCTAAAATCCTCGTCGGAAACGATATGTGCCAGTCGTGCTACAAAAAGGAGAGGTTGGTTCTCAGTAATCGGATTTGCAACGACTGTCAAACGACGCAGACGCACTCGGATTGGTACAGGTCGAAAGTCGTCAAAGGCACGTACTTGTGCGATAAGTGCTACTATGTAGAGTTACTGAAAGTGCAAAATCGAGAATGCAACGACTGTGGATCCTCGAAAACCTCCATCGCGTGGTCGAAAAGTAAGAGATTTCCGGGCAAGTTTGTCTGCCAGCGATGTTATGTTCGAGAAAAATTGGCGCTCACTACAAAAACGTGTTATTTGTGCAAATCTGACAAGACTTCGTCTAAATGGATCAAGTCGAAGGTTATCCTCGGCGCGGATTTATGTGTCAACTGTTACAACAAAGAAAAGTTGTCGCTCTCCAACAAACAGTGCGGCGTGTGCGCCTCGCGAAAGAGTTCGATGGCGGGTTGGTACAAATCCAAGAAAACTCCCGGCGTCGACTTGTGTAACTCGTGTTATAAAGTGGAGCGCAATTCAATGGCTAATAAAGTTTGTAACGATTGCAAAACCACGAAGACCTCGCAATGGGCAAAGTCGAAGACGACCGTCGGCGTGGATTTGTGCTTGAAGTGCTATTCAAAGGAGAGGTCGCTTTTAAAGACACTGACGGCTGCGGCTACCGGACAGACGAACGAGTGATATATCGCCCTGCGTCAAGTCGGCGGGGTTGGGAAAAAGAGATGGTAGAAATACCGATCGAGAAAAAATTGGAATTTTGTAGTGAAAAGAACTCACTACTACATACCAGTATATAATAATGAAGATTGATAATAAAGATTGATAATAATAAAAATAATAATAACATGATGCAAACTATGAAAAGAGGAACGAGAAGGAGGTTTGTTAAACTACGCGGGACTTAGCATGCGTTCAGCTCACGTCTCGTCGCGAGGATGATGAGCGCGAGTTTCGCACAAAGTCACCTGAGCATTCAAAAAATGTAATACAAAATGTTAAAATTACACATGAAATATCGTACAATACACAACTTATTCGTTCATTAATCATTGATCTCTCTTGTACTCTCCAAGGCAGGCGAGGTTTACGTATGATGACAAAAAACTCGAAAACCTGCCTCTTCTTTTTAACTTCATCTGGGGGCGTTCCTCGTCTGAGCTGCTGCTGCTGCTGCTTTCTTTGCTGCTTTCTGCTCTGGAGTTTTTCCTTCTCTTCCCGACCCCTGCCCACCCGCTATGCAGCACCCAAACAATGACTCTTGCAACTGCACGAACCAATCTTTCTCTTCTTCGACGACGGTCCCCTCGTTTGCCGCTGCCGTAGAAGGTCGTTGAATGCGACGCGTTGGCGGCGTGCTCGCTGTAGGCGTGACGTTGTTTTGTGCTAAAATTCTATCAATCATACCGCCGGAGGTGTCGAATGGATTATCCGACGCGAGCTCAAATTCTGGCTCCAACTTTTGTTCGTTACCGGCAAAGTCCACGTTCCTCGAAGAAGTCGTCACCGGTGCGTCTTTTGATAAGCCCCACCTTTCGCGATGTTTTCTATTTTCTCGAGCAATCAACGCTTCTTTCTTTCGCTCCTTTGCCGCTTGTAAAAGTTTGTAGTCTTCTTCTGCCGTACATTTCGAGAGTTCGGCTATTCTTTCGTCTTCCTCTTTCTTCAGTTCCGACTCGATGGCTAACGCTTCTTTTTGGGCGAGTTGAAGCGCTTTTCTCGTGTTATGCTTCCTTGACGTCGAGGAGGCGCCGACAGATCGTCCATCGGTGCGCCTCGAATTCGTTCCAGTGCGTTTACTCGTGTCTCGACTTTGTCTATCGTCCGATAACACGGAAGAGATATCGAGCTCGCTCGCATTTCGTACGCTTCCTCTGTTGTATCTGCTGCTGCCGTGCGCGTTATTATTTTCCACGTCGTCTTCCGGGTCTGAATCGATGGCTAGATCTTCCAACGTCAGCTTTTCGAGCTCTTCTTGCGTCATTTGATTTCCGTTCATCCTTTGTCCGCCTCCATTTCCTCCTCCTCTTTGCGTCGTCGTGGCGTGACTGTACAGCGAGGACTTTTTCGGAGTCCCCACGCTTTTTATTTTCCCCGTTTTCTCGTACGATTCTCGGTCTCTAATTCGCTCTTTAATAACCTCTTCCTCGTACTTCGCGCGCTCGTACTCTTCCTCCGCGGGGTCTACGTGAGAGCGTACGTTATCGTTTACATCCCCTCGGAATGATTGTAACGTCAACGGCGACTCTGGAGAGACATTTTTCGTGCCCTTCCCGGATTCGTCTTTTGCGTGAGCAGCGTGTCGTCGAATTCGATCGAACGCGTGCGTCTTATTATTCCCTTCTCCTTCTTCACCTCCGAAAGCGCCGTCGTCCTGTTCTGCCGCTCTCGAGGCAACGCGATGCGACGACATTGTCGTTCAAATATCGTCTCTACGAAACGATTTGATATACACACGCGCACACAGCAGCGGGACAATTTTCTTGTGCGCGGATGTCGCGTCAATTACGTCTGAATTCTCTCTCTGTTAATTGTGTGTTGTTTTGTGGCAGATTATCAGAAGAGCAGAATTTTTTTGTTTTGTGTGAATTTTGTTTTTGTTGGGTTTTTGCTTTCTCATCGCTCTCTCCCGTATAATAATCTCGCACGACGACGACGACGAAGAAGACGACAAAGAGGAAGAAGTAGTTTCTAGAAGAAGAAAAAGAATAGAGCGCGCGTAAACACACGACGCACTCAAAAAAGTAAAGAAAAAGAATATGTTGACAGCACCGGTGTCACAAACTATTGCCTTGATTGGTGGCAAGCCTGCGTCATCATCGCCAGTGCGGAAAAATTCGAGAAAGACTTTGATGCAAACGCGCTGCACCTTAAAGGGAGGACAACAACATAATAATAATAATCAACAACAAAAACAAAAACAAAAAGACGTGGCAAGAAGACGAATGAAGTGTAACACGAATAACGGCTGCAGTAGTAATCTCACTCGACGCGGCTCGTTGTTAAAAATGAACATGGGAAGAATAGATGCCAAGAACGAGTGGTGGCTGAAGGATGCTTCGCCGAATATGATAGATATAAACGGGACGCCTGAACTTTTAGAGGCATTGTGCAATAACCAAGATAAACTGGTCGTCGTGGACGTTTACGCCAAGTGGTGCGGAGCTTGCCGAGCTCTGTATCCGAAGTTGTGCAAAATGGGACGACAGTTTGACGGGAAGATGGTCCTGTTGAAAGTAAACTTTGACGAGAACAAAGACATGTGCAAGACGCTTGGCGTGAAAGTGTTGCCGTATATGATCATGTACAAAGGCAATAAAGGACGCGTGGAAGAGTTTTCCGTCTCTATTTCAAAGATAAAGATGCTCAGAGAAAAGTTAGACATATACACGACGGATATCCCCGGGGAAGGCTACTCAAAAGACGAGTGTAATTTAGAAGAGTTTGGCGATTCAGTTTGGGGAGACGTGGACGTGGAGAATGACGCGCCGAAAGACGCCGAAGGAGCGCAAGAAACTCTTCTTCCTAAGGATTAGAGGAAAAAACGAACGATCGAGCGATTGTGCACGTGTAAAGGCGTTGTTCACGCGCGAAGAAGAAGATATCGCGTAAAAAACGAACGTTGTATTGCTATACACTAATTTTCATATCACAAAAACTATCGTATCATCGCGAATGATAACCTTTTTTAGCGAGCAACGCGGTGCCGTAGGAAGCCTCGGTGTATTCACTCGCAACGACATCGATCGTAGAACCAGACTTGTTGTCAATGCTCAAGCAAGAGCTTCTCATTTTACACCACGTCGCATTTGCTGCGCCGCCGCCAGAGGTGTACACTTTCTTCAATTTCTCAGACGCTCCCATCGCGTTTGCGTTATCGTAGCACCTCTTTTCAGCCTTAGCAATCGAGGAGAAAATTTTGCACAAAAAAACGGCGTCGTTCTCGCACGTTTCTCTTTCACTCTCGCATTTTTTCACCGCATCGCTCACTTCTAAGCCAAAATCACCACCGGCGTTACTTTTGAAAAAATCCGCGTCCCGAACACCGAATAGATTCAACTCGAACATGTTTTCCATCTCGATGGTATCGGTCAACGATTGGAGTTCGTCGTTGGTGAAAAAAGCACGCAAAATGTTTCCTCCCGTATTACACGCACCACCGACCAACCAATATTGGTCTCCAATTTTGTGAGAATAAATACCAACGCTAGCGTCATCTACGCGCGCTTCGCTAATAAGTTTCCAGGCTAACGTGGAACCGAGAGATGTGCACGCGTCGCCGGGCTCATTCGCGCCCGAAGCTATGAAGGCGGCGACTGAATCAGTCGTTCCCGTACAAACGATGCACTCAGGATTCGATAGGAATTCCTTCGCGCGAGGGTTTTGAACGACTCCTATGCGTGCACCAGGAGGTAACATCGTCTTTGGCAGTGCTTCTGCAAAAGGCAAGTCCAACATCCATTGCGGATAGGTTTCGGAGCCCGGATCGAATCCAAGTTTTAAAGAGTTGTTGAAGTCAGATACGCCCATGTTCTCGTGTAATTTATAACTCAGCCAATCCGCGTGATGCAAAAGCTTGTACGAAATCGGTTTTGGATGTTCGTTTGCGAAATAGTGCGCGAGTTTACTTAACGCAGAAGTGCTACTTCTCGTGACGTGGCCGTCTGGCACTCGACAACTCTCCGAGGCGAGATATTGCGCGCCAACTTCAAACTTTTCATTGTACATCATGGCCTTATACAAAGGTTCGCCGCTCTCGGGATGTACAATGATAACAGTACCGGAGGTGCCGTCGATAGCGACGGATACAATGCGCTCTCGCGTTTCTCTAGGAATATTTTCGAGACTCGTCCACAGCGCGTCTTCCCAAATCGCCGTCATCGAAGAAGAAGAAGAAGACGTTTTGTTGTTCGCCTCGCGAGTATCCGTGTATTTCACCGAGGTTTCAAACTTTTGCACGCCGCGCTCGTCGATGAGCGATACGCGACATCCGGATGTTCCAAAATCCATTCCCATGAATAGTTTACCACCGTGTTGTGCTTCTCCCGCACCTAAGGCTGAGAGGCTTGTTTTTCTCGTCGTCGTTGTCATCGTTTTCGTAGTACGATGGTGGTGGTTACGACGAAGATGACGAGGTTGACGACGGCGAAGTTGAGTAGCTGTGAAAGAAGAAGAAGAGCGAACGAGAACAACAACAGTCATGTACGCCTTACTGCTTTACTCTAAAAACTGCTCCTCTTTTTGCTCCATCCGCGCGCTCTTTACTTTTTCTCTTCTTTTCTCTGGAGGAGAGAGAGTCGTGGTCAGTTGGTTCGTCTTTTATGCAGTTTGGAAAAAACAGAAAAACAGAAAAAAAACACCGCATAAAATCAAGCGTTATCGGAGCGAAAATCAAAAAGTGTCGCGCGGAGCGGTGCGACTGGACGCGAGTAAACTCTCAAACAGTGCGTGTATACGATACTCATCACTCTTCCGTTCATATTTTTAACCATCGCATTCGCGATGTGGATTTCTTCCGCGATACGACGTCGCGCACACTCGCGAGCGCTGGCTTGGATAAAAACCAACTTTTTCCCTGTCACAAATTTAGAACATTAGAAATTTGTATTGACCGCTCGTTTACTCACCCTTCTTTTTACAACTTTCCATCCAATTGAAACAGTGTCGATGTCGAGCGCCGAGTTTGAGAACTATGTCTTTAGTCGAGGAGGGAATCGCTTGATTCGAACGGTGCTCATCGCATCCAACGGACGTGCGTTCTTCAATTTTCTTTATTTTATTTTTCCTTTTTTTTTTCTTCTCTCGTTCTTTCTCTCGTTTCTCTCGTTCTCTCGTTCTCTCGTTCTCTCTCTTTCCTCAAATCACAATCGACGGACGCGTTCATTTTGTGTCAAAGACGCGGTCACTGTGTATTATGATTATTATTTTGACGCAACTGATAACATTTCTTTTTATCTCTCTCTTCTGTGTATAAAATAACAATAACAGTTGGTGCGACGAAAGCAATCAGAAGTTTACGCTCCTGGGCTTACGAGACGTTCAAATCGCACGATGTGTTACATTTGGTTTGCATGGCGACAGAGGACGATTTAAGAACGAACGCGGAGTATATTCGATTAGCGGACGAATACATCATCGTAGAAGGCGGCTCAAACGTGCATAACTTTGCAAATGTCGATTTGATTGTAAAAATTGCGCGCAGATGTGGCGCCGACGCCGTGTGGCCCGGTTGGGGGCACGCCAGCGAAAATCCAAAGCTTCCGGAAGGATTATCCCATCACAACATAGCCTTTCTCGGCCCGCCGAGTTCAGCCATGGACGCTGTCGGTGATAAGATTTGTGCGAATATTCTAGCTCAATCATGTGGTGTTGATGTCATCCCCTGGTCCGGATCCGGTTTGACTTTGAACAACGCCGATGATACCGATTGTTCCATACCGGAAGATTTATTAGCAAAAGCTACGGTCAGAGACGTGGAAAAAGCCGAACGCGTAATCAATGAATCGATCGGGTATCCGGTCATGATTAAAGCGTCCGAAGGAGGTGGAGGTAAAGGTATTCGAATGGTTCGCAACGATGCAGAACTACGCGCTTCGTTTCAGCAGGTGCAACAGGAAGTGCCGATGAGTCCAATTTTCATTCAGAAATTGTCGCAGAATTCTCGTCACTTGGAAGTACAAATGGTGGCAGATCAGTACGGTCAAGCGATCGCTTTATACGGGCGCGACTGTTCTGTACAGCGACGTCATCAGAAAATTATCGAAGAAGGGCCAATTACCGTCGCTCCGAGGAAACTGTGCGAAGAACTGGAGCGCGGCGCGGTTCGTTTGGCAAAGAAAGTGGGTTACGCCGGCGTAGGCACCGTGGAATATCTATTTAACTGCATTACCGGGGCGTATTCATTTTTAGAGGTCAACCCGAGATTACAAGTGGAGCATCCTGTCACAGAAACTATTACTGGAGTAAATATTCCTGCAGTACAACTGCAAATCGCCATGGGCATTCCGTTGCACAAAATCCCACACATTCGCAGATTTTTTGCGCAAAGCGACGTTATGGGCGTTAGCTCGATTGATTTTGATACCGCGAAACCAATTCAACCGATTGGACACTGCGTAGCTGGGAGAATTACCGCCGAAGATCCAGATAGTGGGTTTAAACCGACATCTGGTGCCATTCACGAGTTACACTTTCGCACCATGCCTGGCGTAAACGGCAATTTTTCGATTGGTTCTGGAGGCGGAGGAGTCCACCAATTCGCCGATTCGCAGTTTGGACACATTTTCGCTCATCGCGAAACGCGAGAAGAAGCTTCAACTGCGCTCGTGCAAACATTATCCGAGTTCTCTGTGCGAGGACAAATCCACTGTAACGTAAAGTACTTGATGACTCTGCTCGAAAAAGATGATTTCAGGGCTAACGTCCACGACACGGCCTGGTTAGACGGCTTGATCGCGATCGGGGACCGAGCACCAGAACTTCCCGACCACGTCGTCATTGCGTGTGGAGCTGTTTTGAAAGCCTCAGCGGAGTCTAAAAAGCTCGAGGAGCAGGTTGCGCAGTGCTTGAGAAGAGGTGTCCCGCCGGAGCTCTGGATGGCAAACTTGAGCGAACACTCTTTCGAGCTCATATACAACGATATTAAATATTCCTTGAAAGTCTGCATGGGAAGTAAATCAAGTTTTTGCATTTACATCAACGACCAAATGCTCGCAGCGGAGTCCTTGCAACTCTTTGACGGAGGTTTGAAAATCATTTTGAATAACCGCTCTCATACTGTGTACCCGGAAGAGTCCAAAGTCGGGATGAAAATCCATATCGATGGATATTCTTGCTTTTTTCCGGAAGATTTCGACGCGACCAAATTGTGCGCGAATACCACAGGAAAACTATTGAAATTTCTCGTTCCGAACGGAGGAAGTTGTAAAGTAAACGAACCGTATTGCGAAATCGAGGTGATGAAGACGGTTATGCCGTTGATATCGACAACTTCTGGTATCGTCAGTCACGTTGCGCAAATAGGCAGCCAACTTGAGCCCGGGGACGTTTTGTGCGCAGTAGTGGTCGATGATCCAAGCTCTATGAAGCTCACAAAACCATTCAAAGGTGTCTTTCCGGTATCTAAACCGCGGAAGTTTACGGTGAGCGCGGCTGGATCACACCTGGATAAGTTTTCTAGAAATTCTGCGGCTATGATTCAACTCCTGCAAGGGTATCACTTCGACGGCGATCCATTGCGAGAGTTATTTGAAGTTTTGGGTACGATAGAACTCGTCCTCGAGGATTTCAAAGAGGCACGCGACGCGATCGCGAGTCGATTAGACGAAAAGACGATAAAGGACTTGCATCTCATCGCGTGCGATATTGAAACTTCGCAATCATCTCCGAGCGAATCGGCTCGATATACAAACACCGTAGCATCAGCGGTACAAAACGTTCGTAAAATAATACAAGAGAATGATACTACGTTTGCATCTTTGTCGAAATTCTGCGATCGTCACGAAGGTGGATTGCACTCATCAAAAGCTCGCGTGCTGACTGGATACATGGAAATGTTCTTGGATATTGAAGAGACTTTCTCGAGCTGCGCGAGCTTTGAAGACGCAATTATGCTTCTGAGAGAATCGCATCGCGATGATATTTTTACAGTGACTCAATACGCACACGCGCACGCGAAGTTAGAGCGCAGATCAGAACTGATAGTCACAATATTAGATTATGTTGCCGATAATGGATTTATGGATATCCACGCGTGCCATTCCGCGGTGCATAGATGCATGAACCTCGTTGGTCACAGACACGAGAAGCTATCCCAACGGGCGCGCGAAATTATTGTAAAGAAGCAAGAAGTCTCGAGACAATCCAGACGCGAAAAAATAGCCGCAGAACGATCGCGCGTGCGACGAGAAGAATCGTTCGCATCCTTCACGCAGCTTTCTTTGAACGAGTCTTTCGACACGCCAGGTGGAGGTGGGCATTCGCGCTCCAATTCACGAGGATTACGCAGCGCTGGATCGCTGTATGGAAGCGAAGTTGATTTACAATCCGTAGTTTCAGAAGATGACTCCTCGCTTTCTTACACCGGTGGAGGTGAATCGACGCCGACGAATAATACACCGTCAGGCTCTCAAACGTTCGCTCGAAATGTTGGAAGAATCTATTTGGATAAACAAAATACGCTTTCGCGATTGGAATCTTATGACGATATTTCAGAGATTGAAAACACGCACTTGCAATACAACTGGGACTCACTGTTCGACGGTGTATCTGAAACCGCGCGATTTGATGCCATCGAGGCGTTGTTTTCATCCACTGGAGTGGATTTGAAGAAGATTGCGGGTGCCGATCCGGAACCGTGCCGGACCGAAATGACGGTGACGAGCGTCAAGTTGAACGGTTCAGATTCTATCGTTTTGTTTGCGCCGTCTCTCGGGCAAGCGGTAGCAGCATTACCAGAAGCGTCGGATTTAAGTCCGCGGGAACTTGCTTTTGTCATTTCCTATCCCAGATTAGTTGGCAGAGATGAAAAGGAAGTTCGCGCGGCGGCGGCGGCTTTCGTCACAGGGCAAAACTTGGCGGGCGCATTTACTAGTACAATTACGAAAGTGAGCGTGACGCTTTTGTCATTGGATGCTCGTCCGCATCACTTTGCGTTCAAAAGATCTGGCACTGCAGCCTCGGGAGCCGATGGCTTTGATGAGATGTACGCCGCGAATGGTTTTTGGCCGCACGTAGCTTCTCACATGGAAGTCGATCGACTCGATCCTTTCGAGAAGATTGAATGCGTCGGAAAATTGAATTCCAGAACTCGGCAGCGTAATCCGAACTTTGTCACGCCTTCGGATTACTCCATCGGTGTTTTTCTCGCCGAAGAGACTCCAAAGAAGCCTGGACACAAGCAGCCGCAAAGAGATCGTCGCGTCTTCTTACGGGCGGCGGTGTACGATAAAGACTTACTTCTGGTAAATTTCTCACCAAACCCCACCCCCCGGCCGTCGAGGACATCTTATTCAGATTCCGGCATTTCAGCAGAAGAAACACCGTTTTTACCACCAGAAGATTCGGTTTTGGCAGATGTTTTAGGATCACTGGAGCTAGCCGTCGGTTCGCACAGAACGGCGTGGAATCACGTGTTTATCCATCTCGTCGGCGCCGACGACAAGTTAGATTTACCACACGTAGAAAGTGCCATCGATTCCTTCGTTAACTTAGCATTCGCGGATTTGAAGAGATTAAAAGTAGTGTGCGTAGAAGTGCGCGTCGGTGATTCTGGATCTGTCGTTGCTCTGAACACCTCTGGATTAAAGTTCAAGATTCAAACCTCCCTCGATCGGGGTGTACCGGAAGCGCATCCGCTCCTGAACGTTACGCAACGCAAAAGAATGGTTGCTCAAAACTTATCATCAACGTACGTGTATGACTTCCCGGAGATTTTTGCAAACGTGCTCCACGAAGAAGGTGGCTGTATCTCGTCAATTGTTGAACTCGCGCTTCAAGGCGGCTCTTACTCAGGCGGCGTATTGGGCAATAATGGTCCGACGTCACCGCGATCGTCGATTGGCTCGATTTTAGAAATCTTGCCCGGTCAGAAACGAAAGCTTGTGCCAGCGAACCGCCCTGCCGGTCATAACGATTGCGGCATGGTTTGCTGGAAGCTCACGTTAAATACGAAGGAGTATCCCGATGGAAGAGATATTATATTAGTGTCAAATGATATAACGCACATGTCCGGCTCGCTTTCGCCGCCGGAAGACGCCGTGTACAGAGCCGCCATGGACTTGGCAGTTGAGTTGGCCATACCGTGTGTCTACGTCTCGGCAAACTCTGGTGCACGCATTGGCCTCGACGAAGCCGTGAAAGCTGCATTTCAAGTGTGTTGGATAGACGAAAAAGATCCGCGCAAAGGATTCAAGTACATTTACCTCTCCGAAGATGATTACGAGATGCTCGGTGCAAATGGACGCGTGAAAGGAACGCGGTTACTCGAGAACAACGAAGTTCGCTACGCGCTTACGGATATTTGCGGTGGACAAGGTGTCGAGTGCCTTCAAGGTTCTGGCGAAATAGCTTCCGCGACCTCTCGCGCATACCAATCTACCGTAACTATTGCATACGTTACCGCGCGCTCGGTAGGCATTGGCGCGTATTGCTCGCGATTATGCCAACGCGTCGTGCAACACCAAGAGGCGCCGCTCATCTTAACTGGAGCGAGCGCTCTGAACAAAGTTTTAGGACGAGATGTATACACTTCAAACGCGCAAATTGGTGGCCCAAAAGTGATGGGTTCGAACGGCGTTTCTCATATGGTTGTTCCAGATGACGTTCAGGGCGTAAAAGCCGTGTTAAATTGGCTATCGTACGTTCCGGCGAGTATTGGCGGAGCACTTTCTTACTATCTCGATAACGACGCGGATGCTTTCGAAAGTGGCGGTGACTCTATCCACAGAACTTTGAGGTTTGATCCGGCAGCTACCAAGTCGCCGTACGATCCGCGCGAGATTTTGCGCGATTTTTTCGATACGAACTCGTTCACGGAAGTCATGCAAGATTGGGGTAGAACTGTCGTCACAGGACGCGCGAGATTGGGAGGATTACCCATAGGGTGCGTGGCGGTTGAAACGAGAATGGTGAACAAGACGATACCGGCTGACCCGGCGTTTCCTGGCGCTCAAATTGGCGAAGAGACCCAAGCTGGGCAGGTGTGGTTCCCGGATTCCGCGTTCAAAACCGCGCAAGCGATTGGAGATATGAACCGAGAAGGATTGCCGCTGATTATATTTGCAAATTGGAGAGGATTTGCGGGAGGCCTGCGCGACATGTACGGAGAGGTTTTGAAATACGGCGCGTGCATTGTCGACGCGCTGCGCGAGTTCAAGCAGCCGATATTCGTTTACATTCCTCGAGGCGGCGAGTTGCGCGGCGGTGCCTGGGTAGTAATTGATTCATCCATCAACCCCGAACAAATGGAGTTCTACGCGAGCGATGGCGCCAAGGGGGGCGTTTTGGAACCGGAAGGTATCGTCGATATCAAGTTTCGAAAAGACGATTTGGTAAAGACGATGCGTCGAACGGTGAAAAGCTTAGAACACAACAGTCATCTCCAGAAACAGCTCACGCCGACGATGAAACAACTCGCCGTTCATTTCGCTGCTTTACACGATACTCCGGGCGTCATGCTTCACAAGAGGGCAATCAAAGCAGTCGTTGAATGGGAAACGAGTCGGGAATTCTTCTCTTTGCGACTGCGTCGACGCGTCTGTGAAGAGCGCATAAAGAAGTATCTTCGCGAAAGAGCGAAGAGAGAAATCGCGCCCGAGGAAATGCGAAGCTACCTCTCCGAACTCGAACACGTAATCGATGGTATTGTAGAGGCCAAGATCGGCTCAGTCGAACCAGAAAAAGTCACCTCGGTGATTGAATTCGCGATGCAGTTGTAATAGATATATTGAAAAATGAAAATAAGCCACGATACTATATTATTCATTGCTCCCTTCTTCTTTATCTTCTTCTATCGCGTTCGATGACGCACCACTATCGCTTTCTACTAAATCATCCATCTCCACAACCATCGTCATTCCAGGACTGAACATTACGAATGCAACTACCGATGAAAGAGCAAATAAAACTGAATACACTGCATGACGGCGCATTTTCTTCTCCTCCGGCGAAAGCTTCCTCTTTTCCTCTTTTTCTACCCACCCTTGTTGTTTCTTCCGTCGTGCTCCGTCGCGCCAAGTCGTCGGATCAATATTCTTCCCATCTACATTGGTTCCGTCATCTTCTCCCGCATTCAAAGGTTTTCGAGCTTGCACGTATTTCTTTACGTTCTCAACATACGCGATGCATTTTGGGTACGCTTTGAGCTCACCTCGAAGACTTTCCGTCGCGTTTGAAAATACGACGTAGTACAACACTGAAAACAAATCCGCATCGCAGTTTGTAGGAGTATTTGAACCCAGCGCGAACAACTTATCGCTTCCGTTAGTATCGTCCGGCAGCATCGTTTCTATGACGTCGAACGCTTGACTCGCAATCACTCGCGCTTTAATCTCGTCGCACGTTGGCGCACCTCTCTTCTCTCTCCATTTGTTCGGGACGATTCGATTGAGCGGGAAAGGATACTTACTCCCATACATAGGTCGCGTTTTCTCTATAAAAGTACCCTCGTTCGTCCACGTGAAATATTCGCACGCTTCCTTGAGAATGCCGTTAGCTATGGAACTAAAGCACACATCTCGTGCTCTATCTGTCTCAGAGAGCCCTTCGTTGAGATTCTGACATTCGTGTTTCAAGTGGTGCAATATGCGGTACGTGGCGACTTTTGAATCGTTTTTGATTTCATCCCCCAAACCACCGACGACGGCATACTCTCCGTTGCCAGCTTCCAAACACGGCAGGACCGATGATGGCGAAGATGACGGCGTGGGACAGACCTCCGTCTCGTGCGGTATGCCGGCGAGTCGTAAGTAGGTTTCTACTTTTAAGCACTCCAAGTCGAAGGAGAGGTCTGACGTAGAAGGATTCGAAGAAGGAGGAGATGCCCATTTATGCAAGACAACAGCGCTCATTTCATTACCGTTCCCTGCGGCCATGTTTTTGATATGTGTTTTTATGACGTGCTATGACGAATTTGAATATCTCCTCAAACTTACAAAAGTGAAAAATCAATCCACGATGTCTCCCCCTGCGGTGGAGCCGGCGGTAGCAGCTGCACGACGAAGGATATCATCACTAAATTTACATTTGTGTTCATCTTCGAGTCTTTCTTCTACTTCGTCGTCGTCTTTGTCAACGCGTATCTTTGTTTCCGATAAAGTACAAACCGCATTAAAAAACAACATTCCGGTCGTCGCTCTCGAGTCGACAATCATCTCGCATGGCATGTCATACCCGGAGAACTGCAAGTGTGCCATGGAGGTTGAAGATATCATCTCCTCAAAAGGATGTGTACCAGCTACAATTGCCATAATTGACGGGTACGTCAAAGTTGGACTCACGCGAAAAGAAATCGATAAGTTAGGTAAGGAAGGAGCTAGGGGTGATGTTCAAAAAGTCTCTAGGCGAGATATCGCTCCGATTTTGGCGAATGCGTCGCTGTCGGAATCATCACTTGGTCGATTAAAACTTGGTGCAACTACGGTTTCGGCGACTTTATTAATCGCAGACATGATGAAAATCCCCGTTTTTGTTACGGGCGGCATCGGAGGCGTTCATCGAAACGCAGAGACGACTTTTGACATATCGAGCGACCTCATCGAGCTATCTCGTGCGAAGAACACGGTCGTGGTGTGCGCGGGAGTCAAATCTATTTTAGATATAGGAAAAACGTTAGAGGTTTTAGAAACGTTAGGTGTCACCACGGTTGGGTACAAGACGACCGCGTTTCCGGCTTTCTTTACTCGTGATTCAGGCTTTAAACCATCGACGTTCGTAAACTCGGCCGAGGAAGCGGCAAATCTCATCGATGCGCGAAACGCTCTGCGATTGAACAGTGGAGTATTGTTTGCCGTTCCAGTACCAGAACAGTACGAAAAAGCGACTGGTGCTGAGATTGAGCGTTGTACGACGCAAGCGATTCGGGAAGCCAAGAGGCGGAGGATATCCGGACGCGATGTCACGCCGTTCTTGCTCAAACGAATCGTCGAGCTCTCGAAAGGAAAGAGTTTAAGCACAAACATAGCTCTTGTTAAGAACAACGCGGAAGTTGGGGCAGATATAGCAATTGCACTGAAAGATATAAGAGGAGAAGAATAAGAGAGATTACGAGGAAGACGACGCGCGTGAAGAGAAACTGGCGAGCGGCTTGAAATCATTTCATCAAAGCCGAATCCGAGAGGACGAAGATGGAGGATACGATAAAGAAAGCCAAGATTCCTGAAGGTGAGAGTAAGTTCATGAAATTGGAAGGTCGCGCGCCGATAGCTTCGGATATGGTCGTCATCGAGACCGAAGAGCCAACCAATTTCCACTCGCTTCCGCGAATTCCCGAGTGGAATGAAGAAACGATCCCGCGCCCGGAGAATCCGGTGCAAGAAAGCGACGACGGAGGATTTCAACACGAGGACGGTGAATACGTGCACGTGCACGAAAATTTAAGCCATGAGGACGGCAGTGCGAGCAACGGTGATCTCTCGAGCTCTTCTTTACGAATGAAGCAGGCATTCAAGGCGTCCCTCAAGTTAGATTCAAGCGACGGCGTATTTAAATTCGACAGATTGCAAATAGAACAAGTTCGAAGACGGGAAAGCGGGCATAAACATTTAGATGGACACAGGTAGCACTCATAGAGACTCAGAAGAGACATTACACGGAGTTGAAAGACGTCGCGATATCGCTTTCGGAAGATCCAGAGTCTCCGAGACATCACAAGAACCTCACCACCACTTTCCCGAAACTCGGGAACAACAAAGGGTAGCTTCGAGTGGATTCAACTGGACGCTTGACGAAGCTGACAATTGAGAAGCACAAAATTTCGCACATGCTTCGGGTTCCTATTCGAGATTTAAGAGTACTCGAACCGGCGATGAGCTCGTCCTACTCGACATCCATTTGGTGTCGTGAAAGATCCATCGTCGTCAACTTGGAGCAGATTAAAATCTTAATCACGGCCGAGGAAGTCATCTGCCCAGATTCGAGGAATTCCGCCGTGGTCGAGCGATACATTCCCGAGTTACAGCGTCGATTACAAAGGCGGATCAAAATGAAAGAGTCTTCTCAAAAAGAAGACAAGGTGAAGAAGAATATGCCGGAAACGTTTTCCAGTTTCGCTCTGAACGAAGCCGCAGAGAAGAGTAATAAAGAGAAAGAACATCACGAACGCAAGCCTTCGAATAGCGGAGGTTACACGTCTTTTGACGAAGAAGAGATGAAAGGTCACGAAGGTGGCCACCATCGCACGTCGTTCGATACCTTTGGCGGACCCACGCCGGAAGGCTCGGAGTTTTCCTCCGAAGGTGGTTCGGACGAGACGTTGCCGTTTGAATTGATTGCGCTCGAAATCGCTTTAGAGATGGTATGTAACGCGCTCGAAGTCGAATCCGATAAAGTCGAACGCGAAGGTAAACCGCAATTGGAAAAGTTGAGACAAGACGTTAACCAGACCAACCTCGAAAAAGTTCGTCGCGTGAAGAATAGATTGGTTCGGATCAATGCGCGAGTCTCGAAAGTTCGAGAGGAAATTCAGCGCTACTTGGATGATGATTCCGATATGAGAGATTTGTACCTGACTCGGAGATTGAGAGAAGAGCTCAGACAAAACACGGCGCGTTCAAAAGAACACCAAACCAAATGCAAAATTCTCCGAACGTGAACAGCGGACAGGTTCAAATCATCGGCCCAAACGGCGAGGTTTGGGACGAAGATAAAGATTTACAAGAAGTAGAGGATTTGTTCGAAACGTATTTCACTCATATCGATTCGACGTTTAGAAATTTAGAACAATTGAACGAGTATATCGACGATATGGAAGATTTGATTGAGATTGAACTGGATAGTAAGCGGAACCAGCTTATTAAGTTAGAGTTATTGTTAACGACGGGAACGTTATGCTTGTCCGGTTTCGGCGTCGTCGTGGGTGTGTTCGGGATGAACATTAGAAATGGATTGGAAGGTAGTCAGTCGTCGTTCGAGTTAGTCATTGTCTTCTCCGTCATCGGTAGCGTACTAACATTCGCTGCTATAGTCCAAGCGTGTCGGTACTTTAGATTATTTTAGTACGAGGTTTTGAAATCCGCAACTGTCTTGTCTTGTCTTGTCTCAAAAAAAAATAATAAAAAAAAAACGCTCGCTTTCGGGCAAAAAAAAAGTCCGAGGTAAAGAGATCCACATAAAAACACGCACACGCGCCGAAGACAAGTGGGAAAACATGTGCAGCGGCGGCAATTGCGGCGGCAAGTGTTTGCCGTTTGGACCGTTGCTGGAAGGGACGGAAAGGAGTCGCGAAGGGAGGAAGAAAAACGACGAGGAAGAGGAGGAAGAAAAGAGGGAAAAGAGGGAAAAGAGCGAGGAAGAAGAGGAAGACGAAGAAGACGAAGAAGACAAAGAGATGAGCGATCTGGTCGACGAGAAGCATGTGAAGGCGTTGAACGTAAAGTGCGTGTGTTGCAAGAAGCCGATTAAGGGATCAAGTTATCGTTTCCCGAAGAGAGAAGGAGACGTCAGGAGCGGGAAAGCGTGCTGTCGAGGATGCCAAACGAAAGCGTTGAACTTAAAGTGCGCGGGTTGCGAGAAGCCGATTAAAGGACAAAGATGTATTTTCCCGACGAGAGATGACGACGCCAGGAGCGGGAAAGCGTGCTGTCGAGGATGCCGAACGAAGGCGTTGAACGAAAAGTGCGTGTGTTGCAAGAAGCCGATTAAGGGACCAAGTTATCGTTTCCCGAAGAGAGAAGGAGACGACAGGAGCGGGAAAGCGTGTTGTCGAGGATGCCGAACGAAAGCGTTGAACTTAAAGTGCGCGGGTTGCGATAAGCCGATTAAAGGACAAAAGTATGTGATTCCGAAGAGAGAAGGAGACGTCAGGAGCGGGAAAGCGTGCTGTCTAGGATGCCGAACGAAAGCGTTGAACTTAAAGTGCGCGGGTTGCGATGAGCTGATTAAAGGACAAAAGTATGTGTTCCCGAAAATCGATGGAGACGTCAGGAGCGGGAAAGCGTGTTGTCAAGGATGCCGAACGAAAGCGTTGAACTTAAAGTGCGCGGGTTGCGATAAGCCGATTAAAGGAAAAAAGTATGTGTTCCCGAAGAGAGAAGGAGACGTCAGGAGCGGGAAAGCGTGCTGTCTAGGATGCCGAACGAAAGCGTTGAACTTAAAGTGCGCGGGTTGCGATGAGCTGATTAAAGGACAAAAGTATGTGTTCCCGAAAATCGATGGAGACGTCAGGAGCGGGAAAGCGTGTTGTCAAGGATGCCGAACGAAAGCGTTGAACTTAAAGTGCGCGGGTTGCGATAAGCCGATTAAAGGAAAAAAGTATGTGTTCCCGAAGAGAGAAGGAGACGTCAGGAGCGGGAAAGCGTGCTGTCGAGGATGCCGAACGAAGGCTATCGAGAAGAAGAATTTCGAGGAAAGCAACTTCTGCGAGAACTGCGACGCAAGAGGCACAAAACGCGGCGCGATATCCGCACAAACAGATCCGGTCTTTGGCGACAAGTGGTGGAAATGCGAGTCGTGCAAGAAAAAGGTGGCCCATCGCAGATGGTACATCGCGAAGCGAAAAAAGCAGGGCAAACCGGAACCGAGATCATATAAGAAAAGAAAGTTTTGAAGAGACTGAAATATTTTACATTACACGCGTTATGTTCAATCAAAGCTCACTTTTTTCTCTCCTTAATCGCACCCCATTTTTTCACGTATTTGGCAGGAGTAAGTATTCTCTCACCATTTTGTTGTTTATCTCCGAACACGTCAACGGCCGAGTCGCGTGTAACGTACACCAATCGCATCGTCCGAACCGGAACCGAAGAAGTGCGGTCGATGCCGACGTCGACCAAAATGCCGCGCTCAAGTCCGAATATTTCGAGCGCATATATTAATTCCGTGCGTTTCACGAGAAGAGACTCGCGCGCAGAGTCGAGCGCGCCGTCGAGCGTGAGCATCGAATCGACGTGCACGTCGAGAAGGAACAATTTTTTCGAAACTGGATCAAACGCTACCCCGGCCGGGGTGCAAAAGATTTTTACATGCAGGTGCATAAACGCCATGTCGCTGCGAAAAGGAGAGACTAATTTGTAGCCGGTGGTTTCGCACAGCAACAGCAATGAAGCATCCGTCATCGAAGGACGAAGAAATGCACTTTCCGGACCACACTTACGATTCGTTCCCTTCTTTTCGTTCAGGAGCTTCTTGATTGTTTCGTTCGGGAAATAATGCGACTCAGCGCACACGAACTGGGCATACCAATCGTACGTGTTATCGTTCGTTCGTTCACACGTGTAGTCTCGGGAGCCGACTATGTCATCTACGTAACGTTGAACAACTTTTCTGCCGGATGTGTTTGCTGGCAACGCGGAAAACTCGACCAAGTGAGGCTGTAATGAAACCTCGACAAAAGACGTGTGCGCACCAATAATTTTTTTTTCTTCGGCATCATTTTGGGCCGTTGTAGAAGTCAGCAAGTCAAGTACTGCTTTAATGTTCGTTTCAACTTTCCTGTCTTGCGACGGCGGTATTCGAAGGACGAGCGAAGTGCTATCGATATCCTTTTTCTTTCTGTCCTGCCTCTGACGTTGTTGCCGCTCTCCTCCTCCGCTTGCAACTCTTTCTCGGTTACTGTTTCCGCGGACAGGCCGACCTCTCCCGGCAAAATGCTTCGCTGGACGAGAGTGCTTCGAGAGTGTGGGGGGTGAAGTGCTATTTAGCATCTTTCGAAGTTCGACGTCGCTCATTTCCAACCGAACGGTATTTTCGTTTTCGTTTTCGGTGACTTTGACGCTGTGGGTGCCGGCGCGAGCAGCATCAATGGCAGTTTTGAAAAAAGAGCGCAAGAAGGCAGTACACTCTTGTTCTTTCGTTTCGTTCAACCGCGTCAAAAACCAAGGCACGCGCAAGCGCGCGTTAAAACGTTCGTCACTGCAAACAACGCTACCCACTTTGCACAAAACCGCAACCTCGGCATATACCAAGAAGCTTACGAGGCGAATAAAATCAGCAAGACTCGTCACAAGCGTCGTCACGCGGCGCTCGTCGTTGGAATCGTTGGAATCGCGCCGCGAACTTAACCGATGCGACATCTGGGCCTCCAGCGACGCTTTCCAACCAACTTGCATAATAATCAGTTCGTGCGCGACGTTAAAACTAACACCAGCGCTTCCAATCGAAGACGACACGAAAAGAACACGAAGATTGCTGTTGGGATTGGCGAAGCGCTCGAGAACCTTCGTTCGCTTCTCTGATGTCTCGAAGTGCGCCGCATCAAACAAACAAGTTGAATCTGAATCCGTCTGTAATTCTGGAATCTTGTGCACGAGAATTTGTCGAAATTTCTCAAGCGCGGAGAGATATTCGCACGTTATAACAACCTTGCGCTCGGCTGTAACGTGTTCGCACACGGCGTCGACGATGTACGCCATTTGTGCCGGAGCGACGTAAGAATCTGAGAGCGAAGCCGTTGGTGCATGCTGAATGTCGCAAATCAATTTCAACAATTTCGTGCGCTCGTTGTTCAACAACTCAATTTGTTCATTATTAGCATCATCGTTATTATCATCGTCATTTATCATATTATCATTATTATCACCTTCATTATCATCGTTTAAGTCAACGTCGGACTCATCGCTATCATCATCGTCATCAACATCATCATCTTCATCATCATCATCATTTCCAGCATCGTTATTGTGGATATTGAGAGGCGAAACGCCAAGTGCGGATAACTTGGCTTCAACGTCCGACAGGTGCTGATATAGAAAATTCAAAGCGAGTTGCGGGTGCGCGCCGTAGAGACGCGAGCAGTATGCCCGTAAGAAATACTCGTTTGATATCCATTTCGTATCCAGAAAAAGAGTAGTGGAATCGTAAGGCGCTTTAAAATTTTTGTCGTCGCCATCCCCAATATCATCATCGCCATCCCCAATATCATCATCGCCATCCCCAATATCATCATCGCCATCCCCATTATCATCATCGACATCACCGTCATCGCCAAGAGCGGGAAACCACGATTTGTCAAACTCGAACACGATTTTGTTGTTCACGTGGAGAGGATCTTGCACACGCGCAACGCACGGAGTGAAAAAGTAACTCTCCAACATGGTCAACGCGCTCCGAGCGTTCGGATCATCGGCAACGCCAGCCATGAGCAACCTGTCAACGCGCGAAGCGCAATCACTCACAAAAGTATTTTCGTCATTGTCCCACTCAGAGAAGTCAAAACCTAGCAAGCGTCCCAAGAAAAAAACGTCGCGGACGCCGCGCACGATTGGCGTCCCGGTCACACAAATCTTCAACCCTCCGCGCAAGCTTTCCGCGATACGAAAATAAGAGTTGTTTTCTGTCTTTGGATCGGCATGCTGCGACAACGAGTACGTCTCGTGCACTTCGTCAATCACGACGATCGCGTACCAAGTATCAGTAACCAGAACTTTGCGCGCTTTCTGCAAACTCGTCATCGTGTTACAGACAATTCTCTCGTCGATGGAGTTCACACAGAGACGCGCCATACCAGCAATCTTCGCAAACGCGGCACAGAAAGATGAGAATTCATTCTGAAACGCACTCGCGCTAACGGAAGACACAAACAACACTTTCGCTTTTTTGCGTTGCTTCTCGCAGACGCCGTCGAGGAACACATCGAGGAACAAACACACCAACGCGAGCGTAATGCGCGTTTTGCCGGTGCGGCACGGCTCAACCACCGCCAACGTCGAGTTACCCGCCAAAACTTCTTTCACATTCTTCTCGACGACTTTAATCTGTTCATCATCCAAATTAAATTTCGCGGATGTGCTGTCGTCGTCGGAGTCCTTTTTCATGTGCGCAACGAAAAGTTCGAGTTTTGCAAGAACGTTTGCTTTTTGCTCGTCAGAGAGTACTTGGAGCGGGCGAGGACGAATTGTTCGTTGCATCAATACTTTGTCGTCGACGTTGAAGGTAGCCAAAACAGCTCTGTGGTAGTCTTCTTTAGCAGCGGGGTTCTCGTCGTACACGTGCGCTGTCGGGTGTGGCATTTGTAACGCGAACACGTTGGGCAACGCATCGAGCTGCTGCTGCTCTAACAGATTGCGCGCGAAACTTGTGCGCAAATGCAACTCGAAGCCGAGAGGCAGAACCAACGAACTAAAATTCTCCACACGCGTCGTTGCAAGTTCCTTCAGTTCTTTTCTGGATATTTTAAAAAACGTGCTCTCCGTTTCGTTTTTGTTGCTGATTTTGAAGTGCTCGGACTGCGGGAAAGACAAATCGGACTGCGGGAAAGACAATTCCTCGGTAACGTGCTTTTTAATCCATTTCTCTTTTTTGCCGCTCAGAAACCGCATAACAAGACCAACTTGTAAAAAATTGCACACTAAAATTGCGCATTTATCGTAACGGCTCGCGCGATCAACAGTCATGGCATAAAACTCGTCGAGCAAAATGTGTATAGTCTCGGAGAAAGTACGAGGAGCGTTGCGGCCAAGAGCAAAATCCTTGCCCGGATGAAACCCGTCGTTACAACAAGACAAAACTTGAATCGTCGTCACGACACCAACACGACGAGACTCCTTGGCTGCATTCGAGAGATACGTTCGCGCGTCGTCCATCGTGAGCGCTTCAAAATTGTCTCGATCTCTGAAAACAAGCAAAAACGCGTCGGAGCACCAATCGCCTCCATCAAACCCGGTGACTTTGTTCTTTCGCCTTGGCGTCGCGCTGAAAGACGAGGCAAACTTTTCTCTAAAGGCTTTGCCAGCTATCAAATCTACACGTTCGATGTTCTCGAGGAGCGAACGAAACGCGTCAAAATCAACTTGATCAAGAGGGATGATGTACTTTTTCTTATTCATGAGCTCCAGCGCTTTTCTGCTCACGATTTGACCGATGGTCGTACCGTCGTCGTCCAAGATTTGGTTAAAGAAGTGCTCATCGCGAGTTATAGTCGTTACAACTAAATCGCCATTAACATCGTCATTGGGAACCTCTCCTCTTTTATTTCCACCCGGCGGAAGGTAGCGAATGAGATGACACTTCTTAAGATTTAAGACGTGGAGCGAAAACTGAATTTGATATCTGTATCTCTCCGATATATTCTGCGGATTTTCAACGATGTTTGTCCATTTCGCCAGATACGGGCATTTTATCTCCATCAAACACCCGTCGTGCGTGATGCCGTCGGCGGAGGCGGACAGCGCATTACGGACATCGCAGGACGTGGGGATCCCTAATATTTCTTCATCCCCAGCAGAAATAGCAGGCGGAATATACACTTTTTTATTATTGAGTTTAGCCCAGACTTCTCGCGCCTTTCCTTCGTGCTTCGTGCCGTGCGCTTTTGCTTCTTCGGCGAATTGATTCGACGCGCCGGCAATAGGAGAATGACAAAGATCATGCAACTTTGACGCGGTAATTTTATCCTGACGATGCTCGAACCATTCCGGCGTTCCTTGCACAGGACCGCGACGATCTTCGCAGAGAACGTCGTTAAGAAACGACGAAACCGCATGACCACCCACTCGCTGCTTCATAAACAAATCGAGTTGATCCGGTTCAAACACAACTTGATTCTGCTGCGGATTGTTATCATCACCATCATCATCATCATCATCGTCGTCGTCGTCGTCGTCGTCGTCGTCGTCGTCGCCACCGCCGCCACCACTACCATCATCACCAAAATTAGAGTTCAATACAGAGTTCGCGGCTTTTTTGGTGGTGGTGTTTTGCGTAATCGCATCGTGTTTCCTTTTTTGTTGCGGCGGCGACGGTGACGAGGAATCAAAACGCAAGTGCGTGCCTTTTTGATGCATCTGCGCTCGCCTCGAAACAAGTTTCTGTGAATTGTGGTGTAATTGTAAAAAGAAAAGTCACTTTGGTCAACATGAGAATGAGAAAGAGCATCGAACATGAGAACCCCGAACATGAGAAATGAGTTGCTGAGATTTGAGAATCGTCTCAAAGAAGATGTTTTCTGGAAAAGAAAAGAGAGAGAAGAAGACGATGCAAAAGCAGAACAAATGATATCGCTCACCTCGGGCAGTCGTAACAACAACTAAAAGCTTCGATTGAATAGACGTTTAAAACAACGCTCTTTTTTTTTGTGTTCTATTTTTGTATTATGTGTTTGTTTTTTTTGAAGAAAAAAAAAGCGTTTCCCTCGTTTTCTCGACGGACGCCAGGGAAAAAGGTGCCTTTCCTTCGAATCCAATTCTGGAAGCAAAGACTGAGAAAACGTAGCATTTTTCGTGTACTTTATCTCCTTTTCACTCAACCAACTCGTAGCGCGGGAGCAAGCGACTGTTCACGCGCGAGTTCAAGCGACACGCTCGAGTCTGCGATGCGTGGTGATCGCGCGTGTCTCGTTTTTTAACCATTTCTGTTAAAATTTCAAATCTGTCCCTCGCGTTGTCACGCGCTCGTGAGCGCGTGACATCCGTGATTCGACTAACGATCGTTTGGATAACCTAATAAGTGTGTTTACTCATCACAGTCGCAATCTTGTATCGTTTTCTTTCCGTCAACATGGTGTTATGACACGAAGAGTGCGATTTGGACTGACGAAAAATTAGTCGCGTAGGGTGTAAATATTCACAAAAATGACGTCAATTTCACAAAAAAAATATCAAATCATGTGCTTTTCAATCTCCTTCGCTCGAGCATGCGCGACTCGCAAATATCTCCCGGGTTCTTCCTCTGCACACGCTTGTAACTTTGAGAAAAAAAGCGCTTGATTACCAGCGTCTTCAAAACTAAACAACTCGCCACTAACCAACGCACTCGCCAACGTTTCTTCGATCGCGTCGCCAAGTTCGAAAACTGTTTTTTTAATTCGAAGCACCGGAATGAAAAAATCCGCCCCCCACGTATTTTTAAAAGAGCAAAAGAAAAGTGCCGAATTCGCTTTGTTAATTTTCACCAACGTGATCATCGCGATCATCGCATCTTTTTCCGTGAAACCCAATCCCGCGCGCACGCGCGCATCTAATTTCATGAAGGCGGCGCTTTGAGCTTCGCGTCGCATAACGGTTCGGTACGTTTTCAGGCGAGCGTCGGGAACACTTTCCATCTCGTCCATTGCGTCGTCACTTATTCTCTCCCACGCTTGACTTTCCACGCGAGTGGGACTGCAAAGCGCGACTTTTGAAATTTTCATGTTGTCCACGAAGAAGTCTATCCAATCCGACTCGTCGTAATCTTTATCGTACGCAGTTGTCGGTAAGAACACTCCGTGCTGCGAAGGAAATGTTGCCAACGCTCGACTATTTTGTCTGGATCTATGATTTTGCTCATACCTGTTCAGAAACAAACTCGCCGCAAGACGTCGTTCGTTTTTGTAGTGTTGCGTCATGTGAACGAAAAAACGAGACTGATCTTCGCCATTCTTCTTCTCAAACGTCGACGCTCTTGCTCTCCAAATTTTATCCATAACAAAAGCGCGGCCAAGAATATACGGCAAAGTGCACGTCGCGGAATCCCCGAGCATTCGTTTATAGGAGGATGTCGACGACGCGTCGTCGTTTTCAAAAAAAAACTTTCCCGCGGATAAACCAAACATTTTTGAAAGAACTTCCAGACTCACAAACGCGGGTTTAAATAAACCCAGCTTGTCAACCAAGATTAAACTCGACGCGTTCGTTGCCGTGACGTTCGTTACTGTCGTCGTAGCTTCGCTTCCAACCGAGCGTTGAGAGGCAATGTTCACCGCGCGAAAGCGGAATTTTTGCTCGATTTTTTGATGCTCGAATGGATTTCTCTTCGCCTCGCGCGCATTTCGAGACGCGTTGATGCACAGAAAACAAAGTCCACAACCACTTCTATTCCAAGAATATACGCATTCGCGCTTGCACTCGATGTTCGAGGTCTCATCTTCGGCGAATAACATCACGCGTTTGAGATTTATTTCCTTCGAGCGCGTCGCGACGAAAAAAATCCGCGTGCGCGAGAGATTCAATCCTCCCGCGGACTCACCTACAGACAATTCTCCCCTTTCCTGACCCACTTCCG